CCCTTCCTCTTTCTGTATCCTTGGTGATTTCCAGGAGTGGCTCTACTTTGAGGAAGGATAGCGTTTGTTCTGAGATACTACCAGTACCCAGCCAGAGCCAGCCAAGTGCCAGGCCTGGACCAGAGTGTCCATCGCTCATAGTCCCGGTCCTTCTTTCCCGAGCGCCAAGGTTGGAACCGATTTCAGATACCCTATTCAGTGTCTGAACTGACACCTCCTTTCTTACGCAGAGCCATGCCATGCCTTTCCTGGGACGATGCCAATAAGCCCGACTATCAAGAGCATGTCCGTTGAGAACGTCAATATACAAGGCCTACCTAGAAAGCTCCATGCGATGTTGTCTCTGCAGTTACCGTGAAATACTTACTTGAGACAGCTGTGGGCTGTGCACAACTATAAGCTAGGGACTTGTTGCTACATCGCACTTACAGTGCAACTTGATACTGTGGGCGATTACTGCTACTCCTCTCTCAGTAACTGCAGTGAGCCAACCCACTGTGCCATATTCTAGGATCCGAGATAAACTGCGCAGCGCATTGACATAGGTGAAACCAGAAACCCGAAATACAAGCAAAACAAAAAACACAAACAATACAAAAGTACAAACATCAGAACAGCACAGACATAGGAAACACCCCCCTCTGAGATCTTTCATCCTGCCAATTCCATCGATGACAACCGAAGCTTGGCGAAGCATACGCATCAGTTGTGCTTGGTGGGGCCTTGTTTGGCAGCCGCTTCGGGGGCCGCCTTGGAGGAGTTGTCGTGTGGGCTAGTGGTGTTGGGTGTATACACGGTGCGCTTGTGTGCGATATGGAACCGCACGGAGCCCAGGTTAATCCCGGCCATGTACTCCGTAACGAGCCGAGTGGGCTTCTGCTGTTCGCATGGAGTGTCTTGGGCCTTGGCCTCCGAACTTTTGTATAAGTTGCTGAATGGCATGGTAAACCGGGGTTTGTTAAAATTCGGAAGGGTAGGGAGGAAGATCATGCTAGCCAGGTATTTGTGGTAAAGGCAGGTAGAAAGTTAGGTTGGAGGATTTGGGGACAAGAAAGACGCAGGAGCGAGATGGGAGCCCTCATGATAGATATAGCTGGGCAAAACCCTCAAAGACCTAGGAAGTCTGATGGAAAGAGTGGGCCATGCCCCAAGAATGTTTCAAGAGGAAATTGCTCTGCTCTGCGCCAACACCACCCGCCACTGAACTGCCACTAGCATATGGTTCAATTGAACAAGACGCTTTGAATACGAGGACAGATCTGGGACATTACCCATGACAGCTCGTCATATCGGAGCTGACGATACTCTAGTGCCTGGAGCTGGCTGCCTACTTCCATCTTAGGGTCAGCTTTTCTGGAAGTCGACGACAGCAAATCTCTGAAGGCCGGGCATTGGAATAAGTGAGAGAAACAGCTGCGGTCAACACGAAGGTCTTCATTGGGAGGAATACAGGACGCACGGGTGAGTACAAGACGACCAGTCGCCCTGTTTACATCCTTGAATGTCATTGGCAGAAGGATGTCACCGCATTTCCCCGAGCCTGTGTGGAACTCTCCATCTGATTTTCAACGCTATGCGGAGGGGATGGGGGCTTGTCACTTCGGCTTGGCTTTGACTCTGGTAGTTCGCTAAACATGACCAAACCTTTCGAAAACATGCGCAATTGGATGATCAGTAACTTCATGCGCTTATTCGCTGATGCTGATCAAGTGTCCATAGATCTCGGCTATTAGATACGTATCCATGCAATCAAGTTGACCGCAAATACAGAGGTTATGCCGTCACGGTTCTGATTATGGGATTTGACGAGCCAGGAATCCCCGGACTGGTCAAGAACGGATCAGTAGGCTAACGATCGGCTACCTAGTAGTCCATGATACACTCCACCCATCGCCGTGACTTTAAGCAATCGTGGGCCACAGAGAGAGAGAAAGGAAGACAATACGAGCTAATGGAACGCATAAACCTCCATCAAGCCACTTCTCATTTCCCCCGCTTCGTTATTCCGTTGACTGCATCTGATTGACCGTACCTTTGTCAAAGCTACTAGTAGGCAAGCGATCCCGGTTATTTTTAATTTCCTGTCCTTTCAACTCGTTGTTGTCGCGGAATCGGTCTTTGACGGGTTATTCTCGACAAAGACCAAAGAATGTTTTATAGCCCCTCGTCCTCTCCCCTTTGACGAACGCATGGCGTATCTCAACTTCGAATTCGAATTCGATTCTCTCACCTCAATTACTCGGAGCTCTGCCCTCCCTGCTCTCTTCCACCTTCCTCCGCTGTTATCTAACTTTCTTTCTTCCTCTCTTTTTCTTTTCCTTCTGTTCTGAACAATTTACTCTAACAAGATGGCAAACCGAACGGATTCATCCATCATCCCATGCGAGCCCCTCGAGGCTGATCAGTCTGATGCCCAGGTTGAGCAACGGAATTCTTCTGTTATTCGGAGCGTATCCGTTGAAAACGAACGTCCCACCATCAACGACAGGGTAAAAGGATTGTCGCGTCGGATAACTCACCTAATTCCCCAATGGCTGATCAGTCTCATGACCTGGCTGAGGATGGTAAGTAATTCGAACCCTTTACCACCTGCGTACCAGTCCGTATGGTGAGACTGATCCTGTAGGTACTCGGTGGTTATCTGCCGACGGTGAGGGTCCCACCGTTCGCGCCATGGCTACGACAGACTGATGCTGCTGATGAGCCGTCTCACGACGAGGCTCAGAATGGTGAGGAGTTCAAAACTTCATACACTTGCATACCAGCTAAACTGATCTGACTGGTTCTGCAGTGATTCAGTCTACGTCTATCGAGGGTGATCATCCGAGCACTGGTGACACTAGCACGGGTCTGTCTGACGGTTCGGAAGACATCTTTCCCAATGAGAATCAGCGATGGGGTACGTGATCCAATACATCGCCAGCCTGCGTCTTAGCCTAGCTGATCAAATATGTACTTTAGAAGATGAGGACGTCCTGCTTTCCTCTGATAATAGTGCATTTCTTGAGCCCGTGCAGGGTGGTCGTGTCAACATGACCCCGAGTCGCATCGGCCACAGGGCAGGTCAAGGCACTCTTGAGACTGTGTACATAGGTATGGCGTCAGGGCCGATGGAATTTGTGATCGTCCTCGCCGTTCCTCCGCCGCCGACACAACCTGGTGAAAATGTAAATCGGACGATCGCACACCAATGCATCGACTTTTACGTCAACAATTCTCCGGAAGATCTCCTTAGACTGCTGGCACCGCACTTTTCATCCTTTGCCAAAGCGGAGATGGCCAACCCTCCCGCCAATCTGCAGGCTTATATGGAGCGCCAATATTGCTTCCGGCTCATTCCCGAGGGCGGAGACACCGTCACATTCGAACCATACCCTGAATTCTGCTTGAACCTAAACGGGGCCCCAGACAGGATTGACTGGGACTCTTTGAAGGATGAACTGGCGAATGTCCCCACATTTGAACTGTCCGAAATCGAAGACTTTCGCGTAGGCTTCAACCGCGGCGTGTATCAGGTCGCCATCAAGGGGAAGAATTTCCTATATAAACCGGCCAGCAACACTCAATGTCTTGCCCGGGAAATCTCGGTCCTGCAGAAGGTAGCCGGGTGTTCCCTCCGCGTTCCCAAGTTGGAAGGCGTTGTTAATGTCAATCAAAAGCATTCCGGGATGCTATTGACATTGATCTCCAATCGCTTTGGTCTTAGCTTTTGGCCGCAAATCCAACCAGAAGTGAGCGTTGCCGAACGTCAGAAGTGGTATGATCAAATATCTGACATCATTCACGCTCTTCATCAGAATGATTGTTGTTGGGGAGATGCCAAGCCTGACAACGTGGTGATCGACGAGAATCTCGATGCCTGGCTCGTTGATTTCGAAGGCGGAACCACAGATGGCTGGGTTGATCCCGAGCTGGCGAATACTGTAGCCGGGGATCTACAGGGACTGGAGCGGATTCGTGAGCATTTAAATCTAGAGGAATGAGCTAGAAAGTTGGTCAATTGGGTAGAATGATTAGTTGATCTGACAATATTGACTTGGACCGCTTGTGATTTACTTTTCTCATATCAGATGTCCCTTTGTGCTATTCGTAAGGAAACCACGCGTACCATATCAACGAAGCCTTCCCTGGCACACAGATTACCACTGAAGTTAACTGTAGCCCCGAAGCCATGACCATTCAAGCTCGACCATTGGTGACAACAACCTTATATCTTGTATTCCCACTCGATCTCGAGCAACTCAATCAACCAATCTTGCTTCCATCACGAAGATCCAAGAAACCTTATGCTCGTGGATGGTTAGGACGAGGACTTCCACTTCATCACTACATAAACTAGAGTCAAGAACATGCAACGAAAGCATTAACTTATCACACATGACCCAACAACTAAACATACTTCCATCAAACGAGACCCCATTTTTACGCCTACCGAGCATACATATGGCCAAGCCGCCCCGTGGTTTCTTTCACTCTTCATTTCACATAGCCGGTATTACCCATGACTCCGCGGTGGCCGTTCTTTCAACGAAGCAGAGTGGGTTGAATACCCCGTTACTGGATGGAATACAATGACTGGGTTGTATACATGATTGAAGGACACTCACTCCCCCAAGACATAGACACGGCTATAATCAGGTTGGCTTGAATGGTCTCTAGTTCTGAGGTAAGTGCGGACCTCGATGCGCTTGTTCTAATGATACGGTGTGTGTCTAGTAGTAGTAGGCACCGACTTCATGATCTGGATACGACTGTTAGGGTAAGTTGGGGTAGTTTAAGTAGCGTAGGGAGGGTAGTGTGTGGGATAGAAGGGAAGGGTATATTATAAGTAAAAAGGATTGCGAGGGGGGTGATAGACATAGCTTACCTGTGGATTTGCGTATTATTCAGTGGACTGTAAGCGTATAGGGTTCTGTCAGTTGTAACCCCGTGGGTGGTATTTCGAATGCACCCCGCTGGAGGTCAAGTGACCCTTCCGTAGAGTTTACCCAAACTCTTGGAAAATTGTTCCTGAACGCTATGCTTAGAGCAGCCAGTAAACCTTAGGAATCTCTTGGCTTAAAGTAAGGTGCTTTGTTAAGTTCATGTACATGTAACATTGTACAAACATGCAACGATAATACACGCCCAAGTCATTTAATCTGCCAATAACATCAACATCATAACAGCCAAGTCATAGTCACCCTTCGAATCTATTGCTCCGGCTTTGATCGCCCAGCCACTAGACATGGAAGAATTACCAGCATACGATATTCTCGAATTCTTCCGCGGCGCAGGTACCGATACCGAGTCGACGATTCTATGTTACGGCCTACGATTTCACTTCACGGTCTCCGCCGAGAATATCCAAACTGACACCCTAACCACTGCACAATACCTGGCTCTTTTACAAAAACCGGACTCTGAGGACTATGTCGGGGAGGAGAGTGATGACGAGAGCGTTGAGGGTGATCCGATGGAAAATATCTGCTTCTGGATCGCATTCAAATGCAACTCTATCATGAAACTCCTATCTCCGGAGGAGCGAAAACCTCGAGTGCGAACTCTTCACGATTGGTTAAACCTACAAACAGTGGACCTTGTTTCGAAAGCTCTGAGTGGGACGTTCTATGTCGAGTCGTCGTTAAATCAGCAACCGATAGGACAATTCGCACCAACGGCTACTTTATCTCCCGCTATTCTCAAGCTCGGGACTCCTTCATTAAAATATTAAGAGTCAGATTATTACAGGATGAGACGGATGGGGATCTTCCTCGCCGGCCCAAGAAAGTGTCGGTCGGATCTGGTGCGATCCGATTCTTCAAACCAACTTACTGCCGTGAGCAAGCCGATCGTGAGATACTTGCATTGATTCATATCAGATCTAGGGGCTTGGCAGATGTGGTCCGCACCCCTGTGTTATATGAATTAGTGAAAGGCCCGGGAGATCATACCGGTACTCACATCTCGGGCATCCTGCTTGAATACATCGAGCATCACAGCACTTTGGCCGATATCGATATGGATGCTACTCCTTGGCATATTCGGAAACAGTGGGCAGATCAGCTCCAAGGTATGATGAGAAGGCTACATGCCGCAGGGATCGTTTGGGGTGATGCAAAGCCGGACAATATATTAGTTGACATGAATAATGATCTTTGTATCAAAACGAATCGACTTGAGTTCGATCTTAGTTCAGATATGATCTGTTACATATGGTGGTCATGGCATGATCTCTAAATCTAGTCAGTAGGTAGAGAGTATCTACTTTATACCGTGCTGTTAAACCTCATTTCGTAATGTCCGCTTCTTCGCTTCTTCACCGAAAGCCTATACTCTTATTCTCCAAGGTAGGCATAAAAGCCTTGATCAGAGCCCTCCGCAGATGCTCACAGGATTCCCTCTACGTGGTACTTTAGCCCAGAAAAGAGCTCATCTTCCTGCAATGTAGCACAACCCACGGTGGTCAGAATCAGATACAGCCTCCGTTTAGCGAGGTAATAAGTATGTTTGCATTCCAAGTTACATGGTTCCTGATCTCATTTTTTCAACGCATTTATAATTCTATATTATATAATTAGAAAAGTATCTACTATGTATTAAGTAGTTTCAAGTTACTACACAGATCTAAAACGAGTCTAGCGGAGCTGTAACCACGTATTCCGATTACCGAGCGGTGCGGGCAGCCTAGCCCAATAGGGCTAGGATATAAAACGGCAATACATCATGCCTTCTGGGCGGCGACAGGATCGCAAAGACAGAAGCCGCCGCAACAGTCCCAAGCTTCTGTCGCAAGGATGGGAAAAGGTCGGTTTCACCAATCTACTCTATCTACTGACCTGCAACGCTAACGGATACTCTTTGATATGATCAGGCACGGACAAGTTATATGTACGAGAGATGCCCGTTCAAGAATCTGCTCTTCGCTCTCCGCGCTCTATCTCTTATCGTATCGCGCTTGACTGACCAGATGACTCGCATAGATCACACATTCGGAGTGGGCATCGGAAGATGCATTCTCCGCCAGCGCTGGAGCTGGCGTGGGTAGAGCGAAAAGAGGAGGGGTGGATACCGCGTTCAAACGCCTTCCATTCAACTTTTGTTCCCTCTCGCTACAACCGTTTTCGCACCCCGTGTGCACCCCGACGGGGGCGATCTTCGACCTTACAAACATTCTCCCGTGGATCAAGAAACACGGGACAAATCCGGTGAATGGCACGCCCCTCAAAACCTCCGATCTCATCAAGCTACATCTCGCAAAGAACGAGTCCGGGGAGTATGTCGACCCCGTCACGTATAAGGTTTTCACGGATAATACGCACATTGTCGCGCTGCGGAATACGGGGAATGTCTTTGCCTGGGATACAGTCGAGCGGTTGAATATTAAGGGGAAGCTGTGGCGGGATCTGGTGACGGATGAGGAGTTCACTCGGAAAGATATCATTACCTTGCAGGACCCGCAGAACATCGAGTCGCGGAACTTGAGCTCATTCAACTATCTGAAAGAGGGAGAGAGTGGATTGACCGACGAACAGATCCGGGAGAGAGAGGACCCTTCGAATAACGTCAACGTCAATGCGCTGGGAAGCTCGGCGAAGATTCTGAAGGCAAAGGAGGCTGTGGCCAAAGCTCGTGCAGAGAGAGCCCAACGTGTTGGAACCGCAGCCACATCAAAGGAATTATCCAAGACTGGAATCGCTGGAAGTGCGGCACAGGCTCAGAAGAAGGTGTCGCTCCAATCTGGCAAGGCTATTCCATACAATGCGGCCAGACACACTACTGGTTTGGCGGCCGCCTCATTCACCAGCACCGGGATGACGCCCCACACCTCTGCCGAGCTCGCGCTTTTGTCCGACGAAGAGTACATGCTGAAGAGAGGACGAGTGAAGCAAAAGGGCTATGCGCGCATTTCGACTACCGCCGGGGATGTCAACCTGGAATTGCACACTGAATACGCGCCCAAGGCCGTGTGGAACTTTATAAAACTTGCCAAGAAAGGCTACTACAAAGATGTCACTTTCCATCGCAACATCCGGGGATTCATGATCCAGGGTGGTGACCCCTCTGGCACCGGGAGGGGCGGCGAAAGTATCTGGGGAAAGTACTTTAACGATGAGTTCGAAGGACCACTGAAACACGACTCGCGGGGGACCCTCAGCATGGCCAACAAAGGCAAGAATACGAATAGCAGTCAATTGTAAGTTTCTATGGTCGAGTCGAGGCGACGCCCGCGCTAACCACGCCCCCTGACTAGCTTTATCGCTTATCGTGCCCTGCCCCATTTGAACAACAAGCACACCATTTTCGGTCATGTCATTGATGATCCCACTCCCTCCTCCCCGACCTTGAACAACCTTGAAATGCACCCGACTAACCCGACTACTAATCGACCTACCCCCGATGTTCGCATCATCGATGTTACGGTGTTTGTGGACCCATTTGAGGAATTTCTGAAGCAAAAACAGACAGAGGAGGCGAAGGCGAAGGGCCAGCTTGTCAACCCCGAGGAAGAAGAGCAGAATGCGCGTCGCGCCGAGGACGACCGGATCACCTGGACTGGCAAGAGGGTTCGTGGCTCGGGGCAGGGAACGACGGAAGAAGGATCCAGCGGGGTAGGAAAATACCTGAAAGCAGCACTGGCTGAGAGGGCCGGCCAAGAGGAAGACGAGATAGTCGAGTTCGTGGATGAGGAGCCCGAACCTGAGCCCATGAGGAAAAAATTCAAGGGTGGCGGTGGGTTTGGTGATTTCAGCTCCTGGGACTAGCCCGGGGGCACTTTTCTCTTTGCCCCTGCATTCTGTGTATCAATTGGGGGGTTAGATCAAGGGTCATACATACAATCAGGCGTTGACTGCCAAATCATTGGGGGCGGGTCCATGCTGTTGGGATAATGTACTACTATAGTATGTAATTGGAGACTAGGATTCTGCTGTCGAGTAGGACGGACAATGGATTTGGATCAACAAGAATCAAATCAATGAGGAGATCTGAGGCTGTGGTGATGCCGAGGATGATGATTATGAATCTGAAGGTGCATCGTCATTGACTGGGGCAGCGACTCCACCGGATTCCAGGGTCACGTTGCGAGGCGATTGACCGCCTCCGAAAATAGCCCGGGCAGCTTCAGTTGGAACTTGGTAGCGGCGGATGGTTCGCTCTGAGTCTGCCGGGCTAATTAATACGAGCGGGAGTCCGACTCCGTAGTAATAATAAAGGCCCATCCGAGCCCGCCTCACTGACCACCACGGACCACCGCCAACCACTGCTCCCTCCACTCCATACCACCTTCCATCCACACCCCCATCCCCCTCCCCTTCATCGCCATACCGTTGCGCCCCTATTTCAACCACCCTATCCTCTTCGCCGTACGAGCTTCCTGTCCCCAACCTTCTATCCCCGTGAGTGTCTTTGGTTCCTTCTGCACCCGCGCCCCCCGTGGTCGCTTTGTAACCATGTTCCTTTGCCCCCCGCCCGTCCGGCGCGCAGTGGGGTGGACTTGCATGAGAGCTCAGGACGCTTGCTATAACGTGCCGTTTTAGCTCCTCTTTACCTCCCCGTCATGAGTGATATCTACTTTGGAATAATCCTGGTGCCCAAATACAATAAACCCCTGTCCGCGTTTTGCCGGCAGAAGTTGTATATAGTCCGTGGCATGCATCCGGCGCTGGCGGACCACCAATGTCACTGGCCGTCGGCATTGCTGGCTGGATGTCATCGGGATCATCCATCATCGTGTGCAGCTGGAAACCTGGTCTTGAGTGGATCGAGTCGCTGACCTCGCCCCGTCTTTCCAGCTAGATCTCCTTGCCTCCGCCGCAATTCGCATCCTACGTCAGTCCCCCCGGCGGCACTCGTTCTTTGCCCCCCACGCGCCGCCGCCCGCCGCCCCCTCCGCACTCGCTCGGACTCCGGACCTGGTTTCATACCACAGACCCATAAACCACAATCAAGCTGGCAGGGAATAAGCGGAGAAGTTTTTCTAGCCAGGGTGGGTTGCTGAACAGAATGTTCAGTGGCTCCTCGAGCCCACCCAAAGATAGAAACGATTCCATCCCCCGTTCCGGCGCCATTGACACGCCTCCCCTCAGCATCCCCACCGAGGAACCCGGCGTCAACCAAAAGAAATTCTCGCCCCCGGGCGGTTTTTTCACACGGAGGACCAGTGAAGATCAGAGCTCAGGCGGCGAGAAGAAGCGCCGGAGTAGCACCGTCACCAAAGCGGCGTCCTTCTTCACCAGCGCTAAGAACTCCTTGAGCCTCTCGAGTAGTCCGCGCGAGCACTCCTTCAACAACTACACCATCCAGGAACAGCCTGCCGTGCACAAATTTGGGAGCATGGACCCGGCTTTGACTGTTCCCCAAGGGTCGTTGAACAACTCGGCTGGTGAATCCTTCCCCACCCCTCTTTCCTCGTTCAAAGTTGGCGTGACCGAGGACCGGAATCGAAAATGTCGCCGGACAATGGAAGACACTCATGCCTATCTGTACAATTTCTTGGGGGATCCCGCACCGGTACCCCCTGTTGAGAAGAAGAACGGCAAGTCCCTATCCTCGGATGAGAACAGCAGCAAGTCCCTACCGAGCCCGGCTGCTCCCTCGCCCACCTCGCAAGGACCAGGTGGCGTTGTGGAAACGGACAACGGCTATTTTGCCATCTTCGATGGACATGCAGGGACCTTTGCGGCGGAATGGTGTGGGAAAAAGCTGCATCTGATCCTGGAAGATGTCATGCGCAAGCATCCCAACAAACCTGTTCCGGAACTCCTGGATGAAACATTTACTACCGTGGATCAGCAGCTGGAGAGACTGCCTCTGAAGAATAGCGGTTGCACCGCAGTCATTGCCCTCCTAAGATGGGAAGACCGTATACCCAGCGTCCAAGCCACGTTGCTGTCGCCTCCCCACGCCCCCGCTGCCACTGCTCCCTCGAAGGATGAAGCCGATTCGGATTCTGGCGACACACCTACCCAGGCCGCCATGTCTAGTGAGTCATCATCTAGCCTTCTCAAATTGCAGGACAAACCCATCCGTCAGCGTGTCCTCTACACTGCCAATGTTGGAGATGCCCGTATTATCCTGTGCCGCGGCGGCAAAGCACTCCGCCTGTCTTACGATCACAAGGGTAGCGATGAAAATGAGGGGAAACGGATAGCCAATGCGGGAGGACTAATACTGAACAATCGAGTTAATGGGGTCCTCGCGGTAACGAGAGCCCTGGGTGATGCCTATCTCAAGGATCTTGTGACCGGACATCCGTACACCACCGAAACGCTGATTCAGCCCGACTCGGACGAGTTTATCATCCTTGCCTGTGATGGTGTAAGTTGAGGTGTCATCACTGTTATGCCTATGACCATTCATGCTAACGAGACCACTAGCTCTGGGATGTGTGCAGCGACCAGGAAGCGGTAGATCTTGTCCGTAACGTGCATGATGCTCAGGATGCCTCCAAGATTCTGGTCGATCATGCTCTTGCACGGTTTAGCACCGACAACCTGTCCTGCATGGTGATCCGCTTCGATCTCGACCGGGTCAGGAAGGTCGTCAACCGGACGGTGGAGTCCACCAAACCCCGCGGCGTTGATGGAGATCCCGCCAAGAATGGGGACCGCGGTATGAGCGAGGCCGACCAGATCATTGAAGGAGCCCGGAAGAGCATGGCCAGTGCTGGAATTGCCGATGATCCGGTGACGGCCGAAAAGGTTCAGGGTGAGATGCTACAGAAGATGTCCAATGATGAGGCTGGGCCGGAGCTGTCCGTCAACGAACACAGCCATGAGCAGGTTGTGAACAATTTGAAGACGCCAGAACCAAAGAACCCGAGTTCTTGAGCATTAGAATAGGGACTTAAAGGAACCTTAGTGTGTTATTCTGCCACGGGAGATAGAAAGACCGAGGCTACAATCCTGGCCTAGGTCCAGACCAATGGAGTTTCGCTGCCTTTTCTTGTCCTCTTCCTTCTCCCCGTTTCCATACACCAGTTACTCTTCCAGATCTTGTCGCTGGCGTTGATCGCGGACTGCACATCACGTCCTTTCGCGGGACTTTTGTCTCAATCTCATCATGTCTTTACTTTTTCTTCTGAACTAGGAACCGGGTCTTTCATCCCGCACTCGGCCCTCTTTTCTTTTTGTTTCTATCTTTCTTCCCCCCGGACATTGATTTTTCTTTTATCACTTTCGCCGTCGTCTACATGCACCATCCGCCCTCGTTCGGGGATTTCTTCGATTCACCTCGGCTGGTGGGAACTCTTGTATCCTACATGGTGATGTAACTTTGATCTGCAGGTCTGAAATTCAGCAGCATCCATACCATACGCTACTACTACATCGCCGCAGACATTTACCAATCAATGGATCAATCGATCGATCAATCAATCAATGAATACTTCGTGGTGCGCAACTCACAAGCGAGAAAGAAATCCAAGTCAATAAGGTTTAAATTGGGTGTGGTCTGCTCAAACGCCATTGCATCAATTCCACAAAAAGGACGATGGATGATGAATCGTAGTAAACGTAAAAATACAATGTATATCAAATCACGGAAGGGAAACAGGTAGGCAAGGCAAGGCAAGGCAATCTTGGCGAGAATATGTATAAGATGTGGTAGTTACACCGGGGGGGAAACCCGACGTACAGTACAATACACGGCACGACATGGGCACGAGACGACACCTCGCTGCCCTTTTTTAGTTCTCGGCGGGCTTCTCCTCGGTAGGCTTGGCCTCGGTCGAGTTCTTCTCCTTGAACTCATCGGACACGATGATGTTGGCGTCGTACTTCTTGGACGGACCGGGCATGACGTGGTCGCGGCTCAGATCCAACTCGCCGTGACGGACGCGGTCCGTCCATTTCTCGGCCAGCCGGGCATCGTGGATATCCCGCCAGAGAATCTTCACCTGGTCGTCGGCCAGCGTGGCGGTGTTCTCGGTCGATTCCTGGATCTTGTACTCAACCTGGGAGTTGCTCATGAGGCGTTCGAGATCGGCCACCCGTGCAGCCTGCGCCACGGCAACCTCCTGCTCGTGGATGCGAGCCGCCCTGCGGCGCTTTCTCGCCGTGGGGGTCAAGTAACCTCTCTTTCCGTCGGCAAAGCCGTTCTTGATCTCCTCCTCCTGGATCTCCAGGACGGCTGCGATATCGGCCACACTGGTGGCCTTCTGATCCATCACGGCCCGAGCGCGGTGTTTCTTCGGCATCTTGTTCCCGATCTGCTTCTCGTACTTTTCAAGGAACTTCTTGGCGCCTTCGGGATCGCGGGGACAACTCCGATCGATCCATTCTTGCGTGATCGTGATCATCTCCCGGGGCGGGGATAGTTGACGCTGCGCCGAGAATTCGCGGAGCAAGTGGTACGCCCGCAGTCCGATCTTGCTATCGTTGAAGTGCACCGAGTAAAAGGGAACCCACATGTCCTTGCGGAGACGTGCGGGGACGGTCTTCTTGCCATGGTATATCATTTGCTTTAAGGTGTTCATCATCTACAGACCGACAGTCCGTATTAGCCGGGGGTACATGAACCCAATTGGACGAGTTGAGCGTAGCGACGGGGCAGGGGGGTGGAAGACACTCACTTCCAGATACCGTGTCAGTGAATAGACGACTTGGTTTGTGCGAAGGTTGTGGTAGGCGAAGATGTTCTTGCCATGGGTCATGGCCTTCAAGGCCTTCCGTAACCGGGTGCCCTCCTTGGCCTGGTGTTCCTTGAAGGCATTGGAGTTCTGCTCCCGCGGCTTGCCCTGGATGATGCTGTGGTTCTCAATTGGTGGGCGACGGACGATGTTCCAGGTCCCGATCTTGGTCGGGTCCAGGATCTTCTGGAAGGGTTTCCTCGACACCGATTGCGAGGCCATTGCGGCCGGGTGTGTGCTGGTCGGGCTGCGCGAGACCGACGCTGCAGACGGGCTGGAACTGGCGAGGGCAATAGAGCGAGCGTCACTCTATTTACCGAAGGGCCCAGATCCGAAGAAAAGGGAGAGGAGGAATGGTTTGGGGGGAGGGAGAAAGGGTGGTGGTGGGTGGTGGCCGGGGAAATAACGGGTGGGAAGCTACGAAAGCCTGAGCGAGAGGAAGAACAAGAAAGCGGCGGATCAATTTTTCGACGGGGATCCCGAACGAACGAACGATCGGGTTGAGGAAACACATTCCGCCTGCTCCTCCGCAATTCCACCACTTCACTTCACGCTTCACCCACCACCACTCACCACCACCAACCTTCGCGACTGATCGATCGATTCCCAACAATTTGTTTCCAGACCGATCGGACATTGCAACCCCCCCCCCATTGATCCCACTCCCTAGGATGACCCGACCACTCCGGCGGGCGCAGTGCGACAGCTAAGCTTCCCCCTCGACTGCCCGCCGTCATGACGCTGTCGGCGACCGCCTGGAGGGTTTGGAATAACGACGACGACGCTACCGCCAGTCGTCGTGAGAGACCTGGCTTGTTTCTTCCAGTACCGCTTCCTCCTCTCCCCGTCGCTCGCGGAAATGTCCCATTGAAGCTACCGGGCAGCTGACGAGTTCGCGCAGAATCGCAAGCTTCGACATCTGCAGGGCATCTCTGTCCGGAATCTCGTCGTCAGCCCCCCGACCCGACCTCGCGGGAAAACCATCGACGACGAAGATGTGCCCAACTCGCTACATACGCCGTTGAAGTCGCTCGCTGAGGAGACGGACAAACCCTTACACCAATCGCGCTCCTTCACCGATCTCAAGTCCTCCGCAGCCGGCGAGGGCCGTCCCGGGAGAGAGCAGCCACCCCCGTTGCGACAATGGCACAGAAGGAACACGTTACCTTGGAATGCCCCTGATCCGCGCACGCGGCAAGTGAAGCTGGAGGAGATTACAAGCAGCCGCATGGCCGATACCTGGTTTTCGATCCATTGCGACGGGGTTGATGAGCCGGTCTACGTGAGTGAGGTGGTCGATCATGCCACCAATCCTAGCTTTCGAAATTTCGATCTGAACATGTGCGGCCCGTTGGTCTCTCGCATGGATCAGGTCACTGTGAGGGTCTGGGCTCGGACCGCCGCCATGGAGGAGTACCTATTACTGGTCGAGTTGCAATTGTGTCTGCAGTCATTACAGTTTCTGGGCAAGTCGCTCGATAGCTTCCACCAACCTCTTCCGTCCAACTCTATTCTGTTCCACTTCGCAGATGGCGTTTATACGAATTTGACCGATATCCCCCCGGTTGTGACTCCTTTGCCCGCTCGACACCCCCGATCGGCCGATGGGGCTACGGTCCCGACCTCGTCATACGATGCGCTGATGCGATTGGCCAACTTGGATGAGTGCATTCAGGATGCGCTCACGACCCGAGACAAGCTGGAGTCGCAGATTAGCTCGATATTGGAACAGAACCAGCATGCTCTGGCCACGACCAGTGATGCTTCCCGGGCCCGCGATAAGCTTGCGCTCACCAAGCATGCGGTTACGACGGAGCGGAAGCAGCTTCGCGCTGCAGCCAAGCGGAAAGAAGAAATGATCGTTAGTATCCGAGCGAGACGAGAAGCCATGGAGCGTGGGCGCCAGACGCAAGCCAAGGCGCGCAGTCACCTACCCGATGCGCAGGTAAAATTGGGCTCGAGTGTGAAGTTGCTGGAGCAGAACACGGACGAAGGCAAGGGTCAGATCCGACGGATTGCGGAGGACCTCCTTGCGATCTACCCCATTGAGCCGATTCCTGACAAGCCACTGGCTTTCACCATCGCCGGACTGGCCTTGCCCAACTCGAACTTTACCGATGTCGACCGCGAAGCCGTTGCAGCAGCGCTGGGATTTACCGCGCATCTGGTGTACCTGCTGTCCTTCTACCTTTCCATCCCCCTGCCGTATCCCATCAATCCTTATCTATCGAACACGCTGATCCAGGACCCGGTGTCTGCCTCGCTGCCGCAGCGGACGTACCCGCTCTACCCGGTGAATGTGCAGTACCGGTTCGAGTACGGAGTATTTCTGCTGAACAAGAACATTGAGTTCCTGCTGAACAAACAAGGCCTGCGGGTGCTCGACATCCGGCATACGTTGCCTAACCTGAAGTACCTGCTGTATGTGCTCACGGCCGGGACGTCGGAAATCCCTTCGCGCAAAGCTGGGGGCATCCGGGGTCTCCTCCCCGGACGGTTGACTCCGAGCCTGTCACGGCGGGGAAGCGAGGCTAGCAGCATGAATGGCGAGGTGGTGTTGGCTCGCAAGGTGCTGGGACCGGCATCGAAAGCGAACGGGGAGATGGCGCCCGATAAAGGCAAGCGAGCCATGTCTAGCTTTGCCGACGCGGCGTCGTCGGTGGCCTGAACGCCAGTTTCCCCGGATATGATTGAGCTATGATTGAGCGTTGTGATTTGCTGACGCATGACAGGATCATGTTGTGAATCTGCGTTTGTGTGATTTGGTTTCCCCCCCGTGTAAAGCATTGTAGGCCATGTTTGGAGTAGAGCGTGTGTTGGTGTTCTATTTCTCCCATTCTCTTTTTCTCTTGCCTGTGTGTGTCTGGCCGCACCGTCGAGTGGAGTCCTAGGCCTACTAGCTTCTATCTCCTTCTTCCTCCTCTCGCCCGCTTATCGGGCTAATTTCCTGGTACTCCGACGGAGGCTCGGGTTGTCCGTGTACATGGCTTTCTCGAACCCACCGCGAATCGAGTTCTGCTTGGCTGTAGGCAGACACCGCGCGTGTTAGCGGAACGAGCAGAACCCACTGACCGCGGGAAACATGCTTCAATTTGAATGCTAGGCGAGTAGATGGGGAGGGAAGTGGATGGGGGGGGGTGGGATGGTCGGACGGAGGTACAACCGGGGCAGCGGTGGAGGAATCCGCAGGCGCGTTGATAACCAAACCCAGTCTTGGACCAGCGGATGCAAGGGAAGGGCATCATCCATCCATCGTCCGTCCGCTGGGAATGAGCGATCGGAATGATCACAGTTCCAAGGCGTGAATGCGAAAGGCTACCCCGCATTTAGCACCTGACGAGAAACTGGAGTGAACGCGGTCAGTTCTTCTCTGGTTTGATTTGATTTGATTTGATTTGAATTTTTATTATTATTTTGTTTTGGGTCTGGTTTGGCGGGATGAGAGGGCTGTGATCCTTTCCTTCGTCTTCGTCCCTCTCCCCATCCTCCTCCTCCACCACCACTCCTCTCCAGTCCACCTCCAGACGACCGACTGTCTAGTCGGTTTTTCCTCCCCGATAGTTGCTGCCTAGGCACCCGCGGAGAAGAAGAAAAGCCGGAAGACGCCCGAACCCGCGACGAGCCGGTGCCTGGCTTCTGGTTCTTTCCCGCCCAAAAAATCCCCCCCACCGCTTTCTCTCGCTTTGCATCGGCAAGTCTGAATCCACTCAACGAGATCATGATGGCTGCGCCTGCGAACAACGGCCAGCAGGAGGGTCCCCCCGTCTATGGCCCCCCGTCCCGGGCGCCGAAGTCGCCGTCACCGTCGCCGTCGCACCAGGCCCAGCAGCCCCAGCATCGTCGCGGCTACCAGGCCTGCGACCCATGCCGCAAGCGCAAGGTCAAGTGCGACCTTGGCAGTATGAAACCCTCCTCCCTACTGGATTCCTGGGCTCCTCCCCGGCGCTCCCCTGAATGCTAATTCGTCCCCACAGGTGTCGATAATCCCCGTCCGCCCCCCTGCGTGCGATGTCGCCGCGAGAGCAAGCGCTGCGAGTTCTCCGCCACCAGGCGGAAGCGCAAGCCCTCGGAGGTTGAGGAACCCGCCGAGGGTACCCTGCGCCGCGATAAGCGGATGATGGTCGGGGAGGTCATCTCCAATAACGGGTCCGTTAGCGATGGAGGCTCCTCCTATGCGCCGCCAGAGCGCACTTCCTCCTTCGATAACAGCTCCAGTCTGCCGCGCCCCAAATGGGCCGACGAGTCGCCGGCGGCCACCACCCAGCTCCCCTCGTCGTCAACCACCAGCCAACGCTTCACTTCCACCCAGGCGTCGTCGACCACGGCTCAGTTCTCTGAACCCCGGAGCACGCGACTGCCCCTGTACACGGCCGCGGAGCGGAGCCATGGCCCCAGCTTTAGTCTCGAGGGCGGCCAGCCAATGATGAACCGCACCGCCGTCGAGCTGCTGTCACCGGCGATCAGTAACAGTCATGATGCCCTGCATCTTTTGTCCGAGGCGGCGGGTCGGACCGAGGACCTGAACCGCCAGAGCCTCGAGAACCGGTATGCCGCTCGCCAGTCGGTGTCCTCGTTCAATTCGCCCATGTCTCCCCTCACCCAGGCAGGCACCCCCCGAAGCGGAGGCGGGTCGTTCTCCAGACCTCCCCGCCCCGGCACTGGGCCCGGGGGAAATTACTATCAAGCCGGTGGATCGGGATCGGCTGACTCGCAGCTTCCGGATGGTCGGGGGCAGGCAGACTCGGGCGAGACTGCGCAAGACCCGGGATATGTGGATGCGGTCAAGGCATGGTCGCGACTACGGTTTGTTCGCGCGGGGTGGTTGTCGGTCGAAGAAGCCATGGCTTATGTGGCATAGTAGGTATCTTCCCTGCTCTCGAGGTGCGTCTTGCTGACTGTGGTCCAGTTACTACGAGCATCTCGCTCCGCTCAGTCCTATAGTCATTCCGGACTTTTCTAACCCGTCAACCCATCGGACTTTGCTGACGGATGAGCCGGTGCTCGCCGTGACAATACTCACGACTGCATCCCGGCATAGGAAGCCCAAGGGCGACGGAGCGTACACGCGGGCCTTCTACATCCATGATCGGCTCTGGTCATACCTCCGCGGTATGATCGAGCGTCTCTTCTGGGGCCAAGAGAAGTTCGGTGGAACCGGTATGGGAATCAGCAAGCCTCGGTCGTTTGATCTCGCGCCCACCTCGTCGAAAGTGAGCCACAAGGGCAATTTGCGATCGCTGGGAACCATCGAGGCACTGCTTATCCTGACTGACTGGCATCCTCGGAACCTACACTTCCCCCCGGGCGATGACGAGAACGCTTTGCTAGATTTGGACGCCCAAGCGCAGAGTCGGTACGAGAGAGAGCTGGAAACGGACGCGGAGAGCGCTGCCAGCCGCGTCCCGAACAGTGCAGCCGAAGGGAGACTGGCCTTCCAGAAGTGGCTTGAGCCAGCCTGGCGATCGGACCGGATGTCGTGGATGCTGCTGAGTACCGCCCAGGCGTTGGCATTCGAGCTGGGCGTGTTCGACCAGAAGAACGATGCCAAGGCTGCCAGCGAACCCCCGTCCGAGCAGACGCGGAAACGTCGTCTCCGGCGTCTGATTTTGGTGTACATCACGCAGAGCAGTGGTCGACTGGGGATCCCGTCGATGCTGCCGCTGCCCCAGTGGACCAATGACATTCAGCCGACCTCGGTGACGGGCGCCAAGGGAAGCGATACGATCGTCGACCGGATGCACGATTGCTGGATCGGGATTTCCAAGATCATGTACCAAAGCAACCAGCTCTTGTTTGCGTCGAGCGAACAGACCTCGGAGCTCATCCGGAGTGGCCGCTACCGCGACCAGATCGACCGGTTCCAGCCATTTTTACGAGAGTGGCGGCATAACATCGACACCATTGATTGTAAGCATTTTTCTATTCGATACGGTTCTGGCTAGCTGCTGATTGATTCCCAGTGGCTCCCTCGATGAGGTGTCTCTTACTGATTGAGTATGAGTATACGCGTACGTGGCTGACGCCCACTACTAGATGCTGAAACTGACATTACCAGGACTCTACGTCAACTCGTTGGCCTTACAGGCGGTGGTGGATCGCTGGACGACGATGTCGAACGAGGCGGCCCAGGCTCAGAGCGCACGGCCAAGCTCGGGTCCGTCCTCGGGTACCGGGTGGTTCCATGTGCTCATGGAGTTGTATCGTGTCAATGAGCAGTACATCCAGGAGGTAGTGGATGCATCCCGCAAGATCCTGCAGACCGTGCTCGAGATCCTTGTCCCACGCGATCACCTCAAGCATGCCCCCGTCAGGACGTGCTTTCGCATTCTGTCGGGAATGATCTTCATTCTCAAGGTATGAGCAGCCTGTGTCCCAATGGTGGTGGCTCTGCTAACGGTGTCAGACCTTTACACTCGGCGCGAAAGAAGACGATGTGCGGGTATCGCTGGATCTCCAGGACCGCACGATCGAAGCCCTGAAGACGTGTGTGGTCGACGATGTGCACCTGAACCATGCGATCGCGCGGCTGCTGGAGTTGCTGACGACGAGCATCCGCACGCGATTTCTGCGATTTGCCCCGTTGGACCGTAGTGGTGATGGCGAACAGGACCGCCCCTCTGCGCCGGTCTCCCGGCATCCGTCTCCGCGTCCGCGCGAAGGGCCACAAACCCGCCGAGAAGGGTCAAGCCATGCTTGGACCCCGACGCAGAGTGCCACGCAGAACCTGGGATATGTAGACAGCAACGGGCCGGCCGGGGCCAGCCTGGCTTCCTCCGTTCACGACCCGCTGGCGGGCATCCCGGCGCAGCCGATCAACTCGTCCAACATCAACGTGTCCTTCATGCCTCCGCCGCCGTCCGTCTACTACAACTACTACGACCCCAGCGCGACGCCGCCGGCAGGGGAGCTGGATGGGACGAGCGTGCCGTCGCAGTCGATGCACGACAACCCGGGGGCGTCTGGCGGGCTTCCGGACTGGTTTGCGCTGCCGCTGGACCAGTTCTTCAATAGCTCTACCGCGGTGGTGGATCAGGGACTCGGGGGTACGGGGCCCATGGTGGGCGAGTTCGACATGCTGGAGGTGCTTCTGAACGAGCAGTATGACGGTCATGGCGAGGGTGGCGAGGCGGCAGGCGGCGGACCCCTTCCGACGCAATTCCTGCCGTCGTGATGGAACGGCCGGATGATGAATGTACGAATTGATGCGTAGTGTGTTTCTTCTGGTTTCTTCGCTGTTCGATTTCTCTTTTCCTCCGCTGGGCTCCCGGGTGGCTGTTAGACGTGTATTGGCTCGCGGGCGCCGGGCACCGCCGGAGTGCGCCATTTCTGGTCCCTTCTCTGTATCGCGAGCCCCGGTGTTGGTGGAGAGGCAGTTGTCTTGGCCATCCAACAGCAGCGACGGTCGGTCATTTGCTCCTACAACCTGCAGAATCCTTTGAGGGGGGATTCGGTCAAGCCCGACCGGTCAGGGACCGGACCACGACCGGGGCTCCTTTAGGGTCACGATAAGCCAAAGTCTCATGGTGACATCGGGGGAAATTTAGTCGGCCTGACAATCTGCAGCTGGTGATAACACCTTCGTGCGCTCGTGTGACTGGCGGCTGACAGCTCCACCACGACAGGAACCCCGACGGACCCTGCGCGATCGGCGGTGGAGCGCAATCAATCGATCCGCGCCTAAGATATCTACCCTTCGGTCTTCACCACCTCGCCGAATGGCGATCGGCCCCTTCCCCCCCCCACGGTCGAATGAGGACGCCGGTGGCCCTGGACCGTTAGCCTCTTGTCCCAACCAAGCAATCTGCTCTCCCCGCTTAGGCAGGGTCCGACGCCTTGTGTCTTACTCGTCGGCTGGCTTGGCAATGGCGAATATCCTCACGGCCAGCGGCGGGCACGGAATTGCACGGACGAGGAGGGGGATCTTCGTGGACTAGGCCTGGAAGAGGCATACATCCTTTCGCCAGGACGGCCACGATGAGGAGACACTGAGACATTTCGCCGGGAAGAGCATAGTCGACTTGGGGATGGATGAGTCTATATCGAAGACTGTCGACCGGAGTCAAAGGTATAAGAAGCCAGTTGCGCGACTCCCCTCCCCATTCCCCCTTCTCGCTCATCAACCAAGAGTCTGAGGCTTCCTTGTCTGTTCCGATCCAGCTCCCCCAAACGCTCTTGCTTGAACTCCCCCACCCGTGGTCACAATGGTCGTCATCAGCAAAGCCACTGCCCTGGCCCTGGGCCTGTCGAGCGCTGCCGTCGCAGCGCCCTTGACCCCGGCCCGCAAGAACTTCTCGGTTCAGCAGATCGCCAACAGGACGCGCACCGTCAACCTGCCTGCCCTGTACGCTCGCGCCCTGACCAAGTACGGCGCCACCGTGCCCGCGAGCGTCAAGGCCGCCGCCAGCGAGGGCAGTGTCACGACCACCCCCCAGTCCGACGACACTGAGTACCTGACCCCCGTCACTGTCGGAGACTCCACGCTCAACCTGGACTTTGACACCGGCTCTGCGGACCTGTAAGTCTCCTAGCAATGTGCGTTGCAGATGCCAGTCATCCACTGACACCATCCAGCTGGGTCTTCTCGTCCGAGCTGCCCTCCTCGGAGCGGACCGGCCACAGCCTGTACACCCCCAGCTCCAGCGCGACCAAGCTGAGCGGCTACTCTTGGGACATCTCCTACGGCGATGGCAGCTCGGCCAGCGGCAACGTCTACCGGGACACTGTCACCGTGGGCTCGGTCTCGACTAACCAGCAGGCCGTCGAAGCCGCCAGCTCGGTCAGCTCCGAGTTCGTCCAGGACACCGCCAACGACGGTCTTCTGGGCCTGGCCTTCAGCTCCATCAACACGGGTAGGTCGCATCGATCTCCTGCATTTCCGTCTCCTAACCGCGTCCAGTCTCGCCCGAGCCCCAGACCACCTTCTTCGACACCGTCAAGTCGCAGCTCGACTCTCCCCTCTTTGCTGCGTACCTGAGGTACCACGAGGCCGGTGTCTATGACTTTGGCTTCATCGATGACTCCAAGTACACCGGCTCCATCACCTACGTGGACGCCGACAGCTCCGAGGGTTACTGGGGCTTCAGCACCAACGGCTATGCCGTCGGTGACAACGACGCCAACTCCAACGGCTTCAGCGCCATTGCTGGTCCGCTGCTCTCCTGCCCCATCGTCTCCGGCCTTCACTGACCCGTCTACAGACACCGGCACCACCCTCATCCTCCTCGACGACGACGTCGTCTCCGACTACTACAGCCAGGTCTCCGGCGCTCAGAACAGCTACTCGGAGGGTGGCTACGTCTTCTCTTGCAATGCCGACCTCCCCGACTTCACCGTCGTGATCGGCGACTACAACGCCGTCGTCCCCGGCAAGTACATCAACTACGCTCCTATCGAGACCGGCAGCTCCACCTGCTTCGGCGGTATCCAGAGCAACAGCGGTATTGGTCTGTCCATTCTGGGTGACGTCTTCCTGAAGAGCCAGTACGTTGTGTTCAGCTCCGAGGGACCCCAGCTTGGCTTTGCCGCCCAGGCTTAGATGCAATGATCCTTGTACATAGGAAGGTCGTGATGGCTGGCCGTGATGATTGGTCCTGGTTAATCCGGTACCGACTGATGGATGACGGATGAGGAATGTGAATAGCAGACGATGACAGTACATATGATGAATTCCATGAAAATTGATTTTGGATCTACTTCCCCCAACTAGATAAATAAAGTCAACACATTTAGCCTCGGCCCCACGCCAAAGAAAAAAGCCGTTCGCGAATTGCGGCAACGATCATCCCCATGACCAATCCTATCCCACCCTACTCCGTACCGAAAAAAGCAAACACCAATCCAAACCTTAATGCTCTTTAGTATTCCTCCTATCAGAAAAAAAATCCGCCCATCGCAAGATATCTCATAACCACCAGTAAGAAAAACGATCAACAATAGTCACCGTTGATGCTTGAATCCAACCTTACCCATTCTCCCTCCCCATCATCCTACCTACTAGTCGTTAGATATATAGCACACATTGATCACCCACCCTCACATCGGTGAATAGTAGTGATAATCATCGCCCCGAGGAGCTCAAGTACAGTGCCTAGTAGTCCTAGCCCTACTGACTTTATCTAGTATTTGTAACGATTACTTGGTGCTTGTGATACTTAGTTGTGTGAATATATATAATGTCGTATGGATGTAGGTATGGATAGACTCTGTAGGTTCGTAATAGTACTATCACTCAATACTTACTACTAAGTCGGGTTACTGTGTCATATATATATATTATTGAAGTATTAGTATAACTTCCATATTGGGGAACTCACTAGATGAGTTGTGATACTACTAGTACTAGTACTTACAGTAGTAGTAGGTAAGATTAAGTGAACCAGATAGAGGGAAGGAAGGTATTAAGATCATAGTGTTCTGTCACATGTGTACAGTACCTAGCTGACAGCTGTTGTATCAGGTGAGAGACGGGAGATGGGATTTTGGTATCTTTTGAGTGGTTCTGCTTGGATGACTTTTACCGTTCCTAGGGTTCAGGGACTAGGTATGTTTGGAGATCAGTATTGTTGGTATTTTAGACGATGGTATTTGTTCTTCCAGGTGATTAGTATCCAGGGAAGAAGGACTGATTTGATTCATGTGAGAAACTGAAATCTCTTGGGGTTGTGACAGGCCATTGACTTGCATCTTACTCGCACTCTCATTCCATATTAACTTATAGACAACAATTGACCCATGTATAGTCCTGGTATGTAGAAAGGTATTTGAGAGGAGCTGTCATTCACATGTGGTATAATCCTACGCTGCCCTCGCATGGCACGCTATATATAACATCAAGCTCGCCGGCACTCCGAAATTGAAGATCCACCCGGGTATCCAAATACATACGCCAGATCATAACTCCTGTTTGTCTAGCCCCCAGATCTCCCAATGTTTCAGTACCTCCCATCCCACTCGCCGGACGCGTCGGCGCCAGATCCGACCATCGCGCAGCAATTGAGGAATGCAGGGATTGTTCCGACGGCTTCCTGTCGACTCCTCGCCCGGAGGTTGGCCACCGGCTCCCCGTTCCATCCCAGGAGTGTCGTCTTCGCGCATCCGTTTGCCGAGTAACGAGGGCGGAGGCCCATCTTTCTGCGACGGCACCATGGCCGTATGTCCGTTGGCCGGGGCGAGGGGAACATCAGCCGCTGGACTCTTCTCGCCGCTCACATTGGCCTCAGCACTGGTCGCACGGGAGCCCGTGGGCGTTTGGAGCTGGACGTGTCCGTGCGACTCTGACGGTTCGGACGGGACCGTATAGTAATCACCCAAGTGGAAGCCTTTTCGGCCGATGCCAATGATCTTCAGCCGGTGAAAGATTTGCTGATCTGCGAGAGACTCGCTAATCCTCGCGATTAGGATTTCATCGTCAGCATCTACGAGGTCAGAGATCGTCATGGCCGAGGCTAGCGGGTTGGCGGGCTGAGCAGAGGAGTACTTGAGCGACGTGGCAGGCGGAGCAGCACGGCCCGCCTCGGAGGACGTAGAGTTGGTCGGAACCAGCAGGCGCAGCGCTTTCAGGTTTCGGAGGAAAGGAAGTAGGAGCCCCAATGCTTCCAGGTCGGAAAACTCCGTGGAGAAGCCGAGCTGTTCCAATTGTGGGCTGGCGTGGACAAGGCGCGCCACCGTCGGTGCGGAGAGCGGCCAACGAGCGGGGAGTAAGAGGTGTCGTAAGGTAGCGGCGTGATTCATCGTAATATTGTTCAGGTAAAGATCCCTTATGCTGGCATACAAGTTGGGGGAATTGGCCGCAGCGCCTGCGGGACAGTTGGTAAAGGAGCCGTTACTGGTGGATCGGGAGAGGTCGGAGGCGGGGGGTGTGAGTGCGGTCGCGGAGGTTAGAGGTCGGGGGGAGTTGATGTCGTCGCTGGGATTGAGGGTGGCATTAACAAAGTATAAACGTTCCAGGCCGGTGAAACTATTAAGGAAATCGGCATGCTTCCGGGAGATGGCATCCTGCCGGATGCATTTGATGCGGAGGCGGAAGGCCGGCGTCGAGGGCCAAGTGTTGTCCACAAAGGTGTTCATCGCGAGCTCCGCTCCGCTGTTGTTGAGGATGGTCACCTCTTCGACGGTGCTATTATCGACGGCCCGATTGAAGTCTTCCGTGTGCAAAGCGTACAGGTTCTGGAGGCCAATCTTCCGGATCGAGAGCGGCTGTTTCGCCGCGAGGCACTTGCGGAAATAGTCGTGGACCATGACACTGGGCTCCTGCGCATTTCGCATCCGTGGGGACCAATGCATGTTGAGTTCCCGCAGCTTGCGGCACTTCCACAAGAGGGTCGAGATATCATCCGGATAGCAAAGGGGGTCGATGTCGGTGACTTTGAGGTATCGGAGGTGCGGCATGGCCGGGATCACGATCGTCGGCCGGGGATGGCGGCTCGAGGGGAATCGTAGAGTCAGTGCGGTTAGCTTGGGCAACCGTGCCAGCCCGAGATAGACGGTTTCCAGCATCTTAGTGTTGAGCTCCCAGCTGAAGCTTTCCAGCTCCGTCATCTTATCCACCGCCGCGCGTACCGCAATGTTCAGCATCATCGAGGAGTCAGGCACGCGGCCCACGCGCGCGTGCTCCTCCAGCTCGAGCTCCCGCCAGTTGCCCCGGAGCGTCAGCGACCGGACAAGTGTGGCATACGGTCGGGTGATAATGGCATTCAATCCCATCGAGAATGGGCTGGCACTACCCATGCCCTCGGGCTCCTCATCGCGATACCGGATCTTGTCATAAGAGGTCAAGGTGATGTGTTTGTAGAGCTGGGGAAGGGCCATGTAATTGAGGACGCGGCATGTTCGACAGAGACGGGCGAGATCCCCGGGCTCATCCACCTGCAGACACAGCGACGGGTCAGCGGTTGTATGAGCTCAATCACAGCAGCGTCGGGACGAACGTAAGAGACGATCACCGCGATTAAATTTAGCGGCAGGACCATCAGCGGTGCGCCCTGCGGGCGATCGGTGGTGACACTTGCGTCAAACATGTTCCGGTTGACAGCCGCCATGATGCGACGGCCAAGGACGATCCTGTCGCGGCATGGACTGGTGGACAGGCAGAAAGAATGGGAGGACACGCCACACGAGACATCTATCAGTGACGGAGGCTTGGTGGGATGCAGGCGAAGCAAGTTCGCATCCGAGGGGGGAAAGCTTGGAAGGAAGGATGGATGGATGGATGGATGGATGGGGGATCGGTTGTGAGCAAATTCCGCTGAGTCAGGCTCTGCCCCGGAGCTCTTTTCCTGACATTCACGATTGAGGCACGATCGACACCTCCGCCGCCCCCCATCGCAAGCCACGATAGACAGGTTTCGGGGCGCGGCCTTTGCTGGAAGATTCTAGATCGCGATGTGGTGCTCCACTCCCGCAGCTTCATCTGGTGCGACTCGCTGCCATCACGTGGTCCGGCCTGGACGCCAGCTCGTCCAAAGAACCTCTGCTTTGCACTCCTGCATCCCCGGTTGAGATGGCAAGCAAGGGCCATCGCTTCGATCTGGCAGATGCGATGCGAGGCGCTCGGCAATCCACGTGTTTCGGCCGGCTAGATGCTAGGAATCAGAGGCTGTCCACTGTTCCTATATCTAGCAATTCCTTTACACAATTGACAGGCAAGATGGGAATTTATGAGTGATTATCAATGACCAAGCCAACTGGACTCAGAATTCAGCGTGAACATCATGGTGCATAACCCTATCCAAGTTTATTTCCCCAGGACCCAATCGTAAACTGCGAATTGCACATGTTGGTCAACTCCCATGTTTCTGCCCCCAACACCGCCGGACTGCCCTCATCCTCCCAATCCCCCACTGCCCCAGCTACAAACATGGCCGCCATGAAATGGTCATCCGTGGCATGCGCATCCCGGTACTCTGGATGCTTCATCAACCGTGTCATAGCGCGTCGAAGGCGTGGTCCCGAGCTCTTCAGGATCACATCTTCCACGGCCTGACGGAATCCCAACGCCCACCCCTCAGGCGGCGTATCCATGGCAAAGTTGTCCCGGAAGCGCAGCATCGGGGCCCACCGATTCCGATACAGGTTGTGCACTGCGCCCCCGGTGCCAATGAGAAGGTAATTCTCCTTTCGGAGCTGGCGAAGCGCTGCCCCAACCTTCATATGATAATGGGGATCGTACCGGGCATTCAATGAGATAATCGACGTAGGCGGACAACCATTAGGGAACATCCGGATCAGGATGAGATAGACATCATGGATCCAGTCAAAGGTGTCGTTGCCGCTGACATTGAAGCCCTCCTTGGCTAGTAGATCGACACAGCGCCGCGCCGTCTTCAGATCTGGGTTGAGCCTGTAGTCCACGTACTTGGAGGGGTGCACGTATGCAACAGGACTCTTGTCGGGGTTTGGGTTCGTCGACACTTGGATTTGATCTCCGTAGCAGTCCCAATGAGCGCCCTGAGATCCAACCTTAGCACACGGGGACTGATTCACCCTCCGGATGATAAACCTACCATGATCACCACGCCCCGAATACCATGTGCCAGCGCCTCATCCCCACACTTCCGCCAGTAATCTGCAGAGGAAGACTCCTCCCCTAGCATCATAGTCGAGCCATGTGAGAAGAAATGTACCGGCGTTAACCCTGTCCGTCATTAGCATCGAAAACTTGCCTCTCAGCATCACCCTTTGTCGAAAATCCTTACCCATCCTTGCGACCTTCAGCGTGCACCAATATAATTCACAATGCCAATCACTTCAACAAGGAATATAGCCCGACAAGGTACATTCCCCAGACTGGTTCCCAATTGAGATGGCTGACTGGTCCCTTATACGACGCCTCACCTCGGGACCGTCGGGTCTGCGGACCACAAACCGAGATGTCATCCGAACCGCACAGAAGGGGCTGAAGGGAGAGTATCCGGGGATGAGAGTGGGCCGCACGGCTGCAGGGACCTCTTGGAAGCTTTGGGGTAATGATATGGGGCGAGGATTGATGTCTTAGCTTGGCGGTTAGTGAGCCGAGGGAAGGAAACACGCGTGGGATAGAAGATAGCATACACAGGTTATAGGCAGCGGCATGCTCGTTCAGATTTATGGAATAGATGTGATGCGGCAAACCAGACTTTTGTTTGTGGACTGTTATTTCTCTTGAAAGGAGAGGAGAGGAGGTAAAAATCTGCCAACTGTGGTTTTCTCGGCGTTGTAGTGCTGGCCGGGTGCTTCCCTTCCTTTCTTTCCCTTCACCTCACTTCACCTCACTTTGCAATCCATTACTCATTACTCCATATTTGGATGGATAGGTTATACACGTGTCCCCGAGGCAGTCAAAGGCGATGACAACTTTCTAGATACGATGCTACTAGAAGGTGCTCTGGGACACTGGTGACATATGTACAGATCTCAGCCCAGGTTCACCAGAAACCAATAAATAGTCATAACAAACAGAACACCAAGATCACTGCCACAAAAGCTAGGGGACTGAGGATCGATCACATACAATATCAGCCTCCCAGTAAAGCAGGAATGGTAGTACAGGTTGACAGAAGAACAAAGTCGATAATAGTGGTTAGAAACCACATCAGTCGTACAGGCATTACCTTCATTCCAACAGATCCGCACTCCGCAACCTATGCTCATCTCAAAAAGCCCATGCTAGTCCAGTCACCGCGGGGGTGCACCATACGACATCTGCACAGGAGGCATGTATGGTGATACCAAAGCTGCCCCCGTGGCTCTGGCGAACATCCCGCGTTCCTCCTCTCGCTTCTTGATCTCGGCTTCATCTTGGATAAGCGTACAGCATGTACAGCACGTCGCTCGAACGCAGTCAGTGAGAATATCCCCTTCGATCCCATAGACCTTGCGTGTCCGACGGTGCTGGAGAGTTGCAAATATCCCTAGGACAACAGGTCAGCCAATATACTCGTATCGAACCTAACATGGAATGCGCTTTCTCACAGTGACAGCCACAACACAGCGCCATGGCAGTGCAGGAATGATTGCACACATCGTACCCGAGCATATTCGTCGGATCCTCACTTCTGATTTTCCTTGAAAGACGATATTGAGTCCTCCCGTACAGAATGCACGGGCATGTCAGCCCAAGACAGCATACCCCAACATCCGAGCAACCGCACATGTGCGTGCGCCACGATCCTCCTCTAATTTCCAGATCAGGATGAGTGATTTGACCCGGCTGATGATATGCCATGAGGTCAACTCCCGCAGGCGTCGCAGGTGCCCCCGAGGCGACTGGAGGGGGAAACTGTGGTAGATTGGGCGATTGCAAAGGGTTGGTGTCGGGCACAACAGCCATGGGTTGTGGGTTTGCTAACGGTTGGGACATCTCGGGATTGACTTTGACCGGAAGAGGCCCCGGAGATCGCGGAGGCTCTCCATATGAGTATTCGGCCACTTTGGGGTTATGCTGGACTTGTTGAACCTCATCCGCGTACGGAGCATAGTTGGCTGGATGCTGGGCAAGATTGGGTCCGCAAGGGTAGCCAGACACAGCCATATCTTGCTGGTACTGTTGCGATTTCTCGTTCAGAGGCGGTTGGAAATGCTCCATGACAGGCTGTATCTCTGCTGGCTGGGCGTTTGAAATCGTTGTTGGGGTTGGGCCCTCATTCCTGAGTCGGGAACTGGGAGCATGCATCTCCAACGGGGTTTCAAGGTATGAGTATCTTGGATTCTCCCCCAGATTGGATGTGTTCAGATGTAGTTGCTGGTTCATTTTGGCGGTCACTTATAGCCTCTGCTCTTGGATCGCATATAGCATCTATCGGCTTTTCACAGCTCCAAGCGCTATATCCAAGGGAGGATAATGTCTGGCTCTCGGTCTTTGTTCGCTCAACTGCGGTCGTCCTGTGAAGATCTACATGTACCGGCGAGGCGCAAACCCTCCCCGATCTAAGTGGAGGAGAGCATCAATTGAGCAGCAAAGTTCGAATACCGGAGCTGCCACCCAGCGATCGAGAGAACGACAATAATCCAGCAACACATTTGGAGCGAAGCGGAAGGCAGCCGGATTAAGTATGTATCGACTGGGCTGGGGGATTGCAATCACCCGGGTGGGGATAGCGCCTGGGATATGCAGTTGCGCGGCGGGGGAACCGGCATGTGTATGGCCAGCGCCCAAGTGTGTCTAAGCACATGTTGCGCCGAGCGACCCCTAGTCTGCGCCCTTATGTGGCCTGTTCACACCAGTGATGAGTTCTGTTGGTCTGGCGGTCGTTCGGAACATCCTGTTGGGTCCGGAAGCACTTCTCATCACATCACCGGTCGGCCGCGTCACATTGGATGGTGCCGAAGCGCCCACTGGCCAACCAACACTGGCAATCACACATTGGCGGGTAAGCAAGGTTCCAACGTTCGCCATCCCAAGCAGAGTGACTGTATCCATCCAGGATGTGTATGGGATGGGTTTATCCAGCCGCTGACACTAGATGCCGTCCTTTGCTAGTGACAGTCGCTAGTATGCTAGCTCTATAGTCCACAGGGTTGCCTGCGGGAAAATCAGTGGATGCGACCAATAACCACAGCAACATCAAGACCCCCTCAGAGGGCGTAACGACGAAATCGAACAGCGCGGCAATTCCTGGTTTCATAGCGATTTCAGAGATTGTCTCGAGACCAACTAATTTTGCGCTGCCTGACTGAACCTCTCATTCGGGTCAAACGAGCGGCTGGGACAGCTGAACCCCTCTTTAGGTATCAATATTCCCAACAAAGGAGAGCGGCTATCCTGCCATCTGGATCACTCTCGTCCATTCAGTGCCACACCACATACTAAGCGTCATCGGGATACTGCGTATTTTGATCAAGTACAGACCCATCACGTGATTACATCAACTGTATGCCTCAGGCGCCGCAGACAAGCTTCGTCGTCCCATGTCTCGCACCCTCGGTTGCCCCTGGTATAGCGGCCATTTCGCAATTAATGTTCATTGTTTCTATAACAAAGGTGGAATGCAGTGTTGCTTCTTTGTACGACTCCCGCAAGATACATGGCAGTGCCTAAAAGTGGACTACAGCACTCCCTATTGCTCGGTTAACTGCACACAAAATAGTATAAGATTCTATTGAGAGAAAATAGCAAGTAATCCATCCACCCGATCTATCTGCGCCATACATGCACCTGTCACGTATGGCAAGTTATTTACAAAGTCAACCGCTGCCTCGACAGCAAAATAGACGTATCAACAGTTGCCCCGTCGATAAAGTCATTCATGATCACAATAGTCTTCTCTGCGCGCAGTCGATCAAGAGCATTCTCTCTAATCCACGGCAGAGTACGCATATCAAGCATCCCCTTGGTCGAGGTGAGACACGAGCTGGCTCCCTGAGCAGACAAAACGCTGTAGATAAGTACCTCCTTGATGGACTGGGAAGTCGCCTGGCACTGCAGGATGGTCAGATCACTACTCTCTTGGCCCTCGGTAGTCATGCTCTCGAAACGAGCAAGGATCGAGGCCGGGCTGAGTGTAGCGTATGCTTCAGCTGTCCAGCTATCGTATTTATCGGCATCGATGACGACGATGAGACGGGTGCCCGTGCGACGCAGGTGCTCAATCGGTTGGTCAAAGCACTCGCGCGCACCCCAGGTGAGAGGGCTGCGAATTGCTCGCGCACAGGCCTCGTTGAGCAGCTGGGTGATTTCGTCTGTTGTTGGGCGTTGACAGTCCGCTACAATGTTGTCCCAGCGGATGTGGATGGTGACGATCTCCGTTTGATTCTCGTCGAGGAAGGCGACTTGTTCGCGGAGGAAGCCATCGAAAGCAAGACCTGGGATGCATGCGTGTTGGAAGTAGAATGTGTCTCGTAGGCCAGACACTTTCTGGAACATGGGGAGGAGTTTGGCGGGGCGGAACTCGAAGTACCGTGCTCCCATGGCGAGCATGATGGAGATGGTCTTCTTCTGGGTGACGGAGAGACCGTAGACGATGTGCGGGAGCTTTTGCATGAGGAAGTGGTCTGGGACGTGCTTGACGTGCTCCAGTAAGGGGACCAGCTTGCGGACTACCGTCAACATGTCTGTGTTAAGGTGGTCGAAGATAGCATCGCATGTCATCATGCTGTTCATTCCGTTGTCGTGCGGCGCGGCCAGCACGAAGCGCGAAAAGGGCTGCTGCGCAGCGGGGGAGTCTGGCGGAGCGACGCTGCCCATCCAAACGCGGTTTTCTCGCGAGCAGATGGTCACGTAGGACTGGTGGCGGTTGGTCAGACCAACCTCGCCGTGGCCCGCGGCGTAGAAGCCGTAGGTGATGATGGCGTCCTCGGTGATGATCGGGTGGAAGTCCTGCGTCGCTACCATCGTACCTCCCTCGATCTTGCCCGTCAGGGTGTTAATGTCATTGTGTGCATCGGCAACGCGCTCGCCATAGCGGAATACCGTCCACTCATAACGGCCGATGAAGTTGCCGAGCCCCTGAATATTCGACGACTCGATTTCGAGTTGATGGCTGGTAAAGTTGTGGGACGCATCGCGCAGCACCTCCTGCTTAGGAACGGCAAAGCCGATCGCGTATCCGGGGACGCCGATATAGCTGTATACCGAGATACCTTTGCTGGGCATGATGGACGGCGTGATGTTGTCCCGGTGGTGATGGGCCCCTGGGGGCTTCTGCCTTACGCCTTAGGTGGCGGATAGCGCCTCTCCACTTTTCGCACTACGAATCGGCATAAATCGGCCTTATCCGAGCCCTAGCCAATTTCGGAAAGTGTGTTGCTGGTCTTCTCTATCCAGGCCCGATTGGGACTGCGACTGGCCAGGTAAAGTATGCCAGCCCGTTCGCTCATGTGTTTGCGTCTCAACAGGGCCGAAATCGAGAGGGTGCAGCAGCATGCCAGCAAGAGCCCACCTGCGGGACGGCCCACAGCTGGTTCCACGGGCGCCACATCCCTGCAGGTTTAGACGCAACTAGTATAAAATGGATGTGATAGTGTCATTAGTCGAATTCTCCGACTTCCTCTCCCATTCGCAGGTACTTGCGATCCGGAAAATGATGGCCTGTTGTCCAGATGGGCTCCCTTGTAGCATGAAGCTTTTTCTTGCTGTACGTGTTCGCAACAGTAGACACTATATTAAATCGGTTAGCAAGTCCTTACATTTCCGTTGATCAGTCTACAAAGGACGTGTGCCTACCATCGAGATAATTGTGTACAACCAGGCCAGTAGCAGGGGCATAATGAGCCTCGGGCATGAGTGAACAAAGGAGCAGACCATTCTCGACTGCCAAACGCCTACTGGGAAAGTGATGTTCCCAGTGTCACTGCATCCTGGCAGATCTCCCTGGTGCGCCGTATGCTCAGATATTTCTCCAAGGCAGCTTTGGAGTCCCGGGAGGGGCCAATCTTGACGCAGTATCGACGGGATAACGAAGTATAGCTCATCATTTCCTCAGTAATCGGGGCTGACTCGACCAGCACTGATTCAACGCATATATATTCTGCTTTTCAATGTTGTACTAGTTATCTCAAACAAGTTAGTAGGGCATGAGCATTGGCGCCTGGGAGAGTCCTTATAGGCCTATTTTATCGCTCTTTAATAACCTGTGAGCACAGAGAAGCTAAGCAATAAATGACTGAAAGGGCTTCACCTTTTTTGCCGTTCTGAACACGTCTCATAGACAAAAGTCACGCCACGATCTGTTGCTATAGGCCTAGTGGAAGTGGGAAGAATAATCACAAAGTGCGTTCTTTTGGCTGATGAATCAGTAGGTGCCAAATTATAATAACAGCGTGTTGAGCGTGACCAAATAGAACTGGTGCTTGGTGTGTGGGAGGCATAGATCGATGTTCGACTCTACCAAAGATGAGCAGATGAAAGAAGATGAAGAGGAGGAAGGCCGGGGCGGCGCCATTAGACCTATCCAAATGCCACATTCTTTTGAGCTTAGTGTCTGCGCCCCGCAGCGCTAGCTTGCTTTTTCCGGCAAGCTTTGAGCGCCTCAGGATTCAGTGGGGTGTCTATATGCCCCGATTTCGCGGGGGTTTATGGGCACATTGTCACTAGGTTTTCGAGAACACAGTTGTCCAAGATATTCAATCTACTGTAAGCATGGCATACTGTATGATGTCAGTTATCACTATTCCTTCGCCATGTATTGGTATCCTATGTTCCTCTCGTTTTTTCGTTTCTCCCCATACTCCTATCTGATATGATACCCGGATACTATATCCGAGTCTGATGGGTATAAAAACCGACACAGTATTTAGAGGTGCAGTCAGGTTCTCATTCCCAATCTAATGGCTTTCTTCATTGAGTGACAAGGGAGCTTATGTGAAAAATCATGAGGGCCCTCTCCATCTTTTGGTAGACTCCAATACCCGCGTCTTTGTCGTTTCTGGGTATTCTGACGATGATTCCGATGGGCTTGGTAACTGGTTTCTACTCAACGCTATTAGTGTCTGCTCATGTTCGTATACACATTCTTTGATATTTATTAAGATGCGTTTAGTGAGCCAAATAATACCCACCACTCTAGAGGCCAGTAATACCGTGGCACCACTATACCTGATTGTACATTTTCAGAGAGATGATGAGCCCAATGGTTCTCTCCTCTCTATCTTTACCAGAGATTTCAATCATAGAACAGACCTCTCAAGATATGCTTGAGACTCCCCCTATTCAATCTGTTAAAGCACTCCCATCCAAAACGTCATTACTCCTCTCCCTTACCCCATTACCACACCCGCATAAACCACCACATGTACTCCCACTCAAGTCAATTCCAACATCCAAACAAGCTCTACGCACGAGTACGCCACAACCTACACTCTCCCAACACGTGTTCGCACTAGTAGCAGCTTCCCGAAGCTAAATTAGACTCGTCCACCACCCACATGGACGCCATGCTCACTGTTTCAGCCCATCTGCGGATCGATTCTCGGTCTCAGATCACTAACTTTGTGGAGAAAATAAACCTTGGCTTGCAAACCTAGCTTGAAGCCACAGTATTTGGGTACCACATATACGGTATGGTAAGTAATGTCTTGTGATGGGATGGTTACTGTGAATGGTATTGCGCAGTATGCCTTCGTGGAAACTTGGCTATGAAACGGTTTCTGGGGGGTAGTGATGGGGTGGATTGAGTAGCCTTTCTGGCTCAACCTCAAGGCTTGGAAATGGGTAAAGTCGTTGGTTTGGTACGGGACGAACCTCGTAGGATCTTGATGCAGGTCTGATGGAAGCATATGGAATGCGCTTCGGGGTGTTGGAGGAGGCGCAGGAGATGATATCAGATAGGAAGGGTGGCATCTTAGTATATCTCGATTGTTGAAAAGCCGAAGGGTGTGATCAGATGATATGAATAGATGCATGCGTTTTGGTCCCTGTGGTGAGAGTAATAGCGCATGTTGAATGTCTTTGACTTCCTCGAAAAGCAGCTGGCCGGTGGGTGTGCATGTGATTTGGTATAGCACTTTATAAAGGAGGTGAGAGGCGGATTCACTGATATGGATAGTATCGATGATCGCGTGGAAGAAGGGGCTGTCCCTGTGGACAGATTTTTAGATCATCATATTAATGGCTGACGAGATGTGGAAGATTAGCCTAACCGGATCACGGCTGACGAAATCCGATTCTCAGACCTTTTGGAGACAGAACATAGGCGTATGTCAGTTGAGTTGACCCGTATTATCAAGCATGATAAGAGATACCTCCCTCCGGAAAACAAGGTTGACGTCCGCAATAGGTGGTAAGGAAAATACGCCAGATTTGAAATATGAATCAGCAGTCAGCTCCTAAGGTTGAGAAACACCAAGACAGTGAAGTCAACAATCCAGCAAAAGGACTTGTCAAAACTGCGCGTCAATGATATCTATCGGCAGTAAAAATATTCGAAAGACTATGCGAATTCGGTTGCCCCAAGGTAATTCGAGTATCAGCCTCTGAAGGGCGAGGCAACTTTATTTTGAGGGTCAGGCATAATCACTCATCCCATTCCACGGGAAACGAGGCTGGAAAATCAGGCCTTCAGTTCAAGGCACATGGTAGGCATCAGTGGCCGATTCGAGTTGTTGTCGAAGCGAAGAGTAACGACGGCGCAATTGTGTAGCTGATAAATTCCTTTCCGCTCTTCGAGCGACCTGAGATTTGACAATTGAATATGCCGCTGGCAGGCAAGACCATCATTGATGAGAACCAGCAAGTTCTTCTTAATGTGGTTTTGTGTGACAAGGCAATCCACCATATCTTGTTGCCAGAGAAGTTGTTTAATCTGCAGGAGGCATCCAACCGAAGGACTGCGGGGATTCTGAGGGGCCAGGGGTCCAGAGCTACCCTATAGTTCGGGACTTGGTGTCGTCCATTGTGTAGAACAGGGCATCTCACCAATGGCATATTGATAGAAGGTCGTGTTTTGGGAACACACTGTCCCGCGCAAGAGCTGTTCGAAGCACCTCCCCACAGTTGTACCATAGCGGCGCATGTCCGTAAGCAACAGCAAACTAGACAGCTTGAAGGGCCATATTGGTAGATATGCATGGAGCCCTGGTAAAAATAGCAGAGTTCGATCATTGATAGCTTCCTGACTGACGTCCGTGGATATCCGAATAATTGGCATTACCCTCAACTCATCACTGCAGCTTATGTGAATCGCATTAGACTGTCTCTAAGTGCACCTCTTGGCCATGATTCCTACCATTATGAAGCCCCATCTATCTTGCCTTTCGTGGTACAATGTTGTCCAGTCGACCGATGCATGGGCCCCTCCTCGGATGGACTTGCGATCCCTGGCCCATTCGCAGATGTGGATGCTCCCAGTGTTGCGTTTGAATTTGTAGGCCATACCTTTCTGTCTGAGCCTAAGCGTAATCCGGTCAAGAAGTGAGTGGAGCTGCTGCTAGGAGTCAACTTGCAGGATCGAGACCAGGATCGTAACTACGTTCGTCATCGGTTGGGAGATTCCATCCTGCTGTGAAATTGTGTACACCAGGACGCTGGCGGATGCGAATCTGTATGCCAAGTAAATCTGAAGCCTGGAAATTATGAAATCTGGTTGCCTTACTAGCTGGACCAGTCATGTCATTCAAGCACAGCATATGCCGTGGCCGAGGAGCCAGCCGATGGGTTCCAAGAAAGTTGACCGTTGAGAAAAGAAATCGGTATTCATGCTTTGTCATTGTGGTCACGATGCTAGTTAGTATTGTTCCATCCACTAGTTTTATTCAACCAAACAAGAGTTTCTCAAGTTGTTCGTAGGACTATACAAGAACTACCAATGCTTTTAAGCATACTCGAACCTATGATATGAAAAATATATCTCGGTTGGCCTTTTACTTCCAGCTGAATGCCACAGCGACTTGGAAGTCAAAGCAGTGAAAGCACACCATTTTGGCCGTCCTCCATAGCATTAGGGAATTGTCGATCCCTCATGATCGAGACGACCGTTGTTATAGCTGGAGCCTATACTAACACTAATACCGTGTTACTTGATCGCCGTGTTTCGCTTGGATGGAATGCCCAGTGAGATTTGGGTCAACAGTACCCGATGCTTACGGTCATATTTCCAAGAGCCAGCCGAGCTGTCATTGGGGTTGCGCAATAATCCACCATAGTGGTTTAACAGGATGCAGCTGTCCTGGGATAGGCGCTGGCCAGCACGCAACGGGACCGATAGATGGCCCAGCCGAGGAATGCCAAACCAATGGAAAACTTGATCTGGTGATCATGGCCTTCCTTGCCTTACCACAAGAAGGACGAGAATGATAGTATACACGTCATAGATTCCGGTGGGTGTATCTATTTTACCCTTACCGACGGTGCATGAGAGGCATGAGGCGAAAGGAGAGTCAAATGGGATTACAGGGAGAGATAGCGGTGGGGGGCGGAGCGAGAAAACCAAGAAATGATGGGAACGGGAAATGAAGAAAAAGGGAGGTTCAACCCGCCGGCCAATGCAGCTTGCAGGGACTGAGTCGTGAAGGGGTAAGGAACGGACAGGGATGGTTTAGGCACTGGATCTGGCAGGTCAGTTTGGGCGCCTTATCAACGGGGAAGAAAGAAGGTCTCCAATGGCCAACAAGTCGATCACGTTGGCCAACAATTGGTCCATCCCGCTGGAACGGGTCATGCGGGAGTGGGGATGGGGTTGATAAGTGCGGAATGCGTTACAGTTCCGGAGCACCTCCAGTCCTACCATGTCCACAACCGTCGAGGACATCCTTTCGCAGTGGGAGATGAGACAAGGATGGCAAATCCTGGATCGGGACTGACCGGTGTGGATGATGATGCGGTTCTTGACTCCGTCCTATCTCTGGCTTATCGAGCGACCGCCTATCTATCGACTATCTACTATCTATCCCTCTCTCTCCGGAGTACGGAGTAAATGCACTCTAATTCCTAGTACCGCCATTAGTGGGATTCCTCGATCGCGCCCCCACCGGGCTCAAAATTCAATAGCCTCGGCCGATTCACCAGTCTTCATTGTGCACAACTGAGCAAGTGGTTGCCTATGCAAGGTCTCCGAAGCTTCGAAACTTCGATGGGGCAAACTGATCCTCATCTTGGTTACAGGTCAACTCGGGATTAGCTTTGAGATGCAGCAAGCCACAAATCCAAATTGAGTTGACCCCTAGAATTCTATCTATACTCGGTATCGATACCTCGTTCTGTTTACGGTCTCTCTTGGGTCAGTAGGAACCCACCTACCCAGCCATACATTGTGCATGGCGGTTGACTGCATTCCGAGTTCCCCGAAGGCGCCTGCACCTGGTTATTCGTTCCGTGTACTCCGTGCTGTGCAAGGGATTTTCCCTTGGGTTGGTTCAGCTCGAAAAAGAACACATCACATGCGAATCGACAGCCATAGTGCCCAAGTGCCAAGAGGATTCTAGCGATTGGAGGGAGCTGTCAATGAACCTAGAATCATATCTAAGAGATCGAGACCAACCCCACGAAACACAGGAAGTGCCTTCCTTGACTCGAAATGTCTCAGTAATTTCGGGGTTTGGTATGTCGTAGTCAAGATACATTGTGCTTCACCATGTCTCCAGGGCTAGAATTTGGGATGCCCGAGAAAGGAAGGATCCGACAAATGACCGGGCCATCGCACCATTGGGAGCGGGAGAGGCATGCTCGTTGTTGATTTTACGTATCAAGTTCGGCGTGCTGTAGGTCGTCATTGGCGCAGCTAATTTCCTCATTGGATTGGGGAACCCAAACACTGCCAATGCCTGGGACTTGGCCTCGTGGATCCTCCATGGCTGAAGGCTGAAAATTCTAGAAGCCGACTGGCGTGTTTGTTGGGGATAGTTTCCCTTAGGTAGATAGTTGTACCAATCTAGGTAGGAGAAGCAAGGAAGGAACCTCGGGAGGGAGAACGCATTAAGAACGCGAGTTCGCAAAGAATTTCAAGATCCCAACGGCAGTTGACTGCAGAGGGATTTGACTTTCCCCAAATTTGCTCACGAATTGAAGGCTCCACCCAAGGCGGTGACGAGGGACCCGCGTCATTTCTTCCGCGGTGAGCCAAACGCTTCTCTTCCTTAGTTCCCTCTCTTCCCTTCCACTAAAACCACTGACTATTGACCTCCCTCTCTACCTTTAGCCTCCTCTACCTGCCGACTGTGCTGCTCCCCGGCTACGGCTCTTTAGTTACGCACTAGCACCAGCCTCCGTTTCCCTTCCCCCGATCATCCTTCCCACCTGCGATAAACACCGATTAACCTGTTCCGTTTAAGCCGTCTGGAGGTTCCCAGCTGCCACTGCCCCCCCCTCCCCCCGGTCTGCAACTAATTCCCAGCCTGTAAGATGCCCTTGCCCTGGAACGTGGCTGAGGTTCCTTGATCTTCTTGAGTGTGCCGGTTTCCTGAGTTTCTCTTTGCAGTGACGACAGATCCGCCTCCCCCCTTCCATTTCCGCCTCCCTCGGTGAAACACCACCCAACCATAACCTTCAGCCCAACAACGATTCTTCCTTCTCGGCTCCTTTCGATCCTGTCCTCTCCCTGCAGCTCCGACCAATGTCCTCCCCATGTCAAGGCCTGCATCCGCGACTGAGAATACCTGGTCAGGACCCCTGGTGACACCTGCCGCGTCTGCCCAACATGATTGCTCCGAAAGGCCTGAACTCCTTCACGACAAGCAGCGGCGCCACCACGACGCTCGGGGCCAGCTCATCCACGACGACGTTGAACAAGCTCCCTCTCCATCCCGCGCCGAATCCCCCACGGCTCATCAATGGGCCAAGCCTGCCTCGACCTTTTCTCTAAAAAGGGCCACCACCGCCCCCGTGGAGCGGCTGTCCCGCCCTGATCGATCTCATACTCCTCAGTTGTCCGAGAGGGACAGCATTTTCGCAACCCACTACCTCCCATCTGATACCGAACCCGCCGTTACACCGCAAATTCCGCCCGTGGAAGATGTGCATAATGAGCCGCCCACTAGCCTGATACCTCCCCTCGAAGATGTTTCTTCCTCTCCTACTCCGATTTTCCCTCACAAGGTCCTTCCCCGTCCTACTCACGTCGACCCTTCCCACATGGAAGTTGACGTTCTCAGGAAGCATCCATTAAGCTCTCCCTCGGTGCTTCCGTCCGGGGTGCCTCATTCTTCCCCCCTACTGCCGGTTGACTCTGCTGCGCCCTTGGGAAAGCGATCGGAACTGGCAAGCCGGAGTGCACATATCCCTGTGTGGGAGAGCTTACAACATCTTCGCAAACTCACATTGGACGATGCTGCGACGAAGCCCACCATTGTAGAGGACCCATCGGCTCACCGAAGTCTTCTCTCTGCCTCGCTGAGTGATGCGTCCTTGCCGCCCTACCAGCACGCACCACGCTCGCCTGGCAAAAAGTCTGCCGCCACCCACGTTGAAGCCACCCCACACCCTTGGTCTGGACAACAATTTCAGGACGGTGCACGTGTGGCGAAGGCCGAGCGCAGCTCGAGTCGGAGCCGCCGTGGCCGGGTAGAGCAGTCCATCGAAGCCAATTTGACTAATGTGGAGCCAACCTCTCATGTGCGCAGCCGCAAGTCAAGCCATTACCTGGGATTGTTCAAAGAAAACACCACTTCTCCAGATCGCAAACGCAGGGAAGAGCGCATGGGACGACATGATGAGCCTCCGGAACCCTATGACAAGCAGCAATTAGCTGCTCATTCAGAACCTCGCTACTCTGGCGAACCCCGTGACTCGCAATTGCACATCCCCTTAGTGGCCGAAGAGACAGGTCTCACGGGCTCCAAAAGTCTGTCGCATCTTACTATCGCTGACGCGCCTCTTTTCTCGCCGCGGTTGGACAGTGAAACTGGCCTGCAAATGTCGACCGATAATGTGGTCAAGTCAAAGCCTAAGGCCCTACCTCGGAGCCTTCTCGAGGAGATTCGCAATTTCCACCTGACCCCCGGAGGCGCCCGTGGCACCTCATTCTCGCGGAGTATTCCCACCCAGTTTGCGGAAAGGAGCAGGGATTATTTCTCGAAGGAGCCTGCGCATCATGACCACCTCGAGTCAGGACTTTCTCCGACGGATGCGGAGCGTGGCCAACGCCGGGGCTCAGGACAGTTCGAAGATGACGAGGATGAGCAGATCTCCTCTGCTGTCTACTTCCCGCATGAACGTGTCACACTCTCCGAGGAAGTCGATCAAGTTCAACCTTTTACGGATGGCCGAGATGACGTGGAGCCCATTGATATGTCGACAGCGCAGAGTAGTCACGTTCTGGTGCCAAAGAGACATGTTGTTTCTGAGGAGCAGGAAGCTAATCATGTGGACATATCCCTTCGATCTAAAAATGATAGTAGAATCCTACACGGCGACCTGCAAGGCAGGCAGGATGCTCCCATAGAAGAACTTAGTGAAGAGTCTCTTGCCCTCGTACCCGAGCGCAGTGCTGAATACTCAACATGCGAATCCGAATTTGCATCTGCCGACGAAAGCGGTATGTCTGTCCGTGACGAGGAGTCGAGTGTGACGGACGAGGCTGAAGTCACACCGACGGCTACTCCGACTCAACGTTCCCGATTGACGCGTCCGCGCCGCAAGCATGAATCGACCGCTGCTCCGCTTGGCGCCGTGGAGCTGAAGCCTTACCGCCATCAAGTTGGTGGTCATACAACGGTGTTTCGCTTTTCTCGACGCGCCGTTTGCAAGCAGCTCAACAACCGGGAAAATGAATTCTACGAGCGCATCGAGCGCAGACATCCTGAAATGTTAATGTTTCTGCCAAGGTATCTAACCATCACCACGGCCTTTCCCTTCCGGCCACCACGAGGCTCACCTTGCCCACTAACATTTTCATTAGATACATTGGAGTTCTTAACGTAACCTTTTCGAAGACGCCAAAGCGATCCAAGACCCCCGCAAATCAAGTGGAGCAGCCAGATAGCGGCAATGCGACACATACTTCCAAGGACGCTGACCCAGACGGACCGTTCTCTGCGGATAGCCGCGCCCCCACTCAGAAAGATGCCGAACCGCAACGCATCTTCAGCCAGAAGCAGGTGACCGGCGTCATTCCCAAGGTCATCCTCGAAAACAATCGCCATATCATTCCGGCGGATCTTTTCTCCCACTGCCAGCGCCCAAGAACTGCGGACGGCTCGCTGTCGGCTAATAAGCGCTTCCCCACTGACTTTGGACAGTTGACGGAAGGGAAGCCTGAGAGTTGCCTTTCGGAGGGACCACAAACTTTGAAGAGAAAGCAATGGGGTGCCACAACCGTGAATAGAAAGCTGCAAGAGCAAGTTCTTCGTGAAGTTTTTAGCCCACCCGCCGTGCACCATCACAGACGCCATGCTCGAGGCCATTTGAATTTACCGAGAACATCATCAGATGGCATTGAAGTGCGGCGGAGAGCTAATCTCTCTGAGGACCAAACCTCCAGCAGCCGCCGGATTGCGCCTGGCCCAACCCAGCCAACCCAGTCTGGGGCTATTGATATCAGCAGACAATCAAAGGATGGACCGGGTCTCTCATCGTCAGCATCTACGGCACTAGACGCAAGCCATAATCGCCTCGAACAAGTCCGGACAGAGGAGTCCCCACCACGATCTAGCTCATTGTCGCGGACGCGGCAGGTGAGGCGTCGCCGTTCCGGGAGTGGGCTACAAAGACGGGGAAGTATGACCTCAGGGCAGCCCGGGGGCGACTTGTTATTCTTTGAAGACGATGGATATGGCGGTGATAAGGAAGACGGAATCTTCTCCATGGAGGCTGACAATCCGGTCGCTCCAACCTCACAACCGGCTACCAATCCTCCTGTCCCGGTATCTCCAAATGGACTCCATCTTGACAGCCGCGCGGGAACCGATGGTTTGGCGAGCAATTCCATCTCACCTGAGATCAAGGATGTCGATGATACTCAGCTTCCTTCAAACCCCAAAGAGGCCCAAACAAAACAAGATGACAGAGTGCAATTTTTCCTTCTGCTCGAGGATCTGACTGCGGGCATGAATAAGCCCTGCGTGTTGGATTTGAAGATGGGAACTCGCCAGTATGGAATTGAAGCGGACGAGAAGAAACGAAAGTCCCAGAGGCGCAAGTGTCAGTCAACTACGTCGCAGCAGCTAGGCGTTCGTCTATGCGGCATGCAGACGTGGAATGTCAAAAAGCAAGAATACTCTTTTGAAGACAAGTATTTTGGGCGTGATCTGAAGTCCGGGCGTCAATTTCAGGATGCTCTGACGCGGTTCCTTTATGACGGCGCGAGTTACAGAAGCGTGGCCAAAAAGATTCCTGCTATTCTCGAAAAGCTGGCCAAGCTGGAGAATATGATTCGAAGACTCAAGCGTTATCGCTTGTATGCTAGCAGTCTCTTAATCCTTTATGATGGGGACCCTAACCCCTCGGATAAGGCGTCCCAGCAGAATGGCCAATCCGGCTCCGCTAGTATACGAGACACACTGCAGCGTCAGGCTTCCGATGATGGCTACACGGACGTGCAGTTGAAGATCGTTGACTTCGCGAATTGCGTTACGGGCGAGGATGAAATATCTCCCGAGGCTCCTTGCCCTCCCCAGCATCCGGATGACATTGATCGAGGCTACCTCCGAGGCCTTCGCACTCTCAAGATGTACTTCCAGCGTATTCTCAAGGAAGTCAGCCAAGATGATTATGTTGAGCGGGGAGAAGGTGAAGCTATTGCGCTCGGATCCCAGCATGCGGGTCGCCACGATTCTTCGCAACGCTATTGGGACGAGAACGTGTTGGAAACTGACCCTGGGGAAGTCAGCTTCTAATCTTGATCCCATCATTCCTGCCTGGTTTGGAAGGAGTCTACCCTTCCTCTCTAAGCCTTTTTTGTTTTCTAATGTCTTTTTTTATCCTCGTCATGCCCTTACCCTTTATCATCCGTGTCTTCAGCAGGAGTTGGTGGTCTTGCTATTTCTGTCGGTGTCTGCATGATAAGCTCTTTCCCGAGAATCGGCAAACGGCATCAAAATTGCATCGCAAAGAGCCCGGCGGGCTTCATTCCATTTCCAGGGGTTTCTCCACGCCCACTCGATGATGTGAACGGTACTACGGTGACAGAGGTAGATGGAGGACACTACAAGTTGTTACTCGGCAACACACATTACGATATTGATGAACGATCATGGCATGATGCTCACCGCAGACGACTCATCTATTTCATGCCGGGAGCATAATAGAAGGTCTCTGCACGGGGGCCATTACATTCTCATGGCGTGTATGAACGTGCTCTTTGTTTTTCGTTTGCTTTGGCTTGTTTTCGAGGGTTCTTCCGGCTTGCATTTCTTTCTCGGACATGTGTTACTGACTATACCTCCTGGGAACTGGTCCGATTCCTGGGGACTTTTTAATCCGTGCTTTTCGTTTCTTCTTCTTTTCCAAACCGCCGAGTGTCCTTCGGGAGTTGCGTTGGTGTACATACCTAGGGGCGCAGAGCTTAGACCGGAACGTGATAATGGAATATCTTTAATGCCTAGACGGTGATTGCTCCGTATGCTGTGTCGGATAGATAGTACATAGTGGAAGGCCGGGGAAGTCATCACGTGAGCGCGGCGATAAGCGGTGTGGGAGTGTTATCTAATCGCTGCTTGGCTCATCGCCTCGTCAGCAGCAGCTCTTCTCCGCATTCCTCCTCGCGCCTCAGGGGGTTTGTTCGTCCTTGGTCTGCGTGTCTGGGAGATTGGAGCAGTGCCTCTCCCGTCCCCTTTCCATCTTCGTCATCCTTATCTCGGTACGACTCCCCGGTCACTGCCCTTTTGCATCTGGCGGCGGAGAACCAGTTGGCGGAGCCAGCCCCATCTGCCAGTGCCAGGCACGCCATTGCCCAGTCCCTGGTCGGACCTGAGTCACCGTATCCTGGCAGTCATCGCCCACTCCTTGATCGGGAACAACCATCATCGCTGGATTATCTTCGTCATCCGATTCTGTCATTCCACCCCCGGGAAGCAGTATGGCAGGGTTCCAGGCGGATCCTGCGATCGACAAGCGGGACTTTGACACCCATCGCCCGTTATTAAATGATGTCGACGCCAGGAGAGAGGAACAGCAACCACGCCCGGGATCTAGATTGTCTGCCACCAACAATGACGACGGTCTTCTGAATGACGTTGTCGACGAGATACTGGAAAGGGATAGAAGAAAAATGGCCAAAGAAGTTGTGCGGGTCTGTAGTTTCGCTTGGGGAGTTATCAGCTGGTAAATTCATGGCGCTCATCATATCAAATGTGACGGCTGGCTGATTATGCATGTTTTCTCTAGTCTGGGGGCTGGTAGCATTACGGCCTTTTCGCTGTATGGGCCCCTATTGCTCACTCGCCTTCACTACACTCAGCTCCGAGTCAATTCCGTTGCAATCGCCGCCGAGGTCTCAATGTACCTGCCCGTCCCGTTGTTCGGATATCTTTGCGATCGCTACACCCCATCTCCTCTGGCATTGTTCTCCGGTTTTGTGTTCGGCGCGGGCTACTTCCTGGCTGCGCTGGCTTACAAGAGTGGACCACCTCCCGATGCCGGGGGTGAGGGTTGGCCGTTCTGGGTGATGATTGTGGCCTTTATTGCCATTGGTGTGGCCACAAGTTGTATGTACCTGGCGGCGGTCGCCACATGTGCGAAGAACTTTGGCCGGGGTAAGCACAAGGGGATCATGCTTGCTGTTCCTATTGCAGGGTTCGGTCTCAGTGGCATGTGGCAGAGCCAAGTGGGAACTTATTTGCTCTATGAGAGGCTTGAAGATGGTACGCGTGGCAATGTTGATGTATACCGGTACTTTGTATTCCTCGCGATATTGCTGTTCTGCATCGGTATAATCGGCACATTTGCCCTTCGCATCGTGGATGAAGACGAGGAGAAATACATCGATGAGGCCGTCGAAGAACTGGAACGAAGTGGCCTTCTTGAAGAAAGCGAGTTTTTCCGATCAAGGAGTGAAGTCGGGGCCGCCTATGGGACCTTCTCGCAGGCTGGCGACGGCACTGGATCCGACGACCGAACGCTGGCCCTGTCGGAAGAGGAGCGAGAAGCAGCAAGACTTGAGAAGGAACGAGAGGAGGAAGAGCGCCGGAAGAAGAACTGGTTGTTAAACTACGAAACGCGGGTCTTTCTGCAGGACAAGTCCATGTGGTGGCTTGCAGCAGGCTTTTTCCTGGTCACTGGACCAGGAGAGGCTTATATTAATAACGTATGTCGCCCTCAATGGACCACTCTTATAATAACCCTTGTCCCTCTCTCTGACTGTCTTCCAGCTGGGCACCATTGTTCAAACATTGACTCCCATTTCAAATCCCCCCAACGCTGCGCCACCAGCGGGCCTGCCATCAACGCACGTCACCACCATCGCGCTCACCTCAACCATCGCCCGGCTCCTGACAGGCTCGCTCTCCGACCTTTTTGCCCCGCCAGCAGTGCATCTCTTCCCTGGCAGTCTAGAAAGCAACCGTCCTGCCTCTCCCACGTCAACGGAAAGCCGCACCACCTTCACCCGCCTGGCATTCCTCCTTCCCTCCGCCTTCCTCCTGTCCCTTGGCTATCTTCTTCTCTCATCTCCGCTCCCCCTCCACCACCCCGGCCTCACCCACATCACCACCGCGCTGATCGGCCTCGGCTATGGCAGCGCCTTCTCCCTTGTTCCTATTATTATTTCCGTCGTCTGGGGCGTCGAGAACTTTGCCACAAACTGGGGCATTGTAGCCATGGTCCCGGCTGCGGGGGCGGCCGTCTGGGGTCTTGTTTATTCGCAAGGATACCAAGACGCCACGGACGGCGGAAACGGCACGACCGACGGACAGTGCCATGGCTGGAAATGCTTTGGATTCTGGGCCGTAGGATGCACAGTGAGTGTCTGGATAGCCATCGCAGCGTGGTTGATTGCCTGGAGATATTGGAGACGACGGGGGGTGGTTGTTTGATCAACCGATTGGGTATTTGCTCTCTTGCTTTTGGTATAGCTTAGATTGGACATTCTCTCTGCACAGGCGTATTTCATTCTTCTCTCTTTTCTTACTTTCTTATTCTATGTTATATCTTCGGTTGGGAAGGAGTCTGGATGCAGGTGTCATCTATCTGCCATGTGAATTATTTCGGGTTGTCTATGCATGCTGTACCATCTCAGCGGGTCTCGGTTCGGTCTTTCGTTATCTATCGGAGCCTTGGATGTTTTTGGTCATCCACGGATAGCACAGATTAATAAGTGCTATACATGATTTGATTTACTCCCGAGGCTACTGGCTTTATACAAACAGGGAATCACATGCCTGTCACAGTTATACACATATACACACCCCCGTACTATATCCGGTTATTCCCATCGCGACAATTCATATGTGAATATCAAAGATCAAAAACAGATAGCAGACACAAACCAGATGCGCTCGGCAGTCCAGCAGGGAAACTTCACACTAGAGGAAGACACCATAGATAGACAATATAACCTTTCTCCCGACGGCAATAATGAATACCCAATGCGTCCCCTTCGTCCTTCGCCTCGAACCAACTGAGGGAAAAGTAAAAAAGAAACAATATACCCAACCAAACATGCATACACGCCATGAGTACCGGGGATGAGAGGGGAAGAGAGGGAACGCAGATAACCGGATCTCATATCATTAGGCGAGACTCAAGTCATGATTACCGGCTGGCTAGTCACCACTTTGACGTGAAGTGCCTGCTGACCGGTATCCTGAAGCCTGGTTATCTCCGCGAGACGAGACGAGGGATGTAGCGGTAGCTGGATCCAGCGTGATCAGCAGGCCAGCCTATATTGTCCTGTCGTATCTCATAGACAATAGGAACTTGGGGAGCCTTTGCATGGCAAACTGTGCGTGTAGATTGGCTGAATGCAAGTAAGGCGGCACTGGGTTTCGATCTGTCTCTGTGGTAGTGTAATCCACCGCGAAGATGTATCATCCATCTGCTTGATGTGCTGTACATACTCTCATTTGACAAGTCATGACGTATTTCATTATTCTCGTCTCTTTTGGCTTTGCCAAGCCATAAGTTACTTCTCTTCATATGAACGAACGACATCTTCGTTTCCCGTGCGGTGGGTAGGGCTCGATAAGCATAGAACCAAAGGTGCCGCGCTTTCACTTTGATCGATGATATGAATGCAGAGGGGATATCTCGAGGCATATATAGGCCTGATCTGGTTTGTTCCCGTAAGCGGGCCTGGAAGTGGCGGCAGAGGTATACCCCGAAGCCCAAACCCCAAACCCCAAGCCCCAAACCCCGAGTAACGGCTCAGGGTCGAAGAACGCATTGGGTCGGGCCTGCAAGGGCGTGTGGAGTAGGGATACCTCGCCTCGCGAGGGATTGTGTAGTGGGGCTTGTTGTGGATTAGATGGGCTGGGGGTGGTTTGTGGATGGGGTTGAAGCTGAGGGGTCTATGTGTGGTTAGTGGGCTGTATGATCGGTTGGAATAAGATATTGTTTGGGCTTACTTTGGGGGTGTTGTATCTTCTGGGGTCTGTTGGTCTATGGTATGGGTATAAGTGATGGAAGAAACCTGGCGAGGGAAAGAACGAGTAGTGTGGGTGGATGCAGATGGCATTGGGTCTTTACTGGATGAGTCGGTCTAAGGACAGCTTCTACGATAATGGAGCGGAGATCATCGGGCTGTGTGGACGAAGGCGTAGTACCGGTTGGAAACCGTTTTCATCTTGATTACATGTTAGTTAAAGTTCTTGGTTTGATCGTTGGGCTTACCTTATGAACGTACTGGCTTTTGGATGGGGCCGGGCTCTTGAATGCCGACCTGGATCGGAATGAAAAGGATAGCTATGTTGCCGGTTTGATCAATCAGAGTAGTGAATCTTCTCTTGAATTGTTGAATATCCCTGTGTAAACCGAAGCTAGTCTTCCGACGGAGCTTTCATGCATAGCCTTTTTGTCTTTTGTAGCACGGATCGTTGGCCTGTGATAGGAATAGATGGCTGTCGGGAACTTATGATTCAAACTTCTCCCTGCTTCACTACCCCGACCCTGCGTGGCAGAGTTCTGTGATGTCCAAAACGTATGTCATTCCCGGTGAAGCTTGCAGACCTTACTATGAGCGCTGTAAATCTCATCGAGCGTTGTGTCCTATATGGAATCCACATCCGCCCAGCGGAAGTTGTTCTTTCATGTGGCTCCAGAAAGGGCTTTTCGAGCATGTTGATTCCAGCCCCACGCAAAGCCCGAATAGAAGGACATCATCACCGACTCCTTGGATACTGCACATTCCTCGGACATGCGAAAGCCATAGCTGCGGCGTGCTATCTTTGATCCTTCATGAGAACCACCACCCTCTTACTACAGACGGGAACCGAGTTGAGATGCTATGAGGTTGACTGAAGTTCACACGGTATCATCGACCAAGCCTCAATGTTGAGGAGTGTCGATCATCTGAACAGCAGGATAACCCTCGACTCTCAAGGCTCATATCAACGGCAGTGTTTCAGCTCCGGGCCAGACCAAAAGACGCTAGACGAGGCCATGGAGATGGTTTGCAATGTTGTACAATGGTCAAAGATGACAAGAGGCATTCATCGCTGACGGAGCGATAGTTGAATTAGTCCATTTGTTCACATTTGGTGACCAATGGGAATCAGCTGCTAGAGATTCATCATTGGCAGCGAGAATTGAAGTCGAACGGGATTCCCATCCAGGTCAATCCCTAGCATCCCCGCATCCCATGCCAAGGGCTGAACAGTCTCTGTAGTCCATATAGAATGGCTTACAGGGTCCAGCCCGGTCCAGCCCATGTGGTAGGCCTTAGGAACCTTATGGATAGATACTCTGCACACAGCTCGCCACGGCGTACGGTTAGGCCAAACCTTGCCAGAATTTTATATATGAGCAAGAGTCGACCTTGCATTGCTGAGACCAATGGATGCTGACCGGTTGGATGAAGGAAAGACTGGAAAGTGACAGACTCACGACTGTCTGCCTCGGCACTGGCTAACAGAATAAACTGGGCATCTGGGTTCATCAACGGTCCTCCGGAACAGCCCCGGGAGGTCAAGTCAAAGGTGAACCTTAAAACACGTCAACTGCCCTCTGGCTCTGCATTGGCGACGGCAGGATTTCTCTATGCATCGATATTGCTGGCTGAGTCGATTACCCAGACATTCATGAGGACAAAGGCAGCACTCATCGCACCAGGTCATGCTGCGTACTTCCCAACTTCCGAGATGACTCTGTACCACGCATCTCAGCTTTGAGAGGAGATCGTATCGAGAGTTTTCCTGGCTTTAAACAATCTCTCTGGTGAGCATGCCGAGGTCGACAAGGCTCATTTTTGACGGCAAGCCGAGCAGCTTCCCTAGTGGCATTTACCGCCCTCCGACCAGGTTGTAGGGGCCGTCACGTTGTGGTTGACAGCCAACTATTTCAAGTGTCCCTTTTTCCGCGGACTGAATTGCCAGGGATATGATTGACATACTCTGCGATCCTGTTCTTATTCTCTTCCCGCTTTACGAAGTCAACCATTTGTTTCATGTATAGCTCTGGACGCTATTCAACTGTCCTTTGGAGAGTCCTCGGCCGCTCCTTGAATCGAATCGGTGACGACAGAGGGACCTTGTAGGTTTGTGAGTCTCACGTTCGGGCAATGAGCCATGGAGATGGCAAGCAAGCCGCCATATTCGATGAGAGATCCGGTTACCGGCTTCTTCGAACACAGAAAATTTTCGGCACCTTCCCAGTTGAAGATTCCTTTTTTGCGGGGAACTGGCGATCGAGGAGATGGTATGATTCGCGTTCACAAGCCTCTCTGTAGGCCTCTCGCATATGCGGGTGTCGCCGGCAGCCAATTCACGAGACAAAAGCTATCATAAGTGATCTGCGCCGGCTATTGCCGTTAGGGAGACGCAGACATTGTCCGAGTTCGCCCTGTTGTAGCTAATACCAGGAGCAGAGTTAGGACGTGAAGAGCGGCAGCGGGAATGTATGTCTATGATGTGGACAGGGAAGGGTGATTCTTCTCAACCCGGATCATTAGATCAATACGGGACGACCGGCATACTGTTTCTTTCGGATAGTCAGTCTCCAGCATCGATTTCCCAGCCGATGATGCGCCTTGACAATTCCTGAAACGGAGTGTTTTCTCTCCCGTGTTCACTTCTCGCGTTTGTATATCCGACTTCTTTGAGAGTTTGCCTTGACCTTGAATGAAGCATGTCTGTCTTGGTGACAAGGCTGCAGATTAACGAGCAGAAATCGTCAGCCCAAGGATTATGCGTACAAGTATCTGTTCGATTCATCAATAAGGGTCGCTTGGATTTGATAATGCGCTTTTCGTTTGGAGTTCGTCCCGGAAACTAGAGGCAAGGACGAACAGGTTGCGTCGGCAAAGAGTGGTTGAATGTGTTGTTCAGAGTTGCGGCTATGACGCTTTTCCGCATTGTCTGGCCTAGCTTTTGGTGGTGCTGTTCATGTCCAGCCTGGCGAAAGATGATCGGATGACATGCTTCCCAGGGTATACCGAGCAAATATATCCCAGTCAGGATCTTGGCCCATCTTGTTGCTACGATATCGTCTATGATATAGTGTATCAGGTTGGCCGAAAGTTCGTACAGATGGGCTTCATGTGGTTAGTAGTGTAGCAAACTTTCAAAGCATCAATATCCTTTTCAAGGTAGGCAGCGGTGCTTGTGGACACCAGATTTACTTTGTCGAGTCCTTCGATGTGCAGCATTGTTCAGGGAGATCCAGTTGTATCCCTCCACATATCTTGCCACATCAAACATTGCACGCGTTCCTGAGTCATGCGTCTGTCGTGCTTTATAGGAAGGGATAAGGCGGGTCACCGCGGATTCTGTAGTCGAGCGGGGCCGTTCCTCTTATAGGCGGGTATGCCCAATTCTCAAGGGTATTATGTATCTGTGAGGAGTATGGTTGACCTGCCCGGGTAACTCTGAGACGATGTGTATCTCTCAAGCTCGAATCGAACGAGCTTGAGCCCTTCTATGCCCGGATGCTTTGCTAGACACTCAGCCACCCTCATCTGGCGAGCAACACTGGAGCATCATGCTTTGGAACGGGCTGAAGGGAGTCCTCGAGGACTTTGATAGATCTAGAGCGACAGAAAAAGCGCGCGGGTAGAATATTCGTGAAGAAACACTGGTATATCCGGCGAGTTTCTTTGATCTATTTCTGTCGTTGGCTGGCACCCACCATATAGATAGTAGGCTGGGGTAGGACTTGCGATATCGACGCGCCCTATCTAAAGAAATGAGAGTTAGCTTTCGCTAGTATCGGAGAGAAAAGAACCATCGCTCGTCCTTACCCTTATGCTGCCATCTTGTTGCTTGATCAAATCTCTGTCCTCTCTTCTTCCAGGAAGCGGAAGGGTTCTTGTTGGACTGATTACTTTCCCCCTGTTGCTTCGAGCACAGATAGCAGCCATAGTTTCCCCACGACTCCTGAAGTCAGTAATGCCCCGAAAGCATAAGGTGCACTCTTCCTGCTTTAGACTCAAGAGATAGCCGTATTCGGCAATTGATAAACATGTACCGTACTCGCAGCACATCAGCCCCCCTTGCCTCGCTCTTCGCGAGTGAGGCGTGCTGAAGTTCATCGCCAGGTACCATGACATTGTTGGTAACCTTGTGCTTTGGGGCGAGGTTGTATCCAGGGCGTGGGAGAGAACCGAAACCATATTGATCCCAACCCACCTCACAGATTATATCCTTGGCGAACAGGCTCTGTGAGTGATGTATGAGTGGGGTTTCGCGGGGTTGTGTATCAATAAGGTGTGTAAGATTCTTGCCTGGTAGAGAATCAAGTAGGTAAGAATTTGTTGAGGACATTCTCTGGCTTTAACTCAGGACTCACACCATCGTATATACCCAGTACCGCCTGTAGGCTTCACATGTCGACTGCATTTATCCTACGTTAAACTCTAGATTGTTAGGCTAAAGCGACCGTCTATCTACCAGAAAGGTTAATGAAGAGGGATTAAAGGGGCCATGGACTCCAAACCTTGAGCCTCGACGGCCTCACAGTTTGGGGCTCTGAATAGTCCTCTCGGGGATTCTGGAAGGTCGGTGATTGAGCAGCATGATCCCCAGGTCCATAGTAGAGGGCGAGAACCCGGATTCAGAATCTGTCCCATCCGAGCCGTCAGTCCCAGATACCCGTAACAACGCACAGTCAAGATCGAGGTGAGGATTCCATCACTTACTTGCACATGTCTAGAATTACAGGCCTTCATTCCAAGTAGCGCCTGGTTCTAATCGGCGTCTGCCAGCGTGACCGAGGTACAATGAGCCATTCTTCACGGTTCTCAGTGCTACTTAGGCGCAGGACTGCGGATTATCCTGTCAGAACTGTGCTTGAAGTTCATAATCTTGGGATTTGTTTGCTGTCGCATTCTGGATGCTTCGCTAGCGAGTATCAGCGCCGGGTAGCCATCGTCGGGAGCCACTCTTTCAGCAGCACTGCCACGCGTTGACAACCTAGAGGCATTGTTGGTTCTGAGATATTGAAGCAACATCCCATAGGGTCGAAGAAGGTGCTCTAAAGGGATGAAACGAAACAAGGATTGCCGTGAGGGACTGCTGGATATGGATGCCCAGAACTGCGTTGAAGCGGCCACGCTGGCGTCACGAGGACTTGCAAGTCTACCTCACAGCTTTTGTTCCCATTGGAAAGGTTGAGTTGTCGATTAGAGCCGTCAAATAGTCGTCGTCGCTCCCATAGGTTGAGGCTCCGTATGCCAAAGCGTGGCTTCTGGTGCGTATCAGTACCTTTCTGGATTGTCGTGAGATTACGAACTTAGGATACAGACAGGCTGCCTTGGAACATTCCTTCCTTCCAATACATCAGACGAGTCACGGGATCCGGGTGGGATAGTCTTCGGTCATGATAGTGAAAAAGGCATCATTGTCTTTGGCGACCTCATGAGCATTGTCTGCTCCAGGCTCCTTGAGGAGATATGCTCTGGCGAATGGCACCGAGTCGCTCAGCTCACTGATGGATATCAGAGTATTTGTTCCTGCGATGAGGGACTCAACTTTTGAGCTCTAGGATCCAGTCACAAACAGCAGGCAGAAGCTTGACTATCTGCGATCACAAAAGCCCAATATGGTGTATAGACTGATGCGTCTCCTCTATCATGTTATCGCCAACCCATATGTCGTAACGCTTGGTGTCTCTGTCGCGTCGCCACGTTTTTCCCGCATCTGACGCTGCCATGGATCCTGGCGTGGTACCTGTTATTGGCCGAAAGGTGTTAGTAACGACAACCCTCACATTGAAGACAAAGCGCAGTGGGAACATACCAACTTGTTCTATAATCAGCCCCGTATATTCCATCAACAAGTCTCTGTACCTAGGGGATTGTTGACAAACTTCACTATGGAGACTCTACCTTATACTCGTACCGCAGCGGAGTTATGTATCTTGCTAAACGGAATCGGTGAATGGCCGCTCCGAGGACGATGCAATCGAGGAGGGTCTCTTGGTAATGAGATCCAAAAAGCACCCCGTCCTGATTATCCGCATGGTTGGATACTGTCGAGAGGGAGGGGCCCTGGCAGAGTACGTTAGTGGCACTGACTTTTATCTCACATATACATCAGACCTTTCTTATATAAGGCATTCATAGGAAGCTGCTCACCATTCTACGTATCAAGTGACCTCTCCCGGGAGACCTGGCGCTTTGGTGACGATGGTGACATACTCGTCGAGGTCTGTAGCAATCCGCGTGCAATTGACGTGTACCTGGTCTCTGCCCAGGCTAGGTTTTTCAACTAATGAATAAGCTGTTAGCAGACTTCACAGCATCAAGGTGGTGTAACAGACGATGCGGGCACATATTGGGCTTCACCGGCAGCTGGCTCGAAAACATAGGTGATAGTCTGGACAGACATAGACCGGGATGAAGTTGTTCAAAGTCTTGTGCAACAACAAAAAAGCAAGAAAGGTCATCAGTGCCAACATGATTGAGAAGAGGAACAAAAGGGGATTAACAGGCAACAGCCGTTACTCTAATCCCAACGCAACCCAATGTTGCCATCTGGATTGACAGCCTCTTGTTCAAGATGATACAGCCCCGATGTTGCACTCTTGTGCGTTCTCATCCTGGATACAGATATAAAGGCGTGGTATAATTCATGACTTGATGACAGAAGGATCAATCGATGGGGGTGGAAGGGAGAAATGGGAAGAAACGAGGAAGAAAGTGTCAGATGATACTCTTGGAGGATCAGCTGGCTGGTGAGATGTCCTTCTGGCTGTGGTTAGTAGATCACAGAAAGTACATAGATGAAGCGTTGGTATATATGATATACATATATAAATAAATATATATGGCGCCCGGGGAATAAAATAGGACGAGGAGTACGAGGACAGGCATCAGAGTATTTAAGCTGGAGGAGACATGGGGAGGCAGAGGGCGAGGGAGATGGTGAGAAGGTTGGAGGGAGGCGCGGGAAGTGAGTAGGACCGTACTGTATACTGATACACAATGCAATACGCCTCAATGATACATTGAGGATAGAAAGAACAAATAGACTCGCTGGCCTTGGTACCAGACTCCTGTTGTACAACCCTGGGAGAAAGCATCGTTGAACCTTAGGTATCAATACAGATAAATCATGCCACCCATCCAGCAGAACAAATCAAGTATCACCACTTCAGCAGGTCGTACTCGTCAAGTACCTGTGCTACCAATCTGAAACTTTTCACGACCCATCGCCATCACAGCCACAGCCACCGTCCCGTTCAACTCGTCATCCACTGACTATCGTGCTCCAACCAGGCCTCGAAATTCTTCAATCCGGGATGCATCTTCCTCAGCCCTTGGATATCCGCCCCATACCCATGTTCATAGAACCAGTTAAACATGACGCGCAAGTCACTGACCATCCACATCAGTAGGTAACAAACGACCCGATACGTGGTGGGCATATTCTTCCCCGTCTTCGCCTTGAAGGTCTTCTGCATATGCTCATACGTCATATCATCCCCCGCCAGAGACAGACACTGGTTCTTATATCGCTGCGGCTCCAGAAAAGCCTTGGCCGCAAAAACCCCGATATCGCTGACCGCGATGCACTGCAAGGGTTTGCCCTGCAGGTAGGCATCAAAGGCCGTGGCGCTCACCTTGCCCACGAAGGTCGGGACCAGATTTTCGAAGAAGAAGACCGGTCGAAGAACCGTCCAGTCCATGGCCCCCGTCTTCGTTTTCTCGAACAGATGGTGCTCGATACGATGCTTGCTGATGAAATGGGGGATGTTGGTTGGGTTGTCGGTGGAGGCGTCACCACCGCGGTCGACGGAGCTGTAGACGAATTGTTTGACTTCGTGCTTGATGGACTCGTCGATCAAGGCCTTGCCTTGCTGTTCTTCCTTGGTCACATTTTGGCCTTTGGCCATGGGAGTCTGGTTTCATTACTCTCTGCTAGGTACTAGTATAATTTAGAAAAATTACTAGGGAATTACCTGGACGCTAAACACCCCAGTGATAGGCAAGGCAGTAACTTTCTTCGCATTCTCGAAAATCTCGGCCGGATGATCAAGGTCGCCCTGGACTAGTTTAATCTTGGGGGATTTCTCGGTCAGCTTCTGCGAGGTGCCTGACTGCGGGTTGCGTGTCACGGCGAGGATCTCGACATCGGCGTCCTGGGCGAGCAAGGCGTTGATGACCGCGCCGCCTTGGTTGCCTGTGGCTCCGGTGATGAGTAGCGCAATAGTCATGATGGATGATGAGCTTGGAATACTAGAATACGAAGGACTACTGGATCCAGGGGTAAGTGGAACAGCTGGGGGTAGCTCTATCTCCATACGAATAAGGTCGGACGATCTCCCGGATTTGTCATGTTGAGATCATTCTCGACCGGTCGCGGCCATGCCTCCCGACCATGACTAAGGAAGACCCAAGACCCAAGCATTCTTGCGTGATACTATTGCTGTAAATGCCTGCTTCGTGCAGGGTCAGGTGGATGGCCTGGATGGAGCAGGATGACGAGGGCCGAGACAATAGTCTCTCTCAGCGTCGCGGTACAGTTACAGTCACAATACCAACCGTCGCCCCCCGCCCTGAGCTCCTAGGAGCACGGTCATCCAACAACTCCCAACCCCACAAAAAGCGCGAGTCCAGGTCATCGAGCTCAACGCAGCCCTGCCTGGCCTGACCCACCCTATTCTCGCCTTGTGACAGTTTATAAAAGCGCGCACCCCGTCGGGCCGAGGTCATCTCACCGACCTGAGGCGGCCATTACGTACAAAGTAGTACATCCTCCCAGCCGGTCGTCGCACGGTTGTAGGCTCTGGCCTCTGATCGGGTGATGGACACCAGCGACCCCGCCCAGGTACACCCAGCACGTCTTTACCCAAAGCAGTAAAAGAATCACAAACCCGGTAGTCTCGTCCCCAGCTGGCAGCTTTCATCGCCCACCTGACGAAACCTATTTTCGTCTCTGACCGCAAAATGGGCAAAACTGCCGCCATCTGTTCCCCGACGATCCAGCCCGATGGAAAAGGCGGGGGAATTCACCCTGGGGCCTCGAGAATATTGCTCAAAGCAGCCTAGTCTGGATCGCCGCTCACTCCACCACTCCACAGGTTCCACTTGTGCACTCAGACGGGGTTGAAAACCTCCCCAACAGGCAGTTATGACTAAGTAACTTCTCATGGGAGGCGCATCCAACCACTGCGGATGGCGTTACGTACGGGAAATCCCTCAAAGCACGCAACTTACCCCGCAACTTGCCGCTCGCAAAGCTCTTTCTAGCAGGTGATCTTGGCCAGCAATGCTGTTGGTCGAGACTCTTTGGTAGCATCCCAATTTTGCGGTGACGGGGCCCCCTGGGTCCCCTTCAGATATTTCTCCTATGATGTCATCGATGAATGTCTGACTAAATGGCTGGATATACACTGCCGCGGGCTTCTAAGCAAGTGGAATATGGTCTTTCGCTAGATACAAAGGGTGAAGCTATTTGTCGAGATTCATGCCGGAAGGTTGCGGTGTCAAGTTACCCTCCTTGGGGCAATGCAAGCAAGTGCTCGTGGGTCCCGGATACTTGGTAGATGCAGATAATGGAAAGGACTCCATAAACGGTGCAAACACCTCCTGGACCAAGCGACGTCTCCAGTCTCCGGGACGTTCCGTATCCTCCCAACTGTCAATCTCGTCAGGTTGATACTCCAGGCTATGTCTTCGACTCTGGGGATAGACACCACGCTGGCTAGGCCGAAAAGGCAGGGAGGAGTCGGCTCTCCGTTGCTGCAGTCGCTTGCGGGATCGCTGCAGCTTCTCGAGACCTCGTGCAATCTCCTGTTTATTGGCCTTGAGGGTGTCACTGAATTGGAATCCAAAGATTGGACTCGAGTGGTCCGAGTCATCCTCGGGGTAGGCGTAGTGATAGGTGTATTCCCGCTGGTGTCGATCCTCGCGTCGGATCTCTGCATCAGTGCGGTTCCGCTGTGGCAGCAAGTGGATGAGGTTGCACACATAAAGAGGGAAGTCGTTGGGTGACAGACGGAAAAAGAGCCGCCCCGTATCGTTGGGATCAATGCGCGACCGGTCCCGTTGTCGAAGAGTATCCCGGGCATGATGGAAGCTGATGGGGTTGGGTAGTGACACTGTCTGAGTCACTGGCTTAGATGCCAAGGTTCCAGCCGAGTAGTCAAAGAACGACTGGGGATCCGTTTCACCCTGGTAAATGGCCAGTCGCATGCCCTTTAAATTTAGGCGGTCCAATTCGAGGAGCCCGCCATCCCAAAACGTATCTCGCCAGGTCTGTTCCGCATAGCGGAAGTAGATCTCGACCGAGACGGTGGATAAGCCGCGGAAGGCCTGGCTGATCAGGGAGAAGGTCTCGTTCCATTCGGGGAGGTGTGTCTCCACGCTCTGGACCAGTGGGACCCGGATGTGAAGATGGGCTATAGAGGAGACTTGCCAGGCTTTCAGGCAGTAGGTGAAATTCGCGAAACTCGCGAGTTCCTGGGTGAAAAAGGAGGTTCGTTGGTAGGGCAATTCTCGTGCCTCGTTATATACCTGGCGGCAGGTACGGAGGAAGCCGAGACTAAGCGACGGGATCCTTTCCAGCGACTGGGGGCAAGGATAGTGCCCGGAGGCAATAAGTGGGCCGTGCCCGACGTACATGTCGCGACTGACAGCTTGCCCTTGAGTGGACTGGCATCCGGGATGACTACTACAGAAGCCATCCCAGCTATTTCGATTCGTCTGGTCAGCCATGAACTCGCGTCGAACCATGCGCCAGCAATTGTCGACGGGACACCAGACGGGAATCGGTCTGCGTCGGATTTCGCACGCCTCGGTCTCGAACACCGCCTTGTAAATCAGGATCCGGATCTCCGCCGGCAATGATAAGAGGTGTCGTTTGGGGCTTGCAAGGCTGTCAGATTAAAGAAAAGTACATGCTGGGAGTCCCTACAGGGACGCAAGAGGCCTACCGTTCTGAATCCATGGCAAGGTTCTGCGTGGTGGACGGTTCGTGGAGCGAACGGGAGGGAAGTATAGGTCTATAGATCATCACACTCAAGGCATGGGAACTGAAAACCAAGGAAACCGGATGGCCACCGGGGGAGGATCATCCTGCTTAAAAGGCGTGGGAAATGCCAACGAGGAGGTCATTTGGGCAGAAAATATAGCATGGCCAATGCAAGGGCCACATCATGTTTATGCGATTTCTGACATAATAAAACGAAGAATCCGAATCTTGGGAGAGCCGAAAAATGACGCGATGGTCGGGGGTGGTATTTTTGGTACCAGGCTGCTGTCCCCGCTTCACCGGCGCGGCGCCAATCCACGCGGGCCCATGCAAAGGGCCGCCCCATCGCCAATCATTCCCGTCGTCCGCCAGCTAGTTCACACCCTAACGGTTTCATGCCAGTTGATAAAGGTCTATCTCGCTATCTCAGGCCCACCGGAACAGGGATCATGACTAGCATCTGCTGCTCAGCCCCGACGCCGGTAGAGCGCGTAGTGAACAGCCACAATAGCCTGCCGCGGGACAGAGGGGGAGGATGAGGTATAAAGCGGCCATTAGAACCGCTGGGTGATGGAAGGATGATGGAACTATAGATACACCCTCAGACCGAGTCGACATCCCTTCTTGTATAGTGGGATCACCACCCTTGTTCCTGTCCCAAGCCATCTCATCATGGCTCCCCACTACTCATCCGACCATCTCTCCGACCATCTCTCCGACATCCTTCGGCTCTATCCCGATGAAGAACCCTGGTGTGCCGGCTACGCCCCCTCCCAGGGACGTCGCTGTCATGCCTCCACCAACGCCGCAAACCGCAGTCAGGCACGTCGCCTCCTCGACCAAGGGACCAGAATGATTCAGGCTGGGCACTGTATCGATAAACTGCTCGATAACCTTGCTCCACTGGTGCTCTGCAAGAGGTGGCATCAGGGTCAGGCTTCTGGTTTGGCCGATCGATGGATCTTACGAGTCAGTGAGTACCTGGAAAAGCAGAAGCCGACAAGGCAGCCACAGCCACAGCGACGACCGCAATCACAATCCCAACCTCGGTTCCAATCACCGCAGCGATCACATTCACAGGCGGCATATGATGTTTCCGATTTCTCGAACCGACTCGCCGAGCTCGAAAGACAGGTGCAGGCTGCCGAGAAGGAGGCGGAGAAGGCACGTCGGTGGGAGGAGAGGGCCGAGAGGGCCGAGAGGGAAGCCGAGCGGATCAGGCAGATTACTGAGGACTTGGTGAGAAGAAGCGTGGCAATGGGGTTCGCCAGGGGACAAGAAGAAGCAGGAAGAAATGCAGCGGCGACTGGACAAGTGAATGGAACCCGGAGAGAGTCACAAATGGGTGGTTTGATGTCGGTATCCCGAGAAGATGCTCGTGGACGGGACGTTGCGATCACCCTGCAGACCAGCACCACGACGACTCTGAGCGCAGGGTCGCAGGCTAACCCAAACACCACCACTTCCAGGGTGCAAAGAGCAAGCAATGAGACCGCCACTTCGGCTCAGACTGGGCAACGTGCTATCAATCCAGTCTCTGTATCCAATAGCAGCGGCAGTGCACCAGTTACTTCACCCCCTGTCGAGCAACGTGCTGTCAATACCAGCTCTGTATCCAGCACACCTGATAACAACAGGGCCAACACCACCCCGGTTACTTCATCCTCTGCTGAGAGGCGCGCGGTCAATGTGGCATCTGTATCCGTTACCAGCAACAGCAACGCATCAGCCATCCCATCCCCCGTTAGCTCTGCATCCAGTGCGCCTGATAGCAACACAGATAGTACCGCACCAGTCACTTCACCCTCTGCTGAGCGGCATGCACTCAGTGTGGCCTCTGTGGCCGATGCCGATACCAGCAACGCACCAGCTACTTCATCCCCTGCCAACACTGCATCCAGTGCTCCCGATAGCAACACAACTAGCAGTACACTGATTACTTCTGCGACTGAGCTACCTGCTGCCAGTGCGGCCTCTGTATCCAGCACCACCGATACCAACTCCAGTGCACCAGATACTCCCTTGCCTTCCGAGCAAGCTAGTGTCGAATCCAGTCTCAGCACCAGCAGTACCAACAGTACCAGCGACACAACCAGCACAATCAACCCTACCACCACAGATATTGACACTCCCAACACAACAACAACTACTATTACTACACCAGCAACTCAAGAATCCCCTACTCCCCCAACCGAACGAGACACAACCCCTCAAGAAACACCATCTCAGCCCATCCCAATCATCCACACTCAACCCACTCTAACATCCCCTCCGTCCTTCGCACCTCTCTCTCCCATTCCAACAACCATATCCGCACACGGCAAAACCCGCCAACCCATCGACGGCGACTGCTGCATATGCATCTTTCCTCTACGAGACAGCCCCAACACTAACGACACCGACAACATCCTAGTCTGGTGCCAGAAACAATGCGGTGTCAATATCCACCGCTACTGCATGGACGCATGGGTCGCCTCCTCATTGAGTCGAAGGATTGATGCAACATGTCCCATGTGTCGGGCACGATGGTAGAATGCTTCTTCCTCTTCTTCTTTTCTCCCTTTCTTAGTGGTTTACTATTGATGGCGTTATTGTTGGTGTTGATGTCTGTGTTCTTCTTCTCGATTTCCAATATCCCCATCACTAGTTATCCAGCGTTATGATTGAAACCGGTATGACATGACATGATATGATACGATCTCACAAATTATGATGAAATCTGATGACTGACGTTTTCTCACTCTGGTATCGACGTGGATGAAGATTACCTTTGATAGATAGTATTTCGTACATGTACCGACCACTGCATCCCAATGCACGCCGATTCCTCCCCATCTGTCCTCCCCTTCGTACACCCTAGTACCTACCTAGCTATACCATACATCAATACACATTACCATCGACTGGGAAAAAGGGTCTACTATTCTCAGGTTAAATTACCCACTAAGCGGACCTTCCTACAACCAGCATCGAGAATAGCCTGCTTGAGAATATGAAATCTAGACCAGTATATGGAGAGGAGGTGCGATATTAGTCATCTAAATATTGGCTTCGTGTGAAATGTATCTATATGGCGCTGGTGGGTCTCTAGGCGATTTTGATTAGAGTAATGTACGAAGGAGAATTGCTACATGTCTACGAAGAGTTTGAAATGATGGAAGGATGTGGTTTGGGTGAAGCATTGCCAATTTGAGGTAAGTATATTATCATACCCACAGATACACAAATAGAAAAAGAGATAAAATTGAGACTGATACCGAAACCGACGCCGAGCCTTTCGCTGAAGCAAAACAAGGGAATCAAAAATGACAAGCAAGACAGCGTTTCCGCTGTCATATCTCATCAGTATCACTCCGTGATCCAGCGGAGGTATACCCAGCCCAAAAGTATATAGTAAACAAAAACTCCGACAATCCAAGGGGTATCAACTACCCCACCCCGAAGACAGCGCCCCCGCTAGTCTACGAGACGCCCCGACCACCTTATCTAGTTTCCGGTTCCAGTAATTGTCTGAATATGCGTCAGCGTGTGCTGACTCGGGCGCTAGGTACAGTGCGTCGCATCTCATACTGCCGTACTTTGGAGGGTAATCGGGTGCATGATACCGCCGATAGCTGGCGAGGGCCTCGTTCCACCGATCTGGACTGTCAGAGCGCGTATCATAACTCCCGGCGTATGGCTGAAGGGGCGAGTGTGGTTTGATATCCGGTTCCACGAGTCGGGGGTTGGGAAGAATGAATGTTTTGGGCGCGCTCTCGGCGGCAGAGCTCAATCTTGTCATCCATTGAATGTACCTCCGCGTGGGTCGGGGGTGCATAATACCGGCTTGGGAAGGGAATCTTGGCCGTGGGGATGGTTCCGAGTCTTGGGACAAGTCCGACAGTCTCAATGGGGCTTCAGTGGATCGTTCAAGCAGAGGCGGTGGTCTGAAAGGATAGCTCAAGCGAGCAGACATCTTGACGGGTCTCGGCCGTTGAGATGGTTCTGAGTTCTTGTCCATGTCGCTGCGAAACACCGGGGTTTCAAAAGCCCCCTGAGGTTGGTTTGGTGCCTCGGAAGGAGGATCCATGCGAGTAGACATTTTGGCGAATCGCGGCAGCGAGGATGGCCCACAGTCACTGTTCAATTCGGAGACCCTCAATGAGGCTTCGACGGGTCGCTGGAGCAGATGTGGTGATCTGAAAGCAGATTTCAAACGAGCAGACATTTTGACGGATGTCGGCTGCTCGGTTGGTTTTGAGTCATTGTACAAATCGGAAACTTTCAATGGAGCTTCAACTGGCCTCTCGAGTCGATGCGGTGATTTGGAAGGAGAACTCAAACGAGCAGGTGTCTTGGTAAATCTCAGCGGCGGAGATGGTTCCACATCGTCGTACAATTGGGAATCATGTAATAGAGGTTCGTCAAAGGCCTGCTCAAATCGATGCGATTCCTCGGAAGGAGAGGTCAAACGAATATAAGGATTCACAGGATGATTTCCCTCTTCCTTTCCCTTCTCTTCCACGGTCTCGTCTTCCTCTTCTTCGTCCTCTGTTTCTGACGCACTGTCGTAAAACGTATATTTCGAACCACGAGTATTCTCAGAGGTACACTCTGTGCGGTGAAGAGGAGGAATGCACTGGGAATTGTCGTCATTTTGTTCCATCCACGAAATGGTGGAGACCCGCGTGGATGGCCGGGGGGAAGAGCACGGTGTAAAGGCCTGTTCCTCGTCACTTTCCAGGCTTCTAACCTCGACAGACGGCGCGGGCTCATACGGCTCCAATTGTGATGGCAGGCCGACATGCACGAAGCTACTATCAGAAGCAGGATACTCGGGGCTTAGAGAGATCTCCATGTGGCTGACCACCTTGAGGGTGTTGGCACTCAACCCCTCCAGCTGAATGTATGAGTTCTTGGATCCGGTCGAGTTGTCTGGTTCTCTTTCGGTGGATTCTCTCTCGCACTGAGGACACGCGGTAGGGCAAGACAGGGGCAGTAGGTCGTGCGCAGCAGTAACCCCATGGGAAGGCGGAGGGGTAGAGATACGCAGCGCATTCATCATGTCGAAGCAGGTATCAAGGCTGAAGCAACCGATGTGGCCGCAGCCAATGAAGTGGTGGTAGATGTATTGGCACATGTTGTGATTCGACTCTCAGAGTAGACTTGGTCTGTACGTATGAGAGAAGCCAGGTTGTATGGGGAAGACAAACACCCCACACGGCCGATTTTTAAGAGGATTTAAATAGCATCTGCAGTGCACCTGAAAGGACAATGGGGACGACAATTGCCTTTATTTCTGTCATAGTTCGTACTCCATGTGCAGCAAAGGCATATCCCGGCCGTGTCGTAGGAACCATCCAAGAAATCATTCCGAGTCTGTTTCTCCGTCCAGATCAACCAAATACTTGACCCCGGAATCCAACAGCCACCACGCGGCAAGTTCATGAAAGAAGCGCAACACCGGATTCTCAAGTGGCATTGTGGCGCGGTGCATCTCGTCCATCCTTGTCCACATCGCCGTTTCACTCGCAAAGACAACGTCTTTGTCCTCGTCCCAGAGCCGGACGACCAATCGCCCCTCGACCTCTTTGTGCATCATTCCAAATTCGACTTTGTCCGCGCTCCGCTCCAAGACACGGTATATTCCGCAAATGAGATCGCCCTTGTCGAAATTCAGGGAACTAATATGCGACGCTTGGAACGTGGGGCGGATCTCGACCGGACTGATCGCCCACAACATGTATGCTTGGGGGAAGTTCGCGAAGGCCGTCATATTCCGACGGAGGAAGACGGTCAAGATGTCGGTATCCTTCTGGTGGGGGAGCAGCTGGCGCGGCACCCGCCGAGTGGCTCGATCATGGAGCGCGTAGTATTCCGATGTGTAGACCTCGGGAGGAATTGTAGTGATGGTGGTGCAATCTGAGCTGAGGAGAGATCCGTAGCATTTTTCGTGGTCGATCCGATTCTTCAGGCAACGGTGGAGCAAAGTCAAGTAGGTGAAGGTGCCGAGGGAAGCAGCGAGGAGGAAGGCTGAAACGGAGAGAAGCGCGGGCATTCTACCAACCGAGTGCTGGCGGTGTAACCAGCGAAGCACACGGGCATGGCGGCCGTCGTCTTCAACTCCCGGTGAATTGGGCTGGTTTTAAGGGATGGGAGCTCCCCGATAACCTTATTTGGGGAATGACGATCTTGGAGACGAATACGAGGCCGACCCCATCATTGGCGAGCTGCTGGTCGCATGCAGCCAGGCCCATCGAGGTGGCGGCGTTCTCCATCGATCTTGCCTCTACACAAACAGCACTGGTCCAGAGATCAAATGCTCTTTTGGCATCGAGGAAATTCATTAAGAGTATGTATTCAGTATATCATCCATCTCCATCCCGAAAGACTCAGGCTTATGACTCCAGCACCCAATTCATTAAATCAACGCAATCCGGCTTCGCCCAGATCCTCCAGAACGCGCGGGTATCCTTGACGGATGGGACAAGTACATTATAAAGAAGAAAAAGGAACTCTCGCCAATCGGTGAAGTGATATAGCCAGCCCAAGTTCAGTCGTTTGCTTCCCTTCGGGCACTTCGCTGCATCCTCCCCTCCTTGTATCACATCGTCGGTCGGACCGGTTGAAGACGCAAACTACCTCTGCTCGACCTCATATGATTGTTTCGCTGCTTTCCGTGCCATGCACTTCCGGTAGATGAACAGCGCGATGATTCCCACGGCGACAATAAAGACGATGCAGAAGACCAGCACCACCCCGGGATTCTCGCTAGCCCAGTTGCTCCGCTTGATGACTTGGTGTCGTGCTTCGATAGCAAGGAGGTCGATGGCGGCCATGATCTGTTGGTGATTAGTCTGTTGCAGGAGATTGCCAAAAGCCGGTGGTGCTCACTAAGAACGGCCGCACAAATTCAGCAGATGGGACTGAAGACGAGATGAAGCTACCCACGACTCCAGGGAAGACAACGGCACGGGAGGCAGAGGGAATACGACGCAAAGAGGATAAAGGAGAAAGGAAAGGAGTTGGACGGGCGGGTGAACAACCCTGGTTGCTGGTAGGACTGGCTGCATCGGGAGCAGCGGAAGGTCATGACAGCAAGAAGCGCCATGACGTGGAGGAGCGCACATGCATGCAACGTTGGATGGCTGAAGGAAGGCAGCCAGGGCTGGTCCATGAAGCTTAATTCTGACAGGAGGGATGTGGATAAGTCAAAGGATCAATCGAGAGCTACAATTGGGGTGAAGTCATTCCAGTGTGCATCGGCGAGCGGCACTCTAGAGCAGGTCTTGTCTTCCCCACCCTTTGTCGCACAGCGCCCATCCACCTCATCGACGCACTTTCTCGTCCCTTCATCCCCAAGCGACTGACGCGACATTACTGCCCCGATGGTTGACAGCAAGGTACTGTCATGAAATCAATTGCGATCAAGGTTTGGCGATCCGCTCGTCCCGCTGGCGTCACCACTCGTTCATGGCCATGGTTCTTTATCTTCCTGCGACCTCCCGATTCGTGCCCGACCGGGGATGCATGCGAGATAACCGAATTGCGCACAGAATGATTGGGGTTCACCTGTAAGCGACAGCTGGGCTTTGTTGACAGGACACGAAACTCTTATCTGGTGGTGGTGGGAGTATCATTGACGTCATGCATTTGGTCCGCCCTTATCTAAGCGGTCTTTCTCGGTTGATACTTCAATATCCACGAGGCTGATTGCAGAAACAATGCCCTCCAGCTGGAACGCCAGAATGCCTGTCATAAAGAAAGGCCCAAGGTCCACGCATTAGGGCTGATCGTCCCCACCAGGGCCCATTCGCTCGTGTTCGGCCTATCACAGCCAATCATCCTTCCCGCCAGACTCGAAGATCGGCGTGTCGAGATGGAGGCATCAACAGAGGCATGCGACCTGCTTGGTGACAGCCAATCGGGCAGTTCTGATGCTGGACAGGGTCTGCCAACTGGACCCTGCCAAGTCTGTCCGTCCCGAGTCATATCCAGGCCACTATCCTATTGACCATTCTCACGACACCACCAACACCCCAGTGCCCTTCCAGTAAAGATCTCCCCTATCCCGAAACTCTTCATCAAAATACGAGACTAGCTTCTTGGTGGCCACATTATACACCACACCGATTTCTTAGTAGAGTCTGTTCTCCCGGTAGGAGAATACCACCATATATCCAACCCAACCCTACCCCAAACACGCACCCATCCACCTACTCCCTCACTTCCTTTCACAAACACCCTCTAATCCTAACCCCCCTCAAAATGCACCCCCAAACCCTCCCAATAACACTCACCCTCCTCCTATCAGCCCTAATATCCTCCACAACGTCCTGGACCCTAACCACCCGCAACTCCACCACCGGCGCAACCATCATCCACGAAACCGCCCCCCAACCCTGCACGCCCATCCACCATCAACAAGGCTACGAATTCTCCTTCGACCCCGAAGGCTCCTGGTGTTTGGATTTCTGGAGCGAAGCAACATGTCAAACCCGGATTGGGTGGTCGTGTGATGGCCAGGTCTGGAGGAAGGTCGCGTCCAAGGATATTGATGCTTTTGATGTTTATGTTATGCCCAATGAGAGTACTAGTACTAGTACAAGTACAAGTACAGGGGTGAGTGGGAGTACGGGTGTGGTGGTGGACGCGAGTGCGAGTGCGAGTGCGACTGGGTCTGGGGATCGGAATGCTACAGCCACAGCAACTGGAACTGGGACGGCTGCTACACAGCAGGCGGATGAAAATGGGGCTGTGAATTCGGAGTCACAGTCCGGGTCAAAGATATCGGGTGGTGCTATCGCGGGAGTTGTGGTGGGAGTTGTTGCTGGGGTTGCTGTTCTGGGTATGTTGGGCTTCTTATTGTGGAGGAGACGGGGGCAGAAACGGGTGGATGCTGGGGATGGAGCAGGACAGGGTACTCATGGGTCTCCTGAATCGGGTCCTCGTGGGGAGCTTGATGCGGAGGGTGTTGTGGCTGGCCAGAAGCCTGTCGTGTCGGAGGTGCAGAAAGGACATGCGGAGTTGTATCACGATGCTCATTCGGGGATGAAGAGGGCTGAGTTATCCGGTCAGGGGGCGAGTGCGGAGTTGGGTGGTCATCAGGTGGCAGAGTTGGATGGACAGGGCTATGAACGGAAGGCTGGATGAATCAGCGGGTGAAGAAGTTGGGAAATGTGATCTGTCTGATATGGAGTTGTCAGATTATTCGTGTAAATGAAGGCCATGAGCATCACGTGATGCATAGAATATCCTCTCTTGTTATGAAAAGACGGTCAATTTGGTCGTTCCTTGGCAACAAGCTCCGAGCAAGGTTGCGAATAAGTCTTCTTTGTATCGACCGGCTAACGCCAATGATCTAGTATCAATGTGGATAGTGCTTTGCTTGTCGTTCAACTAATATGTTCAAATATGGTTGGCAAATAACAAAAGCAACCAACTATGTCCAAAACACGCGACCAATTGCGCAAAAGAAATTGGGTATCCAAGAAAACAAACAATATCTGCATCAAGTCCTGGCAGCTCGATGCACTTCTGTTCGCCCGCTATTATGCCAAGTTGCCAGCAGCGCACCGCAGTTTCCACAGTAATGATTCTGGTCCTTTAGCGATGATGCCATGTATGGAATGCACCCGAGACATAAGCAGCAGCAGAGTACTGCAGCCCAAGCACTGGGATTATCAGTTACGGTTCGCCTTTTTAGACAGATGCACATACTGAGTGGTGTTTCCCGATTCCGCTTGTACTCGGGTCATCTGCCGTTGTCCGCAGGCCGGGCAATCGACAGGCGCCGGGCCTTTCTGTAGCGCATACAGCGGAGTCACTGTGTTATAGCCGCTCGGGTGTTGTGAGCCAGCGTAGAAGGTCTGCTGAGGCAAATGAGGCGATTCAGTGGCAGTATTCTGTCCCTGGGGCGGTTGCGCATATGTTGGAGGCTCTCTAGCGGTGAGTTCGTGGGTTTCCACCTGTTCCTCGTAGGCAGGGGCCGGGACTGTAAATGTTAGCTGAGCGCATGTTTGCTTTTTAGGAAACGCACCGGGAGCTGTCTTTTCAGCCATATTGGATGCAATGTAAAGTGGTATCAGAACACTGGCTGCAACAATTAACAGTCTGACGATAAGCCTGCAAAGTCTGTTGCAACCATCTTATTCCCCGGTACTTATAGTTGCGCATTCCGGAGCCTTGTGTCGGAGCCTCGTCGGATCCAACATCTAAAGTTATTTCTGGAACACATTGCGAGTCACTCGGATACGAACAAGTTTAATTTGCATGCACCGCACTGACCTGCTGGAAGCGACATCATAGGTCATTCGCGGCAGGCATATCCATGCGATTGGCAGAAATGAAGTGGCAGCCGTTGGGCTTGTGGGACAACGAGGCTGACATCGCGCCTGACCGGTGAACTCTGTCAGGGGAAAAAGGTTTCCACGGGAATGGGGCAAGCAGGGACGGAACTGCAAGCATTCTTTGTTTCCAGGACTTCAAGGCAACTTTCTTGATCCACAGTGATCAGTTGCTGTTGAGGCAGCGAAAGGTAAAATACGAAGAGCGCTGCCACAGCCAAGCTTGTACCAGAGTGAGTCAAAGAATGATCAATGCAGATCGTGAATATGGTTTGTCTTGTGAAACCATTGTTTGGGGTACTGGAATGTTTCTGACGTAGGTCCTGCAGCTTTCCTGATGGTTCTCGTGTGATGATGGGACGTAATTGTCTCTCTCATATTTGCCTTGATGTTATCACTTCAATGTCTGAGGCAGAATCTCATCTTTTCAGTGTGGCAGTGAATGTCGATACAAGCAAGGCTGTGGTGTTCCTTCCCCACATGATCGACCCTTCTTTAACCCGCTCCCGTCCTCCCGCCTTCTCTTTTCCCTCAACACACCCATCCACAGCCCCTTCGGCTGGAGAGAAAGTGATTGAAAATAATCTGAAATAATGTCTTCTCATCGTAGCTTGACATCTCAGCTGCTTTGATTTAACTATTTCGCGTTTCAGCATGTTGACTCCGATGAGACACGTGTCCACGCCTCAACGGCTAGAGTTCACTCGTCAGTTGACGATGCTCTAGCAAAACTCACTCGGATTGACCTTCGGGGTATATGATATTTTCCTCGCCTCTCGAACGTGGGTTAACTCTTTTTGACAGTCAGAAAATCTGGTCCGGCAGCGACCGTTGCCTCATGCGGCTGGACCACAGAAGATGTCATGGCATCAGACCTGGCAGCGGGTGCGAACTCGGGCACCTGCACATCTGTAGCAGAGCTACAGCAGTCTTAACTGTGTCCGTTCAAAAACGGACGATGACTGCTGCCCCCCGCTCGGTCAGATGTTCGTCACTAACCGGTCGGGGGGCACTACTTCAAAGATGGCTGTGTCCTGGTGCGCTTGAGTGGCACATGGGTGCAAAAAGATCATCTGCGTCGTCAACTCGGATCATACGAACGATCTTTTCGCGCTAGCATCAGCAAAGCATTTGCCGATCGGGGATGCTGCAATTCCTTGGCTCTGATCGAAAAACCTCAACTACTAGATCTGTCACTCAAGAAAGCTCGAACATCGCAGACTTTTCGGCAGACTGTATACCTGGGGATTGGGTTTTTGCTACTGTGACATGGCTGCACTTGCAATGGCAGCTATTGTAAGCAAATTCATACAAAATGAGCAGTTCCCCAGTCTGGGGAGCGCTGGCTTCGCCTATTGGTGGCCTATGGGGTTACTGAAGTTCTCGGGTTGACCTCGGATCACAATGTACATAAAGTTTCCAGTTGACCGGGGCCATGGCATGAACTCGAGACTTCCCTACAAGTCAAATCCTTCCATGTATCTGCCCTTCTTCCACTGTGGTATCTGACCCAACGTCAGTCGCGCTTGTTGGAAATTATACCAACTTCAGCAAAAACCGAAACGAGTTCTTTTGTTGACTGAATTATTGCAGCTAGTTAGGGGGATTGTCACCTAGTATTCTTACATGATGAGGATCTATCGACAACCTTCAAAACGGTCGGCTGCTTATTTTCCGGCATCGAGGTTGTCCGGCGGAAGTCACTAGGCTTTCCGACTCCAGGTCGGCTTCTCGTAGCCCATTTACCCGCCATCCCGGTGGTCTTCCCCGCGAGCATTTGGCTGCAATGATCCGGAAGCACGGGCTAGCCCTGCCACTATAAGAGCCGTGAAGATCGTTTGTCTAGCACATACGACCATAGGGTGTGGAGAACAGGGCTTCCCGTCCGCTCAGCCGTACTTAAGCCACACGCCGGGAGGTTAGTAGTTGGGTGGGTGACCACCAGCGAATCCCTTCTGTTGTATGTTTTTGGCTTTTTTCCCTTCCTATTTACCGTCCATGTTCTCCTTTCTTGCCTGGATATCTTATTTCCAGGCTCTGTTTTCCCCCTTCAATTGTCGCCTTACTAAACATAATCCCCGGGGTAACTATATACTAACACCCAAACAGCGTCTCCGGGAAATCACAGACCTGACTTTATCTCCCTCAATCACCAAGGAAGAGAACCCCTACCACTGCATCGGACCACCTCCGACCCCCACGGCATCCCACTCCACCTCGGACTTCGCAGCGATCCACTCCCTCCATAAATGGCGTCACTTCACTCGTCGGAATCACGACACCACTCAATTCGTATCGTGCATTCAATCAAACATGTCTAAACCAGCCATTGGTTTTGTTGGCCTCGGAGCCATGGGCTTCGGCATGGCCACCAACCTCGTTCACGAGGGATACCCCGTCTACGGCTACGATGTCTTTCCGGCCTCGGTGCAGCGGTTCCAGGCAGCGGGGGGCACCCCAGCCTCGTCATTGCGTGAATCTGCGGAGGGAAAGCCTTTCTATGTGTGCATGGTAGCTTCGGCACCACAGGTGCAGACCGTGCTCTTCGGGAATGAGGGCATCGTACAATGTATGTCCGTCCTTTGCCATTGACAATTCCCAGCTAACAAAGTAGACCTCCCGCAGAACGCAACCCTCCTTCTTTGTTCCACCGTCGCCGCCTCTTATGCCCAATCTGTCGCAGCGGAACTCGTCTCAATTGGCCGATCAGATATCCACTTCGTCGATGCGCCGGTCTCCGGAGGTGCGATACGCGCCGCAAATGGGACTCTCTCCATCATGGCGGGCGGTTCCGATTCTTCCCTAGAGATAGCCCGAGAGCTGCTGCAAACTATGTCTGCCGCGAGCAAGCTTTACCTTGTTCCTGGTGGGGTCGGAGCGGGCAGTAACATGAAGATGGTGCACCAGGTACTGGCTGCTATTCACATCTTGGGTGCCAGTGAAGCCATGGGATTCGCAGCGCAGCTAGGACTAGACGCACATAGTACCGCAGAGCGGATCAAGAGCTCGGATGCGTGGACATGGATGCATGAGAACCGTTTTCCGCGGATGGTGGAAGAAGACTGGAATCCTGGGGCGAGCGCGCTGACAATTATCCTGAAGGATGCCGTAGGTTATTCATTCTCCTTCGCCCTTATACATACTGACATCAGCAGGGAATTATCACCACATCGGCTCGTCAGAGCCATTTTCCGGTTCCGCTCTGTGCCACGGCAGAGCAGATCTACCTTTCCGCTCTTCTGCAAGGCTACGGCCCCAAGGATGACTCCGCAATGGTCCGCCAGTACTACCCGCATCCGATCAAAGACGTCGATACCACTTCGGCAAAGGAAGACCCGGAATCCGCCATTAACCTCGTACTTGACCTCATACGGAGTGTCAATCTCGTGGCAGCTGCCGAGGCCATCGCCTTTGCGCGGTCATTGGGTGTTGATATGGCACAGTTCTTCGAATTGGTCAGTGACGCTGCCGGCGGAAGCAAGGTGTTTGTCACGCGAGGACTGGAGATGATTGAGGGTAAAATTGGGGCGCAGGCACCAGCCGGGACAGAAACTGTGGACGAGGTGGTGAGTCGATTGGAGACAGTGGTGCAGAAGGCACGGGATATGCACTGTCCGGTTCACCTGGGCAATGCAGCGCTGAGCGTGTTATTGTTGGCGAAGGGAAAGGGGTATGGAGGGGAGGGAAGTACCAGCGTAATCCGTGTATACCCGTAAGATAGCCACGGAATCCTGTCTAGTGCGAAATGAATAATGGCCGATGATCTCATATGTATCGGAGCAACTCCGGGCGCAGTTCAGTGGAGTAAACACCAATCATCCCACGCATATACAACTATAAGACTGCATAGTTCCCTCCTCCATCACAGCACTCACTCAACCACACCCCACTTCTACTCCTTTCCTCTCATAACGCCTCCTCAAATACTACCACCAAAATGTCCCTCCAAAACAACCGCGCCATCCCCATCCTCAACCACGCCTACGAGCACAAATACGGCGTCCCGGCCATGTGCTGCTACAACCTGGAAGGCATCCTCGCGACCGTCCGGGCCGCCGAAAAGCTCCGCTCGCCCGCCATGATCCTGCTCTTCCCCTGGGCGATCAACTACTCCTCGGGCATCCTCGTCCGCGCCGCCGCCGAAGCGGCCCGCACCGCCAGCGTCCCCATCACCGTCCACCTCGACCACGCCCAAACACCCGAAATCATCCGGCAAGCAGCGAACATCACCCCCGGCTTCGACAGCATCATGATCGACATGTCGCACTACGAGAAAGCAGAGAATCTGGCACTGACACGCGAACTCGTCGCATACTGCAACGAGCGAGGGATCGCGACGGAGGCCGAACCGGGACGGATTGAGGGCGGGGAGGACGGGATTGCAGACACGGTGGATTTGGAGGGGGTATTGACGACACCGGAGGAGAGTGAGGAGTTTGTGGACACGGGGATTGATTGGTTGGCGCCGGCGTTTGGGAACGTGCATGGGAGTTATGGGCCCAGGGGGATTCGGTTGGAGTATGATCGGTTGGAGGGGGTTCGGGAGAGGGTCGGGGAGAGGGTGAGGTTGGTGTTGCATGGGGCGGATCCGTTTGATCGGGAGATCTTTCGGAGGTGTATTCAGGCCGGGGTGAGTAAGGTGAATATTAATAAGGTGTTGAATAATGAGTGGGTGGCGGTCGTGACGGGGGGGAAGGGGAAGGGCATGACGGTCTTGATTGAGGAGGCGACGGAGAGGATGCAGGCGGCGGTGGAGAGGTGTATTGATTTGTTGGGGTCGGGGGGGAGGTATCCTTGATCTAGACTTTTCTTGGTTGCTGCTTTTGGGGGAGGTTGGGTGGTGGGTTGGATAGAGTGAGAGGTGAGGAATGGTATTGTCTTGGTATTTTTTGTATTTGCTCCTGCTGCATTGGGATACTGTTGTTGAATATGTATCACCTGATCCTGTCGCCCTCTGTCCGTCTTTCTCCAGCTGTATCGCCACCTTCTTCTTCGCACTGAGCATCTGCCTCAATCAGAGGTGAGAACTACGCGAATCTCCGTCCAGTTTCTCACTATCAGTCTGTGGACTCACTTCTCTTGCCCCAGCAAATGATACCAGATCTGGATTAAGTGGAGACGCCCCGGGCATAATCCTTGAGATATCCAGCCATGGTTTTGTCTGGTGATGGTCAGTTTACTATTCAAAGGGCCCAGAAGGACATCACTTACAAACCGAGTTCCCTGCCACCAGTGAAGACTCCATAGCCGGTGGCCATTCCTAGCAGACAAGTCAGTATCAAGCAAGCTTGGCCACAGAGATCCTCGCCTACCACAAATACCAGAGAACCGTCCAGCCACCCAGCGATAATCCGGGCGTCCACGGCCACATTAGTCCAGACAGACTTCAGCACGTTAACATTGTCACGGAAAACATCCAGCCGGTGGTGGCCGAGATCGACAAGCCTGGTCCGCGCCTGTTGGATCGCCTCCAACTCGCCCTCCAGTCTGTCACGTTCCGCTTCCTTCTCGCGAATTTCCCGCTCAACTCCTGGGTGCCGTCAGCATAAAGGTGGTTCATACATCCATGGGGGCAGATACTGACTGGTCTTTTTCACCAGAAGCGCCGCGGTAGCAGCGGCACCAGCCACACCAGTCGCAATCAAGCCGCCAATCTAGAGCAGAGTGTCAGCTGGACATCCATAAATCACAATTCTCGGGATATAATTACCGCGATAAAAAAGCCGATAGGCCCAAAGGCAAAGGCCAAGCTGAAGACAAGTGTTGCACCCCCCATGACACCTGCAGTCACGAGAAGTCCATTGATATGGGATTGCAACTGTTCATTCAGTTCCTCGAGCTCATCAAGCACTTGCTTGAACTGTTCGCTCAGTTCCTGTTCCTTGTCCCTGGCCCAGGTGGTAAACTTTGCAACAAAGGACGTGAAGCTAATCCTCAACTCGTCGAATCTATCCTCCACTTCCCGTGCATCCCTTTGGGCTTTTTCCATATCCTAGTCACGACGAAGAGGGAACTAGTCAGATGCTCATCATAGAAGGCATGGCTGAAGAAGGACATACAGAAATGAAGCCGTTTATGATGCCTTTGCGCACGTCGGTTGGGATGGTTTCATCTCTGCAGAATGGAATAATCAGGAGATCGAACCCTAACATCCAGGTCAGTTATAACAGACAGACAAGCACCATGTCTAGAAGCCTCTTACGATCACCATGAATAGCGAGATCAGTAGCCAGATCTCTGCTCTCAGTAAGAATGCGACGGTATGTCTAAGTCACCTCAGCATGGTCAACAATCAAATAGGTGGTTTTCCCAACTGACCCTTTGATGCTCAATCAGCTCACCCTGAAACCCGGAGTGGTGAATAAGATCAATTTGGGCAATTTTCAGCTGCAAATCCACAAACACCCTCTCGATCTCATTCGACGCATCCACTGCCGCATTGGACGCCAGGCGGAGGTAGTCGATACATTCATCGGAGACAAGCGTCCGGACTGCACCAGTTGTATAGGCCTTTGCCTCTTCGTCATTCGCTATGGGCTCGATCTTTTCGACGCCAGTCATCAAAATGTCAATTTCCTCGGCCGTGAGATGCTCCACGACATCAAGATACTTCCTGGGAGTGGGGTCATTGCCCACCAACCGATCGACTTTGGCTGCGACTTCATCGTAGGTTGGGGGAGAGGTCTTGGGGTTAAGGGATTGGGTGATGGAGGTGGGTGCGATGGCTGCCATGATGCTTGGGGTCTAACTTTAACCCGGGATGATGGTACCGGAGAGGTTTGTGAATTGTTCTGGGACAGATATGTGCTTCTCTTGGGGTCATACTTATATCGTTAGAGATATATATAGCTGCCTGGAAAATCCTAAGCTCTTGATATGCTCCGCCATCTACATTGACGACCGGGAAGAGAAGGAAGGTCTAGCTCACGCAAGTACCATGCGTTGTCTCACCCGCGCCTGCACAGTCAGAGATTCGCCACGCTGAGCTCGGGGGATTTAATTTATGCATGCTGCATGCATACTAATAAACCCCACCAATCACTCCTCCGTATTCAGCAGGGATCTCTCATGTCCCGCAGATTCATTGGGGCAAATATCCGATCACACAATACTACATAGTACTAAGACACTCGAGCTCCATCGTCAAATCAAATGTGCTTCTGGTCGTTTGCCACATGTGCGTGAGTTCCTTTCAAGGTTCAGGCCATGATTTACATGTTCAGCTTTCGCCGCATTTCTAGCTGTGGCTGCCTGATGGTTCAAGCTACTACAAAGGACTATGGGGCTTTGACGCGTTTCTGCCGTAGGAGTGTCATTCAATTTGGCCCGATACCCCTCTTCTCAATGTTTTGAAAATGAATGCATATTAACATGACGTATAAGGCTCTTTCCATAAGAGGAATCCATATTCAGTGAGACTCTGATCCTTGCAGCTGAACATGATGGATCTGCATCTGTTGACGCGTCTGACATGTGCTCAAGGGTCTAGAATGTCTGTGTCAATATCATTCTCGTCCAACCATTCCGTCAACTTGGATGCAAATGCTCTCATGTGTAATGCGTTTGCTGTATCTACTTAGTGTTAGCGGAACTAGTCTTGCATGATGGACACGGCAATGGCCCAAACAAGACCTGAAGCAACGAGAGGCACTCACAGAGTTCCACTGCCCGGTCAAGGCTGATCTGCATGAATGCGGGATGTTCCTTCCAAGCATGTCAAGTTCGTATCATAGCCGAGATGCTAGCTGAGCTATACGAAACTGAAACTACTTACCGCCATCGTGACTGCCATTTGCAGCATAGATTCGATCATACGCGCATCCACCACGGTTGTGTTCCAGGTACGGGACTGGATACCCACATTTGCAACGAATTCGATTCGTAGGTCTTCGGCATCAAGAAGATCCTGTCCGGCGTTTCTGGAGCTTTCCTGGCCCAATGCCAGCCAGGCTGCCACAAAATCGTTACTCTTGTCGGTGAGGCGGGTTAACATGGCTCGAGAGTCATTTTCGTGAGCTCGGACTTCCTTGATGGCGGGGTGAATCAGTGCTTTCCCCCGTTGAACGACGCGATTGATTAACTTACGGCGATATAGCCCTCGATTTTGGCGACGCGTTGTGCCGCGGTGAGATTTGTATTGGTGGAGAAGGTGGCGATTATGTCGGCGAATCCTGGTAGTAGTTAAGGTTGAGATATATGGCTTATGAAGATCATGGGTGGAAGCTAATGACATACCTTCTCCGTAGGTTGCAATATTGCAAGCAATATCCACGCTATCAAACATGATTCTAAACATCTCCTGGGTGACAATTTTAGTCGGTTTGCATATCTTCATATACCAGGGAAGTATGCTCGAACCTCGCCGATAGGATCCAAAGCATCGGCATAAGTTGTGCCATTAAGCACGTCACTCCAGACAAATAGAATGGCCGTCACGCCGAAGATGAGCATGTTCATCTCAATGGCATGTACAGCTTCCTCGGCTGCAGTCTGAGGGTCTCGGGGGTCGGTCTTCGAGCCCGGTGCGTCAGTCGCGCCGCTGACCATGTATGTCAGACGCGAACGAAGTAAGAGATCCACATTCGGTGAGCTGAGCAGCCTAGCATATCTGGGAGGTTTTCCTGTTGGGCTGCGTGATGTGAGGAATCGGTGGAACGCGGCCAGCATGTCTGCTGGCGCAGGTGCATTGGCATTGGCGGACATGGTTCCTAGATGGGTGATAGTTTTGCGGAAGTAAGTGGCGAAAAAACTAATGTAGTTGATGTCTTCTCTCAGCTGCAGTAGCCAGATGCGACTGTTTATTAAGGATGATTCAGAGTCGCCGTCACTCTCGGACTTGTCCGCATGTGCTTCTCGTGGGGCTGACATCCCTGTTGCTTCCTGCAGCTTGGAGGTTTCCCCTCTTCTTTGCATCCCACCTCGCCACATGTGGAGAGACAACATCAGGTTCCCTGCACGGTATGCATTAATGGAGGGGCTGAGAGACGGAGTCGCCGATAGAGACCGACTAGCATAATTGATGTCGGTCTGAATATCTAGCATCTCCCTTTCCCTGAGCTGAACACCGTCATCGAGTCCATCTCATACATTCAATATTTCTTTCGTTTAGCTTCGACTGTCAAGCAAAGACAAACCATGATTGAAGTACCCCCAGCCTATACTGCTGGCGGCTCCCCTCCTTCATACGATGATATCGCTAAAAAGCTCGAAGACTTGATCGGGGACGACCCCACCCCAGAAAAAGTCATCGAGGCCAGCCAGCAACTATCCGAAGAGGAGCTCGACATTCTGGTGGATGGCGCCGACGACCACTGGCCGCTCGAGACCGAACAGCAAAAGAGGGACTTCAGCATCGGCTGTGGCCAAACCTATTGCTCGGAGGGAGGAAAGGCTCGTCTGCAGGAGGCAGGGAATGAAGCTACGCAAGCGACCAAAGAGATCGAGGATATCTTCCACCAGCTGCATCTGAAAGTTGCGCAGATTGACCAGATCCATCATTCTGGGTTTCAGCCGGAAATCATTCGTCTGCAGCAGGTTTGTGCAACGATTGTGTTTCCGATCTTCGTGTCCGTTCTAATTGATCTTGACGTTTGCATTGCTGACGAGAACTGTGCTCCCAGTCGTATCTTCGAACTCTCGCCGATAGCAGGGATTTGGCGGCTTCTATTAGCAGCTCTGCTCAAAGTACGTGTGCTGATTGATTGATTCTGGTGCTCTTGTTCTTCTGTCTGACGTCTTGCGTGAAGACTTCGATGCCACTGTCGTCAAGTTCTGCGCTGATAATAGCATTCCTGTCGAGGCTCGAAGATCTGTTATCGAGTCATTTATTACTGTAAGAACAATAATTGCTCCTTCTACCTCGACTCTACCTTCCCTAGGTGTCTGATTCATTGGTTATAGCGTGTGGCTGGCTTTGAGGAAAGCGCCACTGGGATTAAGAGTCGATTTTACACTCTGAAAGACGAGTTCGCTGCGTTTGTCGCTAGCTTTTCTACCTGGGCAAAGGACCGAGAGGGAGAGATCACCGATCAAATCCAAGCGCTTGAGCAGGAATTGGACAGCCTCCACAAGAGGCTTAATGCTTTGACGATCTCTTTGGAAGCTTTTGAGATTCTTTATGATGTCGGCGATTTGATGCAAGATGTAGGGAAGTTCTTCCCAAAGGTTGGTATATTCATGAAGGTAAGAAATGCGACCGTTTCAGAAACCCTCCGCGTCGTAGATCAATATGCTGATGACTGCACTCTTTGATAGATTGGAGGCATCATTATTGCAGGTGTCTCTTTTCTTGTTGTCGTTGGCCTTACTGGGGCCCTCATAGGTAACCACTTTCATCCCTTATACTTTTATCATTATCTTTCGCATTCAATAGCTACACCTACAGTACTGACTTACCTATCTACTTCAGCAACCGAGACCAAAATTCGCAATCGAACCCGCGAGAAGCACGCGTTAGAAGCCGAGCTAGAAATTATCCGACGCACACGAGCTGAGCTGGAAGACCTGGGAGAAGAATCCTTGATCCGGTTTGGAGACGCCATCAACATCCTCGCCGGGACATGGCAACATACAGCCCAGGATGCACGGATCATCCAACAATGGTTGGCTGATGGTGCAGACTCCACGGTACGCACTACTATGCGCTATATGGAACACTCTGTGCAAGGCTAATGATCTGTGTTTCTACTACAGCATCCACCAGCGTATGTCGAGCTGAACCGGGATTATGGTATTAACCGATGTAAGTCTAGTCTATTCTTCTAATGATCCGGTCGCATCAGTCACCTAACATCTTTATCCATCAGACGAGACTACGGCAACTTATTTGGAAAATTATGCTAGGGGGATTTCGCAGTAGAGGGGTAGATAGTCATGTCTGCATTGTGAAGTACTTGCATGCAGTACGTCATACTGCAGCCAATTACTCCTTTTCCAAATCTTCAACTTTCTCAGAATCAGTCCTTATCGATGATCATTCTGATCATAAATTCAATTCAATCATCTCAATTCTTCAGGAGAAGCAGATACTATATATACATAACAGAAGGGTTGGGGGGGGGGGGGGGGTAGTAAGGCTTATATGATTGTGATAGGATCTACTTGTCAGGGTAGAAGGCCTGTCAGCTAGGTAAGGAACTGGCCACCAAACGCGTAGGATTCCACTGATAATGACAAAGGTAGCCTATATCCACGAGATAGACTGATCCTTGAAAGATCAGTGGTCTAACACTGAGGGACGTCGCCTTATAGAAAACGGGGAGGTTCAGAACCGCCACCGATGACCTCACGACCTCTATGACCACCCTAGTACTTCACCCCAAGGACCTCCTCGATCCCGATAGCTAGGCTATTCTTAAGCTATCCTATCACATTTCTCAAACGAGGCAGGAAAGACTAAGAAATGAGCCGGCAGAGCTTACTGAAGGCAGCTAGACGATGGGTATAGTTAGGTCCAGATATCACTGACATCAGAGAAACTAACATCTAGAAAGTCATTTAGGATCAGATTATTGGCATTATTGCTACAAACCACAATCTCTATCGGTAGAAGATAATTGCGCCATGCAAAGATCTTAGTAGTCACTTGATATTAGTGCCAACAAGTTAAAACACTTCTCAACTGATTTATCTAGCTATGATACTGAAGTATAGCTTGAAGACATCAAAACTCATGATCAGTGTTTGATTGGGTTGTGCCACGTTCCATCACGGAAAGTTATCAGTGGAGATCGCATATGAGGGACTTACACGCAGGCATGGACGGCAAATTCGGTATGTTACGAAGCATATAGACAAGTCTTGGAAGGGCTGGTCGAAGAATCTAAAGTTTTACTGAGAATTTGGCGTTTGGCTCAAGATATAGCTTTATATTACCAACCTAGATTATAACATACTACTTTCCCGAAGACACTCTTTCTCAGCCCAGTCCCCACAATTCCACTTCCTAGCTCGGTAATATCCTGAAAAAGCATGATATTTTGGTACTTTGATAAGTGTCTGCTTCGATAAGGGCTTAGCAGCTCTTGTACGCATCGTATGGAGCGCAAAGCGTATGTGATGCATCTACAAGGGATATTATCTTCATCTCCGGGAATTTTAGTGAGGCATGGTTCCAGGATGCACGAATCTACAAATGTGAGTCGTGCTTATCTTTAGCCTTCTAATTAACGTATTCCACGGTTGTGCGGTCCACCCCCCTAGTAGGATTGCCGGACATGATCAAAATGAAGCCTTTGGATCAACATACGTTCATATATGTGCTATATATAAATCCTAGGTGGTTTAGTGCACCATGTACATAGTTGCCGAATATTGAAGCAACTGCTGCAGCTTGGAGGCGCGTGCGAGAGGTTCTCCGTAAGTTGAGGCTGAGGTTCAACCTCAAGACCTTGATTATTTTGAACCCCCTCTTCTATTTGTATAGCTCTCTAAGCACCTTCAACAGTCATGCCTTCCTTGTATACCACTGGCTTCTTTAAGCGCCTTTTCTTTTGTAACTGCTTTTCATGACTCGCACGTAATTCCTCATTCTCATTAGCAAGTGTGATAATATCTGTTATTCTAAGCTCGCAACCTACAAGGAGCTGCCGTAATGTAGATCGTGCAGGCGAGATTGGGCTTGCTTGAGATTTGAAGCAGTCACTCCACAGTATTTTGATGCTCTAGGAATGCCTTATATTGTGTGGAGTTTGGAGCAGTAAGCCACTTGAGTGGCTATCCGGAGATAGTATTGTTTTCAAGCGAATATTTAGTTATTGGACACTCGATTAGAATGTAGAGGAACTAAACCTGTTGCTCTAAACCCACTAATAATATCCAATTTCTATAGAGCATGTTAGTGAGCTTTAGGATAGACTTCTAGGAAGCCATCTTTGTCAATATTATTCCGGCCGCAGTGTACTTGCTTCTCAATGATTCTACTATACACGCGCTAAAGTGTACTAAAACGACCAATATCAAGAGGTTGAAACAGGCGGGACTAATAAGCAGGCATATGAGTTGGAATAACCTCATTTCCAGCACAGATTCGGTCGAGCTCAGCGGTTAGATGGCTGCCATGGCTGTCGAGGAATAGGAGGCTGTATCTTCCCACTGATCTGCCTCTAATCAACGGAGTGAAGTATCTTGCAGCTATCGAATCTAATTATATCTGTAATTCAACATCATAGCTGACTCAATCCTCTATGAGAAAGAATGGATTGATTTTTATGCTTGAAGATGCGATTTGTCTTTGAAGGTAAGAGTCGGACGTAAAACATCTTCATTAGATTGAACACACTCAATTGAGGTGACGCATTCCCGATTCCCTGGTTGAATTAGAGATGGCTGACTAGCTCTGGGAACTAGTCAGTTTATTTGTAGTACCAATTATTGCCATAGTAGAATCCGTTTCATCAAAGTTGTATATATCATCTGGTGAGATCCCATGCTCTTGAATAACCCCTTGAACCCGAATGAACCAGTCTCTTGTAATTTCGGGATCTTCTGGTTTAGCTCTTTAGTAGTTATTATCTACGAAATTATGTTTGCAGAGGGTTATAGCCCTTGACAAAGCTGGATGCCCAGTTGATACCTACTTCTTCGGATATTAAATGATCTCATTTTGAAAGGATTACATTGGCTATATTTCTGACTTGAGACGGCCGGGGACTTGCGTCTTGCATATCTAAAGAGAGAGTCTGTTTGGAAAGCGATTCTTCTTCATATTCGGATGATTTTGGACGTGTATGAACCCTATCTTTAAAAAAGTCTCGTCAAGCTAAACGAACGTGAAGGGTACTTTGAGGGACTCATAAAGATGTACTACCTCGCGTATACTGGAGATTTAGTCTTTCTAAATAACTTCAATAGCAAGAAGAGTCATACCTTCTTGTTTCACCAGCACTCTTGATGGGATAGGCATCTTTTGTAGCATAAGTGGTGATTGAATTGCCTCAGGTAGGAGATCAGAGGTGGTGTTTTCGAAGGGGTGGGCCGCGCAACCGTGGATTACATTACACGTAGGCATAGTTAGTTATGCTGTGCGTCATACCGCATTACTACGCATCTTAAGGATCCCTAGTACTTACTTCAGCTTGCACGTCTAATAAATGGTTAGGCTCATAGTATTACTCCAGATGCCAGTTCTAGCTGCATGGGCCAAAGTGAATGGGTATATGAGCCTAACCAGAGTGGTTACTTGCTTCGTCCAGATATCTTAACATGTCTATCCGTTTCGAACGATCCTGTTCGAAGGCGAGAGCGGAGTACATGCGGTCAAGTTGTAGGTCTCGGGTGGCGCTCAGCGCCCCGCGTCGAATTTATCTGGTAGTTAATCAGCCTGACCGTAGGATTACTAAACATAAGATTCGTTCTCACCTGCGACCGACATTTAACGTTTTTATCTTAATTATATATGGCTGGCAACATAGAACGCCAGTTCCTAAGAATGGATGTTCCATTGTGAAAGGTACAAGCGTGGTTATAATCTCATTTCATTAATCTACATCTCTGCAGTTGCTGAAATGTATGTCGAATGATAGATCTTTGGACAGAACACATAGAATCCAATACTATGCCCTGAGCGCAGCTCGCCCATCTGCGCCGTGATGGCGGGCGATGGCGGACAATGGCGGGTGCCTTGTACCCTATCACTTGTGTTGTCTGTTGTGGCGCACTGACCTTAAGTGGTCCGGGTGATGGCCTTAAGTACAGCATTGCCCTCTAGCTCATCAGGCGATAGTAGTGTCCGCTTTGGGAAGCTGGGAATCGTTGAAATGAGACATTTTCGTCTGCCAAGGTCAAGCTATGATTGGTAGATACGGTAACCGCTCCGAGTTTTGACAACAACTTCGGAGAAACCCCGAGTCCCACCAATCAAACATCGCCAGGTTTTGCTATCTGATGTCTGCGGTTCAATGAGCCTTGTAGCCTTTTCCGCACGTCCCTCTGCCACCCTAGGTCTGGCACACCATTTCCGCCGTACCATCCTAGAATCATCCTTCCATTATACCCTGCTCTACGCGCTCACAGTGTAGTAAGAACTCTAGCCGTTCATGTCGGAAGACCCAAAAAATGGAATGAAAGGTCCTAAATTACTGTATAATTTTTGTACGCATGCATCTTTTCTTTCAACTGGCCTTGAAGGAGGCCCCAAGGGCAGCAATAGAATTGTGGATTGCTGCCCAGCACACCCAAATGGCTGTCTAATGAGCGGGGAAGCCTCTGAGCTGACCAGATAATCATTGAGCCACGGCGCTAACCTCGACCAATCGGGTGCAAACTTGTGGGGTTTTATCGATATTAGGAGCGATAGTTCAAGTCGTACGTCTTCAACCAGGGAATTATCTGACGGCTTCATTCAAGCCCCTTACAACCATCCCACAGGGCAACCTAAAGATCGCACAGCAGACATTGATCATGGCAGATCCTTTGAGCATTGCTGCCTCGGTGCTGGCCGTAATCACAGCCGCTGTTCAGTCGACCAAGTCGCTCCAGGGTACTGTCAAGCGCTTCAGGAACCGTGATAAGACACTACGCCGGCTTCAGCATGAGCTTGAGGACCTCACAAATATTTTGGAATCTTTGCAACAGGTTGCAAACAATGAGAAGTCAATGTTGGCACTTCTTCAAGGTCCTATCGACCGGTGCAACCAGATATGCAGCGAATTTGAACAGTCAATCAAGGTTTTCAGTGGAAAGTCAAGGACGGGTCTTCTCGATTGGGCAAAAATGGAATTCATGCGAGGCGACATCAATGAATTCATTGACACTATTGCGGGGTATAAGTCAACGATTTCAGTGGGATTAGGAACCATTACTATGTCAGTCACAAGATCTTGTTCACTTCACTTTGCTAACGTCTTTCATGAAGACACTCTTCCAAGGTGCCGCAGAAAGTTCTCGAAGAATATAATGAGATGATCCAGGACACGGCATACGATCTTGAGCTCCACTTACGCCGAATCGATGAGAAGCTGGCGCAACTTACTACCGAAGAAATCAATGCCTCAGACATAAGCCTAAATCTGGTAGACGAAAGGGACGTGACTAAACAGTGTCTTCGTGTCTGTGAAGATGCCAAGTCCTATATCGAATCATTGGAAATCAGAGAATCGGCGATACTCAGCGACTCATTCAGAAGTGCCACTGAGAATGATATGCAAAATATGTTCGAAGCACAATTTCTAACACGGCAAGCTCTGGAGAAGAACCGAGATAGCTTTGCGGATATTATTAGCCACCTTCAGAAACGCCTGGAATCACAAGTTCTGAGCGGTAATAAGAACGAGAAGGAGAGGCTGGGGCTGCAGGAAGATATACAGACATCAAAGCAATGCTTAGAAGTGTGCAAAGTGGCGAGTGAAATCTCCCGTCAAAAAATCTATAGAATTGGAGAGGTGGTTGCAGATGGTGACAGCGATCAAGTAGTAGTGACTACTCTAGCGGATCTTTTCGATATAAGAAAAGCCCAATCCAAAGGAAACTCTGCGCAGCTAGTTGGGTCAATGACGGAAGAGGCTCTTCGACATCTAACCGAAAAGCGCTACAGCAGCCGTTTTGCGGCGTTGAATACTCGGTCTGCTGATGTTGTCAGTACCGGTTCACCGTCGGTCCTCGAAACTCAGAGGGGAGATTATTCAGTTGGAACTAGCGACGAGGAACAGAATGCGGTACCGATGATAAGACATAACAGGCCGTCTCCTAATGAGATGAGGAAGCGAGCGATGGCTAGTGGTGCGAAGAGCAAGGACGCTGAGTAGAAGACTGGAGGGAAGGAGTTTTTTATTGTTACTCCGGAAATATCTTTAGCGCTCTGCTGTAAATTCAGCCTCTATTCTGGGAATTACACTGCCGTATACATATATCTTACACAAAGTTGCAGTCATCATTTGTCATTCTGCTCGCATGGAGTATTCTTTGCTCTTCAACATGCCGAGCTCACTGTACACAATAAGAGACGCCTACGCCTTTACAACCAATCAGAGTATGTGTGGAAGACGTTTCTAAGATACCCAGTTCAAGACATGATAGAATTGTCCCTCATAAAGACGTTCTAAGCACCTTCATTTCCTCAGTACTACTGAGAACTACTGCGTATGTAAAATAGGATGCTCAAGTGCTGAAGTGCGGATGCAAATCAATGAGTGAAATGTAGAAGTTATGTGAAGCTACCTTGGATATGTTGTAATTAGTAATATGTATAGCCGTAGGTATTATGGTTTTTGACAGGCGGTTGCTCAAAGTCTTGTTCCATCAGTTAGTAAGGAGTATTTTGTTGACAAGCACCTTGAACTAACATTACTATCAGTATTTCTCGAGCCCAGGGCACAAGTATTTATGCTATGGCTCTTAGAACGATCCATTTTATCTAAAATGAGAACATCTTATAGTTCCGCTTGAATACAAAGCGTGGAGAGATATTCGTTCTCAGCCTGAGTACTTAAATACAGTTCATACAGTTAAAAGATAAAAGGTAGATTTCATTCATCCGATTTGTGATAGATAATTTGGAAATGACAATATCATGTCAAGCAGATCGCTAAATAAGCTGTGCCTGCAACTCTTTTTTCCACGTGGTCGGAATGATGCCACTGATCCCGTTATTCCATGATGTAATCTGGACGTACGATTTGGGATGTGTCCGATACTACATTCCAGCAGATCTCGAAGGATCGCTGCCGCAGCACAGAAAAGGGAAAGGTCGAGGGCCAGCATGATAGTGTACGCCATGATGCAGTTGGGCCCGGACGAAGGCTGGGCCGTGATACTTAAAGCATCTTGAAACAATTTTTTGGTATGTTTGAGTCCACATTGTGTCAAACTTTGCTGCTTATTCTGGCGACAGATACAATTATTAAGCGGCACGCATCCGAGTGACTGGTGTGACGGCTACTCGCTCCGACTACTTTTTGGTCCTATCCTATCCCATACCTTAATATTATAATAAAACTAATACTGTTATGCTATTTTATTATTTTTGTCGGCTGGAGTCCTACCTGAGTTTGCTGGTACTTAGTCTACTGTACGGTCTACTTAGTGCCTGCAGGTACCTTTTAGCCGAGCGGTCAGACTTCCGTCAATTTTTATAATAAATTCTTAAATTATAATATAAAATTTATAAATTATAATCTTTAATTATAAATAATACATAATTCAGGAAAACTTAATATAATAGTCTATAATTATAACCTCCTACCACCAAACCCCATTTTCTGTTATGTATACTATCGATACCACAAATAGTACTCACCTCAACACAAATACCGGGGATGTAGCTCTCAATCGATATTTCATTCTCCTTCCCACCACTTCAACAATATTCAGCAGCTCTCGACGACAGTGCTCTATAGTTTACTGGTATTGGCTAGATAGCATCTGGAAGCGGAGGAATAGCAGTGTGGACCACCCGATCGGGAGGGGATCTCCATAATCTATGATCATGTCTTGCAGATAGCGAGAAGATCGGGATACTACAGATCTACTGCTAGTGGAGTAGCGGAGCAAGGAAAGGCGTTGTTACGCGTGAGGCATTTCGCAGCAGTTAACCCGATGGTCGAGGCAGCTGGTGCTGGTTGAGAAAAATCAGAGGGTATCCGAGTGTTCCACTCTGGAGTTCAAGTCTAGCCGAATCACCCCGCCGGGATTTCCAATCTACCCCATATTTTTTTTCCCACCAACAGTATTAAGATATATACCTTGATTTGATGGGTGGCTGAGGCGCCATGGCTATAAGTCACATTCAGAATTTACACCTATTGAAACATCCAACATGAAAGACCTCGGAGAATGGAGGGAATATAAAGCTCGGACACACGAAATAACCAGAAAAAAAAGGGAGAAGGAAAGAAGAAGGGGGAAGAGGAGGAAAACCAATCACACAAGACATAATGCAGGAAAGAAGAAAGCAGTTCTTTTTCTTTTATCTCGTGTCATCCCTCTAGTGGGAGGCCATCATCTTCTTGATCTCCGCGATGGCGCGGGCGGGGTTCAGACCCTTGGGGCAGGTCCGCGAGCAGTTGAGAATGGTGTGGCAACGGTACACGCTCATGCTGTTGTCCAGGGCAGCCTTGCGCTCGGCGGTCTTCTCGTCACGGGAATCGGCCAACCAACGGTAGGACTGGAGGAGGATGGCGGGGCCCAGGTACTCCTCGCTGTTCCACCAGTACGAGGGGCAGGAGGTTGAGCAGCAGGCGCACAGAATGCACTCGTAGAGACCGTCCAGCTTCTTACGCTCCTCGGGGCTCTGGCGGTACTCAAGACCCTGCAGACTGTGTCAGGCACCGGCATCGCGCCACCCAGGGGGGATACTTACATCCTCGGTCTTGGTCTCGCGCTGCAGGTAAGGCTTGATCGACTTGTATTGCTTGTAGAAGTAGGTCAAATCGGGGACCAGATCCTTGACGACGTAGGTGTGAGGCAGGGGGTAGATGCGAGACTCCTTGGAGGTATCGGTGGGAATGCGGCCTGTACAGGTAGAAGGGTCAGCGCCACCGAGCCGGGACATCGCAGTGGACAGTCCAGGGCAACCTACACAGGCAAGCCAGGGTGTTGACACCGTCAATGTTCATCGCACAGCTACCGCAGATACCCTCTCTGCAACTTCTCCGGAAAGTCAGGGTGGGGTCCATCTCGTTCTTGATGCGGATCAGCGCATCCAGCATCATGGGGCCGGTCTTGTTCAGGTCCAGCGAGTAAGTCTGCATCTTAGGCTTCTCGGTGGGCTGGTCGGGGTTCCAGCGGTAGACATGGAAGGTCTTGGTCCGGGGCTGCTCGGAGGGGGTGGGATCCTGAACATTCGAAGTCTTAGATTCGGGGATGGTCTTGGTGCTCGCGTGGCCGCTTGCGCTCACCTGGGAGAGGGCGTCAACAGTCGCATAGGAGCGAGCAAAGGCGGCTGGGCGAAACAGCGGCTTCGAGGAAGCGATCAGGCGCGAGGTGGTGCGAAGAGCAGACATGGTGGGCGGGCGAGAGGAAGATCACGGTCGATCGGGGGCGAGAGATGAGAAGAGATGGCGAAAATTGGGGATACGCGCAGGGAGGAGAGGTCAATGAGACGAAGGAGCGTCGACGATTGCGGGGGGGAGAGGAGAGAGGCCTGGAGAAGAGCAGCCAGCCAGCGGCAACGACAAACGAGGACCAAGGGAGGCACGAGGAAGTGAAGTCGATCGGTTCTGGCGATGTTTTGTCGCCTTTGGCAGCTCAAGGTAACCTCGGGTCTGGCGGCCGGCAATGGGCTGACTCAGCGCCCGCTGGCCAATCACGCAAAGGCTAATTGCAAGCGTCGGGGATACACGGCGAGGCACTGGATTGAATATAATTCCACTCAGCGACCCTGAATCGCAAGGAAATATAAGAAACAATGGCTAAGCAGCACTGGCTGGGCCACAAGCAATGGAATTGTATGCTCTACAGCCCCATTGAGGTCCACCGCCCTCTCTTACGTCCGTGTGACTCGAACATGCTCGGCCAACAGGCACTGTCCCAAAGGGGAAATGGAGCCGAAATCATTTGCCGTTCCGAAGGCCTTTTTGATGCCTCAGGCCGAAAGACAGTAATGTTGACGCCTTATCCTTTAGGCAGCAAGGCCGCCCACTGTTTTAGGCATAAAGGCACCAAGGCACCAAACTTCAGGCAATAAGGCAGTAAGGCGACAAGGCCTTAATCTCTAAGGCAACCAAATCACCCGCCAGGCACCCACGCTATTCCCCTCCAGCCCCTCCCTCCGTCCTCGATTGTTTTCCGCCCGTGGAAGAATCCGAGCTTGCTTCCTTCGTGCATGATGGTGGAAATATGCTTAACCCGCACTTTATCACACTGCAGTAGTAGTCTGCGCCGGTGCTCCTTGGGCCATGCAGAGCAATGCCGGTAGGTACGGCTTGAGGATGACGAATCTATATGACTCCTGCATAAATCCTCACCCACCATGCGGATATCTATCTCCGACTTTTGTTGACAGGTGATCCTCTGCCCATGGGACTCTCCTACAGATCCAAGCCTGGCTTCTGTCAACTCACCTAGTTGAGGAATGCGCTGTCATATACGGAGTCCCCCTGAGCCGAAGGACCGCGGCCGAGAAAAATGACGTTTTACGTGAAATTATGGCGATGGCCAGACTGGGACCAGACTGGTCTCTTCCGGAGCTTCCGACTAACCCCTTGATCAATTACTGCAACAATTTCACCAAGCGGCCCAGGTACCTATCCGTAAACTCTCACTTTGCATTGAGTGGTCTCACTCGTCAACTCGAAATGCTGCAAAAAGCGGGGTTGATCTCTCAGCTCCAGAATCAGCCAATGTCGAGAAACGCCGCACTTAACGCGGAAGCCATATCCTATACCAAGAAATCGATGGGAATTAAACACGGCAGGCTCGGGCGAATTTCTGATTATGGTTAAGAGAAATCGGGGGGAAATAAACAAGATGCTGCCCCCCTGTCGACGGCATGTCATCCAAGCGTCCGATAACATTGGCTTAGCTCTAGCTCGCCAATGATATGGACCTCAGGGAATTAGAAGTGGCGCTGTACTCCGTATGGTGGCTCATAAGAGTCTAGACGGGGCTTGACAGGCCACCCATGGATGGGGTTAATATAGCGGCCACCCCATGTTGTCTGATTAGGTGCCTTCTTTTGGGAAGAACAAGCTCCTTCTGGCTTCTACAGCTTCGAAGCTTGACAAGCCAAGACACGCCGCGGAAGCCAAGCTTAACGGGGATGTCTCAGTCGTAATGTGCAGATGGACCGGAGGATAGCGGACAGGGGGCAACGTCACCTCATCTCTGTCAGTGCATGATACGAACACGGGACGACGCTTGAGGATGTCTACGGAAGTCCGAGAATTTTTGTTATCACGCCCAGTCACCTGTCCAGACCAGATGACCCATCTAGATACTCAACCAGGCTACCAGCAGTCAACGCGACCGTTTCTAAATAGGGATGGCGAGAATCGTGTGCGCGATGGGTTGCCTCGATATCGCCGAAGACCGACGCCGGTCCCACTGTGGGCCATACTCTCTGGACGGCGTTCCTGGCGCCTTGCCCAAACCGCCCAGGTTCGAATTTTCTTTTTGTTTTTCCGCAGCGTTTCCAGCTGCTCCATACGTGAATATAAACTGCAACGTGCGGAGCTGCCTGGAGCCATTAATAATCGAAACAAAGCCAGTCTCAGCAAAAGAAGAAAAAAATTCTGCCGGGAGGGAGTGGAAGGGCATCTGGCAATGGTGATGCAGAAACTCCCGTCCTCTTTTCCCCTCTTGTTCTTCACCCTGGACGAACGGCCCTAACTGTCGAGCACGTCCAGCCTTCCTCCCATCCGCAGCACCCTCTATCTAGCACACTCAGATGATCGAATTTGGTATTTTCCCGACTATCATTGCCACAAGGACTCCGCCAAGACGGAGGAATTGCTTCTTTACAGAAATTCAGTCCCAGTCTCCACCAGCCCGAGTGGATGGACTACTTTAGACTACCGAGACTAAGGGCGCCGCCGCGGACATCTTGAAACGCCGTAAATCCCCCGAATCGCTCTGAGGTCCACCTATGGTCTTCCATGAATCAACAGACCGGTGGAGCATCGGATTCACTGTCCATGAACAGGGGCCGCCATGCTCGTTGTGATGGATAACCATGTGGCTACTACTCCTCCTCCCCTTCCCAGCTAGGTTATCATCGATGTCTATCACTTCTTCCATGGTCCAGTACGATGGACCCCCTCTTTCCATCTCCTCGGCCAGTACCGACATTAGTGCGGTTGACTGGCTATGAGGAATCAACGGTTGTGCTCGATGGCCCTTGGCTGCTAATCAAAGATGCACTTGGCCGTTTCACACCGATCACCCGTCCAATTTTACCGGGCATGGGCCTGAGCCAGAAGGGAAGCTCTATCAGATCCTTGGGATGCCGCCATCGTCCTGTCGAGTCGGTCCCTCCCTATATAAACCCTCAAGCCCGTCCGGTTTAAATCCTTCTCTCTATCAACCCATTCCTTCTTTTCCTCTTCCCTCCATCTCTATCCCTTCACTCTAGTCTTTCTTTTTTTCTTTCATAGCTGGTTCTACACTTCATCATGAAGTACTCTACTATCTTCAGCGCTGCTGCCGCTGTCTTCGCCGGTTCCGCCGCTGCCGTCGGCGTGTCCGGCTCTGCTGAGGGTTTCGCCAAGGGCGTCACCGGTGGTGGCAGTGCCACCCCCGTCTACCCCGACACCATCGATGAGCTGGTCTCCTACCTCGGGGATGACGAGGCTCGTGTCATCGTCCTGACCAAGACCTTCGACTTCACCGACAGCGAGGGTACCACCACCGGCACTGGTTGCGCTCCCTGGGGTACCGCCTCTGCTTGCCAGGTCGCCATCAACCAGGATGACTGGTGCACCAACTACGAGCCCGATGCTCCCTCCGTCTCCGTTGAATAGTATGTTCCTAGCCGCCGGCTCTCTATTCAGTCCTTTTTCTAATCCTTGCAGCTACAACGCCGGTACCCTCGGTATCACCGTTGGCTCCAACAAGTCCCTCATCGGTGAGGGCTCCTCCGGTGCCATCAAGGGCAAGGGTCTCCGTATCGTCAGCGGTGCCGAGAACATCATCATCCAGTACGCCATCCCCAATCTGATGCAGGAAAGCCCTCTCTAACAGGCCCAGGAACATTGCCGTCACCGACATCAACGCCAAGTACGTCTGGGGTGGTGACGCTATCACTCTTGATGACTGCGACTTGGTCTGGATTGACCACGTTACTGTATGCCTCCATCCCCTCCAATCCTGCATATCCTGTCTTTGGGTAGCCAGCTGACAAGTGATAGACCGCTCGTATCGGTCGCCAGCACTACGTCCTCGGCACCAGCGCCGACAACCGTGTCTCCCTCACCAACAACTACATCGACGGTGTCTCCGACTGGTCCGCCACCTGCGACGGCTACCACTACTGGGCCATCTATCTCGACGGTGATTCCGACTTGGTCACCATGAAGGGCAACTACATCTACCACACCTCCGGCCGTTCCCCCAAGATCCAGACCAACACTCTCCTCCACGCCGTCAACAACTACTGGTACGACAACTCTGGCCACGCTTTCGAGATCGGTGAGGGTGGCTACGTCCTGGCTGAGGGCAACGTTTTCCAGAACGTCGATGTTGTCCTTGAGACCTACGAGGGCGAGGCCTTCACCGTTCCCTCCGCCACCGCTGGTGAAGCTTGCTCCACCTACCTCGGCCGTGACTGTGTCATCAACGGCTTCGGCTCCTCCGGTACCTTCAGCGAGGACAACACTTCTTTCCTCTCCGACTTCGAGGGCAAGAACATTGCCTCCGCTTCGGCTTACACCTCTGTTGCCTCTAGCGTTGTTGCTAACGCCGGTCAGGGCAACCTGTAAATGAGTTGACTCATTAACAGTCGGTGGAATCAGGGGACGTGGTGATTGAGGTGTTATTCTTCGTGTATTTACTTCTGTAATAATTGGGGAGTGTTCACGACCCTACTTTGGTCTGGTTGAGCTTCGACCAGATTTGAATGACATTAATTGTCCTGGTTTCATAACTCCTGTAGACCTGCTCGTCAACAATGTACTATGTAGAACAAAGATTAGATAAGATGACGATCATTGTGAAATAAACTTTCGCTTCCGGTTGACTCCGAAGTAGAAACCTAAAACGGGCTCACCTCCCGACTGCCCTCCGGACTTGGTCAATCTATGCAGAAAAAGCCTCAGTTTCTTAGCTAGTTTACTTTTCCATCACGCAGAACGAGAAGCACCATCCTGCTCGTAACTGCAAGTAGATCACTAAATTACCTTATCTTTACATATTCGTACCTAGGATCAGCTATTCTCATCTCATGAATCATCTCCCTCCAAGTCCAGCGCCTTTCATCATGACATCTTCCTTAATCACAAGTGAACGTTAGACCCAAGACATCATCACACAGGAGATCTCACAGTCAAGAGCATATGTCATACGGCATCGTCGAGAAGCATAATCCGTATGACATGCTAGAACCGGATAAGCGAGGACAGAACTCTGAACACGCCGCAGAGGTAATCCGGCCCACTGCCCTCCTTCATCACGAGCCGGCGAGACCAGTCTATGACCATTACGTAGTGCCTTCCTCCCTTCTATACCCTTCTTTCTTGTGCGGCTGCTTCTGATTGATTGCCTCATCACGACGAGCGGCCCTTGTTGTTGACTCATTGATAGGTTATGTACGAATAGCTACATCACCCCGTGTCGAGCGTAGGAGGACAAGCCGTGGCTGCTTTTAAGGTCATTGTGCTGGGGTGGAGGACTGTGAGTCAAGATGAACCTTGGAGTGAGTTTGTTGGGGGGTTTGTATACTGGGAGCGTTGTATACTGGAAGCGTAGGTAGGTACGTATTTGTCCGTTTTACTTTTGGCTTCTGATTGCACGGCTCAGCCACGGCCATCCAGGGAAACGGGCCAGGAACGGTTCTAAACTATTGCGTAGAAGGCAGATATAGTTTCGGTGAGGTATGTGTGATATAGATCGAGGAGTCATGGGGGAGGTATACTGTTGACGTTTTGCTTCTGATTGTACGGCTCAGCCATGGCCACCCAGGGAAACGGGCCAGGGACGGTTCTGTAAATAGTGCGTAAAAGGCTGATATGATTCTGATGAGGTATGTGTGATATAGATCTAGGAGCCATAGAGGAGGTATAAGAAGCCGTTCCTCCTCCCTCCTCAATTCACTTGTTTCTTCCTCCTTTCAACAACCGTTCACTTGCTTCTAGCCTTCTATCTTCTCGTTGACTCAAATCTTTAAGCTGTTCTAGCTGTTACCTCCTGCGAACAAGACCAAGTTATATCTTTGATCGAGTTTCTTTCGGCTTCTACGAAGCACCTTTATCTCTATCTTATTCAGTCAACTGAATAACCTCCCGTCGAATAAGCAATGGCCAAGTCGGTCAGATTTTCCAACCTTCTTAAGGTTATCTCTCCGAGGTCGAAGAAGACCTCGACTAAACAAGACGGTTCAATCAAACGAACCGATCTTGCCGTGGTCAAGGCGATTGACCAGTCGTGCGGTGCCCCCGCCGTTGATGGGGACATGATCGAATACATGTCCCTCGATGACGGGGTGCACTTCGGCAGCCCCTTGAACCGGGTGCCGACTCCCCACCCGTCGAAGAAGCACTAAGCTGAGATGGGGAGGAGGGAGGGAGGAGGGGGTGAGTGGAGGGGAAGGGGGGTCAAATTGAACTGTTTTCTGTTTTTCGGTCGGTTTATTGTGGGGATGTTTATTTCTTCTTTGCTGGTGTCGGATAAGTTGCTTACCTCTGTTGATATCTTGTTGTGATACAACGTCTTGTTTGAGGGGGCGGAGATCGACCTCGGTCACTCTTTGTTCAAGTGAGACTTCAATGTCCTTGATTAGGTAGTTTACTAGGAATCAATGTGTTCCTCACTCTCATGTTTGTCTTAGAGTTGGAGGTGAGCGTAGAATGAGAAAGTCGCTGAGGAAACGAAGGCCGTCTGGCTGGCATCCGCTCCTTCCTAGTAGAGGCTAAACATGTCACGAGGTCAAAGTGAGCGGTCTCTGGAGCTCCTCATTCTTAATTCTACCAAGTCTTTACTTCTACTGTCCATTCTGCTGCATACAACATAATCATAGAGTCATTTGCTATATCTCGGTGATGTACAACGCTATCGCACAAACAGTGAGCTGAGACCCCCCAGAGCAGAAACGCCCACCATGACTCGCCACAGAATATGAAACCCATGGACAAGCATCATCTTCTGACCTCTGCCCTGCTCAGACAGCGAGATCTCACCCGTTTGTGTGTTCGAATCCACGCTTCCTTCTCCCTCTTCCCAGAGAATCCGGTTGAAGATGATGGCACCGCTAACCGGGACAGCGATGCACATCCCCCACGTGCGCAGAACGGAATACATGAGAATACCAGATGCTGAGCGGTCACTATCTTGCCTCGATGACTCTCCTCTCCCTTTGCGGTTGCTCGTTACATTATGCACGCTTCGATGGTACCCTGAGATAAGGAGGGAATGGCCGATTCCCATGCCAAGGAATATGAAGACCCATACTTGGGGTGGGGTGGCAGAATCCAGAATGATGAAGAATCCTGTCGCCAGAATACTGCACATCCACCCGGCTCGGATCATCCAAGGGGGCAGGCTGGGACTTCGCAGCAGTCGCACCTTTTCTATCAGGATGAGCAGTATCAACGCTGGGCTGGCAATGGTGACCAGGCTGAGTCCTTCAAGCGCTGAAGATAGGTCTTTGACTAATCTTAGGTACAAGGAACAGTTCAACAGATGGCAGGAAATCTGAGCTACGTCAGTTGGTTTATGCCCGACAGATGGTGATTGACTCACGAGAAATCCATGCAGCAAGCTGCCCAGGTATAGCATGGTCTTTGCAAGGCTGTTGAATACGGCCGAAGAAAATATTGGGTGCACAGCCCAGAAGAGCTCATAGAGAACTAGAACCAGCATTGATACACCACCAGCACTAAGAAGTACCAGCACATGCCAATTACTCCACTCATACAAGGTCCCTCCCCAGTTGATCCCTATGAGAAGACAACCCATTCCCATGAAAATTAAAGCAGCACCTTGCCAATCAAGCTCGCCCGTCCTGCATTTTGGCGCGCGCTGGTATCTTCGCAGCTCAACAGCGAACGGGATGACCAGCAATCCCAGTGCGCAGAAGACGAAGCTGGCATAGAAGGTCCAGATAGCGTGGTCAATGAGGACTCCGCCAAATATAAGGCCGAATATGGCACCGGCCACCCGCGCCTGGAAGATATACCCGGTAAATCGGGCTTGATGCGGACATGGGATGACTTCATCCATCATCAAGAGTGAAGTCGCCATTACGCCCCCACATCCCATGCCTTGGACGAAACGCCCCGGGACTAGACAAGCTAGGTTCATGGAGCCGCTACACACACCAGTCCCCACCGTAGCCAGTACAGCGGCACCGAGCACAATGGGCCCTACCCCGAAAAGGGCAGCAAGCATGGCCGAAAAAGGCTGACTTGCAGCACTGGCGAGAAGATACGTTGCCTCGATCCATAACGCGCTTCCCAGTGGCTTTTCAGATGTGGTTGATAGATTCTACCCATCTCAGGTGATCAGCCGCTTATAGGGGGAAGCATCGGACATACATACTGCTATCAGAGGAAGGACTACTGTGGCGTTGAACGCATCCATTGTCATCAGCAGAGAGACACAGGTAAAAACTAGCCATTCTTTAACGCCAGGTTTCCATTCCGCTGCCCTCAGATCCTCCGCGGCATTGTGGCGCAGATGTTCTGTGTCGACCACCTCGACCAGATTTTGAGAACTCGTGTAATTGTATAAGTGCGACTCGAGGCCATTCTTCGCATGGCTGATTCCAATATATTCAGCTCCCATAGGGAACAATGCTGGAGACCTCAGGTTCAGCTACTGAAACAATTCGAACATGACACGTGGAGGGATGCGTCGCTCAAATAAGGCACCCGACTATGTTCTCACCGTCTTGGAACTTGGAAGGGGGGCCACTACATCATCTAGAAAGCAAATGCTGAGTCTCCAGCGCAAGGGGCAGGGCACAGACCGCGTGGTAAAGGCACATGTTTCTGGGGAGAGCTGGCTCCGAAGCTGGATATGGGAATAAGAGCCGGTTACTGGGCAGCTGGGACGATTGGCTCAGCGCAACTATGATCACGAGCTGCCCGATTGGTGATCGCACATTCCTTCTGTCCGGGAAACACGGTGCTCGACTCTTGCCACTGGGACGAATGGTCCGCCGCGCAATGTCTGGTATGCGAGCACAGACATCGGTGATTTAACCCCGGAGCAGCGATCTCAGGTATCATACACAGCCTTCGATGGTAACCTAAAGCAGGTATCTTTCACGTGAATACATGCAATCAAGTCGCTCGACTTCGACTCGGGAGCACATAGCCTCCAATATCCGCAACAAACCGCATGGCCTTGCCCATGAAGCCAGCAACGTCGTCGCCCAGCCATGTCGAGAGCAGCGCCGCCCTCGTAGATTCCATCTCCCGGAGATATCTTCCAGCGACCTACAAGCATTAGCACAACTCTTGGCACACGACTCAAGACTACCAAGACCACTCACAAGGGTACAAGACCCTTTCCGGGTCGTATCCAACGCGACCTGCGCAATAACCTCCGCCACGCGTTCGGGGGTGTTTGTCTCGAGCCCCGCATCCTGCCAGCGCTGTGAAAAACCAGCCGTCATGGTCGTTGGGGTCATGAATGGTGCAACTGCATTAACTCGAATGCCATACTTCTGCGCTGTAACCTGCGATGCCCGCAGCAACCCCACAACCCCATGTTTGGAGGCCACATAAGCCGTGACACCCGTGCCTCCAAAATACCCCGAGGTCGAAGTAACCAGCACGACCGAGCCGGGCCGTTCATTCTTTTTCATATGATACATTGCCAGCCGAAGCGCTTCAATGATCAGCAAGCCTGGAACCCCAGACCCCATACACGTAACCGAGAACCAAATGAGAGGGAAAACATACTATTAACCGTCCCTTTCAAATTCACATCCAGGACCCACCAGCCCTCCACACTCTCCTTCAATTCCCCCGTCCGCTCATCCACATCCTCCAGATCCAAGACGGGTTTCGACTCCATCACTCCCGCATTCGCAACGACGACATCCACCCTACCGTATTGCTGCACAATGGTCCGGAACAGAGCCGTCATCTGTCCCCAGTCCAGGATATCAGCAGGGAGGAAACTCGCCTTGTCAGGATACAGGAAGGATGTCTTAATCTGGTATTCAGTAATGGTTCTATAGACCGGAAGATCCGTGAGGATAATGTTGTCGTCTCGATATTTCTCGTTGAGATGTTGTGCTGTTGCGAGGCCAATGCCATGCGCGGCGCCAGTGACGAGGATCGTCCTCGGAGACGAGGTAGTTGTAGTCATGCTGACTGAGAGGATCGTCAGATAGCTAGTCTCCTTCTTTTGATTGCGTATGTAAAATAGAGTAAATTAAGACCGGGTTGTTCAGGGAGTAATTGAGGGTGGCGGACGACGAGGAACGAGAGTTTGAGAACATGGGGAAGTGAGCGGGGTACCCGGTTAATGCCTGCATTGACGCGTGCGCGATGATTTATCCGCGTACACTGCAGATGGTTTACTATTTTATCTTTTCTTCATATATGTATTGTTTATGATATCAGGTTCCATGTCTATCTAGTCTCATTGACTAACTATAGTAATAAGTAATAGTCATTTCAATGGCATCAGCGCTATTATACCAACACCAAACTATACGTAATCTCTATCGCGTATGCACATACATCTACATCTCTCCTCTCATCTCATCCCATTCCATTAATCCATCTTATTCCGCGACGACGGTCTCGAAATGCGCGACACTTCAGCCGACGATTTCACACTATGTGCCGTGCTAACGGCATGGAACGAAAAGTCCAGCTCGCCGACCAAGGCTTTGACGTCCCTGAGTACTCGTTAGTCTCATTCTAGATGTAATAAACTAATACATCGCGACACAATAAGTAATCGATCGATGTCACTCACTTCATAAGTCTCTCCACATCACCGACAATACATCTTGTCGAGATCTGTAACACCGAGAACGTAGCAAAGCCCGGCTCCGCAATATGTCGCAGACTGAGAATATCCTTATCCAGGGCTTCTAGTCGCTTCGAGAAACTGTAGGGTCGCGGTGCTTTCAGATACGGTGGTAACGGCTGCTGATTGGTGATGCTCGCGGACAGGAGACACAGGAGGGTGGTGACCTCGTGAGTAGTGACGCGCGCACTGGCGACGAGTCGACGGAAGTCGTGTAGCCAGGCGGAATCGGATTCGTCGTCGCCGCCACCAAGCTGGAGAAGGGTGTCGGAGGCGTAGCCGAGCAGACTGAGGTAGCTTACGATGCTGGTCAGGGTTGGTTAGTGGATGTTCATGTTCATGATGATTGTTGGAGGGGAGGGTGGTGGGTGGGTGATAATGTACTTTTCGATGCATGTGATGATGGATTTGTAGCGTCTCTTGGGGAAGCGGCCGCCAATGGCGACTTCCCAGTTGAGGAATCCAGCATAGGTTCGGAGGTTGTTTAGCATGAGCATTTGTTTGGAGAATACTTTGTTGCGGGCTTTCAAGAGTCGACGGCCGGAGGAGGTCTTTAGTGCTAGGTCCCCTTCGTCGCCTCGCATTCGTGCGGATACTGTCTCGTGGATGATGGAGTAGTAGTTAGCCAGGAGGTACAAGGAGGCCCCTAGACTTTGGCGGAGGACGGAGTGCTCTGAGATCGGATAGGGGAAGAAGGTCCAGATAAAGGCCACAGCAATACCGGCGGCCACCGTGGCCAGTCGGTAGGGTCCAAGGAGGTAGATGGGGTAGTACTGTTGCCCGTTTGAAGCAGCCACGGCCTCTCCGATTTTCCGCACCTCGAGCTCGTAGCCCACAATCATCGTAGTCGAAATGATGGTGATGATGCCAATGATGCGAAACCGGAATTGCTTGATCGGCACATAGAAAACGCAGGTTAAGAAAATGAAGAGGAAGACGATAATGCCCGGGGTCTTCTGTCCCGGGATATACCAGGCCAAAAGGCTGAGCACCATCGCCAGAACGGTACCTAGAAGGCGAAGAACGAAGCCAAAGATGCTTTGTCCTGACGTGGGTGACATGCTGAGGTTGACCATGATCATGGCCCAAACGAATCGCTGCTTGACAAAGAAGCTCTGCGTATCGTGAAGAAAGGAGACCACCGCCACGGTCATTGTGGCACAGGCTACTCGGAAGCCATACGCAGATTCCGGTGAGCGCAACGCCGAAGGAATGAGTCTAATCTTATCTCCTAATTTCTGGAGTGAATTCTCTGGCGGTAAGTGTTCCGGGTTCTTTCGGTGCTTGTAAGCCTCACCCAATTGGAGAATGTTGCTCTGGGAGTTAATATCACCACCCAAATTGTCGTCCTCGTGCGAGTCGTCCGCTTTGAAAGCACTGATGAGCCATTTCAGCAAACGCTTGGAGCCCGGTATGATAAGGCGCTGTCGTGCGAGCTTGCCACTTGCGACCTTCTCGTCCGCAAACTGGATGAAATCATGGACGACGTGGCCGGTCGATTCGAGCAGTTGCTCCACCTAGATCAGTCAGTATCAGTTCGAGGTCAGATGTGGTTCTAGAGCCTACATAGAGGATTAGGTACAGCTGCCGTCGGCTCCGGTCTCGGCCAACACCAAAGGCATTGTCGGGAATATCATCCACATCCAGGTGCACGGACGATGGATGCTCAAAGAAGTCAGGCGGCAAGATGATGCCCTTCTCTTCACTCCAGCTCCGCAAGGCAATCCGCTTAGCGTACTTGAAGTCGCGAATTTTCTTTGCATAGAACTCTGAGAACCCTTTTTCACCCGGCTTTGGACAAGCCGTTGCCTCGACATCGTCAGTTTCTTTGCTAACAGTCGATGTTTTCGGTGGCCTAGTCAGCTCAAGTAAAAGAGAAACGTGTTGCAGGCCCCCATCAATGGTGTGGATCATGGAGCTAAAGGGGTCATGAACGGCCCTCATGATCTCGTTCCATTCTTGTCTAACCCGCTGCCGCACCGCATCGGGGATTTCCGTTCCGGTCTGGTCGATGGGCTGGTTCCATTTGTTATAGTCGGAGAGACGCTGAAAGATATCCACAACAAAGCTGAGGCCGACTACGGGAATCATGATCTGGCGCAGATGTCGGAAGATCGCCTGGAGATCGTCCGGTCCAAGCTTCCCGATGGCAATTTCACGCTTCGCAAAGGTCAGGTCACCGTGTATCTTGGCATGAAGGTCTGTGACCTTCTGGCAGGCCGTGCGGATAGCCTGCGCCTCCGGGCTATACACCTTGCCTTTATCAGTGACCTTCTCCACGGTCGAGTCGTACGTCTCTGCCCGGCCAAACATGTCGTCCTTTTCCAACGTCTCGAAGTAGGCTGTGTGGGCATTGAGTGCAGCGCGCAGGGACCCGATGTAGCCTGCCATTTGTTTAAAGACAACCCCTCTAGTACTCATTGGAAGAATGAACAACGAGACGCCCGTCGCAATTCCCAGTCCGGTCAAACATGCTTCGAGCAACTTCTTGACAAGGGTGATGCCCGCGGTCATAGTCGCGAGCCGAGAAGCATATGTAAACGTAACATTGGCAACGATCGAATAGATGATGACGGGGAATTGGAATTGCTGGAACTTGGCCCGGAACGTGTGAACCGCGTAGATTTCGAAAAACAACCAGACACCACTGACCGCTGCTGCAGACGAATTATACGGCGCGGATGAGGCGCTGCCGCTGGCAGCATCGGCAGCAGACTCGGTGTGCTGACGTGCCTTGATGCATGAATACATCATGAGTAGAGCGACAGCCGACGCGACGCAAGCTGCCAACACATCAAGCACCAGCATCTGGATGAACTTGGCACGAGGCATGATCGAGAACCCTAAAACAGAGATGATAGCCACAAAGTATCCGACAGTGTTAAATAGCGATGAAACAGCATTCGCTTGGTACCTTTTGTCTGTCAGTCTACCATAGCAAGCCAAGAGTCTGGGGAATCGTACATCGCGACACAAATTGTCGGTGGCAGGGCACCCCTGCGAAGTCAGTTAGTCTTCTACGCACAGCAGTGACGGATATAGGCCATACTTCATCATGAGAAGCAGAGTCGGCATATCCAATTCCAGCTTCTTCCAGGCATTTTTCACCTTGCCGAAAAGCTTCCATTCGCGATTCGGCTGGCTATCGTCGCCAGAGTACGCCTGCGACGAAGACTGGTCTGAGTCGACTTGAGTTGCCATCCTGAAGCCTTTCCCTATCGACGACAGGGGTCCTCACTTTCCTCACCCCCTAATAGCCGATGGGATCAATGCTGAATTCTGGGGCTCGTGCCGGCCCCCTCATCGACAGGCCTACTTCCCCAGACCACGTGATTGGATCGGCGACGCCAGTTGCAGGCCGGTTAAACTCTCGCAAAGCGGCTTGACGCTGGTTGGGTGAGATGTAGATGGAGACAGGGAATTGCGTAATCTGCTCTAGCAGGTTTGTAGGCAGGTCGCGTGTATTTTCGCGTTTGCTTCAACCCCCGGAGCAGCAGGTCGGAAAAATAGCGAAGCTTCGAGTTCTGCTTCCCAGCGTCTTGGGTTGCAGTCAGTGGCGATCGGCCGCGAACTTTCCCAAGTGGAGCCTGGGCCGTGTGCCAAGAGCGCGACCACTCTTCACCGAGTCGGGACTGTTGACATCGCTGATAAGCAGGTTCAGGCGTGATAATGGGCCTTACGGCTCCTTTGCAAGGTTGCGGATGAGAGTGAAGCCGCGACTGACGAGTCGGATCTCGGTACGGAATCGTCGGTTCGTGACGGCTCCAGAAAGACGGGGATTATTCCGCGTGGTGGTTGGCTTGACCCACCGGCCTGCAGGAATCGACATCATGCCGTGGTATATTTTGCGGCCGTTGGTCGATCATCGCTCCAGTCGAGGGGGGAAATGCGTCATACGGTAGCAAAGAGGGCAGTGGTGGTTTGTTACAAGTTACAATAGAGGAGCACTGAAGATGCAAGGAGATTACTGTCGCTGTGGTAAGAGTCGGGATTAGGCCCGAAATGCAACTCCAACCCTCAAGAAAGTTACCGAGATCTTGCTGAGGTCTTGGAGGACAGGCATTGAGGCATGGTTTCAGTGGCCGAAGAATTTGATGGCTAATTCTCCAATGGCAAGTTTAGGGATCCCAACAAGACGCAGTTCTCATAATCGTACTTTTATGTTAGCTCCCCAATAGTCGAGCGGTCGTTCATCACGACCATTTGTCTCCACCTGGCTCAATAGCATCGTGGGTACGAATCCCTTCGGGGATTTGTTTTTAGCATGCCCCTTTTTTTCTCTCGGCAGTCGATTCTACCCTTCATCTTCTTTATTCTAACGATTCAGCTTCTCACCCCTATCACAATGTCTTCCATCGAGCACTCTACTTTTCTATCAAGCTATATACATACGACTCTACTTCTCTAATACTCCGGCCATTCAGGGTCAACCTGTTCTTTCCAAGCGCGAAAACCCCCTCGAATGTCGGCCACTATCCTCTGTCCTTCTCGATCCAAGCCCAGCTCCTTCAGCCTTTTGACAGCGACCTGGGAGTCGTTGCCAAGACGACACACCACATATACAGGGTCAGTAGACGTCGACGAGGCCACGTCCGATGGCACCCATGAGGGCAACGTGGGCAATCCGTCGGCTGAAGAATCCCCAGTGTTCACCGAGCTGAAAGCAGAAGCTAAGATCGTGGACATCGGGATGTTGATGCTATTCTCCAGGCTACAGATGTCGAACTGGACCTTCTCTCTCACATCGATGATCGTCGGCTCCTTTTGCCCCCCACCACGGTGTTTCGTGCGGTACTCAAGCGGCGTGATACGTTCCTCTGGTGAGAGCAAGTTCTCTGGATCCGCAGTTCCACAGAAGAAGACATAATCGGTAGACCCCGAGCGTACAGTATCCACCGTTACGCTGGCCTCAGCAGAGCATACCGCGCAATTGGGCCGACGAGAGCGTAGTTTTATGGTGCGGAAAAGAGGCGTAGAATACGCCGAGAAGATATGCAAAGACGGTGGAGTAGGCGGACTTGTTTCTTCCGCCGTGATGACCTTGATGGCTTCCAGCGCCTGCAAAACGCCCATTGTACCAACCACGGGGCCGAGAATACCCCCATCCGCGCAGCTCGTAACAGTATTCGCCGGTGGTGGCTTCGGAAACACGCAGCGGTAGCAAGGGCCTCCAGTCTTATCGCCTGCGGGCCGGGGAGGGTTGTTCAACACCATCAGTTGACCTTCGGTCCGCAGGGCAGATGCTGACACCAAGGGTTTACCCAGGAGTACTGCAGTATCCGAGATGAGGTATCGAGTCGCAGGGTTATCGGTACAATCGAGAACCAGGTCGTAGTTGCTAAAGATATCCGGCGCTGCTTCGGGCGACAGATGTTCTCTATGAGCGATGTACTTGGGGTGAGGGTTCAGCCTAGTAAGGAGCAGTCCGCATCAGCATGCTGCATCGACAATGTCAATCCACCCGGGATGCCCGGGAGCAACTCACTCCTGTAGATACTCAATCGCACTATCCACCTTCAGCTTGCCGACATTCTTGGACCTGTGTATAATTTGACGATGGAGATTCGACGACTCCACCGCATCCCCGTCGACCAGCCCCAGAGTGCCCACACCAGCTCCGGCAAGATATAATGCTGCTGGACATCCTAATCCACCAGCTCCCACGATCAGAACCTTTGCCGATCTGAGTTTCAATTGGCCTGGGTGACGAAGCACGGATTAGCAAAACGAGGTCTTAGGTCTCCAAGAGTCGGTAGGTCGACCACGAACCTTGAATTCCTAGCTGTGGTACAATCATCTGTCTTCCATAGCGCCGGTATTCTTCATCCAGGAGCGGCCACCGCCTCCCAGGAGCCACTTCATCGTCCCCCACAGCCTCTGCTTTAGATTTCGCGGCGGCCTCCTCTGCGATTTGGAGCTCACGTTTCAGGCCGGCAAGTTGTTCTTCGGTGGCAGCAATTTGGGCGCGCAAAGACGCGCATGTTTGCTCAAGGCCACTCATTGAGAGAGTCGGGTCGAGCTCCAGTCAATGTAAGTCAGAGGTATGCTTGCAGCATTCCAGCCCGAGGCGCCCCGCGCTCGGAAGACTTTCTCCATCTTCTTATCGGGCGGCCGGCGCTAAACCCCTTCCGGTGAAGTAAGGAGGGGTTCCCCTTTCAGTCCCTTCAGCTGCCTACCGAGTACCAAAGGCTTGCATCCCACGGGTCAACCTGTTTTCGTGGAATCGACTATACTATGTCTTTGTGATAGATACACTCATGCCGAAGCGAATCAGAAATGACAAACTTGACAACCCCTGAAACTATATCACGTCCTCTAGCTCGGTACACGCCTCCAAGTATCGTCTGAGCTGATCACGGACGAGCGTCCGCTGCTCAAATGCATAGGCCATGCCTATCAACTGCTCTTCGCTCCACTTCGGGCCCAGAAAGCTGATGCCGAAAGGGATTCCAGGGGCGCGTTGCACTAGATCGCCGCGGCTGTTGTGTTCAACCGGAGTCCCATCTGGATATGCCCCGAGAGGGACGGTGATAACCGGCGTACCGAGAATAGCAGGGATGCCGTAGGCGACAAGAGTAGGAAGGATGACAGCATCAAGATTATTGCGCGATAGAGCCCCCAGCAAGCCTCCTTCCTCACCGAAATAGAGGGTCTCCTGATACAATGGCCAAAAGGCCGGCGATGTGTTGTTCAGTCCAAGGGCAATCACTTGGTCCCATATCCCCGTGTCGCGCGACGGATAGTCCTCCCATGGATTGTGCTGGGTATGGTATCTGATATCCTCCAGGCTGAGGATATTAATTGGGTTCCGTTTCAGTTTCGACAGATAAGTTGCGATGTTCGTCGTAAAGTCGGCGGCCTCGACAATGGCCGGGTTCAGACTATCATAGAAGCTACTGTATGCAGTGAAGTTGGCATTGTCGACTACAGTAGCGCCTGCTCGGCTTATCACGGAGACTGCTGTTTCAAAGGCTGAGGTTATTGGGGTGCCTGCCGGGCCCAGGTAATCGATGACATTTCGAGGGATACCAATGCGCTTGCCTTGGAACCCGGACAGCTTGCAAGCCGCCAAGTAGTCCGGGAGCCTTTCACCAAATGGCGAGGCCATGGTGTAATTGTCTTTTGGATCCTGACCAGCAATGGCTTGTAACAGCATGGCTGCATCTTTGACGGTTCTAGCCAACGGGCCAACCGTATCCTGGCGCTCGCTGATAGGGATGACCATGTACCGTGATGTAAGCCCGACAGTTGGCTTAATGCCGACAATGTTGTTTCTGTCACCTGGAAGCAATATACTTCCAGCTGTCTATCCATTTCTAGGGCATCAGTACTACTAGAAGTTTGGGCAGGATCTTGACGCACCTCTGTTCCCAACGCAAATGGAATAAGACCCAAGTCAGTCGCAACAGCACTACCACTCGAACTTCCATTCGGGTCCTGATCAGGATAATACGCTCCGTATGTATTACCCCCTCGCCCGCTCCAACCATTGGATGAGTTTAACGAGCGGAAGTTGGCCCATTCCGACAAACTCGTCTTGCCTAGGATGATCAGACCGTTTTGTCGGAGCTTCGCCGCTACAGTTGAATCGGCAGAGACTCTGGATCCGACGAGCGCCCAGGAACCAGCTGATTGTGTAAGTCAGGCATGAGTGTTGGGTGGTATAGAAGAACATACCTGCGGTTTCCATCCCATCATTTGTGCCTATCATATCTTTGATCAAGACAGGAATCCCATGCAGCGGACTACATCAGTAGTCAGCCGCAGCTACGAATTAATCGTGCATGGACGATTACGTACCCCCGAGTACGACCTCGACGCCGCTCACGATCAAGTTGTTTTGCAATGCTCAATGCCTGTGGATTCAATTCCAAAATTGTGCCAAATTCCGAATCCACTTCGTCAATGCGACCGATATACGCCTGAGAGGTATCAGCATCGCCAGCCTCCATGCAAAGAAATCCAAAGGAATGAGCACGAACATTGACTAAATCCACACTATCAAAGCACCCCTTCCGCAGACCAGCTTGAAGCTGATCCACTGTCGCTTCAGCCAACCGTGGGAACTGACATTCTCCAACGCTATCCGCAACCGCGCCCTTCAAGCTCGAGAGGTGTATATAGAAGAGAGTCGCAAGGACCCAAACGCGCCAGAGAAACATAGGAACAGAAAGATGATATGAGATCAGATGTTTCGACAATGTAGCTCCGGTCAAATGCGAACCTGTTCAGTTCTTATGGCATCGATAAGCCTTCCTTAAATTCGATGCAACCTCACCAACTGCCAGACAGCTTATACACCAAGTATATCTAGCTCAAGGATGAGACACTCACTTCCACCTGACCCTACCATGACCAGACCCCAGCATCAATACTGGGCAAGAGCAGAGGCAAAGGAAAGCACAAACAACCTGAAGCCCCAAGCCCCAAGCCCCATGTCTAAGCCAAAGGCAACCAGTGACATGTCCAACCCTTGGCTAGCATAATCATCAATCAGCTCGCTACCTACCACAACCTCCAACCTTTCAATGAACAGTAGTAGTACTCACTATAACCCTCTCACTCTCAATCTCACTTACACCTTCACTGCAACCCAACCACCCCCAAAGATACCTTCCACCACACATTTACCTCACAGACAACCATCAAAACAACATACCACCCCTCCATCCCCAAATCTACGAACCCAAGAATTCAAGAATCCAAATATAGCAAAACTCAACCCACCCCTGTCTCAGAGTAATTTCTCCCCTCTCCGCGGGAAAGCAAAAAAGCGAAAAAGCAAAACAACAAAAATACACAACGTGAATAAGCCCTCAATCAATTCATCAATCAGCACGGGACGTTACTTAAACTTAACCCAGAGAGGAGAAAGTTAAATATTGCTCAACTGTCGAAGTGTACCAGCAATCAAGAATAGGGGGTTGAGATGAGAGTTACTTTAATCTTTCATCTAGATGGTTTATTGAAGGTTACATAGGTGAGTAGGATTCGAAGGGTGTTGGTAGTACGGGGTACAGTGGTTGTCGTACGGTAGGGAATGGGCCTGGAGGGCACGGACATATATGTCTGTCTATGTATGGATCTAGTTGGAAGTGAGATTGGTCCAGGCTGTACGACGTAGTTGTAACCCAGTATTCTTTACTAGACAAAGGAAGGAGAAGACGATGAGGAGGAAAAAGAAACTTGCATATCACACAACATCAGTCCAGCCGGGGATAGAATCTAGTCTTGTGCGGTCCTGTCTAACAAACACAAACACAACCCGAATCCAAGCAAACAAACCGATGTAAGCCCCGCCTCTAGGTACCCATCTAGATCTATCTAATTTGGTTTGCCTTGCCCCGTCTTATACCATTCAGTCATTCCCAGGAAATTGGGTTCGTTTATACATGCATGTGATCGATCTAGCCCAGCTAGACCTTGTTTTGTTGCTCGTTGCGGACACGTTCGGCTTCCTCGTCGTCCAAATCCTCGATGTGTGTGGAACCGCGCTTATGCATGGAGTGTTCCACTGCAGCACGACGGTCAGCCTCATCGACGGCACCGAAGAGGATGTCCATGTCTTCGAGACTGCGGCCTTTGGTCTCCTTGGCGAAGATGACGACGAAGACACCCATGGCGGCGCAGAAAATGCCGAACATGAGGAAGGTGCGCCAGCCGATGTTGTGGACGGCTTTGGGGGTGATTTCGGTGACTACGAAGCTCCAGAGCCATTGGGATGTGGCGGCGAGACCAACGCCGTAAGCGCGTAGACGGGTTGGGAAGATCTATGAGATGTGTCAGCTGGGCTGTTGTGAAATTTGGCGTGAGGATGAAGGGGCCAGGGGTCTTGTTCTTACCTCGCTCACATACACCCAAGGGGTAGGACCCCATGAAGCGGAATAGCCAATGACGTAGAGATAGATCATGACGACCATGGCGATGGAGGCCTGGGAAACGCCACCGGCGCTGGTGTCAGGGGGGTGTGTGGCCAAGACAGCACCAATGATAAACATCATGCTAGCCATCCAGATGGAGCCTCCGATCAGACTGAGCTTACGGCCCCAGCGGTCAATACCGACGAACAGGAAAATAGCTGTTGCGACCACCTTGACAGTTCCATAGACACCAGTGGCGAAAAGAGAGGAGTTGGTCGCACTAAGACCGATTGTTTGAAAGATCTCCGGGGCATAGTAGCCTATACTGTTGGTTCCCGACCATTGCTGTGAGAGCATGAGAACAAAAGCAAACCCGAAGCGTTTGAGGTTACTCTTTTGGAGGAACTCCTTATAGGTCAGACCCTCTGTGGCGGCTGCTTCCTCGGCAATGGCTGCCCTGATCTCCGCGATCTCTTTCTGAACAGCTTCACTGTTTGGAGATTCGTTTCTGATGTATGCAAGAGAGTGAAGAGCCTCTTCATGGCGCCCCTTGCCAGTCAGCCAACGAGGGGACTCCTTGAGGAAGAAAAGGCCAAGGAGCATGAGCCCGCCGGGGATAAGCTGGATGGCTACGGGGACACGCCATTGCTTTGTGCTCGAAGGAATGTGGATGGAGACACCGTAGTCTAGCCAGTAGGCGAAAGTGCTTCCAATGACCAGGAACTCCTGGAACATCCCAGCAACTCGACCACGGATATGCGGGGGGCAGTTTTCGCTCACAAAGACGGGCGTGATACTGGACATCCCGCCAATGCCCAAGCCGGCGATGACACGACCACCATAGATCTGACCAATGGAGTGCAGAGAGGCGACTTGAACAGCCGCCCCGATGAGGAAGATAACGGAGAAGATCATTAGGGAGTAGCGTCGTCCGATGCGCTCGTTGAGAGGGGCAGCGAAGATAGCGCCGAAGAAGCAACCCGCGGTCAGCAACGAGACGACATTGGAAGAGATGTCGGAATTCTTGGAGGATGCAAAGCCGGAGGAGCCAGTAGGTAGTCCAAAATCTTCCTTGAAGCTGTCCAAGGAAAGGACACTACCCATCACACCCGTATCATAGCCTAGCAATCATCGACCACCGATTAGTTCTCAGCACGCCTGGATTAATTCGAGAGGTGCAAGCATACCGAAAAGAAGTGACCCAGAATAGGCCACTGCTGTGAGAATATACACACGATAGTTTTTGAAGAGGCCCATGGTGGGAGAATTGTCCAGGAACTGGTAGGCAATTGATAATTGATCCTAGCAGCACAGGGCATTCCCAGAGAAGAGAACCAAGGGAGAAGCCAGAGGGCTGACTTCCCCCGGAACCCTTGTGGATATTTATCATTGTCATCCCCATTCCTAGTAAGCCGCCGGATCCCCATGCTAGAGAAAGGCTAGAGAACACTTAGGTCAGCCAAGCAGACATCTCATAGGGGATGGGAGAGAACCCCCAGCATCGGTGACGATGATACCCACTCACCCGCAGAAGCGACCCCATTTCTCCCCGCACCTGGTGCTGGATCCAGCATTTCCGGGGGAATGGAGTGAGTTGGAGGCCGTCGGTGGATACGTCCGGAGAAATTGTGCGGAGGTGTCGAGTGGGTTTTTCCGTCCACTGGCGAGCGTTGCTACGCCACGCTAGGGGGGCGCCTTCACGGTGACTGGTAGGCTCAGCAAGAACTCTGCTGGTCGTGGTAGCTGCATCCTCGAAATATCATGCCATCAGTGTGCACAGCAATCACTGGAGGGGGTGCGGACTAAGTTTGACCCATGATGACGATTGTGTTGGTTTTATCCTGACCCAGACTGTCAAGAGAGGGGAAAGAGAATGTATCCCAGCTGAAATGCATCCTAGCTGACATCGCCGGATCGAACCGACTGATGCAGAGTCGGTGAGCAGAAGCATTCAAGCGCCTTATCGTTGCCTTTCTATTGGGTTAAGTGTGGACCAAGTGTGGGAATATACCTTCCGCACATATCATGGCTTTCGGAATGACGAGAGACGCTACACTGCTAACGGATGTAGCCTGAAAAGTCCCCATTCACACGTCTTCCCTGGCTTCGTGGCCTTGATGACCATCACGATAAGCATCGTCAATCATTGTGGCTGTCTATATCTTGCAGGATGAGCAATAAAGCCCCCTGCAAGTGAGCAGTCGCTGCCTTGACAGATGTACCAAGTGGCAGTGAAGGAGCGAATCACCCACGCGACTGTCCCCTTGCCATCACCAAACACTCATTGCTCCGATCCAGTAGCAAATTGGAATCCGTTTTGCCAAGCACAAGTGCATCAAGTGGCGCTTTTTTCATGCACCAGGAGCAAGCTAACCTGCGCCCCGTTCATCCGGACTTCCCAGAATCTTTTACCACCAAGGGGGTGTGACTTGCTTGACCATCACGATGTCGGGTATACGTATACCCCAGAGGTGCTTCAGTCAGGATATATCCCTCCGTGTCGGATTACTGTGGCATGGATGCATCCGGCCAACCTCGTTTAGTCTTGGTTTGCGTCGCCTCAAATGTACATGCATTGTACTTTTTGGTGTGCAAAGGGAGCAACTCGTTTCCCCTTACTTTGCTTTTCTCGAAGACATGCCGTGTGATGTTTTGCCATCTGCCGAAAACTTTCCGTGAGCACCTGCTTTCAGTTGACCACGCTCTAACCCTGAGAAAAGAAACTCCTTGCATACAGCTCTCTATCCCTTTACCTAGCTCTGATAGTACATCTTCCTAAGCGATCTAATCACTCTCGGAGCGCAGCCGTTTGACAAAAGCATCTTTCACCTCGGAAGGTGCAGCCTTCCACCTTCCTTTGCCGAACTATCAACCTTAATTTTCTTCAATCCCTCAAAGCCCACATCGCTCACTGTTGAGAAGAAGGACTCAACAAATGGCACAAGTGGTGTGGCCATCACCAAGACGTGCAAGGCAATTTCTGCACCAGCCCCAGGTCTGAAGTCTAGGATAATTCAAGATTGGTTTGCTCGGAACCAAAGAATTGGGCCTTGAAACCCTTCATGTAACTGTCTTCCAGCAGAGCCTGTCAGGTCACCACCGGAGGTAGAATGTTCCACATCTTGATGTCGGTGTCTCTAGCATGGTATAGGCCATCATGCGGCACAGCAGTAGGGTCGATTGCAACAAGGTAACATGCGTCCACGAATTCTGGGATATCCACACTCATTGTGGAATGACACTGTATAGGTCAACATGAATCAGGTTTCTAGCACAATGGTCTGTTTGGTCTTCATAATCTTCTCAAAAAAGATCCATTTCTACGCCAAATAGGTGTCTAAAGCCAGCACACTTATCCATGAGGTCATGGGCATCGACCAGCTGCCGCGGATCCTCATCGCCAAGCTTAGTTTTGCATACACGGAATCCCCTGAGTAGTCTTTGCTGTACTTGAAGCGAGTGAGGAAGCAACGTGCTCAAACACCTTGATTCAAATCGGTCCCGAAAGTATCACTTCCCTTGAACCCATCCGGGATGATAGCAGGATAAACCTCACAAACAGTTGTCCACTTGTGTCTCCATTAGCGGGCCTTCAAAATGAACATGTTGGTCATTCAGGCACTCAAGTCTCTTACTTCGGAATTTGTCCCCCATCCGTACACCATTATTCGGTAACAAGATCTACATGCATCTTGCGTAGGCCTTCCAAGCGTCAGGTTTCGAGCCTCATGAACGGGATTCTGACCTTTCCCGAATCAAACCTCTCTCCCCCTACTTGGAATAATTTCAGCATTAACCAGCGGTAGTCCCAAAGAGCTGCTAGGTTTGCTGCCCAGCGAACTTCACAGGATAATTCCGGCGTGAGTTCCGTAAGCATAGAATCATTGAACCATAATCATTCTACTTTTACTTGATCGCTCCTCAAATACAGCTATCCGGATTGTGGGGGCATGGATTGACCCCCAACTTATCGTGACATATCCCCATTTCCAATCTTTTCCGGTGACTTGATGAGCCCCGACTTTGAGGGGCAATATCGTAATTTTGTTAGCAAGTTTTCGCGCTTGTAATCAGTTGCTTGAGCTGTTGATCGACCCATTGCATAAGGACCTTGGTTCTAGAGACCTGGCTATGTATTCAGTACGTATATGTATCAAGAGGAAGGTTCTTGGGCACGGCATGATTAGACTGTCACCCGCTCAGTACTATCTGAGACATCAAACTCATATCGCAAGGTACCACCCGCATAGGATAGGGTTATATGCCTCAGCTGAAAATTTTGGTGGTCGTGGTCGTAGTAGTCGTTGTATTTGAATACTCATGGGACTATATCTAGGCATCTAGCTAAGGCCTGGCAAGTGACTGATGCTAAGGCTGTAAAGGAGTAACGTGAAAGGAGGCAGGGGGCATAGATATTACCACTTCTGGGGTTGCTACGAATCGGGGTCCATCTTAGGCTAAGTAGGAGCAAGTTCGATTGTAGATGATTCAGGGTTAGATGAATCCTAACCCTATGTGACTGACGGAGTTGATGCCTTTTCATTATTAGTATCGTTGTCATATTTTTCCCTTGCATATCTTTTCACTTGAGAGTCTGTCTATAGCTATGGTAGCGCTCTTGCTATCTAGTTCGGTGAGGACATTAAGCCGGACCTCTACAGCATACTAAGCAACACATCAAGCCATGTCGGCACCCGAATCATTGAGTATGAAGTCAGTTCAACAGATCTCATGGTCAGCAACTTGCCCTTTGATTCTTCCACCTGACCGTGCAGTCACCTGACTGCATTTACTAGGCTTACATAAGATGAGTTCCTGATGCCCGGTGACCCACCCGTAAAGACCAATCATATCACCAGTAAGATACCCCTGAACGCCGAGGCATGTGGGTGGATCATTGGCTGAAATGATCTGCCCGATAATTCAGCAAGGAACCAACAACAAATCAGACGGCCAGGCACAAATGCTCGTCGAACGCGGGTCCATGATCGTTCCCTTCATACTCAGCACTATAGCGTGCTAACTTGTCTGCTTAACGAGAAAAGGCCTGACTGATCGACACAGTGGAGCTGGAGAATGCCCTAGTCAAGAATGACAATGAGGGCATGTGCTCGGTTGGGGCTCATGACTGGCTGCCATCGTGATGCATCATCCGGACAAGCCCACTAGCAGAATCTCAGACGCGGATATCAGTCGGATCTGATATGAGGAATCGTGAACAGAGCGAATCTTGATACCATATGGTACTGACTGGTAGTGTTTTCTTTTTGCTCTGCTCGCGTCCCCTTCAGGGGGCATACCACAAACAATTGGAATGCGTTTAGTTGTGTAACTAGCACCACTAGTGGCTACTGTAACCGTAGCTGGGCTTGATAATGTGGGCTCGGGGTGCTGTCCCGCGTGTGATAGAGCACACAGCTCCTCCTTTTAGATACCTGGCTGCAGACCATGGATGCGCGTATCCGGAGGGTATCCATCCCTACTTTCTCGCCCACTCATCTCAGGCCGTTGGAGACTAGCAAACCCTTCACACCACCGGTGATCACGGCATGTGCTGGATCCTTATGCGATCAGTGGGCAAATCATTCACCACTAGAGGCACACCCGCCCATTCATCGTCAGAGACATTATCAGGACCCCGCTGGAACTAGGATCACTCAACTAGTTTTTGAGACCTGTAGCTTGACATCGATGGCATCTGGAAGTCGTCATTGCATGCCACTATTTGCTGCGTCCACGCCGTTCTGGAATAAATATCCATAAGTCTCCATTGTTAGGGAAGGCTTGACAGCCGTCTAGTGCCCGCTATTCACTGTGCCCTTGATTCGCCATGGGGTATTGGTACGCTGTGCTAATCTTGGGTATGCTCGAACCAGCCGTCCATGCTGCAAGCCTGACCTCTCACGTAAATTTATTGTAAGTCGCAGTTGAAGAGGTGTTTTACGATTCGGTATCTCCATTATGAAAGTCGCAAGTCTAACTATCATAAAGCTTGGGAACGCAAAATGGTGGCAATGACTTCCCCGGAGCGGCTCGTCCGTTTGGAGTGGTGAAGCTAGGGCCCGATCTGTATGTCTCTGGAACAGATTCTTATTCCGGTTACTTGCCCAATGGCAATTTCTCGGGGTTCAGTATGATGCATGAACAGGGCACGGGAGGAGCCCCCAAATATGGCACAGTCTCCCAACTGCCTTTAGTCGGGAACATAAGTAACCCGCTGTCCAACATAACCATCGGCCGGTCAGGCACGGACGAGGCATCTGTGGGCTACTACAAGGCACAGACTGCTCAAGGAACCGTGGTGGAGCTGAGTGCATCTGCTCATGCAGGAATCTATCAATATACCTTCCCGAATGGCTCGAATGGGAACATCTTGGTTGATGTTTCGCATGTCTTGCCGTCATACAGGGGAATGGGACTTAGTCAGGGATACAAAGGTGGTAATATCACCATTTTCCCCGACGGGCACTATGAGGGCCAGGGAGTATACGACAATGGGTGGAATCGTTCCCCCGATTGGTCGATCTATTTCTGTAAGCTCTTTGCCCCATGAAGGCCTCTTCATAGCAGGGTTGGCTGACTTTACCAGGCGGTCACTTTGATGTTTCGCCCATCAGCAATAAAACATATATTGGAACTGATGCCGAAGGCAGTATCGAGCAGAGCGGCGGATTCGCATCTTCTTCGTCAGGGTCAACACGGGTTGGAGGTGTCTTCACCTTCAATAACCCGGTAGTCACCTCGCGCGTGGGCATTTCGTGGATATCCACGCAAAAAGCATGCAAAAATGTTGAAGACGAGATACCAGAGGATAAGTCATTTCAATCGGTCGTGTCCGATGCCCAGTCCGAGTGGGAGGCCAAAGTCTTGTCGAAAGTCATCACGACAAACACAAACGAAACGACTCTCACATTGCTGTACACTTCTCTTTACTTCATGCATCTGATTCCCACAAACCAAACAGGAGAGAACCCTCAATGGACATCCCAGGAACCATACTATGAAGACATCTTTACTTACTGGGTGAGTCCCTAGAGCACCGAGATAGGAGAATCAATCACTCATCTTCGCAGGATCTTTTCCGTTGCTCGACTGCTCTCATGCAAGTGTTGCAGCCCACCGCCTATGAAGAGCAGATCCGTTCGCTTATTGACATTTGGCGATTCGAGGGCTACATGCCCGACGCACGATCCTCGAATTACAATGGTCGCACCCAGGGTGGCTCGAATGCTGACAACATCTTGGCCGATGCATATGTCAAGGGCGTGCGCGGTGCTGTCAACTGGGAAGATGGCTATAAGGCCATGGTCAAAGATGCTGAAGTGACTCCACCCAACTATCCCGTCGATCCTCAGGCGCCCGATTCATCAACCAAAGAAGGAAGAGGCGCATTGCCAGACTGGCTCAGCTTGGGCTATATCACGCCTAGATTCAGCCGTGCCGTCACGCGGGCAGTGGAATATTCATGCAATGACTTCGGACTGTATCAGGTAGCATCGGGACTTGGAAAAGATGATGATGCGGCAAAGTATCTGAATCGTTCCAGAAACTGGCGAAACCACTGGAATGCCAACCAGACCTCGCTGGGATTCTCTGGCTTTGTTGTTCCTCGAAATGAGTCTGGTTTTATTGAAACCGATCCATTGAACGACAGCGGCTATTGGGGAGACCCTTACTACGAAGCCAGCTCATGGGCCTATTCGTGGGCAAGCATCCATGACATGAAAACGATGATCGACATGATGGGTGGCAACCAGACCGTTCTCAACCGTCTGAACACAATGTTCATCGAAGGGGCCAGCGGCTCCAGCGGCATCATTTTCGATCCTACAAACGAGCCGTAGGTCCCCCTTCCCTCGATTGACCGACAGTCGTCATTATATGCATGAGAAATTGGCTGACCAGGCGTTCTAGCATGTTCAACGTCCCTTATCTCTACCACTATATCAACCGGCAAGACATGTCCGTCTTCCGGTCGCGCGATATTGCTAAATCGTATTATGGTACTGGCGTGACCGGCCTTCCCGGTAATAGTGATGCAGGAGCGATGCAGACATGGCTATTATGGAATATGATCGGACTGTACCCGGTGACAGGGCAGTCGACCTTCCTGATTCATTCCCCCTGGTTCTATTCCCTTGTCATCGACCTTGGGGATGGAAAGCACCTGAATGTCAGCTCCAGTGGTGGTGACGGAAATGGAGGGGGAAATATCTATGTGCAGCGCCTTCGCGTGAATGGGGAAGACTGGAAAAAGAATTGGCTGACGTGGGATGACATCTTTGCTCAAGGAGGAACTCTGGAGTTCGAGTTGGGAGACACAGCTAGTGACTGGTTCACTGGGGGGCTGCCACCCAGTCCAGCTTCATAATCAGAGTCGCCTGCATGTGCAGGTTTCCTTGCGGTCTGTACGTATTTTGCTTAACGATGTCAAATGAATATAACTTTACCCGGAAGGGGTCTCCAACAGGAGCATTCTCTGGTTTTTTTCTCGTAGATCGACTCAGGAAGCACAGCAACTGAAATGAGGATACGAGGGGAGATGATTCTCCATAACCATGTCCGAGATGATGTGATCCTCCGTATTGTCCACAACAGAAGTCGAAACAAGTTCTCTTGACCTCCATCGGTGTCGATAGCAGCAACTCAGTATTGACGATCGCGTTGATCATCATTTGGATGACAGGGTCTGCATGGAAATCGGGACATGACGGAAGGTACTCCGTGGACGAGGCATCCATGCTCGTGAGAGTGGAGGGAAGCCTGAATGACTGAGGCCGTTTGGCAACGACTTAAGGTTCCGCAAGTACCAGGGTTCGGGCTAGTCCTATTACAGCACACTTAAAAGGGGCATGTAACTTATCCCGGCCCATACAGTATGCATACAATAGCGGCCCCCACCGGTACATCCTCCTTACGCTGTCCTGCCACCAACCGGGAAGTATCCTATCCGGAGTATTGATGCTTGTAACACCAGTGTATCTACCAGCTATCCTCCAGGGCCTTACAAGACCCAGAAACGATCGCCCAACCTCCACTGGATGGGCCGTCACTTCTCCCTGAGTTTTGTTGATCGCGGCAGAGAGTTCGGTCTCCGGCCGGGTCTCCGGGTGGCAAGCCGCCTTGTTTGGGAATTTGCTCCTATGGGTTCCACGTGGGGGTCTAGCCAGTCTACCCGGGAACTATATGAAGCCCTCACTAAAGATAATGTACTATGTAGCTTGCTTGGCACCCTATTCCCCTGGGTATGATGACGAAATTGAGCTAAAGATTTCCTTAACGGCGATCTGCTTCTTGCATAGTACGCTAGAGATCTAGCTTATTCGCCACACCCGTGTTCTGCAGCTACTGCGGGAAACACTTGAGTGTGTTTCTGCAAGCCTCTTGCTGCCTTGCATCCCTGCAGCCACGCGTACTGCAGTATACGAGCGAATCCACCCAGCATGTCTCCATCTCGCGTTTATCGGCAGCTTTCGCAAATGAAGTTCCTTTCCAGAATTCAATACCGCGGAATGCAAACTCAAATTCCGATAGAATCGAGCCACTAGCAAAGTTTGTCACATCAAGATCGGTGGTGCACATGCAATTGCAGTTTCAATGCGTGCTGCTTCGCCAAGGTCCAATTACTATTAGTGTGGAGATAGCTGCACTTCGCCTTTTAAGGGAACCCCCGCCCTGAGGCAGCTGATGGAGTAGGTGTAGTCGATTGGGAAGAATGGGATACCACTTAATGAGCTCCCAGGTGGCTGCCGTCTAATGCCATGTCCCGGCTGTACCCGGAGCTTCTGACCGCCATACAACTATTATAGACTGAAGGCATATAATTGCAGGTCATCTTTTCTTCGGAACTGCATTCTGTACTTTGCATTGCTTGGCTCGAATATGTTTATACTGGATGAGATCGGATTAAATTGCGGTGGTGATTGGCTGGCCTGCCACCAACTTACACGCATATGCATGACCGTTACAGCTGAGGATGAACTACCAAGGCAGCACGCAGGCCCCCTAGGACATGCATAGATAGGCGCTGCATGAATGGTAACTCAAAAGGCTTCTTTCAAAGCCTGTCACGTTTCACATAATACAGCTTTCCCAAAATCAGTTTAGATCGACAAGGGCAACAGCCTGGGATTCTTAGTAGGTCTCCAAGCCAAGTCTGGGATCTAATCAGGCATGTCGAGCTCACGCCTGAGCTTCATTAGTAAGGACAAGTGCCAATAGTATGGGTGCTATATAGTATGGACGCGGTCGGCCAGGAACGCTGCAAGGTAAGATGAGGCTGCAGATCGCAGTGGCAGTGGCGGCAAATGTCCCGGTGGCTTTATGCTCTCCAGTGCCAATCAGCAGATCCGGGTGTTTGCCGATTGGGCAGCCATCGTCCAGAGACGTTGTGATTTGCAACCTTGCCGGCGATATTCATTAGACAGCATCGGGGGACGATGATGTTGAGCTTGCCTGGCCTACTAGTCTGGTTCCAATAGCAAGATTCACCTGCCTACCTGCGGGATCACGAAATAAAGGTGGAGACAACATGGTCCTACATCATACTGTATGTAGCCGATCATCCTCAGACGGCTTTGAAGGTTGCCTGGCTTGAAGGGACAATCGGCCCAGCTCGTACCTGTATCCACAACCAAGCAGCGCTGACTCCATCGAGCATACACCCTTACTATCCGGAGCAGGAATATCATTGCATCGCACATGGAGCCGACCCGCCAGCTAGCTCCTCTTCTCCTCAGCTGCGAAGGGTCTGAAAAGGACGTAGAAAATGATGATCATTCGAGCCAACGGTGACTTATAAGAGCCGACTTTCTTCGCTTTCTCTGACTCTTTTCTTTTCCTCCAGCAGCGCATCATTCACTCTTTCTCACGCTCCGACTCCAGTCATTCATTAACAATACTCACCAAGCCACAACCCTAATTCCTTCTCTTCCATTTCCATTTACCGAATCTTATCAAGCAAAATGAAGGCCTCCTTTATCACCATCCTTGCTACTCTGGCCACCTCGGCCATCGCTGCCCCTACTGGCAGTCTCTCTGGAATCACCGAGGTCACGAAGACTGTGAATTCGGGTTCCATTGTCTCCAGCAATGTGGTTTCCACTCCCATTGCCAGCTCTGGCGCCACTGGTCATATCGTCCAGGATGCTGGCAGCACTGTTAATCAGGTCTTGACTGTCACTGGCCCTGACGCAAAGAAGCTTCTCATCCAGTTGAGCCCTGATGTCGCCAACCTTCTCTCCGGCCTGGGTCTTCCCGGTGTCGGAGTCTCTGTTGGTTCTATTGTTAAGTCGGCTGCGTCTGTTGGCGACCTCATCAAGGACCTCGGCTCAGCTGTTGACGGTCTCCTCACCGTTGTCGACAAAGATGTCGGTGCTCTCCTGATTCAACTTGACCCTGAGGTTACGGGTCTGCTCAGCGGACTTGGACTGCCCAGTGTCGGTGTTCCCGTTGGCTCAGTCGTGGGCACCCTTGGCGAGAACCTCAAGCGCTCGGCCGATGGAAAGATTGTCGAGGACCTTTCCCCCAAGGTCAAGGACGTCCTCGAAGTCACCGGCGCTGACTCCAAGCGCCTTCTTGTCCAGCTTAGCCCTTCTGTCGCCTCTCTTGTTTCCAACCTTGGTCTTCCCAGTGTTGGAACCTCCGTGGGTCAGATCATCAAGACTGCCAGCAATGTCGGTGACCTTCTTGAGGACCTTGCTGTGCCCGTCGAGCAGCTCCTCACTGTGGTTGGCCAGGATGGCTCTTACCTCCTCATCCAGCTCTCTCCTAAGGTTGCTGCTCTCCTGTCTGGCCTTGGTCTCCCCGCTTTGGGCACCTCTGTGGGTAGCATCGTTGCGACTCTCGGTCAGAACTTGTAAATTGTGAGTGCACGCCACTGATGTTCTGGGAATTCTTTCAGAGTAACGCTAATCTTCCATCTACAGGGTGTATAGTCAGTCAGTCATGGTGTCTGCAGTGGTTTCTCTCGGATCGGACTTGGACATACTACTACTCTTCTCTGAGGAATCGGCCTGTTTATGTGCCGGCGATGAAAAGCGACGATAACCGCATTGTATATTTATTTGGTTCTGTACTGTTGAGCAGATGTTGCATATGTCGGGGAAGCCCGCAACTATTGGTTTAATCTTAATTGACGAGTTTATAAGAGCACAACTTGGTTTTCGATGGTGGTGATGCGTATGCTCAAGGAATGCACAATGGGTACGGAGTACTAATTCCCGGAGTGGTAGAAGAGGGGCCGATGGATGTTGGGACGGCGAGAGCCGACCAGTAGGAGACCGAGAGGAAGCCGGGGTGGATCCGACGGGACAAGGCATACAAGGCTACAAGGCTACGACGGCTTATAGAGTACCATCGGCCCGGTCATCTCACGGACGGTGTTCCTTTAATCCTTATTGCTACTGTTACTCCATCCGGAGCTCATCTATGTGATACTACTACATTATTTACAGCATGCGTGGTATCTAGACCCTGATCAGGAGCCGGTGCTCCAACCGAGATCGTCCGCCCAATCCCCTGATCAGTGTGCCATGGACCATCCCCTTAGTCTTTGACGTCGGGCGTTTCAGGTTGAAGATCCACATCCGTTGAGGCAGGGGGAATTATTCCCAGCGGCTCCTCTTGAGCTCCTCTGGTAAGGATTTTTGCGCCCTGCTCAAGCAGTAAAAGCAAGTTAATATAGCGAGATCACAAGATGGTTAGGCAGTCGCATCCTCCGCCCACCCCCTGGGATCTGCCTAGGAGCGCGACCAGGAATGAATCAAAGAGGCCTTCCTGAGTCCTTCAATATACTTGAGTCCACAGCCGAGCTCGATGCTCCAACGAAATTATCTAAGACAAACACCCTAGGGCGTGGAGCAAGTCTCGACCGGGAAATAGCGCATCGATCCCGCTCGTTCGATGTTTTAGATGGTGCCGCTACTTCCCCATCCAGGCAAATAGCCTTGATGGCTCCGGCAATAGTATCGATAGCTTCGTCCTGTTCTTCTCCCTGACAGTCCCTGTGTCAGAGTTTGGAGAATCGCTCCGGCAAAACGTTCTAGAAATAGAAAGGTGACAGCGGGAGACAGGCCACTGTCAAAAGAAAGCTCGAATAATATTAGCCTATAAAGAGGCACCACGGCCCTCGTTTACATGGCTCATCAGCGACTTCAATGTTCATTCTTTAGGGTGTCGGGACTCACTCATTTCCAGTCTTTCTTTTCTGAAAACTCACATTCCTTTCTTTTTTTCTAATTCAAGCTCGACGGAGCACGATGCGCCTCGACAAACTCTCTTTTCTCTCTTTCCTAGGCCTGGCGCCTATCTTTGCTGCAGCGCAGCTCTCTGGTTCCGTGGGACCGCTGACTTCGGCTTCCACCAAAGCGGCCACCAAGACCTGCAACGTTCTGGATTATGGTGCTAAGGCGGATAAGTCTACCGATTTGGGAGCGCCGCTGGCGTCTGCCTTTGCTGACTGCAAGTCTGGTGGTCTTGTCTATGTCCCTTCCGGTGAATACGCCCTCTCCACCTGGGCGAGGCTGAGCGGTGGTAAGGCATGGGCGTTGCAGATCGACGGAGTTATCTACCGTGACAGCACGACTGGTGGGAACATGATCTACATCGAGCACTCCAGTGACTTCGAACTTTTCAGCAGCACGTCGTCAGGCGCTATGCAGGGTCTGGGTTACGAGCTTCACAAGAAAAACAACTGGAGCGGGCCTCGTTTAATTCGTTTGTACGAAGTTACTGATTTCTCGGTTCACGATTTCATTCTGGTCGATTCTCCCTCTTTCCATATGTCGCTGGATACTTGCACCAACGGCGAAATCTACAACATGGCAATCCGCGGTGCTAATCACGGTGGCCTGGATGGCATTGACATCTGGAGTACTAACATCTGGGTTCATGATGTGAGTGTCAGGGAGTAGAATACATATATATCCAGACTATTGACTAGTTTTACAGGTTGAAGTGACGAACAAAGACGAGTGTGTCACGGTCAAGGTACGATTACGATCAGTGACAGACATCCCCAAAGAGGATGGAGGCTAACAAAGATCTACAGAGCCCGGCAAAGAACATCCTAGTCGAGAATGTTTACTGCAACTTGAGTGGTGGATGTGGTATGGGCTCCTTCGGGTCTGGTACTGAGGTCAGCGATATCGTTTACCGGAACATCTACACCTGGAACTCGAACAGCATGATGTTGATCAAGAGTAACGGAGGAAGCGGCTACGTTGAGAATGTTCTTCTTGAAAACTTCATCGGTAAGCAAGGATGTCCTCAGCGTCAGGAATCCCGCGTGAAACTAACCAATGGATTGCTCTTCATAGGCCATGGCAACGCGTACTCGTTGGATATCGACAGCTACTGGGCCAGCATGAGCGCTGTGGACGGCGATGGTGTGCAACTAAGCAACGTCACGATCAAGAACTGGAAGGGAACCGAGGCCTATGGCCTTAATCGTGGACCTATCAAGGTGATCTGTGCCAATGGCGCCCCCTGCTACGACATCACCATTGAGGATTTCGCCATGTGGACGGAGAAGGGTGACAGACAGTGGTACTCTTGTGAGAGTGCCTATGGTACCGGATTCTGTCTTAAGGACAGCTCCGACCATGTCTCTTATGCGGCCTCCACGACCACCGTCTACACCGCTCCCTCGGGCTATTCTGCGGCTACGATGGCGGGTGATCTGACCACGGACTTCGGCACTACTGTCTCTATCCCCATCCCAACTATCCCCACCTCTTTCTACCCCGGTGCCACTCCTTACAGTGCCCTGATGGCCGACAGCTCCTCGTCCACTGCAAAGGCCCGCGCTCTTGCTGCTAGTGGCTCCGCTGCCACCCATGCTGCCGTCTCTAGCAGCACCTCTAGCAGCATCTCCGTTGCTGCTGCCGCCCAAACCGAAAGCGTCCCGGCCGTGACTTCGACCATTGCCGCTGTTTCGAGCGCTGCTGAGGAGGCTTTCACCACCTCGGCTCCGAGTGTTGCCGCCCCCACTGGTGCTGGCAACGCCCCGCAGCCTCCTTCTGCTTCCGGACAGGCCGGACCCGGCGAACAGGGTCAGAAGGGCGAGCAGGGCGAACAGGAGGTCTGCTACGTGCAGTAATCTGCTGGGTTTTGAATTGTCCTGGTAGCTGTGGCTCTCACGGCTAGGGACATGTCTGTAGGAGCTGGGGTATGTAGCTCAATTTGAACAGTTGCTGCGCAGGATTGGTGTGATAAAGACATTGACTTTAATCTTCTCTTCATTGTATATTATCCTTCATATTGAGAACTTGAGGCATATATCTAATCTGTTTCGTTATGCGCCGGTTGTAGAGAAAATTGGCCCTTTTGGTTGGGTAAAACGGCTGAGGTGCAGCACCAGGCGGGTACCTGTTCCGTACCTGACCCAACCCCATCACGTTTCACCATTAGCAGAAGGAGACCAGAGGATGCGGAACACTCCAGTTCGGCGCCAAAGGGGACCTTCATTCAACTACCCGATCGCTTGAAGATTGATTGGATGGCATTTGAGGCTGGGAAATTCCACCGGCCGGGGGCTGGGACTGGGAGAGAGCAAACAAGGGGTGATGTCACCCTGGAGGGTAGCAGCAGGGAAGAGGAGCTTTGGCCTCGACCTTCCCCCGCATGGCCTCAACCACCTCCTCTTGCCTCCCATCTGTTGGGCCTCCCCGCCTCTCCCTGCCTTCTCATGATCCTGTTTTGACGTTGTTACGCATATTTTTCCCACTCGTTACTAATTTCATCCCTACAATCCACATACCAGAGCTTGATCTCCTGGCACTGCTGATCAGTCTCCATGGCTTCTACCGAAACTCAAACTGAGCTTCAATCCACGCCTTCAGACGGCACAGGTCAGTTGTTTCGATCGTGTCGCTTTTGCTCCACTGGCTTGGTCTGACTTTCAACAGGAGTTATTCAGCTCGATCCTTGGCTTGAGCCTTTCCGAGGAGCTCTGCAGCACAGGTTCCGATTTGTGGAGAGCTGGGTCAAGACCATCAATGAGTCGGAAGGTGGACTGGAGAAATTCAGCAGGGTAGGTGATCTTCCTAGCTCGCTGTATTCATTTAATTGCCGCGACTTGCCACCAGCAATTGACACGATATCTCCGATAGGGCTACGAGAGATACGGTCTCAATGTCAACGCCAATGGAGACATCACTTACAGGGAATGGGCACCAAATGCTGTTCAGGCTGAGCTAGTTGGTGATTTCAGTACGTCGCGCAGTGCGGGGAAGATCGGCCGGTGAAGCATTACTGAGACTGGCAGACAATTGGGATGTCACGGCCCACCCAATGACGAAGAACAACTTTGGCGTCTGGGAGATTACATTGCCAGCAAAAGATGGTGTCCCGGCAATTCCTCATAATAGCAAAGTCAAGGTGAGCAGCACAGTAACTGAGGAAAGCCCGTGTCTTCTAACATTATTTTGCTCGCAGATAACCATGGTTACCCCCGGCGGGGAGCGGATCTACCGTATTCCTGCATGGATCAAACGTGTCGTGCAGGACCTCACTGTGTCTCCGATCTATGAGTCGGTGTTCTGGAATCCACCAGCGAGTGAACGGTATCAATTCCAACACCCTCGCCCTAAGAAGCCCGAAAGCCTTCGCATCTATGAGGCTCACGTGGGCATCTCTTCTCCTGAAACGAGGGTCGCAACATACAAGGAGTTCACTGCAAACATGCTGCCCCGTATCAAGTACCTCGGATACAACGCGATTCAGCTCATGGCTATCATGGAGCATGCCTACTACGCCAGCTTTGGGTACCAGGTGAATAGCTTCTTCGCGGCCAGCAGTCGCTATGGTACCCCGGAAGATCTGAAGGAGCTGGTGGATAAAGCACATAGCATGGGTTTGGTGGTGCTCCTTGACGTTGTTCACAGTCACGCGTCCAAGAATGTTCTAGACGGACTGAACATGTTCGACGGTACTGATCACCTTTACTTCCATTCAGGAGGGAAGGGTCAGCATGACCTTTGGGACAGTCGCTTGTTCAACTATGGGAACCATGAAGTCCTACGGTTCCTCCTGAGCAATCTCCGCTTCTGGATGGAAGAGTACAAGTTTGACGGTTTCCGTTTCGACGGCGTCACGAGTATGCTGTATACCCACCATGGTATAGGAACGTGCGTGAATGAGCTTCTACACCTTTTCTTCTCCTTTGACTAACTCAAGACTAGAGGCTTTTCCGGCGGATACCACGAATACTTTGGGCCTTCGGTAGATGAGGAAGGTGTGATGTATCTGACCCTGGCCAACGAAATGCTTCATAGCCTATATCCCGAGTGTATAACTGTGGCGGAGGATGTATCTGGGATGCCAGCACTGTGCTTGCCACACTCCCTTGGAGGTGTCGGATTCGACTACCGGCTTGCAATGGCAATCCCAGATATGTACATCAAGCTTCTGAAAGAGAAGTCTGATGATGAATGGGACATAGGTAACCTCTCCTTCACGTTGGTCAACCGCCGTCACGGGGAGAAGACAATCGCCTATGCGGAAAGTCATGACCAAGCGTAAGTTTATCAATCCCGAGGCCCGCATGACGATGGCTAAATCACAGCAGACTTGTCGGCGACAAAACCCTCATGATGTGGCTCTGTGACAAGGAAATGTACACCCACATGTCCGTGTTGACGGAATTGACCCCCATCATTGAGCGTGGCATGGCTCTACACAAGCTGCTTCGCCTGGTCACCCATGCTCTCGGTGGTGAAGGTTACCTCAACTTCGAGGGCAACGAGTTTGGCCACCCCGAATGGCTTGACTTTCCTCGTGTGGGAAATAACAACTCCTTCTGGTACGCACGTCGCCAATTGAACTTAACGGAAGATCACCTCCTGCGGTACAAGTTCCTAAATGAGTTCGACCGCGCCATGCAATTAACCGAGGAGAAATACGGCTGGTTACATGCTCCACAAGCATACATCAGCCTGAAGCATGAGTCTGATAAGGTCCTTGTTTTCGAGCGTGCAGGTCTCCTCTGGATCTTCAACTTCCATCCTACCAACAGTTTCACGGACTTCCGCGTAGGCATCGAGAAAGCTGGAACATACCGAATTGTTCTCGATACCGATGACGAGGAGTTCGGTGGGTTCGGTCGTAACCGCAAGGATACGCGCTTCTTCACAACAGATATGCCATGGAATGGCCGGAGCAATTATCTCCAGGTTTACATTCCTACCAGAACAGCACTGGTAAGTTCTTCCCTCAGTTATTCCTTTCAAGAAAAGTGAGACTAATGACATTGTTTCACCGGTTGTAGGTTCTAGCATTGGAAGAGACCTTGTAGACTGAACTCAAGAGGTATTTCCACAAAGCCAGCACCAGCTACACTCGTTGCGATAGTCGAGTTGCCCTGTCAATGCAGGATGTGATCATACGTGAAACGGCAAAGCAGCATTATGTTTACTCTGTAGCGTCAACACATGTGTTTCATTCACTGTACTTTCTTTCTCTATACATGCGAGTTTTACATATCTATCAGTGACACAACTATGTAATCTGTAGCTTCTTCCTATGAGAAAGCCTGTCATCGTTTCACCTTGACTCTAATACCCGGATTCCCTCCTCTCCCTTTTCTCTATTAAACTAATCCTCCCAGAATCATACCAGAAACCCACCCAAAATCATTCCCACATGCCAATAGATTACACTCTTCATAGATGACTCTAAAATACGACATTCACATCACCTCACACAATATCTTCATACAGAACATATAAACAGTCATATATCTATCAACCTCAAAAAGAAATCGTTCGAAAGAAAACGCCGTCCCTTAGCTTCTTTCTATATATACATACGGGAGCAATATATTCCTAATCACAGCAATAACTTGATTTGATCAAAGTGGCCGACAGAGATTGAAGTCTGGGCGAAAGTCATACATGAATCGGATAGCGCACTTTCAGTTCAAATATGGAATAGCGAGCATTTGATGGGATTGGGTTTGTGGGGTAAATGGGGGTGGGGAAGGGCATGGAGTAACAGTATCAGAGATGGATAGTATTGGATACGAAGGGAAGGAAGCTAATGTGGAGGGGACCGTAAGGGCGAGTGTCTCGGAAAGGAAGAATGTTACTTGGTTACGGAGTACAGATTACAACTACGGCAAGCATATAGAAGAGGTCATGATTCCCAACAAAAGAAATGAGTACAATTGTCCCAGCCCAGCGGGTATCAGGCTGATTGTGGTCATTTTAACTTACTTACATGAGCACGTAGTGTAACACAAGTCTAGAAGTTTCCATCTAGGCTTAAGAGAGGTGGAGGTAAAGCGCTCTCTTCCTTTTATATAGGGGACCTCGCCGTTCTTTCAACTCCCTTTTCTCAATTCGAGTACTGTACACGGATCGGTAGAAAACGGAACATGGAAGAAAGGAAGTCCATGCCTAACAAAAAAGGAAAAGGGCGCTTAAAAACAATATTACATTTAGTTGTTCTCGAGCTCGGCCAAGATCTTCTCACCCTTGGCGCGGGCAGACTCGAAGTCACCAACCATGTAGAAAGCAGCTGTAACATCAATTAGCACCAGTTTGAGGTCAAGGTGTAGAAACAAGCAGTAAACTTACCCTCAGGAAGGTCGTCACCCTCTCCGCTGATGATGGCCTTGAAACTGCGGATGGTGTCCTTGAGGTCGACCAGCTTACCCTCGATACCAGTGAAGACCTGGGCGACGGTGAAGGGCTGGGACAGGAAACGCTGGAGCTTACGAGCACGCTCGACGGTGAGCTTGTCAGCCTCAGACAGTTCGTCCATACCCAGAATGGCAATGATATCCTGGAGGGACTTGTACTCCTGGAGCATCTGCTGGACACGGGTGGCGGTGTTGTAGTGGTCTTCACCGACGATACGGGGGTCGAGCATACGAGACTTGGAGTCAAGAGGGTCGACGGCAGGGTAGATACCCAACTCGGAGATACCACGGGACAGGACAGTGGTGGCGTCCAAGTGAGCGAAGGTGGTGGCGGGGGCAGGGTCAGTCAAATCGTCAGCAGGGACGTAGACGGCCTGGACGGAGGTAATGGAACCCTTGGTGGTGGTGGTAATACGCTCCTGCATACCACCCATGTCGACGGCCAGAGTGGGCTGGTAACCGACGGCAGAGGGGATACGACCCAGAAGGGCAGACACCTCGGAACCGGCCTGGGTGAAACGGAAAATGTTGTCAATGAAGAGCAGCACGTCCTGACCCTCCTCGTCACGGAAGTACTCGGCAATGGTCAGACCGGTAAGGGCGACACGGGCACGGGCACCCGGGGGCTCGTTCATCTGACCGAACACAAGGGCGACCTTGGATTCACCCTCGAGCTGAATGACACCAGTCTCCTGCATTTCGTGGTACAGATCGTTACCCTCACGAGTACGCTCACCGACACCAGTGAAGACGGAGTAACCACCGTGGGCCTTGGCGATGTTGTTCTACAAACAGAGCGTTAATCATTGAAATTGGAGAAAGAAAGATTGTCAAGGGATTGTAAACTTACGATCAGCTCCTGAATGAAGACGGTCTTACCGACACCGGCACCACCGAAGAGACCAATCTTACCACCACGGGCGTAGGGGGCAAGGAGATCGACGACCTTGATACCGGTGACCAGAATCTCGGCCTCAGTGGACTGCTCGATGAACTCGGGAGCCTCAGTGTGGATGGGGCGGAACTTGTCGGCCTTGATGGGGCCACGCTCGTCAATGGGGTCACCAGTGACGTTGACGATACGGCCGAGGGTGCCAGGACCGACGGGGATAGTGATAGGAGCACCGGTGTCACGGGCGGCAGCACCACGGGTCAGACCCTCGGTACCTAAGGATCGGAATGTTAGCCAAGGGGGGGGAGCGGTATGCGCGAGAGACCACGTAGAGAGAGAGAGAGCGGTGACCAAGAGGTGTGGTGGTTATCCAGCTGCTCTCGCATCCATGGCCGTGGGAAAGAAGTAGCTTACCGTCCATGGCAATGGTACGAACGACATTCTCACCCAAGTGTTGCTAGATTGGGTTAGCTAAGGGAGCTTGATGTCATCAGAGCTGTGACTTGGTGTACATACAGAAACCTCGAGGACGAGCTTCTGGCCGTTGTTCTCGGTCTCAATGGCGTTGAGAATGGCGGGGAGCTTGTCACCCTCGAACTTCACTGTTGGCGAAAGTCAGATATCGTATTTTTTGATAGGCATTGAGTCGGTTTTGATGGAATTTTGGATGGAATCGCGGCCCGGAAAAGATTTTCGCGTAGCCGCCAGCAGGGTTTTAACGGGGGACCGGCACATACCGTCGACGACGGCACCAATGACCTGGTGGATCTTGCCAACGGAAGTGGCCTCAGTGCTGGCCAGACGGGCCAGGGAGGGAAGGCCATTGGTCTTGGGCTGGAAAGCGCGACGGGCGACGGAGGTAGGTCGAGCAAAAGCAGCCCTCCCGAAGGTCCGGGCAAGACCGCTGTAACAAGGGGGACTCTGGTTAGCAAAGGGCGAAGAAAAAATTCAAAGGGCCCTGGTAGAGGGCGGGTAGCGGTGGGGGCAACACACCTCTTGAACATCTTGATGGTGTTGAAGAGCGAAACGGGGTATAGAGGTCAAAAGGACGAGAGGATGGGGAGAGGGAAGAAAGAGGGAAAGGAAGGGAAGAGGTTGAGGTTGAGGTGGACACGGGCGAATGTGTCCGGCTTAGCCTTTCCGGGGCGGTTTTGCCGACGATCCCGTGATGTACCGAGCAACGCGCTGGCCAGCATGGTAACCAGCTTCAGCTCCCAGGTGCCCCTAGGGCGCCTCCTGCGGCGACCGCCAGCTGCCAGCCTCTCTGCAGAATCCATCGATTCCCATATGTCCGTGATGCTGGCCGCTGGGCGAGTCCCGTTCTTTCGTTCGAGCTTCCCACCTTGCCCTGTTTGGTTGTTAGGGGGAAATTCGCACACAAATGGGGATGGGCTTGGCGCCCGGAAGCAATGGCTTATGGGACCCCATCAAAATGACCACCGCACCCCGATCTATAATAATCTTTCTGGACTATGGAGGTAGATACCTAGGTACACGAGCTGGATAGATGTCTCTAGACCGAGACCAGTAATCAAACAGGTCATCCTCAAAAATAATATTCACTCTTGTTCTTCACCACCTCTCGCCCGATTTCCCCCCATATCCCTCCCTCTGCCACCTGCTTCCGGAGGGGGTTGGTCGCGCTCGCTGCAACGGAACGCAGAACCGACGATATCGGACGAACGCTCTGCAACGAAAAATCTGACGTGTTCCCGTGATTACCCTTTCGGGAGTCCCAGCTTGGTCTTGCGGTGTCGCGACGGTAAACAACCGGGCGGCCGTGCATCTGGTCTAACCAGCCACTGACCAGCTGTATCTACTAGAAATGTGTCTGTTCAGCCCAGCACCTCTGGTACAACTGGACCCCCCCGATTTACCGCCTCTTCATGGGCGCTGCCACCAGGGATATCAACTAACGTCATCCACTTGGTTAACCCTTCCATTTGTATCCGTAGTCCCCATCGCCATAGTACCTAAGCTTGACCCAAACCAAAAAATGGAAGGGACGAGATTCCATGTAAAAATAGCTATCTTCATCGTCAATCACCGGAAACTCTACGTTGGACAATCTACAATAGTTGGTCCATCTATCAACGTCAAGTGAACAAAGCAAGCCGGCCATCGGATCTATGGCTACAAAGGAGATAGTTGATTATTGCACAGTACGAGATACAGAGGTCTTTTGGGGCTAACATTGACAAACAAGTAGAACAGAGGCGAAGGACTGCGTCCAAGTTTGATGGGCACAGAACCGGCGTCATCACAGGCCATGCAATGGGGGGCAGTAGTTCATCCCTGTAGCCCTGCACTGCCCATCCACAGCACTCCCAGTCGTCATACCTGTTCCTCCCGAGGAATTGGAGCAATCTATTGCTTCTCAGCAGGGGGGCTCTGGACGAAGCCCTTGCCCTCGTAACCCTCGGAGCTGATACCGTAGATGGGGTTCATCTTCTCTTGCTGTTGCGACAAACTCGTTAGTGACGGGTCAAATTGACGGGAGAGAACACCGGCCCAATGAGCCAGCAATTGATGCAAAGAATTGGTTGACGTACCTTAGCGTACTCGTTGGAGGCCTCCTGCCACTCCTTGGTCATGGTCTTGGGCTGGGGCTTGGCGAACAGGTGAATGACGTAGAAGATACCGAAGCTGACCAGGGTGAGCTGGATGACCTTGAAGAAGATCTTGAGGTTCTCGCCCTTGGGGGGCAGGGAGCGAGGGCCGTGGGGACCGAAGGAGATCCAGTAGGCTGAACGGAGGGGAGAGAAAACCTCGTCAGCAAAAATTCTGATTGAGCGGGGATGGACGGGAAAGGGCAAGGTAGTGCAGCATACCGGCCTTCTTCTCCTGGAGAGTCATCTGGTGCCAGTCGACCTTCATGCGGTCTCTCAGCTGCATCCACAGGTCGGCCTGCTCCTGAGGGGGCATGGCCTCCCAGCGCTTCTCAATGCCGGCGAGTGTGGGATTCGAGATGGCATGCTCGGACGCGGCGCGGGTCTGCTGGGGAGCGATAGACTTCTTCTCAGTCTGGGGACGAGCGTTCAGGCAGGCCATTGGGCCCGGAACGGCGCGGTAGGAGCGAAGGGCCGTGGTGGGCATGGCCGAGCTGCGAGCAGCAGCGCGAGTAGCGGAGCGAAGGAACATTGTGTGCGAGGGGTATGTGCGCGAACTAGAAACAATCGACTGTCAAAAAGTAGCTCTCGGGCAATGGGAGGGCCGATTCCTCGGAATTGAGGATAGATAATACCTGGGGTAGAGTGGAGGGGGGTACCAAGAGTCGCGATGGGAGACGAAGACGACGTTCGACTGTGGTTTGAGGTGGAAGTCGAGTATCCGGACGGGCTAGCTTAGTCCGTTTTACCGGCGCCCTCATTGGTCCACATCCGCTGCCCGTCCCGACCGGCCGCCTTTGCCTTGCCCCCAAAACATCTTACGATGATGCCCCGTGAGCACCGGCCCTGATAAGCCCCAGCTATCGTTCACGTCAATTCGACTCCTGGTCGGAGCCTTACTGTCTTACGCTTAGTCACGGTTGCCCACCACTTTGCCTGTTCAAGGATTGCTCACGATGAGATGCAGTCAGTTCCACACCTGGTCGCTGTCCCTTCCACCATCCTTCCCCATCAGTCCAGAAGACTACTGACGGACTCTCCCCGACCTAGGTACACCGTCAAGAGACAATCCCGGGATGCGTGGTATGGAGGTGGCCTCGGGTTTCTACTCTACATCGAATCGCGTAATCACACTCCATGACAGGCAACAGTATTCTGTACAGACAAACGCTGATAAAGAGAAAGAAAAGCCCCTCCCAGACGCTCGTTCATCACGGAAAGTGCCACGATCGCAACATGATACGGTCACTATCAAGGAAATCAAGTCGTAACGATCTCATATTTAACTAAGTTTGTGCAGGAATCTGATGGAGTTGGTCGTTCCGGGGTACTCCGCGAAATGAGCCAAAGTGATGTGTTGCAACTTGCAACAATCAGCACTCAAGTGACCTGGCCCGGGCCCAGCCGGCGCCGTTGCTTATTTGCCAGCCTTGCCACCGCTGGCCTCAGCCAGGACGGTCTTCCACTCGATGTCAGACTTGTCGTCAGCGTGGATGGAGTTGTGGACGTTGAGGGCGTTCTTCAAGTTCTCACGAGTGCTGGCGTAGATCATGGACCACTATTTTAACTATATCAGCAGCCGTTTGGGACTTGAACAAATGAGGGGATGGGAACGTACGAGGGTGGGGGTGTCGCTGGGAACCCAAGAGATGAAGATGATCTTGCTCCTAGAGAGGAAAGAGGGTGAGCAGGTTGTCTAGCGATATCGCAAGCCATCATCACCATACCTCTTGCCTTCACCACCGCCCAGGTCGTACTCGACGTCATAAACTGCATAACGGGGAGCGGGGTTGCCCTTAGCATCACGGGCGGCATCGAGCTTGCTGCGGAAGACCTCGTAGTCCTCATCCTGGGAAACGTCCTCGACAACAACTTCCTTCTTGTTGTCGGCGATCTTGAAGATGATGAACTTCGTCTTGCTTCCCTTGCTGCCACCGCTCATGCGAAAGTCGTTGAATGTGGTGATGCACTCATCGGTAATGGAAACACTGTCCTCCGTAGCCCAGTTAGTCTTGTTCCGCTGTCACCGAGTCACTCGATACCGTGAAAGCGGTCGGAGACATATCGAGAAGACGAGTAGTAAACATACCCAGATGCGAGCTGTAAGACGGAGAATAAACGTCAGTCCTGAGCGGAACTACAAGGGAAGGAACAATACTCACAGACATGGTTGGTTATATGGACACCGAAGTGAGATGAAGGGTGGGTAAGACGAAGTCGACAAGCGGATAACCTGGGCATGCACGCAATATTAGTTGGCCGGTTTCCCCCTATTTGTCCTTTGTCTTGCCCGGCGTATGCTCGAAAGGAAGACGGGGATACAAGGTGGAGAGGAGTCACTAACCAAACACCGGCAAGATTGCTCGAATGTTGTTCACGAAGGCCTGTGAAAGAGCAACGGGGTCGAGATGAGGGGAGGAGAGAGGAATATAACGGGGGGATGGGAACCGAGATGGAGATAGAGGGGCATTTAGTTGTGCTTGCTGGGTGCTGCGGCGGCGGCGGCGGCGGTGGGGGGAGCCTGGCACGTGACCCACCCGTCGCACCACCGGCCGCGTTTTTCCCCTTCCCATTTCCCCCCCCTGAATCCGCTGGATGACGAAATGCGCCTGGACTGAGCGATAACCTTCGAACTAGTCGTCGGCAGGTACTGTATACTTAGGCACCATCATTGGTAATGCAACTGCCTGCACCCTGTGCATCCTCGGGGCCTCTCTAGTGGTTTCTGCGGCGAGTCTTGGGCAGGGCCGACGTGCGCATACCAGGCCCAGGCATCCATGAACCATACCTCCATAATCGCCCTAGTGTGGGGAGCTACCAGCGACGGTTGTTGGTAGGGACTACGGAGTAGTAGACGTAGACTAGACACTATGTAAACGGTCACGGACAGCGAGCCCTGTCAGCTGTCGCAGACCACGCTGACCTTCTGGGTGCTATTCTTGGTACCCTCAGGCAGATGAATCTTGTTTTTCACCGGAATAATCCGCCGCTGATGGATTCCCAACCATGGAACTAGCCCCGGCTAACCGAGCAATATCACGTCAGGGCGCGCAGAACTTATTTAGGCACATCACAAGGGCACATGTCGAGCGTGTGCTTTCCCTGTCTATACTAGGGTCGTCGTGATCGATGTACCTTCGATAAAGGCTTTCAGTACTATGAACACTAATCATCATACTCCATGCGTATACACATACATATGTCAATGCGAGCTTCAGCCACCCAGGACATCTAGGGAAACTTGTGTCACCTAACTAGCATGCTGAGAACGAGATGGATGCCATCCTGCAACAGACATTGTGACAATCAAAAAGCTGCAAATTCGCGGAAGCCGACCGTCCCACCAATAACCGACATCAAAACATCCGAAGCCGCGCATAGCATGGGTTCGGTGCCATGGAAGAGAAGGCTTTATATAGAAGTAAAGGAATAGCATACATGAGGGAAAAAAAAAAGCAACAAAGTTGTCGCCGGAAAATGGGTATATAAGAGTCGAAAGAACGCAAACGGGAAGAGACGAAAAAGATACGCGTATAAATCGTTTCATGATTCCGTCCAAGTTGATGGCAACTGAAAAGACCTCGACCAGTCACCAAATGCTCGCTTGAGAGTCATGCATAAGCATAAAGCAACGCGGTAACCTTAGAGCACCCCTGCATGATGCTAGGGCGGGTGAGGGCTTCTGTTTGAGATAAGATTGTCTGTCAAGTGGAGAAGTGAAAGTAAAAGGTAAATCGTTGTACCTATAACGCGCGCGGGAGGAAGCGACGCAATAAGAGGCATCATCATCAAGGCATAAATTGGCGTTAAAAGCAACACGCTTCGAGTAGACGGAATTGGTAGTTGTCGGCTGGCAGTCATCATGAGCCATCATCGGCTTGTCCGCCGTCGATGATCTTTCTCCAATGCTGTGGAAGGCATACACAGACCAGGGGGAAGGCCTTAATATCACCGACAGGGGCAGGGGATGTGGCAGCCCGCTGTGAACCATTTGACACGCCGCTGTCTCGTTGCTCGCGGTGTCGAGCGTCGTGGTCCTCTGCCGTTTCGGGGACGCGGATACCAGTAGCCCACCCATCGTCCCAAATGCCAATCACTTTCAACATCTCGCCGCGGTCCAGAGCAAACTCATCACCAGCCCGGGGTTGGTATGCCCAGAGTACCGCGACCTTGTCGCCCGGATGGATGTCATCTTGCGAGTAGTAGTCCTGAAAAGTAGACAGTTGCTCCGATTGACCACTAGCCAATCCATCTGGTGACGAGTACTGACCGGCATTTCCAGAGCGGGGGGAAGAATCACTGCCTGCTCCGGCCAAGGCCGAGTTACTGGAAAGTGAGCCATGGCGTTTTCCTGTGGTGGGGGGGATTTTTTTCGACATTGCCCCAGGGCTAGCGCCGTAATCAGAGTCTGAGGTATCGCTATACTTCGTGCCGCCAAACAGAGCAGCAGAGTACCGAGAGCGTGCTGGAGATGAATTGGGAACTTCGCGCAAGGCGGACATCCTGGCCACTCGTCCGCCGGGTATAGCAGCAAATTCATTCTGGCTTCGGCTCTGCTGCATGGACGGAGATCCCTTTCTCTGCGGGTTGGGCTGGTTCAAAGAGCCGTCGTTTTCCGCCCGACGCTTCCGTCGCCAATAAATCAAGGCCAGCACAGCTAGAGCTGCTAACAATGCAAATCCTGCAACCGACCCTATCACAATCCCTGCTATCTGTCCTCCCGACAGGCCGTTCGAGGTTGCACCAGTGGTCGAATTGGAAGCAGCCGTGGAGGTGAAGATCGGCGGAAGCGTCGAGGACGGAATCGTTACGTTCGAACATCGAGTAGCAGCATTTGAATTGGTGCAGCAGGAATCAGTAGAGTTGGCCGAGCCTGAGGCGCAATATGCACATAGGCCCAAGACGTTGGATCGAAACCCGCAATTGTTGGGTTCATTTTCAGCCCCAGTGATGCAGGTCACAGTAAGTGAATCAGCTGGCAGTGAGCAGATTGTAAAGTCAGAGCGTATCTGAGCCATGTAGTCGCTTGCCTTCTTGGAGCAGAGGTCGGTGTTTGTAACTATAGCCTCTTCACTTATGGCCATGGACGCCTACCACGAGTTAGTCAACAATTCAAATGGCAGATGGTTGAGAAATTTGGGGGTGACAAACGCAGGTATCGGCGCAGAGTGGTCTTGAGTCTTCATCGGATAAGTCGCAATTGTCCTTGGAGCTTTGGACCAAACTGCTACAGATCACACTTGTTGTGTAACGTGCATAATAGTCATCGGTATCAGTCAAGTTAACACCTTGACATCCCAAGTACTCCACATACCTAGGAAGTAGGAGTTCGGTCAGCTTTTCCTTCGTGCTTTCGTGCGATTGGGAGCCTACTTTTCCTTGACATAGCCCTGCATAACATAGCTGCTCAATTCGTTATCAAACGATGTTAGATTTGACACATATTGCATGAAGGGGCTAGAAGATAGTTAGCGCGATAGACACCTTGACTATTAGGGGAATTGAGACACACAAATCAGTGTAGAGACTAGAGTTTGTCGAGACAGAGGAGCTGTTGAAGGCGGGGCACAGTGTCGATCCCGACAGTGATATACATGTGCCGGACATGGTTGGGTCGTACACTGACGATTGCCAGGTGTTGCTGGATGCGAGTGATGCCGTAGATAGCGCGCGCGCGCAAAACGATCGATAGATAGATCACAATCCGGGTATTGACTTTCAGCAAGTAGTGTGACCAGTTGTTTCCATATCTCTCCCTTTCACAGTCTTTTTCTCGGTTCGATGGACGATCGGGTGCGCGCAGAGATATTCTCTATCCCAAGTCGAAATGATTGCCAATGCGTCAAGGTTCAGAGGGAATGACCGAGGACTGAGGACTGAGGATTGACGAGCCGCGGAAAGAAAGTAGTGGTCGAACAAAGTGTAGCAATTCCACCAGCGTGATCAGACTTGGAAAAGAACGAGCGACTGGGTTGGTTCTATAGCAGGACAATGGTTGGGGAGCAACCCACACGGCGACAGGTCAAAGGGCAAGGAGGAAGTCCAGAATCCAAAAGTCACGGGAGGTGAAATGAAGACAAGCGTCGATCCAGGGCAGAAAAGGCAGGCACTAGACAGGGAACCTGGAGGAAGCCGTGCTTCCCAGTCTGGGATGGCGCTGATTGCCGCTTGGGTTCGAGACCCTCGAGACGAAGAGATCCAAGGAACCACCGCAGGAGGGTCGGCGTGATTGGCCTTGATGAAAGCCGGGTCCCTCTTCACGGAACAATTATATATAATAAAAAAAAGTGCACCGGACGAAAAAAGCAAAAAGAAAAGGTACCAGGCACCAGAAGGGCTGCGACTGGAGATGACTGACTCAAAAGGGGGACGGGCGGGCGCTTCGCGAAAGAAGCCGGCGTCGTCCCAATTAAACAGCTCCACTGCAATGCGCTGCGATTGTGTCCCTCCGCATGAAGGTTCAGTTGCTGCTACAGATCGAGTTAGCCGGCTTGTCAAGAAAAGCGCTCTTATCAAATGAGATCTTGAGTCGGAGCTCCACTGGAGCCCGAACCTGAGGTCCAAGAGCCGATCCCGACTCGGGTCATTATCACCCTCGTCAACCGCTCCAACGTATATCAACTAGAGAGATGATCGCAAAGCAATTACCTTCTGCACTCAAGTTTCTCACTGCAGGAACACGGTCGCTCCAGGCTTCGCGGTATGCAGCGAGGATCCCTATCTTCAGGTCTGTACTCCGTAGCGACAGGCGAAATTATGAGGTCCTGCAGGGGGGATGGCTGTTGTTTGCAAGGAACTCAGGAACAAGCAAGCGGGAGAAAAGGAAGAAAAGACGACGAAATGCAGGAACCGCAAACTTTATTGTCTCGATCATCGCGAGGGCTTTGTGATGCATAAGAGCTCGCGAGGATTACTTCTGGCGGTGATCGACTGACGTGGCACACATCCATCAGACTTGAGGCTGTTGGTGCCAGAGGCACGGACGCGATGCGATGGGCAAGGCGAATGGCCCAGCCATCCATTATTTGGATGAAGTGTATGGGGTATCCGTGGCCGTTAGCTTTCGTCGCGCCAGCACAGGAGAAAGTTGACTCCGTCTGCCAACTAACTAGACTAAATGTACTCCGTATACTCCATAGACCGCATTGAGTTTCGCTCAAGAGAACCAGAGAACGCAGTTCTCTGGGTGGGACTCGCCAACACGGGAACGGAGTCAGAACCAAACCCAGCAGCTGTTTGGTACACTAGAGGCAGGGTTGGAATTATTTTGCACAGAATCTATTCTTATTGGTAAAAGTTGTGGTGCTGCAGGTGCTCACTGATGAGCTGGGCGCACATTTCCGAGGTGGTGTTCCAGGTTGATGATCCTATACATGAGACAGTGTCGGGGGAACTTGTTTGGGGGTGTGGGAATCCAGTCGGGCCCGGTGTAACCTGACAACATCCACTTTGGGCCGATCGCTATCGCCGCCTCACTCACTTGGCTCAGCAGCCTCCGCTACCTACACGGAGTCCTCTCTTAGACTCTTACCCGAGTTGCTTATTCCTTTCTATGCTACCACCCAAGGCAGGCAGGTAGACGTGCAGAAGAGACCTTTGGATACCCAGGCACCTCCGGATCACCGGACAGGTATACAATTGGCGGCTAGAGTGTACAATAGCATCGAAATATCAGCCAATAATTCAAAATTATTCAGTCGCAGTCAAAAACAGCATGGAGAGCCGTACACCCTTGCGTCTTGAGCATAGGTATGCCTTGGTGCCGCATAATGCCAGGGTCGTCTACTGGATGTGAGGAGGTCGTTTACCGTCCTGTCCATTGTTGGCGCCGTTTTGGAAGGATAGGCCGCATTTGTCCCTGGATTTTGGCTCGAATCATCCTATGCAGGCCTCGGCAACTATCTCAGATATCTTGATTGGGTGCAGAGCCAGTCAGGTCGGTATGATTACTCCACATATAGTCCGTAAGCCTGGATGTATCATATCGACCACAGCACCCGGACGATGACCTAATTGTACTAAGTGGCACTCTACTATTCTGGACTATGCCTGATCGTTAGAAATTACTCATTCTGCGGACATCACTTTAGGAAACACCCATGGTACTCTGTATTTGTAGCTAGTATCATCCAAGGGTTCGTTGTCTATTATACTCATCGGCTGGCTACTGCATAGTGGCATCAACTTTGATGTCGTCGGATACATAGAGTTTCCTTCGGATAAATCCTCTTCGTGCTGCCACTGCAATTCTAGTAGTACTAGGTAGGTGACGCGCCCATTAAAATTTTATACTCGTCACATTCTCGATGTGTATTTATCCCGTGTTGAGGTGGAGATAAGTATACAGTAAGCGAGGTAGTTAAGTAGTACTATCTAAATAGAGGATGCGTTTAGAACAGCAACGCACTAACCAAAACTATGAAAGAAGACCATATGTCAATGATATGATGTCTCCTTGACCGACGGGTTGCGTCTGCCTCCATCTTCCCATGTGAATGCCAATCCGCTGATGATTACCCCTCTGTCCGACTTCGGATGCCCTCAAAAGGCATATCCACAGCAAGTGCCTCGACATGCAAACCAGCTTTCAAATATACTCATTGCAATCGTAGACGAGGTTGTATGCCTAAAAAACCATCATTGAAGTCATCTATACCTACGGAGTACATCGATATGGATGCTGGTCTGATCTCTGGCTGGGCGGGTGATCACGGGCGGCACCCGTAACGTCAGGTGATGTCAACGACGTCATCTGACCAGGAGGCTCAAGTAGGCATCCATTCCTATCGTTCGTCATCCCACCACTAGCGACTGCCTTCGAATCTCGTATGTACTCTGATCTGAATTAGAAGTCTAGCATACCAAGCGAGCACTTGAAGACCCCATTTAATAGTGAACACTTGCATGGTCAGGAAGTTGATCGTTACAGTGACTATCCTACCATTGCAGTCATGTGTGGCTCAGACATCTTTCTAGCGATTCTCGCAATTTTCTTCCCTCCAGTGTCGGGTGAGCCATTTCCGCATCTACAATATGTGTGGGGAGTCCATACTAACGCACTGATTCAGTGTGGATCAAAGTAGGCATCTGCACGGCCGACTCCATCATCAACATTGCTCTCTGCTGCCTCGGCTATGTGCCAGGCCTTCTCCATGCCTGGTACATTATACTCAAGTACCCCGAACCAGATTATGAGGATCCCAGCTACGAGCCCCTTCCTGGCGACGCCGAAAATGGTCGCGTAACATACTATTATGTTTCTCACCAACCGATTCAGCACCCCTCCCAGAGGGGCTACGGTACCCTACCCTCGCAGCATCCCCAAGCACCAAAACCTCAGTCACAGAACGGGCAACCGGCTCCTAGCCAGCCTCACGAACAAGCCCAAGCCGGCAGCAGCAGCCAGGACCAAGCTGACAGTCGTCCACCTCCTACCTATGCCGAGGCCGTGAAGGGAGATCATAAAGTGCAGGACTGAGTGCCTGGAGCAAAGAAAGGCTAGCCTTACTATACACACTACGCTATGACCCGATTACTGTCCGAGTTGCTGCTCTACGAGAGCTCGCTCGGTTATACACCCCATTTGGCTCCTTGTCTACACACCCGATCGCGGGATCCTTGAATGCAGATTGCTCTGCGGCCACGCCTAATGACTTTGTTCCTCATGTACTTGTCTACACCATTCTAGTTTTATTTCCTTCGTACCAGCGGGCTAGGACACCGGAAGGTTAATATTGAATTATGTTTCCAACCTGTTTACATACCAATAAAATAACCATGAGAAAGCATTCCACAATAGGTTTATTATAGCAAATCAAGAGAAAACAAAAATACCCCTCACTACTATCAACTACCTGGCTCCAACACAAGCAATCCCAACGTTGCGCTACTAAAATACCCACCAGAACCGCGCAGAAGCGCGGCGATTCCGCATGACCGCCTTCTCTCCCGCGCCGACCAGCCTTAAACCCACCCGATAACCCAGCACCACCACGAACCAGCGTCGGCTCGACGTCCAGTGGCCTTAGCAACGGCCATGCAGTCCATGCCATTGCTGCTCAGGCAGTCCTTCAAGTCCAGCCTCAATCTCACCCGAACAACTCGCCCGGTACGACGGCCGCTTCTGCCCGCCGTTGGCCCGAAGGCTCTTTACCCTTCACCGCGGAACTTCTCCATCTGCCTCCAATGCCAGTTCCGAACCCAGTCTTCGCTCTACTCGTCCGATCCCCTCAAAGACGGGAAAACTGCTGAGCAGCAAAAAGAAGATGCATCCCCAACCCCCACATCTGTACCCCCCGAAGGGTACCAGAGCCTAGACATCGATGCGGGGAGTCAACCGACTCCGACTCCCCCTGCTACGGAGGCAGCGGAGAGTGCTCCGAGCCAGCAGCGAGAAGAGAAGAGGGAAGCCGATACGGAGAAGAAACCGGAAACTGGAGGCCTTCCATCCTACTTGGAGAACCGCAGGTCCCAATACGCCAAGCAGTTCAGTGATATGATGGATAACCTCCAATCCAACATTTTCGTGGCAGGCCAGCGACTGAACGACTTGACTGGCTATTCGGCGATTGAGACGCTGAAGAAGGATATTCACACCCAAGGTACGGGGCTCCGATCCTCCTCACCCCTCATTTCGAGGACAAACATCACTAACCATCAACCGGTAATCAGAGGAAAGACTCCGCACAGCCCGTCTCCAAGTCCGCACCGCGAAAGATGCCTACGCAGCCGCCATCAACCGACGATCGACCTCCCAGCGTGAAGTCAACGAGCTCCTCCAACGCAAACATGCCTGGTCCCCCGTCGACCTGGAAAGATTCACCCACCTCTACCGCAACGACCACACCAACGAGGTAGCCGAGCACGAAGCACAGGAAGCATTGACGCAGGCCGAACGCGAGGCCGAAGAGGCCGCCGCACAACTGAGCAAGAGCATTCTGTCGCGCTATCACGAGGAGCAAGTCTGGTCTGACAAAATCCGCCAAATGAGTACATGGGGCACCTGGGGTCTAATGGGAGTCAACGTCCTCCTATTCCTGATCTTTCAGATCGCCGTGGAACCCTGGCGCCGGAAGAGACTCGTCAAGGGCTTCGAGGAGAAGGTCATCGAAGCCATCGAGAAGGAAAAGGCTCTTGGTCCGGTCCAGATCATCGCCGTCCCGAATGACTCGGCACAGGAATCATCCTCCTCCTCCACCACTACGCCCTCCACCTCCTCCGAGACCACCGAGACCGCGGAGCCATCCGAATCCACCCCCGAACAATCAGAACCCCTCACCGAGGAAACCGTTCTAATCGAGAGCGCCGAGCCGTCCGAAATAATCGATTCAGACCCGATCCCCAGCCCACCACCGCTACCCAGCCTCACCAGCAAACCTACCCTAGACAACCTCCGGGCCCATTGCAAGCTGCACCTCTCCCGCGTGCCCCCGCTTGTCGAATGCTGGCGTCTATACCTCCACGACCTCTTCAGTGACCGCCAAGTGGTGATCACGCAACGGGACCTCTCCACCGTTGCTCTCCAGGGCGCTGCTGCTGGCGCCGCGGTCATTGGCGTGCTGGCTACGGTACTGATTCGCCAACGGTGATAAGCCATTCATATATGATGCCCGACAAACAAACAATCAACCAATGTAATTATTATCAATCTTCATATTTAGACGTACAAAAGAAGAAACTATACAGCCTAAGACATCGATATTAAAAATGGACCGTGTATGTTGTATCAATAGACGTAATAAATCACCCTCGACTCTCGGTGCCAGTTTGACTTTGTAATACGCTCTACATAAATGTATGTTACTGTATTGGAAGATATGACAAAGGAAACGGTAATGATGAATATAGTACTATACTATACGAAACAAATAAACACAGCCATAACTCAGTAGCAAACACATGTACTCAAAATCGACATACAAAACAGACAGACGATAGATACACATCTATGTCCCATCTATCAATCAGTTCTCTGACCCGTGAAAACAAATCACAGAGCAGAAAAGGCCAAGTGACAGAATTCTATACCCAGAAGATGAAATGGGCCCCGCAGACAATGAGTGAGTGGTACAAGCTCTATGAGCAAAAGGTTGAAAAGTAATAGAACAAGAGGCTCATTTTTCAGGGTCCATATTAAAAACACAAGGTCTCTTTAATCTTGACAAGACAGACAGAGAGAGAGATTTCATCTAAAGCACAAACCTTTCCCTCCTCCCTCCCCTTCTACTTCTGCTCTTTACGGCCATCACCCAAACCGCGGTCTTGGATCGAAACAATTCAAATCGTTTAACCGATGACGAGGGTCTCCTCGGAGGGGAAGCTGTACTGAGGAACCTCGAGGTTCAGGGGAGCGGGTCCCTTTCTTATACGGCCGGAGATGTCGTAGTGGGAACCGTGGCAGGGGCAGAACCAGCCGCCAAAGTCGCCAGATTCACCGATGGGGACACAACCAAGGTGAGTGCAGACACCTAGACAGGGAGGCGTTAGGATAGGAGCATTGGGCGAGCGGGAGATCGGGGGATATCGCTTATCACGTACCAAGCATGACAAGCCACTCGGGCTTCTGGACACGGTCCTCGTCGGCCTGGGGGTCACGGAGAGACTGCCATTCGGTCTTCTGGGCCTCGTCGATCTCCTCCTGGGTGCGGTGACGGATGAAGACGGGCTTACCACGCCACTTGATGATGACCTGTTCGGGGGATCGGGTTAGATACCGAGCTGCGATGGGGTGTCATCAGACTCGCTGGGGATGCGATAAGAGACATACGTTCTTGCCCTCAGGGATGGCACCGAGGCCGATCTCAACCTTAGCCTGGGCGAGGACGTCGGCGGAGGCGGACATGTTGACCAAGAAGTCTATTGATAGAGAGATTCCACATCAGCGAATTGTCCCGAGCGGTCAAGCATAGCCCATCCCCCAATTGTCCGATCTGACATCGTCGGTTTCCCAATTTCGCCTGTATTCCTCATCTTGTTGCGCAGAATTGAAATCTCCAGAGGTACCTACCCTGGACGGTAGCCTTAGCACCGACGGCAGAGGCCAGACCGAGGGAGCCGGCCATGAAGTAAGAGAAGACCTGGTTGGAGCGGGGGGGCTTGTTGGACTTGTATTTGCTGAAATCGGGAATCTTCAGGGTGGAGGAGTAGTCCTTGGAGCTGCCGAAGGGGCTGTCGAAGGTGGACTTGGAGGCATCAGCGACTCCCCTCCGCTGCTGGCAGGAGGCGATGGCGGCGCGAGAAGAGGAGGGCAGTTGTTGCCGGGCGCAAGCGCGCAGGAGAGAGCTGGAAGCGGAGGAGAGAGACATGGCGAGACGGGCAATTGCAATCAATTGCAATAGAGGACGACCGCTAGAGGGGGTGGGTGTGGGGGTGGAGAGGAGGAGATAAGGACGAGGGAGGATTTGATTTTCCCAAGAGTTGGAGGTTGAGGTCGGAGGCCTGGCATACGGAAAGAGTCGAACCAAAGCTTTCGCTACGACAAGCGATCGGAATCACGGGGCGTTTCATTGGCCCGCCGTCCCGTCTTAGTCAGACTCTCACCTGACATCGTGAACTATACTTACCACTCATGACCATCTTTATCCCATCTATCTTGCCAGAATGATACGATCCGTGTTCGACTCTCTGCCATTTTCACAAGAAGAAATTATCCATTTCATATTCATAGACAACATATATATACTCATGACGCCATGTGTCGTGTCGTGCCGGTTTCTCCTCGTCCCCTGCCGTTCCGTTCCGCTGCACTGCATGCCATCCATATCCGATTCCCAATGCGATCGACCCAGAGACATCCAATTGACTACCAACAGTAGAAGGAAAACGCAATGAACCCCCAATAACTCCTCCATGCAATTAAGTTCCACAATTTGTTTGTCTGACCAAGTCACTGGTCCGTCATCTCGACGTCTTGGTCTCCCGCAGATGCATCCACTGTGCGATCCACCATCATCGTCACCGTCGGGGGTCGAGAACCCCGTGATGGCTTATCCTCCGTTGACTGGAGACCATCCGGAGTGTCGGTGTCGTCTTGATCCTCGGCTGCCGCGGGTAAGTTGCCGTTTAACGTGCGCTGGCCCTTCTCAGGCCCGGCTTCCTTGGAGGTCTCCTTGGCCCGTTTTTCCTTGAACTGTTTATAGGTCGTGGTCTTGGGTATCACGTCGGAGAGGAACTCGAGGTTGTCGATTCGCGACACGGCCGTAGCTGAGATTCATCCGTCAGTTGCTTGTTCTTCCGTCTGTACCCGGTGCCCACTAACCCAGGTCTTTGTATTGGATGAGCTTGCGCGGCTTTCGTTCTGATTTGACAACGTTATGCCCTTGTTCGGTAAGATACTGAATGAATAGTTCCTGGTTTTCGAGAGATATGTGAGCTCGAGTCGCTTGCAAACGAGATAAGAGAAGGGAAAGCGTCAAAGACGGACCGTGGCCATAGCGATCACAAATGTAGCGTTGCTCGAACATTGCACGATATCGTCATCGAGCTGGATAATTTTCTTGATTCGCGAGACTTCAGATTGCGTTAGTCCATGACAGCACCCGTAAAAGTTTCTCACATACTCGGAAGAGCGCTCTGGCCGGTGATCTCCTGGGAAGAAGATGCTTCCGGGGCAGCTTTGTCCTTGGGAGGCATCGCGACGTCGCGTGGGCGGCAGCCGTGCAAGACTCGGTATCGCCGTGGATTATGCGTGTAGAGAAGAAAGAAAAGAGACAAGGATAATTCAGACGGGCTGGAGCAACAGCGATTTTGCGGAACCGGGACCAAGCAACCGGGCGTGATGGTGACGAAGGAAAATGCGGCGCGTGCGGTGTCGAAATCCACCGCGCGTGGCGTAAAGCAAAGTAATGGTTCGGAAGAGGATCGATGAGCGAGTCTACCAACTGCGACTGCACGCCTATCACGCGATCTCCAGCCCGCCAGCACCAGCTCCAATCGTGAATCCCTACGATCTACAACTCCGCCGTCCGCGCCGATCCCGTCTATTGTCCGGCTCGCGACTTGTCTTCTATTCAGCCTCGTTTTGGGACTCCGAAGGCGGACCGCCGTCCGTTTCTCTCACGTGGGCGGCCGCGCATCCCATCATCGTCACCTCCGATCCAACTGCCCGGAGCTCTCCTTGCCAGTCTCAGCTATGCTCATCGCGCGCTGTCACCTTATGTCATGAGCGCGATGCCTGCCTCGTCCCCTTCGGCTCGACCGCCCTCTCTCTTGCCTGAGCGCCGGAATTGGAGAAGGGCTTCCGGCTTATCTGTTGTCTCCCCGATCAGCGAGCGCCCGACCCCGGATAATGGCCAGCCCCCCGCGATCACCGAGGAGATCAGCGAAATCAAGCGCTACGAGGATTTTACAACCATTGACTGGGTTCAGGATGCGGTTCATGAGCAGGCCCGTCGGAGAGCCAAGCGACGGGATGGCTCTGGGTTTTGGGACCAGGAAGGTACTTTTGGGTGGAGACGCAAAGTGCGCGAGTCCTACGATGCTGGACAGGCGTGGCTGGTGATTACAATTGTCGGGGCGGCCATTGGGTTGATCTCGGCTTTTTTGAACATCATTACGGAGTGGTTGTCGGATGTCAAGTTGGGCCACTGTACGACGGCGTTCTACCTCAATGAGCAGTTTTGCTGCTGGGGTGCTGAAGGAGGTATGTCGGAGGTGTCGTTGGGTCACATTGTTGGCTCCGAGCTCATGTGTCTTGTTTATAGGATGCCCTGAGTGGAGACCTTGGACTTCCTACTGGATCGTGAACTACTTCATCTATATCTTCTATGCGGTATGGTTGCCTGCCTTGTTCTGGATGACATTGACTGACGCGGATAGGTCCTGTTTGCCTTCGTCGCCGCCAGCTTGGTCAAATCATTCGCGCCGTACGCCGCAGGCTCCGGTATCTCCGAGATCAAATGTATAATTGCGGGTTTTGTGATGAAGGGTTTCCTGGGCGCATGGACGTTGCTGATCAAGTCGATTGCGCTGCCGTTGGCTATTGCATCCGGTCTGTCTGTGGGCAAAGAGGGCCCCAGTGTACATTTTGCTGTGTGTACCGGAAATGTGATCTCGCGGTTCTTCAGCAAATACAAGCAGAATGCGTCCAAGACTAGGGAGGTTTTGACGGCCACCGCAGCGGCAGGAGTGGCTGTCGCGTTTGGTAGTCCCATCGGCGGAGTGCTGTTTTCTCTCGAGGTAGGGATTGCTGGGCGGGGTGTGTGAGCTCTTACTGATGGGCAGGCAGGAAGTTGCATCCTATTTTCCGCTTAAAACATTGTGGCGGAGTTACTTTTGTGCTTTGGTTGCGACTGGTATCCTGGCGGTAATGTCTACCAACTGCTTGAGTGTATTGTGCTGACCATTCCAGGTGATGAATCCGTTCCGGACAGGGCAACTGGTCATGTTCCAGGTGCAATACGACCGCACCTGGCATTTCTTCGAGCTGATCTTCTTCATCTTCATTGGTGTCTTTGGTGGACTATACGGGGCACTCGTGATCAAGTGGAACCTTCGGGTCCAGGCATTCAGGAAGAAGTACCTGTCGCAGCATGCCGTCATGGAATCGGTTGTGCTTGCTGGGGTTACTGCAATCCTATGCTACCCGAATATGTTCCTGAAGATTAACATGACCGAAATGATGGAGATTCTATTCCGCGAGTGCGAAGGCGGGCATGATTATAACGGCCTATGCCAGTAAGTTGCATTGCTGAATCGACGCATCGTGTGCTCACCAATTTAGATCTAAGAACCGGTGGTCTATGGTCCTGTCGCTGGCCGTGGCTACCATCCTTCGCATCTTCCTGGTCATCATATCCTATGGCTGTAAGGTTCCGGCTGGAATTTTCGTGCCATCGATGGCCGTTGGAGCATCGTTTGGACGGTTTGTCGGGATTCTTGTCCAGGCACTGCACGAAGCGTATCCGAAGTCGAAATTCTTTGCGTCATGCGAGCCCGACATTCCGTGTATCACGCCTGGAACGTATGCTTTTCTGGGGGCCGGCGCAGCTCTGAGTGGCATCATGCATCTGACCATCTCGGTGACGGTCATTATGTTCGAGCTGACCGGAGCCCTAAATTATATTCTTCCAACCATGGTGGGTCATCTCACGCCCGTTACAACATCACTCACTGACCGAATAACCAGATCGTCGTCGGAGTCACCAAGGCCGTCAGTGACTGCTTTGGCAAGGGGGGTATTGCAGATCGCATGATCTGGTCCAACGGATTCCCCTTCTTGGACAACAAAGAGGACCATGTCTTCAACGTACCTGTCTCCCAAGCCATGACATCCGACCCGGTGTCGCTCCCTGCGTCCGGCTTTCCCGTTCGCGAAGCCGAGCACCTGTTAAGTGACAACAAGTTCCAAGGCTTCCCCATTGTCGAAGACCGGACGAGAAAGACGCTCGTCGGATACATCGGCCGCACCGAGCTGCGATACGCGATCAACCGAGCCAAAGCCGAGGGGCTATTATCGCCCTCCGCCAAATGCATCTTCACCCGAGAAGCTGCCGAGGCATCAGTCGCGCGCCGAGCATCATCTACATCCTATCTCCACCCGGAGACCTTCGACGACATCCAAACCAACACAGGGGCCAGTTATGTGGACTTTAGCCGCTACGCGGACCACACACCGCTGACCGTGCACCCTCGTCTAGCCTTGGAGACGGTGATGGAAATCTTCAAGAAGATGGGCCCGCGAGTCATCCTCGTCGAGCACCGCGGTCGCCTAACCGGACTGGTCACAGTTAAAGACTGCCTGAAATACCAATTCAAGGTGGAAGCCGAGGAACAGGCCCTGGCGGCCACAAGTCCACCCCAGCTATCTTTGGGGGGACAAAACGGTCGAAGCAGTGACACGTTAGAGGAACGTCTATGGCATCTGATGCAGCGGATCGGCTCGATGCTCCCATGGCAGCGAACACGAGAGCAGGTAGTGGTGCCGGAGCGCGAACCCACCCCGAGACCTGCACCGAGTGTACGAAACGAAGTCGATGATGACGAGGCGATGGTGGAATTAGAGGAACGCTAGATACTTCCTTCACACCATATATACATCCCATCCCATACATATATCGCTAAATCGATAGATAGCATTGATACCAATTCACAATGTACATACATATACCATCCTACCATCCTACCTCCCTAGTCCCTACCTAGCATACTCCCCATCCCATCCCATTCCCATTCCCACTACCACCACCACCACCACCACTCAACCCCCATAGAATTAAAAAGATAGTTATTGCTCCCTCAACCCCACAATCACACACCCCGCACCCATCATCCCCGCCCCCACCCACCACAACCCACCCACTCTCTCCCCAAACACCCCCATACCCAGCACGGCCGTGACGAGGAAATTCGCCGCCGTGTTGGTGATGGATACTTTCGTGGTGGAGGGGGAGGCGGTCAGGGCGCGCGTGAAGAGGGCCCACATGATTATGTTGCAGATGATGTTGAGGGCGAGACAGATCTGGATGTGTTAGGTCGTAGACAGATAGGAGAGGAAAAGGAAAAGGGAAAGGTAAGTGAAGGGAGAAACATACCCCCCTAATCACCAAGACCATAAACGGGTGCTCCGTGGAACTGGCCGCACCGAAGAAATGTAAGATGGTGGATGCGAGGGCGGTGGTGTTGGTGTCGGTTGTTCTGCATACCTTTTAGCTATTGTTTATGTATGTATGTAATCCTATGTAGGTAGGAGGGAATAGGGGAAGTAGTGAAGGGTTCTGGGGGGAGGGGGGGGATTACAGTTTCGCAAAGAGACCGTTCAGGGCTGCAAAGGCGCCGCTGGAGATGGCGAGGATGAGCCAGCGGGAGGGAGGTTTGGAGTGAGTATCGGGGGGGAGTTGGGGCATTGTCTTTGTATCAGGTTGGTTTATTGAGTTGGGGATATATAGTACTTTATAGTGGGGATGGGATGGAGTGTAATGTAGTGTAGTGTAGTGTAGTGTAGTGTAGTAGAAGATAGGTTGTGGTTGGGAGAAGGGGTCGTATCGATAAGGAGGTGCCGTGCCAAGTACGTATGCGGTTGTGAATAATGGCATATATCAAACATACGAAAGTATAAAAAGGTATGTAGTAGTATAAAAATAGTCTTGACATTCACGGTATCATCACTCTTAAGCTGGTATCAGCTGGCATCAGCTGGTATCAGCTCGTCTACATTTGTAGTCATCACGGCGACAACCGCTGGATCCGCCATCTATACGCCGACTCATCCTCAGCATGCACCCTCACATACCGGAACCGATCATGCAAACGACTGCGTCGGCCCTGCCAGAACTCCACGGACTCTGGCACCAAGCGCACGCCACCCCAATACGGAGGCAAAGGAATCTGCTCGACCCCCGCAAACCGTTCCTCCATCTCCCGCACCCGCTTCTCCAGCAGCGCCCGACCATCATCAATATCCGTCTCATCCACATCCTTCGGAATCTGCGCGCACATGGTTGGATCCAGACTCTTCCGTCGCCGGTCAATCAGGATCTCCGGCTCCATGGACCACAGCACCTTGCTCTGCCAGCTAGCCCAGGCACCGATCTGACTGCCCCGTTCCCGCGTCTGCCAGTACACCTCACTCTCCTCGCGACTGAGGGGCTCGACCAGCCCCTCGATGCGCACCTGACGTTCCAGATTCGACCAGCAGAACGTCAGCGCCGCCCACTTGTTGCCCTGCTGCAGACCTTCCTGGAGACTCTCGTCTTGCCCGGGCTCTGGCATGGCGCTCAGTGTGTCCTCGCCGTCCGCATGATTGCCAAACACCTGGCCGCCTTTGCCTTCGCGACTGCCCCAGTTACTGTACACCACCCAGCCGCGCTCGTCCAGTTCCTTGAGGTATACGACACGGGCGCTGACACGGCCCGTCGGCATGCTAGCCGTGGCGAGGGTGCAGGTCTCGGGGGCGGACGAGGGCAGTAGTCGGGGATCGCGGAACCAGGAGTGGAATTGGTGAAGGGGGTTGGTCGGATGCATCTGGGAGATGGTGAGCGGAGGGTTGCTCACGAACTGGTGAGCGCGTGCTGGGTGGGAGACGATCTCATTTTCGGCCGCGGAATCGGGCGTCGAGGCGTTCGAGCGGAGGTCTTCTGCGGCGGGCGCTGGTGCGTTCGAATCGAGGGTCGGCGGGGGAGTGGCTTTAGATTCGGGAGTGGCCTGGATGTCCCCAGGAGCGACTAAGCTGTGTTAGCAGCATCTTGTGCTTTGGATAGTGCGACGACATACAGATCAGCTTCTTGGGGTGCTTCGCAGAGTCCCCGTCGGTCAGCGTTGGAGTCATCGTAAAGGCTCGCCACGAGTTGCGGGGGCGGTGCCGGGCGACAGATTGAAAGGGATGGAGGAATCGATGAGACGACAGACGCAGACGGTATGGATGCATCGACTAGAGCAGTACGATGCCAATTGACTCCATTCAGGCAGACGACGAGGCAGGTGGCACGACGGAGGTCAGCTCGGAAGCCATGCGGAGGGCGGCGGGGTCGCCGGGCGGGCCTGCGCGCCAGACGTCACTCCTTCCACATCTACAGCCATCTCCATCTACACTTTACATTTACAGATATGATATGGAACGAGAACATATATGCAAGTCCATTGACTCGACTAAAGAGATGAGAGGGTCTATCGCCACAAATCAAACCAAAATCACACCATGGTATATACAGCCATTCCAAATGCCCGTCAAACGCCTGCCATACGCTAAATGCAATGCAATCCAAAGCAACCAGTTGCCCCCCAATGCCGATGCGCAGACCGGGGCTGGAAAGCCGAACAAGCAGGGGTCCAGCCCTGGAGAATTAAAATCCGAATAGGTGGCATCCATAAGGTTTGGAAATCCGGTGAAATCAAGAAGGAAGGCAACTTTTGTGGGTTGGTCGTTGCCACGGCGCGCCTACAAGGCAGCCACCGCAGCTCCGATGCCAACCAGGTCGGCAATCTTGCTGGCCACCGCCGCAGGATAGCCCCGAGAGAGCATCTCCTGCACCGTGCGCGACGCACCCTCCCGGTCGTTCACCGCCAGGAAGGCCCGCGTCATGGCCTCGTATGTGCTGGGCTCCCGCTTGTCCAGGCCAATGCTGTCATACACGTTCTTGGCCTGGACGACGTTGCCCGCCGTGGCCCATCCGTGGATGAGGGTGTTGGCAATGTAGGCCGTCATCTCCACCCCCCGGCGGGACATGTCCCGCACAATCTCCTCCGTCTGGGACACCTGGTGGTTCGCCACCATGGCCTCCAGGAGGGCCTGGTACAGGCAGGGCTGCATACGCACCTTGCCGTTCGAGGCAACCGACTTGAATACGTCATGGGCGGCTTCCATGTCGTGCATCGCACACCCCTTGGCGTGGATCAGGGAGGCGTAGTGCACCGCGTCGGGTCGCTGACCAGCAGCCTTGATGGTCTCCAGCACCTTCTCCGCCGCCGGCATGTCCACCGGCTCCAGAGAGGCGTGGGCGTCAATGAGAAGCTTGTAGGTGTGCATCGTGGGTTGGATGTTCCGAGTCAGCATGCGCTCGTAGTAGGCCAGGACCTTGCTGCGGTCCCGCTTGGTGTTGAGAAAGTACTGGATCATTGAGTTGTACGGGGCAGGACGAGGCTTGTAGTTGGGCATCGACTCCATCTCCTCGAACATCTCCTCGGCGAACCGCTCGTCGCTGACCCGGCACAGGGCGTTGACGATCGTTCCGTAGGTGACGCTGGTCGGGCGAACCCCGTTGGCGCGCATCTCGGCAAAGTACAGCAGACAGTCGTCAATCCGACGGGCCTTGCCCAGCTTGCCAATGAGGGCGTTGTACAGGAAGGAAGTCGGCTCCACTCCCTCGGCCACGGCGCGGTGGAAGATCTTCAAAGCCTCGGTCGCTTCGTCGAACGTCTTGGTGGATTCCTTGAGGGTGGTGATGTAGAGACCGAACGTGTTGGCCGAGGGAGCCGAGCCCAGCTCCAGCAGCTCCTGGTGGAACTTGGAGGCTTGACTGCGGTCACCCAGGGTCAGGCACGACGCGACCATGGCATCCAGGATCGAGACCCAGCCGTACTTGACGGCGTTGTACTGCGGAAGAAGAGGCACATCGCGTCGGGCCATGCTGAGGATCTCATAACCCAGATCGACCCGGTTGCACTTGGTAGCGGCGGTGATCATCTTAGCATACGTGATGTAGCGCGGGTGACGGCCATTGCGGCGCATGTTGCGGACCCGGGACAGCGCGTCATTCAGATGAGCCTCCGGCTTGCCGCTGGTGCTCTCCAACTCGTCGGCGATCATCGACGATCCGCGGAAGTCGGTGGCATAGGCGTAGGGGTCAAAGGACTCTTCGCTGGACACGGGGCTCATCGTGGACATGTCGGAGCTGGGGGAGTGACGGCCGCTCACGAAGGAGGAAGGACTGGACGTCAGGGCCAGATGATCGTGCCACCGCTTGACCATGTCGGGCCGGCTGTTGAACAACTTGCCCACCGCCTGGTCGACGAGGCGAGTGGTGACGGCGTCCATCGGCAGCCCGGTCGCCAGAGCAATGTCCAGCATGTGGGAGAAACGGATCGGGTGAGCGACGTCAAACATGGCGCTGTGGTTGACCAGCATGCCCGCCTGGACCTGGAGGGCCAGCATGAGATCGCGGGCGTTCAGCTGGGAGATGCCAATAGGACCCAGGCTGGCGACGACATGTTCGGCGACGGGAGAGATCAGACCCCCATTCTCGACCATGGACCACAGGAGGGACATGGCAGCTTGGGGAGACAGGACGGCCGCAGTCTGGACAAGAACGCGACCGAGGAGGTGCAGGCTTTCGTTGATCTGTTCACGGACGGGGTTCAGAGTCGAGTGGTTGTCGGAGGCAGAAGAGTTGCGGACGCGGGCAAACATATTGCGAGCCTGGACGAGAGCGTCCTCGATCTGGCCACTCTTCAACAAGGCCACGGCGTACATGGCCGTCGGCTGGACCATGTCCGGTGTTGCCTGACCGGCGGTGCTCAGGGTGAGCCACACGGCCCGGGCAGCTGACACATTGCCCTGACGCACATGTAAGGCGAGCATGGACACGGCGGGCCTCTGACGGACGGCCATGTCGGTGGGGAGAGCATCGTATGCTTCGGAAGCCGTCTGCAGATTACCCGCATCCGCCGCGGCAATGCAGATCTGGGACATGGCATGATCCAGCGCCCCATCGCGCAACCGGGTCTTGGCCTGCTCCAACGCCCGCCCGTGCTCGCCCGACTTGAGCGCATGCCGGACAAGCCCGTCCTGCACCACCACCGACTCGACCGCCGTCTGGCGCACCTCGCGGTTCTCCGTCACCTCGTCGAACGACGCCCCGATCCGGTCCAGGAAACGCAAAGCTTGCTGTTCCTTCCCGCAGACCAGGTACGCCCGGACCAGGGCCGCATAGACCTGGCCGTCCAACCGCTGCACGATGCAGAAGGTTCCGCTATCGTCCGAAACCGCCAGACCCTTGTACTCGTTGTAACACTCCACGGCACTCTGCAGATCTCCGGTGGAGGCAAAGGCGTCAATCATTGACGGAAAAATCGAGGCGTGCGGGGTCACCTTGTGGGACTCCATGTGAGCGTACACTCGGACCATATCTTCCACTTGGCCCTCGGTCGCGCATGCCGTGATCAAGTACCGGTAGGTGTCTAGAGGGAAGACAAGATCGGCGTGACGGGTGGCGGCGGTGTTGAACAACTTGAGGGCGATCGCCAGGGAGTGGTCCTCGGCGAGAATCGCCCGCTCCAGTTCGCTGGAGTGCAACATGAATTTGCCGGGCTCTTCCATGCCACCGTAGCGGACACGCTCCTGCTCCAGCAGACTCTTGGACTTGATGGCCTCCTCGGCACGGACCACGAAAAGCTGAACCAGGGTCTGATAGGTCTGCTCGTTGGGAACGACCCTGCGACGGAGCATGTCCGAGTAGACATCCAGCGCCTTCTGGATCGCCTGGGCGGTATCGCCATGAAGCTGGATGGCCGATTCCAGAAGGGCATTGTAAGCATCAACCGTAGGCGTCAGACCATCGCGGAGAACCGCAGCAAACGCACCGGGAATCTCGGCGTATTTCTTGCTCGAGGCCAATTCGGTGATATGCTCGGAAGCAAGGCGAGATTGCTCCGTGGTGGCATCAGCGACCGCGGCGACATCGGGGGGCAACTCAGGGAACGCCTCCGTCTCCGAGCTCTCCTTTGCCTCGGACGCCTCCTCGGCCTGAGCCTGCTCTTCCTGGATCTGGATCTCCCGGGCTACAGCTTCTTCGACCTTGGCACTGACATCGGCGTTGGCCGACGCTTTGGTGATATGGGGCGAATTGTGGAAGTTGTTTTCGGACGAGGGCAGGCTGTCCGCGTCCTTGGATTTGGCGCCATCTTCGGTCAAAGGAGGCTTCCAGCCGACCTTCCGTTTCAGCTGCAATTGCTTCCAGTCGCTGTCATCGCCCGTCTGCTGAGCATGTTGCCAGGCAGCATAGTAGGCGGCTAAGCCCAAGTCGCCCGAGCCGGAAGTGCCCTGGCTGGCTTTGGCACCCGCTCCCGATGAGCTCGATGGCTGGAACACATTCTGGAGAGCGGTCCGAGAGAGTTTGGCGGCAGGTTGGTTGGCGAGTTGGTTGAAGGTGGTGGTCGACGCGTACGAGGACTGCGAGGCCGCGACTACGGATTGAGCATAGCCATGAGTGAAGGCCTTGGTGAAACTCTGACGCGCGAGGTGGGTAAACGGCTTGAAGACCATTTATCTAGCGGGTAACCTCTTCAGAGGGAAGAGGCAATGCTGGGGAACAGGTCAGTGATGTTGGTCGGAGATTTGTGTGCCTTGCACCCGAGAGCGCCCTGGGAAGCATACCTTGCAATCAAAATAATAATAAAGATGCAGGTTCATTTGACGACAGCAGGTCGCCAAAAGAACGCGCGGGTAGAAAGAAGGAGGGGATGAGAGGGGGGAAATGGCAACAAGCCCGTGGCTGACAATCAAGGAGAAAAAAAAATCACTGAGGCTGAGACTGGAGGGATTGCTGGGGATCTCTGGGTATTTCAGAGCCGACGGGAAAGTGATCTGTATCGCTGGTCGGGCCCAAAGCGGGTTAGTGCCGATCCGGTCCACCCTTGGCTTGTTCGGGAATAGGTACTTTTGTCGACCAATGGGGTTGACGGGAATTGGTCCTGAATGGGGCACGGAATGAACCCTCAAACAATGGGAAAGACTGGGAAGCAGGAAATTGTGTCGCGTGTGTGTGGGGGAGAAGCACCCTCAGGATCCGAGGAGGACTTGGCTGCAAATTTGTAGATATGCCCGCTCCGCCGTCAGAGGGGAAAATTGGGACGTACGGAAAATTAAGGAGCAAAAAAGAGCACGACCGAAAATCATGGAAGGAGGAAAAAAATCGAAATCCAAAAAGAAAAGAAAGCATCCACAGGAACGGCGGCCAGAAACAACGTCAGCCTTCGAGAAGCGTCGTTGCCTGAGGCGAAGGTTTGGGAGGATTTCCCAGACGGGGCTGATCAGGCCACCGAGTCTGCCACTGTCTGGCCTGTCTGGCCGGCCCGCCCACGCCAGTGACTCACTCGCCGTTCCGGCTCTTTTTCTTCTGTCCGGAGTTTGGGGGCTTGACCCCGACAGCCGCTCGGATGACCGGATGGCCGACCCTCCGTGTCACCCTCCTGCGCCCCAAGGGATGACCCTGGCCGGATATCTCTACGGCGTGGTCCAAGGTAATCTCCGTGGGCGACACTGTGGCCTCAACGGAGCGATGCGATCATTGGCCGGGGGGATCAGATACGAACGGAGGTCCTTGTCTCAGGACGCGGACCCCTGGTACGGAGTCCGTGACGGAAGTCAATTTGAGGTACCTTGATCCGCGTGCGCGGCGGACGGAGCGTGACTGCGCACATTATGAGCTGTTCCCCTGCCGGTTTGGTCTCCCCTCCGTGCTGAGCCTCGCTACATCATTCAATAAGCACGATGATGCGGAAGATGCTACGGAGTACTCCATACTATCCTTGAAGCTGTTGCCTATTCACCAACCCCTGGAGTCATATGACGGGAGTTGAATAGCTAGGAGTCCACCAATGCAACCTGCACAGTAACTCTATAGTCTATATTGCGACCACCGGATGTTGCTCTTCCGCTGACGTAAATGCGAGGGATTATCTAGCCTCCAATCGATGACAGACCCGTGTATATTATTTGGCGGGTCGCTGTGACTAGTATGTACATGGTCGGTGGCTGCTAATCAGATGGGGATCACGGGATCTGCCAAAGGGGCAGCCACAGCCAAGCCACGGGAGCTGAGCTCCAGCCACAGCATCTGAGGGGAAATCGGAAAGCACCTCCAAAGTATCGGGATTAATCAAGACTCCCGACTGACACTGGGTGCAGCTGCAGCATCCAACGCCTCTCCGGTCACGGCTGCCAGACGCAGGTCAGTCACTATGCATCCGCCCCGAGCTGCTCCTTATCTTTTCCCTTGCAGGTGGATTCCCCCGCAAGCTTTGTAGACCTTTGTATCTTTCCCTCCTCGACGCACTCTCGGCGGGGCTTCTCCAGATTGACCCGGTTCGCGCACTGGTCCAGGGCCCGATCTGCTTTTGCAGACCATTGGGTTATTCCGCGACCCCGTTCGCATAGCTGACGGTGCGTACATGATGGCTCTGGAAGCCTGGTCCCCTTCGCCTCTGCATTCCAAGTGGGGTATATACTGACTGCTAGCCCCTTTAGTTCTTACCCCGTGCCGAACGGAATAGTCAATCTTCCTGCGATATCCACACATTACTCCGTCATCGCTCGTCCTCATGTCCTACAAGCCCCCCACGGTCACGGCCGTGTCCGCCCCCGGGAAGGTTCTTCTGACCGGTGGGTACCTCGTCCTGGACCGCAGCTACACTGGTACCGTGTTCGCCCTCGATGCTCGTATTCATGTCATCGTCCAGCAGCTGAGAAGATATCATCGGAAGGGTACGTCTGGGTCAGAAAGCTTGGAAGCCAAGCCAGGCGCGGAAATAACTGAAAGCAAGGCTGCAGATGAGACCGGTGACGAGGATGTCATCGTCGTTCGCTCCCCGCAATTTGTCGACGCCGTCTGGGAGTACGATATCCAGCGTTGCGATAATGGAGGCGGGGTCAAGGTTGTGCAGAAAGGCAATGGGTAAGCTGGATAGTCTCGAACTGCTCAAAATCAGGGCTAAGTGACCGCAGAGGACATAATCCGTTTGTCGAGACCTCTCTCAACTACGCATTGACGTACGTCAGCTACGTGGCTGCTTCGAAGGACTTTGGTTCTTTATCCATCACCATCCTAGCCGACAACGATTACTACTCCGAGACCGCCTTCTCCAAAATCTCGGGTCTCCAATCCCCGGGACGATTCGTCAACTTCGGAGTTCCCCTTCACGAAGCACACAAGACCGGACTTGGCTCGTCGGCAGCCCTGACCACAGCTTTCGTATCCGCCCTGGTTATCCACCGTACCCTGCAGCCCGACGACCTTGGTCCGGCTCGCGATAAGCTTCACAATCTGGCGCAGGCCGCTCACTGTGCAGCACAGGGTAAGGTAGGATCTGGGTTTGACGTGGCGGCAGCGATCTACGGGTCCTGTCTGTACCGGCGGTTTTCACCCTCCATCCTGGAGTCAGTCGGGGATGCTGGCTCCCCGGGCTTCGAGGAACGACTGTTCGCAATCGTGGAAGACGCTGACTCCAAGCATCCCTGGGACACGGAGTGCCTGGATTTTGGCATGAAACTTCCCCGGGGCATGCAGATGGTCCTGTGTGATGTCGAATGCGGTTCTCAGACCCCGTCTATGGTCCGGAAGGTCTTGGAATGGCGGAAGCAGAACCCGCAAGATGCTAGCCGGCTGTGGCAGGCCCTCCAGTCCAACAATGAGCGATTGGTCTTGGAGCTTAAGCAGCTAGCACAGAACCTAGATAAGGAGGACCCCAACAGCTTCGACGACGTTCGCATCCTCATCAACCGCTCTCGTGACCTGATCCGCAACATGACCCAAAAGACCGGCGTTCCCATCGAGCCCAAGGTACAAACTGAGCTGCTCGACGCCATCTCCAACATCGATGGTGTTATTGGGGGCGTCGTTCCTGGCGCCGGTGGCTACGATGCCATTGCTGTGCTGATCGAGGACAAGGCGGAGGTGATTCAGAGCTTGACTGAGTTTTTCGACACCTGGGAGAGCAAGGTGGAGGATGATTTTGGTGGCAAGATCGGAACCGTCCGACTCCTGGGGGTCCGACATGGCTCTGCCGGTGTACAGAATGAGTCGTTGGATCAGTACGCCGGATGGTTCTAGCTGCTCCGGTATCCATGATGTTTAGACGAGAGACTATGATGAAAGCATGTCTAGCATGCAAACTAATAGACTGACTGATTGTCAATAGGCCTATCTGGTCTTCCACAGTACACTTTCTTGACTTAAGTGGTAGTTAGTATATATGAACCTAAACTCCACCTGATCCTCCCTCCATCACCCCTCGTCTTCCCTCTCGCAACCCCCACCCCCATCCGTCAATAAACTCACTCACCCAACCCCCCCAAATCCACCAACCCAGGCATATACAACAAACTCGTCAAATCCAGCCCCTCAAGACCCTCCTATCAGCAAGCACAATCAATCAGTCAGCCATCATACCCAAGACTCCCCCATTCACGCACACCAAACGCCCCATTACCTCCAAAGACGAAAAAGGGCACAACTCACACTAAAACCCACCCCTAATCCCAAATCCAGATCGAGCCCCATCTGATCAACCCCACCGCTATCCGCCGGCGTCATCATCACAACCCCTGAAGATGAGGATGAGGATGAGGATGAGGATGAGGATGTATATGAGGAGGAGGATAACATCTCCTTCAAGGCACCCCGACAAACACCCAGACACTCCCTCACGGTATCATATACCGCGCTTGGCGGGTTCGGGTTCCCGGTTTCGGTGGCTTTAATCTGGGATATTAGGGCGGAGACGATGATGTAGCGTTTTAGACTTGGGATGTGGAGGGTTTGGAAGACGTGGGCGCTTTGGGATTGGATGTGTTGGAGGGATTGGAGGATGGGGATGCGGGTTGTGGTTGTTAGGGTTGTCAGGGGGGTTGTTGTTGTTGTTGTGTTTAGGTTCGGGGTTGGGGGTGGAGATTCTTCTAGTTGAGTGGTGAGTTCGAGGGCGAGGGCGGAGATGATGTCGAGGTTGAGGGGGCCGCGGAGGGGTCCGCGGGCTGTGAGGACGAGGCGGGAGAAGTCGTCGAGGGGGGTTGTTGCGTCGGTGGTGCTGGGGGTGTAGGAGGCGATGGTGAGGGCGGATTCGAGACAGAGTTTGCGGGAGAAGTGGTATTGGGGGGTGGTGAGAGATTCGCGGGCGAAGGGGAAGTGGAGGTGTAGGATGTAGCGGTGGAGGGTGGTGAGGAGGTGTTTGTGGTGGAAGGGAGTGGGTTGGGGGAGGGTATTGGGTGATGGTGATGGTGATGTTGTGCTGGTGGTAGTGGATTGGAAGAAGGCTCTGATGGTGTGGCAGGTGGTGCGTAGCTTAGTGGTGAGGTCGAGGGCTTGTTGGTAGGGGATGCGGTTGGGATTGTGGATTAGTTGGATGGTTTCGGCACGGAGAGAGAATGATTGACGGAAGAGGAGCTGGAGGGATGTGTCGGTCTGGGATGTGCTGGGCTTGGAGACTGGGGATTGCTTTAGATCTGGGTTGATGTCGACATCATTGAGGTTGGATGGGGGCTTGGTGTCGAAGAAAGGTACTGTGATAGGGGAGGCTGATTCGAGTGAAGACTGGAGGATCAACTCGAGCACGGTAGCCCAGAGACGGCTTCGCATCTCAGTCTGGAAAGGAGAGAGGGAAGGGAAGTGCGTGGAGTCTCGATGTAGTCCCATGGCCGTGGCCATCTGCAGGAGAGCTCCGGCTGAGAGCCACGGAGACGGTCCTGGGGGTCCCAACTGGCGAGCAAGTAGTAATAGGCAGAATATCTGGACGCCATCAAGGTTGAAGGTGGATTTTTCTGTTGGGCCTATCAGCCACCACTGGGCAGCATAGATCCATGTCTGGGCAAGTCGAGTATCGTAGTCTGAACCGGCTTTGCCTCGCTCCGGACGGAATGTCGTGCCGATGGCGAGAATTAAAGCCAACTTCATAAGGAATGGAGTGGCGGTTGTTCCAGGCTGGTCCCAAAACTGCTGGTATTCCGTCGTGAAGGACGGCAGATGCAAGATGCGATAGACGCCTTCGAACGTCCGCAGGTAGCATTGCACCAGTTCGTCGCACACCGACCTAGTCGGGATGGTATCGCGAAGGTCTGATACAGGGTCATTCAGCTGAGGGATCTGTTGCCTCTTGACTAATCTGCGGAGGTCGCGCATGTCTTTGGTTTGAGCGGTCAACTCTGCCTTGAGTTTGGGGCAAAGCGGTTGAGGGCCCTTGCTTTCAAGCGAGCCGACAAGCTGGAACTGAAAATGGTGAGTCTGTATCCAAAGTTATCTGGGGATTCAAGAGCTCACACCTTATCCATCGTGTGCGTGTAATGCGTTGGTCCAAACAGTTTCATCTTTTTTGCGTGGGTATGGAGCCGAGGCTGCGTTGCAGCAATGGACAATCCTTCTTTCTGTGTTTGGGGACAGTCCAAACGGATTTCTAATCGCTGCTCTAAGCTCTGGACCTTGCTGCATAGCTCTCTGAGAGTCTGCTCAATAGCAGGTTCTGATGCAGTCGATGGCCGTGTAGTCCCTGTGTCGGATAGTCGCTCCTCCAGACGTTGTAGACGGAGCTGGAGGTCGCGGATCGTTGAGCTAAGCTGTGATGGCACACTGCTTATACCACCCTGTCCAGAGCCAACACTAGATGTATCGTTCAAGGATCCCATCAAACCATCCCCGTGAGCCTCAGATATCGAACGATAGCTCGGTGCAACATCCTCGCGATGCAATGGGCGGGAGGCATGCAGAGGCGTCTGGTGAGCATCTGGGCGCGGGGAGCCAAGATTTTGGCGATAGGAGCAGCCCAGAGATGACCGGGCTCGTGTACAAGGGCCACAGGGCACATTGCGGTCACAGCGAATCTTGCGTTGGCGACATTGCTCGCAGGATTTGGCCGGCCGGCGACGTTTGCGAGGCTCAAAGTCAGTCATTTCTCTCGTAAGCTATCCCAAATGACGTCAATGCGGACATCAATAGATCCTAACCTCCGAATCCGATTATATCCGCTCAGTCGTCGAGTATTGTAACAGCTTCTCTAAGATTAGAGGAATGTAGAAGAAGAGGAGGCGGAGAAAGTCGTGAGAAAGCCGAGAAGTCGGTCATGCGTCGCGGTCTCGGCCTCGGCCTCGGTCTTGCCGGTGGATGGCCGACCGCGAGACTGATGTATAAAGCCCCCATCTGAAGATATATTGCCTGCTATTTCTCAATCACTCTCTACAGTCTGACGCCAGCACTGAAACACAAAATGTATCCTACACTCTACTTTAATCCAAACTACACCCGACGCCTCCATCCCCGGGGCTATGGCTTTCGCGGGTTCGGACGGTTCGCAAAGGTCGCCGTGGTCGGAACTTGCGTCTACCTTATCTCCGAGAAACTGTTCCAGTAGGTCTCTTTCTTTGGTGGCGTTGACTCTGGAGCTGACCAGGCCCAGAAATCAAAGACAACGCCGCTCCCAAAATCCGCACTCGGAGGCCGCTTGAGTGATGTGGTGCATGGGACTTGCAGGACATTTGGATCTGCATGTTAGGATTATATAATTGAAACTCAGGTCATGGGGTCTTATCGAAAATATCTAGAACTTCTGAGACCGAAGATTGGTTTCCCGAAGCATGCTTTGGAATGCTTGTCGCATTCTAGCCAAGATGGTTGATCGTGCCGATCGTCGAGCAATGTTTCATCTGGTGCATGCCTACAATGGTACGGGTGGATCAAGTTTGGGCCAAGAGATGTCAAGATGTATCTGTAGATTTAATCAGAAGTCTAAAGTTGATAGAATAGCGAGATCTATTGAAAACCGCTCTATCGGTCCATAGAAAGATCTGCACACGGCATCATACATCTAAAGGCTGCTCAACAACCACGCATAAATCTATGAACAAATGCCTCTCCCCTAATCGCAGATCGCTGGTCGGGATATTTTCAGAGCCACGGCTAAAACCAAGAGCATGACAAATGGTGCCAGCTTGGTTGTCCAGCAACAGGCTCGGCAAAAGCAAAACAAAATGGTATAAAACTCATGTCCAAACATATCGTCGTACAATGGTATCCTTCCAAAATTCAAACCTATTTTAAGCAGCGCCCTTCACAGCTGGGTGGGCTGGAACTGGGAGAACTCAGCAGATGCAGGAGGATCCTTCTCGGCAATCCTCTCTTCGGCCTTCTCTTCGTCGTTGAGAATTCCGTACTCGGCCGCCTTGGCCTCAATCTCTTCATCAGTGAGCCTGGGCAGTTCCTTCGCTGCGCGGACGTAGCTCATATTTTCAACATAGCCCTTGGCAAAAATCAAATCAATCTCCTCCAAACTGCGCCCCGCAGTCTCCGGGTAGAAGAACCAAATGACCGGGATGAAGACCGCGTTCCAGGCGGCGAAAAAAAGGTACGTGCCCCATCCAATGCGAGATACCATAACGGGGGTGATCATGACCACGGTGAAGTTGAACAGCCAGTTACTGCAGGTAGACACGGCGTTTGCCTTTGATCTCGTCTTGAGAGGAGAGATCTCAGCCGGATAGAGCCATGGAAGGGGCAGCCAGGTGGCGCCAAAAACGCACATGTAGAGGAAGAAGCCGAAGACGGCGCCCTTAGCAGTCTCGGAATCTCCTGGGATCAGACAGCCGAACACAATAATCATCGCAGCACACTGGCCATAACTGCCTCCAAGGAAAAGCTTGCGTCGGCCGATTTTCTCAATGAAGAACCAGGAGAAGGTGGCAAAAATAGCGTAACAGATCATGTTGACGCCGCCAATCAGAAGCGCAAAGTTGTGGGATTGACCGATAGATTGTTCCAGCAGCACCGGCAGGTAGTAGATGACAGCATTGCAACCGGAAATTTGTTGGAAGAATTGGGAGGATGATCCCACCAACATGCGGCGAAAATGTTGGGACGGACCACCCGTGAGCAGGTCACGAAACCTGGTTTGGGAGGAGCCGGAACTGGATTTCGTGTGAGTTTCGGTAGCCTAAGTGAATCATGTAGCAAGTAACTTACGCTCTGACAGAATCCAATATCAGGTTCTTCTCCAGTTGAACATGAGGGTGGTCGATTTCCGCATCTGCCAGGGCAGCAAGGACTCTGGTACCTTCCTCAACCTTGCCGTGGGCGATCAAGTATCGAGGAGATTCCGGGAGATATGCCATGCCGACAATGATCAAAATACCGAAGAAGACCTGGAATGCGATCGGAAACCGCCAGACCAGATCTGGCGGGCCGTAGTGTGCACCGAAGTCTATCCAATAGGCAATGGCCGTTCCAATGGCGATGATACCACCCTCAATGCAAATCAAAAGACCTCGGTTGCTTGTCTTGGAACATTCAGCCTGGTAGGTTGGAATGGTTGAGGTATTCATGCCATTTCCGATGCCCGTAATAACTCGACCGAAGATGAATTGCAACAAGGGCAGCGAGCCTGGCATGGCGGTCACTTGGATAACGACACCGATGATCATCACCGCCGCGCCAGAGATGACCATAAGCCGGCGGCCCAGCGTTTCACCGAAAATCAAGGCGAAGATGGCACCAAAAAGGCAGCCTGCGACGCGCGTATTAGTCGGCCGGACATGGGTTCGATGTCGATGTGGTGCGCATTTACTTACCAACTTCGTAGACGGCAGTAACGGTAGCTTGCATGACGTTGTCGTTCTTGGTGGCCGTGAACACGTCGTTAAACGCGGCATCCGAGATAATACCTGACATGACTCCCTCTGGTAGAGCGGTGGTGAGCAGCTTGCCCTTGCATGATCACCGAGTGGGGATCGACGACTTACGATCGTATCCAAAAAGCAGGAACCCCATGGTAGCGATGGCCGACAGAAACAAAGACAGCCGGCGGCCGGACATGCCGGCGTACTTCGGAGGCGCCATGATGCCGAGTCGATGGAGCCCAAAAGCCTGTGGGTTGTGCGCAAAATCCGGGGAACTGGGGTAGGGAGGGACAGGGGGAGGGGGCAAGGTGGAAAAGAGGATAGGAGGCGGCGGAGAGCTGAGAATCTGGCAGATGGAGGAGACTTAAAAGAGTCGAAAACCGCATGCGGCCACCGACGGTGGAGCGCACCTTGAGCCGTCCCAGAAGGGGTCACCCACGGGGAAAGAGTTGGAGCGTCTTAGCCCTCCACATCGGGGGGTTTTCCCATGGGTATGGGCCAGCAACTGACATCACTGCGCGCTTTTGCGAATGGATAACCGACAACTGTCCGCGGCAGGATCTTCGGTGAGCAGCACGATGCTTTCGGGAGGGGGTTGCGCGATGATGTGAGGATGATGCATTCCAGAGTGGGTGATCGTCGAAGAGCGCAGCGAGTGATGCAACTCCATGGCGCCTGATAAACCGGTCGGCCCACCGAGGGTCCAGCAGGGATCCAGCAGGGATCCACTCGGTGGAGGCAAGGCCCGTGCAAGGGCAGGATAGCGATAGACGTTTTATGGTCCTCCCTGTCCCTGGAACCATTTAACCTCATTGAAGAGTTTTCGTGCGGCCACTCAGCGACGGCGCGGTGGATCTTGGTGTGCTGTGATGCAGGCCACGGCCGCGGGTAGGCTTGAACACGACTGGAGATCGCCACCGCGAACGGCGCCAATCGACGGTGCCTCCGAAGCTTTCCCGGCTTTTGGAGCAGTCGGTCCAGTGGTACACCCAGCGCCTCAACCGCTCTTATTAATGCTTATCTCCCGGATCCTCCCTCTTCCCGGTCGCGCGGGTGACTGGTGCGAACGAAATTATCGACCATAGTGGCTTTTCAGGAATACGCCGGAAGAGAGGCATTGGCATGCTGGGCATAACAGGACCGCAGCGCCAGTGGAACTCTGGCCACTTTCTGCACGATGCGATCATTGTTCGACCCGAAAGATTCTTTTGGGCACACCACGAACACAAACTAGAAGATTCCCCATTAGTTGGACATTCTTTTCTCCCCGAGCGGTCTCCCTGATTCGCCGACTTACCTCCAGCCAGTGGCTCACCCGTACGTTCTTGTACCGAGTATCATAGTGCATGCCTTGCGTGCCATCCGGGGAGGAATGGAGGTGACATCCCGGCAATTGTAAGGTCAGGTCCAGCGTGGTCTCCTCGTCGGGCACTGGTCCACTTGGCATCTCGGGATCCCCGAACAATTTCGCTATCGCCCCGTCGCCCTTTGCTTCCGACTCTGGGCGCTCGTCATCAACATTCCCGACCCGGTGGAGCGACGGAGTGGAGACGGACCCCTCCACTTTTTCATATAGTAGGACCCGTCTAAAAGGACCCGGGCAGCATGCGAGCCCATCCCTCTGGTGATATTGGACGTTCTCCGAGAGGAAAACCCGCAGGCCCCGGAACTCGGCTTTCGCCAATTCCGTGAACGATACGGAAACAGGCAACCGGTCGCCGAGGGGAGCCCCTCGCCTCGAAACGAGGATCCCACATTGAAGGAGTCCTTTCCAGGCCCGCGCAACGTACACTGGCTCGGCATCTTCCACATTGTCCTCGGCTGGGCAGTGAACTGTTGTGATGGCCTGGTTTCGCGCCACGCTCCGCCTTAGGAAGCCTGGGCACTCGACACACGCGCGGACCTGGTATCGAACAAGAGATTGCCGGATTTGGACAGATTCGGGGAGATGAGAATGCAACACCATCTCAAAGTCGTACGTATGGATTCCGGCAGATAGACGTTGGTACTTTGGTCCTGATGCCTTTCCGTAGCTTCCGTTTGAACATAACGTGGATGTGACTGCATTCCACAATCTCCACCTTTTACCAAGGGATGAGGTCTGCGTTTCGTCTAATTGAGCGCCTGAATAGGAGGGCAATGCGGCATCTGGAGCCTGTGGGCTAAGCAGGGTCAACGTGCTGTCCGTCACAGTTTGAGTGTCATGAAGCCCTGAGAGATCGCTCTGAATTAGTAGGCAGATATGATATCCTACAGACCAGACTGTTAGCCTCACCATGCGGCCATGTCACCCGACTCGTCCCACGGAAGTTCACCGTCAACCTTTTCACAGTCAGATTCTCCTTCACTTTCAGTTGGCATGTACCCCGAAGGACGGCCGGCTTGTCTGTATATGTAGGCACAAATACCGCAGGTTCTGTGATGTTCAGGTCCAGACTCAGGTCAGTGGGGTCGTCATGGGTGTAGAGCTTCTGGGTCGCCTTTTTTGCGATTTGGAGAGACTGTCGAAGCATTTCTAGGAGGGACAAAGACTTCCTGGGTGTAGAAGCGAGGAGGGACTGTTTGGGGAGGGGGTTCCATACTAGGCCACGGGGCAGGCCCGATTTATAACAGATCAGGTCCTGCAGTGATGTGGCCAGATGACTCAAAACCAGATCATGCTTCGTAACACTTAATTACATCAGGGAAGATTTGGGTCTGGGTCACTGCATATCGGTATCAGGGTCCGGGTTGCGTGACAGCAAGGGCTGCTGTTCGCTTGGTCTCTCTATCCCAATCCAGTTAAGTCCACCCTTTCAAGGATGCCTCGGTGAGAAAAATGCTTGGGAGATCCCCTTCCGATTGAACTAGGCAGAGGATTAATCCTCATGCTTCACCGTGCCCCTCTTTCTTCTTCACGGTCAGAATGTTGAGTCAAGCTCAAATGATCAACGTGGGTGCGGCTTAACGGATACCAGGCAAGAATGATGTCACAATGTCAGAGCCGGTCCCCGGTCGAGAACATGGCAGGAAGAATACCATTGGTACCTTTGTCGAGCCCGCCAAATATCCCCTGCACAAGTGAGCCATAAGGGACATGTTTGAGGCCTGGACCACGTTGAAGCCATTTGTCCACGTGGACAAGCTCTTAGTGACCTGGCATTCCTAAGGATCAGGAGAGGTGGGTAGGCAGGAGTCTTATCAGGTCAGTAGAAGGCCACACGGGTAGGCATCTCCAGGATAGTTAAGAGGAATTACTATTTCGAGTGCAACTGCCTGTGGCACTTGATTAAAGCAAACACGCGTCGATCATCGTGATAGCACGTACTGTGCACCGGTTTCGAGCTCTGGTCGGGCGAGCACGCTGCCAAAGTAAGCCCCATGACATTGGCGCCAAGATACCCCTGACATCCAGGCCACCCCCATCAATCCGGTATGCAATCCATTGAAGGATGATACTACCCACGACGGATTGCGGATTGAAGATAGGTGGTCGATCGTACCATTGGCATGGCGTGACCGCGGGCCGTTTGTGCAAATGCCTGGCTGGTTGCGCCTTAGAGAATAACAAAGACAGCAGATAGATAAGCCATAGTGATCATATGATGAGTAACCGACTCAATTGTTGGTTATCTGGACAAAAGAACGTGGAGAAGGATAAACTGCTCACATCGTGAAGCCTTCTCTCTCACATCGGTGGGTGGAGAAGGAGAGAGGGTGGAGGGGCGGATGGCGGCAGGCAACAAATGCAACAAACAGATCCTCTCTCTCATTTCCATACACTCAGTTCCGCCTTGCCCATGATTACGCATCTTGTTGCTATCTAATTTAACAACTGCCACAGCGGCAGTGAACATTGCTTCCCGTCCAATTTTCCTCAGTTCCCTACTTATTTACAGGATGCACTCTTTGTGATCGGACGTATCTGCTTATCAGACTCCGACCTTCAAATGATAAGCTTACATCGAGCATGTACCTGGCAGGTTGAACAAAAGTACCCCCAAGCTTTGTCTTTCCTTGCAGATAGTCTTACTGAATCATCGCATTAGTATTACTGGCTCAAGGCTCCCATCGGAGAAACAATACCACCCATCTGTGAACGTCTGCCACATAAATCGGAGGATGCAGATGGCAGATGGTTAAATTCCGTCCACCACGCCGTCATCCTCTTACAAGAACTCTAAATGAACTCCACTCACCCCTACCTGCCTTGTCCCTTGTATTTTCGTCTCAATTTCCATAATATCGCTCCACTAAAGTCTTTGCTCGGAGATTGTGGCTGAATCTCGCAGATTTTACAGGGTAGAAACGGACTGCACGGAGTCTATGGAGTATATCCATTGCGACCGTTTAACCGGAGGTTTCCTTCGAACATGGCCTTGCATGACTTATACCGGTGTTTTGTCGATAGTCCTTGTCGCTCTATCCGTAGAATAAGGCGACAGGAGCCTATGTATCCGAATTTGGGCTTCACAGAGAGAAGCATAAGTAATGCATTTTATGCCCAGCTTCCAGACCCAGGGAGAGCAGAAAGACAAGGCTCAGTATCGCAATGACTGAACCATGGTCCAACCCAAGACAAGATATCAAGGGGCTAGAGAGCTCTATAGCTAGACTTCTTGACAGAAACATGATCCCCAATTTTATCTGGGGAGAGTCCGCACTGGCCATGTACGGGGCCAGATCGACGGTTCATGTATGGTGTCCTCTTCACTTCCCTTTTCGATGATAATAGCTAACCATGTTCAGTTTTCTGGTTGGGTAATTCCAGGTAGATTCATCGGAAAGGCGATGTGGACCTTGCTGAACGCCGGATATGTATGTTGTCAATCCGACTACAGGGATCGCCGAGGTCCCCGACCTCCTCGTTGTACCAAAATGCGTGAGCAATATCATCCTTACCCGGACAGACACTTTCACAGCTTGGTGGACATGGTTACTGGTGAAAAGAAGGAATTGGTGTACACCGTGGCGTTGTACAAGATGAAACGTCTATTTTGGAATACGCCGGAACCCCCATTAGATGCATTGAGATGTACACCTTCTGGGCGTATGCGAGTATCGCATTTTCAGCTCCATTGGCAGCCTGAGGAGGAATATCCCGTGAGGGTATTGATCCCCGGTCGATATCTGCAAGGGATAATCTATCTGGTGCTCCGGGATCATCCTGTCCAGAAGCTCAAACGTTGGCAGCACTGGCAGCAGGAGCTTGGGTACCTGATTGGCCTCTTTGGCCAGAAGAGCTTTCGAGGGCATCTGAAGGGCCTCGATGTTCGGTTTCTGGAATATATGAAACATCGAAATAATCCCGGATATGGAGATAGGGACAATGGAGCTAGACTCCTAGAACAGATTTTTGACGAAGAGAAAAAGCAAGGAAGGCTTCCACGGCCGGAGAATGGTGAGACTGATACACCTCGCCTGGATCAGCTCTTTCAGGTTATAGTTTAATCGCCCATCCTGTGACTACTGGATGAGGACATCGCAGCAGCGCTGTGGATTGGACCCCCCACTCCGGGGGGGGGCATAATTACCAAAATGCGAGAAGGATAGATGCTGGCTTGGAGGCATCTGTAGATATATATCCGAAAGCACTAGACAATCTAAGTCGCAAGCGCCTTTGTTGGCGTGGCTATATGAATTCATGCGTCCCAAGAAAACCCCCGAGGGAGAATACCAGTTCATTGCTCCTCTGGGTGACGGCCATGTTGCATTAATCCACCTTGAAGATCTCGGAAGATACGCACGTTGGCTATTTGATAACCGCGAGCAGGCAAATGGGTTGAACCTTGAGGTTGCCACTGAGCATGTTAACTGGACCGCTCTGGCCGAGACGTTCACCAAAGTCACCGGAAAGCCTGCTCACTATCTAGATGTTTCTACAGGACTACTTCGACAATCATTATCCGGCTGGTCGGAAGGCTGTTGATCGCAAGATTGGCTCCGCCGTCGATAAAAAGGACCCGACTTTGCAGACTTGGAGACAGAACTTTGGCGGCTTTTGGAACATGTGGAAATATACGGGCCCCAACAGGGGCAACATTACAAGAGATTATGCCTTTATGGACACGATTCATCCTACTCGCGTCAGAACGGTGGAAGAGTGGATGAGAAAAGTGGGATATGACGGGGAGCCCCGGCGGTTGTTGAAGGATTGGGCAGATGGTGGAATTACAGTGGCGGGGCCACTGCAGCTGTGAAGCTGTAGTCAGGAATGATTTGTATGGCAATGCACATGATAGCATAAACTAGGGGAGATTCAAATGTCCATTATGTGCCTTGGCGCAGGACACAGTAGAAAGTTTGTCTAACAGTACCCAAACACTTCACTCCAGCGACCTGGCAAAAATCAGACGTTATCCATGCATACTAGCACAGTCAGAAGCTATTACAATAACTATAACTCGATAATGTGTAATTTCCAGTATTCCACACCGCTTCTCAAGTAGATTCTGTCCCCAGCTCGTTAAATTTGTCAGCAAAACAGGATTCCAACATTCACCCGAACCTGGCGCAGAAGCGGGAGATTCTTGGCTCCGAAAGTGATTGGTAATCATACTATGGCGGACACCGAGTGTTGCCTCAGTGTTTCGGTTTGTATCAGCGAAACAGACGCCGGTGATTAGTTCCTTGCTCCATTCCAAGCCAGTGCTTTGGTCTGTTTTTTAAATCGTACGGTACAGGTAACGTCGGACATGATGGCCAATTCCCTGTTTATACCTGTTTATACCTGTTTATACCTGTTTATACCTGTTTATACCTGTTTATACCTGTTTATACCTGTTTATACCTGTTGACCTGAAATTGCTGGTATTGGTTAAACTGGATCTGTTACTAGATACTACACACCTCTTTTAGTCGTGCTTCTTAGGTAATGTCTTTGAAGTTGATTATTTATTCTCTGTATACAGATCACAGATGTCACAGATCGTTGGCACTGTATGGAGTAAGTTGCAGGCTATGGGACTATAAGCCTGACTGCAGCCTGGACAGAAACAGTATGATCTCTGACATGGAAAGACAGCAGTGAAAATGCAAGTAGCTTTGATTACCCATTACCCTGCTCGTCAAGTCATATCATGTATTCTGTAACAGGGTTTCAAGACGTAAGAGGCAGATTACGTTGAGTCTGAACGCTGAAACCACTGCAGACCTGAATATGGATTGGTAATCCATGATGTTTGCTATGAGAGATGCATGCCCTGTGTGAGTTTAAGTAGATACCATTCTCAGAGCACCTTCTTTGACGCTGCCAAAATCTCTTCCCTCATCATATCCCGTACTTCACATTTGATAACCTACTGCTAACAGCCATGACCGACCTATCCAAAACCGTGATCGTTCTGATCAATCCTTACAACGATTTCCTCCATCCTGATGGCAAGCTAACTCCCTTCCTCAAAGACCTCGAGGAGAAGGAAACTGTCAAGCACATGAAAGAGCTAGTTGCCACAGTATGACTTCATCACATACCTATTTTCTACGGCCTCCACTAGCAATGGACTCCGAACAGCTTTCAAGACTGGCGACACATGACTCCCAACAATGTCAAGCAGCAACGCATTCAGTTCTTTGAAGAAGGAACCTTTGGCTCTCATATATATGAAGGGTTGGAGCCGGACCCAACAAATGGTGACGTGGTTGTGAGCCGACACTAGGATAGCGAGTAAGGGGCAGATCAGGGCTGGATATATCTGGCTTCTGTTACTGATTTGCCTGATGTAGTTCGTTCCAAAACACTGATTTGGATTTCCAACTACGTCAGCGTGAGAAGTCTCATCTTGTTCTCGCCGGCTTGACTGCCAATACGTGCCTTGAGGCTACTGCACGTCAGGCTTTTGAGTTGTAAGTTCCTACTACCAAAAATGTTTGGCATATACTCACTGAGAGACTATTATTCAGGGGTTATAATGTGACATTACTGTAAGGACTGTCCATTCCTTGACCAGAATAGGGCGTCGTGCTAACAATAATGTGATTTCATTAGAAAGGATGCAACTGCCGGGTACTCTAAGGAGCTCACAGACGCGGCGTCGGATTTGGTCTGGCCTTTGTTCTCCACAGTCACGACTGTGAAAGAGTTTGAGAACACTCTTAATAGCACGGAGCATCGCTAGATTGATATCGGATTGTGACGTGCATATACACGCTATCAACTATGCGTGCTACTCGAGAAGGAACTAGCAGGATGGAGAATGATGTTATGTCGGTGGCCTGCTGGCATGGGGTATTGTTCAGAAATGTCTTCTGAGAAACTGTATCTTGTTCTTTCCCGTACCATCAAGAATATGCGGTATGAAGCATTCTGGGAGCTAGAAAAACGGATAGATGATAGCTCTCTACTTAGTTGACTCCTTCAATAACGAGATCATCATGTGACGATCGCGTGATTTGTCATCATCGGGATGGCGTGAGGAACTCTCGCATATTCACATAAATTGGATCACGCCAACTGTCCACCTACAAAATACGTCTATTGTCATTATACGCATTCCTTTCTTAACTAATTACTACAGACCCAATATGCGCTCCCAAGGCGTGAGAAAAACGCGCTCTAGACGCCCAACGCGAGGGCGGCAGAACACGAGACTCGAACAGGCCGTTGCTAGTAATCGGATTGGAAATCAGGAACCGGGGCAGCCGGCCACTCCGCCTCCGTCCGCCTTACAACCACGCAAATCATGGGCAGATACCCTTGCTGCTCTTGAGATAGAGTCGCTTGCCTACCAAACACAGAGGTACAGAGAATGGAGACGTAAGTAACGGTCCGACTTTGAGTCGATAATCGTAACGATAGTAACTCAGCGTGCAGGAACTGGATCACATCATGAAGACTACTGCCGCGTTTGCTTCAAGCCGGATAGCCTAGAACCTTGCTTGACATGCCGGCTGGCTTTCCATAATGAGTGCATGCCCGCCGGTTGGCTGCGGACTTCACAAGATCAACTCTTTTGCGTCATATGCGTTCGACGGGGCTGGCATACAGATCCTCCTGCGCTGACGCCGCCCGTTTCACCAAGAATAGCAGAAGCTTCTGACGGTCTTGCTGCAGCTACTTCGGCGACAGCGCTCAATGCGAGTGCTCGGCCAAGCCCGCACCTTGATACTATACTACCGGACAGGCAATCAGAGAATTCTTCAATACACGGACAAAGATCTTCTGACCAACAGGCCCTACAAGCTCTTGCTCCAAGCCCAGGAATCCCGCTTGAACATAACAGTACGAACGAAAACGATACCACTCCTTTGGAATCCTCTCAAACGTCGGCCCGACGTCCTCGCAAGTCTCGATATATGAGTCTCCCCAGCGACGTCGACGCATCACTGAACGTCCTGTATCGAGAACTAGAGTCCAACTCAACGCTGAGATTGGAGATCGAAGAGCTCCGTCGGGAGAATGCTCGACACCTCCAAACCATCAAGATTCGCGACCTCAGTCTGATGGCCCTGCGCCGGGATTTGGAAAGTTCCCGTTGCTTGGATCAAGAGTACGAAAAGCTACGAGAAAATGCGGTCCAGCTCGAGAATGCAAAAAAGGAGCTTGAAGAGCTTCGAGCAAGGAATGGTGCTCTCGAGGCGGAGCTGCAGATCGCAAGAGAAGCGGGTGCGGAAGCCAGAGCCCTTGTGGATGATTGGAAGGGGAAGCTATCGCAGCTGCTCAACAATTGATTCTTTATTCTGCTGACTGTGCGTGCTTGTCTGGAACCGGGTTCGGAGAGCGCAACTTATCTCAGAAGCATCTTACTATGTCTTGTCATTCTTTCCATCTTGTGCTTCATGTTCCTTTTCTAGGCTGTGCTAAGAAAGACTTGCCGGGAATCACGCCTTGACATTCCATTTCCAGCCGACTTTGACCACCCGCACCGCTACAGCAGCAAATGCACCCAGTATGATACAGACGCCCGCGAAGAGCTGCGCGCCTATATACCGTCCACTATCCCGCGAAATCAAAGCCCCCTCAATCGCGGGTCCCGTCAATGTGGCAAACCCCACGATACTTAGGATCATTCCGAGTCGTGTGCCTGTTCGCTTGATATCCGGGGTCATGGTAGTGGCGGTTGCCGGAAACAGGGACTGTGCTGCGCCGCCCACCAGGCCGTACACAACGGTGAAGGCGTATAGGCCACCGACGGAGCTTACCGCGATCCAGCACAGTATGACGATCGCCGAGGCAAAGCTGAGGGGGATCAGGATGTTCAGCTTGCCGGTCCACCGGTCACCGATTATACTTGGCCCGATGCGGCCCACGATACCAACACCGTTCAGAACGAGGATAAGATTCTGGGTATCTGTCAGACCAAGGCGATCCCGGGCGAAGCTGCCCAGGTAGAAAAACGCAAAATAGAGACCCCAGAAATTAAGAAAGATGCTGGCTGTGAAAAAGAGGAACGGGGCTTCGGAAAAGGCACCCCATTCTATAAGAGGACCGGTCGTCCGGGGCGGAAGACGAGGCTTGAAGAAAATCAATCCAACCATATGTGTAGCCAGCATTAGAAATCCTGCCGCACGGATTGTCCACGCAAAGCCAACATCGTGGCTATATAACAGCTGGTTCACCAGAACCGAGTATACCAATCCCCCTGTTGCTGCGCCAGTGGCCGCCAGCCCAACAGCAAAGGCGCGCTTTTCCATAAAATAAGAAGACATGACCGCGAGTCCTGGGCTAAAAGTCAAGCCATTCCCTAGTCCCATGCATACGGCCTGAGAGAGAAAGATCTGCCAATAGGTCTTGGCTAGAGAAAGCATAAAGAATCCCAAGAGCTGAAGGAACATCCCGAGCGAGTATGTCTGACGAAAATAGCCCGAGTTCGTGGCACGACCGGCAAAGACGCCTGTGAAGAACAGAAGGGAGACTTGGACGCTCCCGATCCAGGAGATGGTGGAGGCTGACTGCGGTAGGGTTTGGGTGTAGAGTTGCTGGAAGACTGAGAAGCTGTTGCTGATGCCCCAGGAGTTGAAGAACACGAGATGAGTGCAGAGGACTTGGGTCCATGCTTGTAGGCCTCCGTCTGGTGGTGGGGGCACATCTTCTGGGTATTCAGGGCCACTGGGGCGACAAAAGGCATGCCCTAGTGCTTGGATTCGATGCATGTTATTATCAGGGGTCAGGCGGTGTTGTGAGAAGTCAATGGGAGACACCAAAAGAAAGGAGGGGAAAGCTATGACTGGAAATAATCGATACAAGCGAGCGTACATTTCTTATACGGTCTGTATGGACCCTGGGCCAAAGATACAGGTGGATCTGTGACCAACACCGCAAGTTGATCAAATACTAGGGTAACCATGTTGACAGAACCAAACTTTCGAGTTTGAGCTGTAATCATTACAGTAATCAATACCAATTCTGCCCTACGAAATGGATCATCGAGGTTGTTACAACCGGTCAATATCATTTGTCATCCGACACCCCCATCATGCTGACAAATTTAGGCAGAAAACGACCTGGTAAGCGGCAGAAAGATAGGCGCACTGTTACGGAGTACCATACAGAAATCAAACCTTTCAGGACCATTTCTTCTTTTTACTATCTTAATATATTTTACTTGTATTACTAGTTCAATACTATTCATCTACGACGACCACATCAAGGCTTTGAGTGTTCAGTACCATCCAGTAGCTGTGAGACTGCAGTCGGCATCCCGGGATCATAATCTGTGTTGGATTGGTCACGATGATCTAGATACCTTCTGTGTATGTACATCTGGAGGGTAAACCTGAGTGTTAAAGGTAGATACTGGACGGTACTTACTACTTCAATGGTCATAATCGAAGCTTAAATTGTTTTACTGTAGGCGGGACTATTCGTAGATATCTTGCGAGACCCTGGGTGTTGGAGAAGAGGGGAGGCAAAGGGTTCGGAGACTAACTATGTGTACTTTGTATAAAAGATCAAGAAGGAAAGATGGTCGATACACGATGGTCGTATGCGTTGAATCTGATTTCGGGATTATCCTGGTGGTTGTGGAAGATTTCAGTGTCTCGAAAGACGACTATGGGAATCTACACCTTGTAGATGAGCAATCTTTGTTAATTGGCAACTTAAGATATGCACAAGTTGTTATATCAGCAAGAGAAGTGGTTCGAATCAACTTCTTCGAGTCCATGGGTACTCTGGACCTCGAAAGTCTATGGTTTCTTTCATAGACCTGTCTGGCTGTGTGTACATAGCATAGGTAGATATTGTTATCTATTGATAGTCCCTACCCTCCCTCTACTCACCATTAATGACGTTCTGGTCAATCAGAACGCTGTTTTTAAGCCAGGCTATTATGATGTCTATTATCGTGAATATCCCAGCTACGGACGATCACAGACTCATGAATTATTCTTCCTAACGGAAAAATCATATAAAATATGGCAGTATCACCCGACCTCCTCTTTCTATCTTGAGGCTTACTGTCCAATGCCCATCCAAAAGTGAAATCTTCATGGTGAACACCTATCTCCCCGTCTTCATTGAACAGATGCACAGCAAAGCAAAGGCGAGTACGACTCTTCTTTCCAGACCACTTACGCCTACTAACCAATCTCATACCCCAGCAGAAGCACTTTCAAAATCATCACACCCCGGACATAAAACGAACACGTTCCTCCTCCGAACACCCGGCCTCTGAAAATCGAAAGCCAATACACATCACCACAGCCTTACGCAACACGCTCTCAAGCTCCACGATCAATTAATATAGCAACGCTCAGCCTTGGCACTCGATATACCACAAGCCTCCACAGCCTTAGAAGATGCTTCAGTATTCGAACCTCTTTTCGCCTCCCATCCCATCATAGGAACGCAGTCTCGCGCTTTAGACAATGCATTGGATAACAGATATTGGGAATGTTCACCCTTGTTTGCGCGGATGACCGTCGCTGGGGATACGGAGCTACTGAGAGACATCCAAGATTATATGGATAACACGGTATTCTCTGGGTTAAGGAGCCACGCTGAACTATAGCACATATTCAATACCATGCGGGAGATGTTCGGCCAGATATTGAACTAAGTGGAGGAGAAGGTGACTAGAAGAGTAATGTATTCAGCACTCGTCGACTTAGGAGGAAATGAGAGCTGGTTATGTCAAGTGCATATACTCTCTATTAGCAGCTTATACGAAACAGTATTAACTTTTGAAACCGAGTGGCGAGTTTTTATGGAGCTCCCAAGCGGACCTATATTCAACCTGGACGAAGATACCCGTCCAGCTCTATGCGTCGGTCTGCACGCGGAGGTCGTTGAAGAGGCCCTTCAACCTATAATAGACAATGAAGCCTCGGTGTTCCTTTCCAGATTGCAAGAAGATGGTTCTCTCTGATTGATGATCCGTAAATAACCCCGCGGGTCTGCATTTTCTATTCTTGATTGTGGAGATAGCGTCAGCTGCCACGGATGATAACCTCTTTCACGTGCAGAGCAGAGCTGCGGTTTCAGGCTCTGGGGCGCATCGGATCTTTAGAAGATTTGCATTTTATCATGCCAGGGTATGCGGTACTAATCATCGGCCGAAACTATGTGATGAACTTATGCCGATCCCTGTGTTCTCTCTCGCTACGGAGGGTCCAGTTGTTGGATTGTGGGTATATTATCAGGATGATGATGGTGCTAAGTTTAAGATGACACGTCTGAAGATGTGGTGTTTGGCAATAGAGAGTGACTGTGTCGGTTTCGTGGTGCATCTCTTGGCGATATTGGAATGGAGAAGTGGAGAATTGAAGGATACTATCCTTAAAGCACTTGTTCCTTTGTGGTTCTATTTTTTACACTCTTAGTTTGGCTTTATGTCACTTCTATCTTGAGTTCAGGGTGATTTCACATATGTAAATTCATGTCGCTTTCACCTGACCTTTGCTTCTCACTATGTGGCTATTGTTTTGTTGGAAACACACCCTGCTACATCCAGGCTAGCTGTTTACTATTTTTGGAATAATGGGTCCAAAATATCTTTAAGCCTTTCTAACAATGAACCGGCTGGCAACAAGATCATCTTGGCAACCAGGCTTATAATAACAAATAAAGTTGTTAGTGTCTGGAAGATGGCGGCACATCTAAAAATAATGTTTGCACATTCACACTGGAGGGGTGGTGGATGAATTGTTTCATCGTGCGGTTTGGGGAAAAATTGAGACACGTGGATCTTATCAGGGTTGAAACACTGAATAACAGACTTACTGTTGGTTGAGATGTCGTATAATGCCCCAAATAGCTCATGATCTTTGGATGAGATGCTGCAACTCCCGAGATGGGAAAACTAGTATGTTTTCGCCTCTGACCTTGACAAATCTTAAAGTTGACACCAATCCGTAACTCGGAAACAAGGTTTACAACCGAAACACTAGCTTAGGTTATCAGCATAGTCATGATGGGGCATTTTACTGTGAGAGATTGTAGTTAGGAAGAGACCCGTAATAAAGGGAGGCTGGCTTGGGAATCTTCTAGAAGCCAATCTCGCCTCCAGACGTCAGTTCAGTTTTGGGAATATCCTGTCTGCTGATTATCCAGTTGCTTGTTGCTCTCCCTGCTTCCTTCGTAAACGCTCCTTACGAATGTTCTAATGCAGCCACTAGATGAAGAAAGGTCATATGGAAATGTCGTCATGTATGCACGTGCTCGTGCAGTGTCAAAAGGATAAGCGCTGTATGCGCGAGTGATGTGCCATACGCCAGATGTTTGCTTTGGAAAGCACTGTAGAAATCCGACATGCTCGTATCGATGCACTAGATCCATGAGAAGGGATAATCCATCGCCTGCCTCCTCGACTCGTTGGACATAGGGTGATATAAGCACTCAATACGAGAGAGTTAAGCCCCGCAGTAGCTTAGCCAGCGGCAACTGCAGAGTCAAATGCAGAGCATATGGTCGGAGAGTGCATTCCCGGCGGATTAGATAGGCACAGTGGCCTACCGAGTGGGCGACTTTCTCTCTCATCTGCATGGATTGAGCTTGTGGGAGGAGGCACCAATGAGAGACCTATCTTCCTGAGTCTATAAGCCAAATGCTTGGCCATGTGCAGAAATTCCTCCACCTTGGATGGGGCAAGCATGACAGGTGTCACGGCCTGCTAATGATGCAGCCTGTCCGGAAGCGACCAGGATCCGCGGCCACGGAGGGCTTCAGCTGCACGCGGGCAATGGTTCTTGTTTCGTCCCGACTGAAACCATCTGCATGTAGGGACAGTGAACAAGGCGGGAAACGAGAAGAATAGTACTGGATAGTAGATGGAAGAAGAGGGTTAAAGGGTCAAGTAAAGAGGAAGTAAAAGAAGATCCACCTGGCCCACCGACTCCAGGCCGCGGCGGGCGCCAACCAACCGGATCGGCGCCCCTCTGAACCCCGACCGACTGACCTCCTCTTCCTTCTTCCTCCCTTTCCTGCATGGCGACGCCATTCAATCAATAATCATCATCTTTATCTCTAATCTTCTTTGCTTCCTTTCGCCTCCCCCTCTCCATTCTTCCCACTTGATCATCCGTTTGCCTTCAGCCTTAAATTCCTCAACTTTGCATCTCCTCCCTCCCTCCCTCGACTCTCCCTCCCTTTATCGTTCCCTTCCTTTCTTCTTCTCTTGTCTCCGCTCCTCGCCTCTTCCCTCCCCCTCGTGGTCCCCTTTTTCGCTGGTGTTGCTCGGGTCGCATGGCCCCCTTCACCCATCCCCGATCAAGGTTCTAGTCGCTTGTTCGGGCCACCCTTGGAACTCCTCCACTTTGCCTGCTTAATTTAGTCTCTCCTCAGCTGGTCTCCTTTCCCTCCTTCGTGCGCGCATCGTCCTTGTTTCATCCGCTCCTGTCTTCAATCCCAGGACTGTCTCTGTCTCCCCTTGCACTCACCGGCCAAACCTCCTATCGCTCTTCCTATCGATCCGGGTGCTCCACCGAGAGTTCGCAACAGATCTTGTCTCTTCCCTACTTGCTCGAATCGATTTCCCACTTGGTCATCCTTCATTTACTAGCGCTATCTGACCCGTGCGGCCTCACGAGGGGTGCTAATCATAATCATGTCGGCCACCGCGGATTTCAAAGTCGATCCCGCATCTCCCGCCCCCGGCGACACAAACCTGACTTCTCAACCCCCAGCCATCGAATCTGAGGAGCTTTCGGGCCCCACCGCTCACGAGAATGCCCAACTGGAGAGCCAGGAGCCCAGTTCGTCGGATGCGAAACCCACGGAGGGTGATGAGAACACTACGTCAGCCTCTGCCCCCAAGCAGAGCCCTGTAGACGCTGCTCCATCCGCCAGCGCATCTCCTGAACAATACGATGAGGCGAAAGCTACGGCAGCTGGCTCGGAGCTACCCTCCCAGGGATCGGATGACACCGCCAAAGACGAGGAGGACTCCGGTCCGTCTTTGGTGATCACCCTGCTGTTGATAACGGGCTCGCGGCACCCTTTCAAGATCGACGCGAATTATCTCCGGAAGCGGTCGGTAAATGTGGAAAACTATGATCCGTTTGCCATGAGCGTATACACCCTGAAGGAATTGATATGGCGTGAATGGCGGCAAGGTATGCGTGCAGTGGCTAGAACGATTTGAAGTCACGATGGCTAATGTTGTCTGATAGACTGGGAAACGCGGCCGTCATCGCCGAGCTCGATCCGGCTTATCTCATTCGGCAAGCTACTGGACGACAAAGCTCCATTATCCGGTATGGTTTCGATCTGCGCACTCTGCCTCTGGCCTAATGCTGACTACTGCTCTCAGACTCCAAATTCAGCCGGGACGCTCCCAACGTAGTCCACATGACTGTGAAACCCCAAGAACTTGTCGATGAAGAAGACGCCAAAGGCTCCAAGGCCCAGTACCCACGCGAGCGGGAGTCCAGCGAGCGTAGCCCTGGCTGTCGCTGTATCATTCAATGAGCGGGAGCTGTTGTCGCGCGAATCGACAGAAGCCAGATACTACAGGCGGTCCTCCATGCTGTGCTCTAGAGGATTCGTCGAACACCCCGTTGCCCTTTGCCACTGTTGCAAAGGCAAAGCTAGCTTGCCTCCGCTTGAAGACTTGACACGAGCTTTCTTCAGCTCCTGCCTTGGAGCATGTTGCTACCTTTTGCTCGAGTCTGCTTTGATCATCCGTCATGCCTGTTCGCTATTTGCTGCATGTGGTTGGCTATTTGACCGTATTGAGATGGCGTTATGAATGGGTTATCTTGCTTTATCAGCCCGATGCATTGACATTTATCCAGTTGCCTGTTCTCCCCAGTGGTCACCGTTGGCTTGCATAGTTCCATGAGTTGCTTGATGCCGCTCCGATTCCTCTTTCGTATATACCCTAAGCCCGTGTTCTCGCTTCCTCCTCACTGTTGTCTACTTGGCCGGCCTTGCATTTGTGTCCATATACGGAAGCCTACGTCTGCCTTGCTTGGTGTTTCGTTCTGCTGTTTGTTGAGTTAGGGCTTGGACGACCAATTTGCGGTGGCATGGAAGACCCTGGTGGCTCTCTTCCGTGGCCAGCCATCTGCTTGAATCTAGTTTGTGATACAGGGCTTGTACGACCCACATGTCAAATACCGTGTTTCCACCTGGAAACCATAATGTACAAACTGCACATATGTGTTGCCGGTAGTTTACCAACATATAATCTGATCTAATTTGATTTGACAGCGCCTGTATCAACTAAGTCATAACGAACACATCCCATCCACGATTAGTGGTCCATGCGCAGTCTCTTCTCCATTTCGTCGTGGAAAGCAGGCGGTTCACGGAACTCGTCACCTAAGTCAGTTAGCATAATCCCATCTATCAACAACCCATCCCCCCAAGACCAACACCAGAAACGAGAGAGAGAAAAGAAAAGGAATAAAACGTACCCTTAAACACATCCTCCCACCCCACCTCGGCATCCCTACCCCCCAAGACCAAAATCTCCTCATGCAGATTCCCACCCGCCCCCAACAAAGCAGGCCTAAACGACCCATCCCGCACAATCTTCAGTTCCATGCCGCGCCGCACGGGCTCCGCGATCCCGTACGCCCGACGCAGAGATTCCATCTTCAGGTTGTCTTGGGTGGCGCGCCAGGCCAGGAGACGGGCTTCGAGCGGGTGCGCGGAGGAAGGGATGGCGGTGTTGGTGGAGGGGGGGCCGCGGGCGGCGGGGAGGGTCAGGTTGTCGCGGAGGGTGTCGGGGAGGCCGGGGGCGGAGGGTGCGCCTTTCGAGGGGTGTGGGAGGGTGATGGGGGCGCGGGTGGTGGTGTTGGTGGTTTGGGTGGCGTGGTTGGTGGGGGGGGCGATGCGGAGGGACTGTTTCTTGTTAGTATGTGGTTTGTGGAGGGTGGGTGGTGGTGGTTGGGCTGGGGGATGGGGGGTGGGATAGGATGTATGGATGGGATAGAGTAGGATAGGGTAGGGTAGGATGATGGGTTGGGTTGGATTTGGATGGAAAGCAGGGTAAAGTCAGGACGGAACGAACCATTGTGTCGGTTGTGAGGAGGTATATTATTCTAGAACTGGTAGGTGTGGTGATGGGGTCGTAGATGGGAGTTATGGAAGATGTAGGAGATAGAGAGAGGTGAAGTCGATAGCACCTCAGCAGTCAGTAGCTCTGACATGGGCCAGGCTCCCAGGCACGCGTCACACCAGCTCCTCGGGGACCGCAAACCCACCACCTCCGCAGCCCTGACTAACCCAATCAACCATGTTTCCATCACGTGACTATAGCCTTCTCCAGGAAATGTTTCCTCCGGCCCATACCCTCCATCACGGAGGGTACTTTCACCACCAGGAACCGCCAAAATGCCTCTCCTCGTCTCGTCCCTCGCGCTACGCACGCTCCGGACTCTCGTCCAGCGTCCCGCCACCACTGCCACTACCGTTCTCAAGCGCAACTGCTCCACCTCGACCCTCACCCAACGCCGACCCTTCCAGCCCGTCCTCCGCACGTCCGCAGCACTCAAGAAGCCCTCCGTGACACTCGCGGTCCGGAACTTCTCGACCTCTCCGTTCCGCCAAGCAACCTATAATCAGGTCCGTCGGGGATGCAGAGTTGCGCAGCGCGCGCGTCGCTCCCGCTCTCCGGCCCTGATCGGTCGGTCTCAGATGAAGGGGGTGTGTCTGAAGACGGGTATTACGAAACCGAAGAAGCCGAATTCTGGAGAGCGGAAGACGGCGAGAGTTAGGTTGAGTAGTGGGAAGGTTGTGACGGCTTATATTCCTGGTGAAGGTGGGTTATCCTTATTCTCGTGTTTTTGGTTGGGAGGGGGGATAGGTTCGGGGCTTAGATGGAAGGAATTGAGCAATTGGATGGAGTGAAATGCAAGAAAGCTAACATGGGTGTGCTTAGGTCACAATATCCAGCAGCACAGTGTTGTCATGGTTCGTGGTGGTCGTGTGCCGGATTGTCCTGGTGTGAAGTACCATTTGGTCAGAGGAGCTATGGATTTGGTAGGTTCTTTTCTCTTGTCGTTGGAATTGGGATCAGATGTACTAATTTCTGTAGGGTGGTGTTGCCGGTCGGTTGAACAGTCGGTCCAAGTATGGTACCAAGAAGCCGAAGAAAGACTAAGGCCGACGCTGGTCATGGTGGGGATTGTTTAGATATGCTGTAATTTTGTGATTCTGTATCGTTTACCTTTCCTTGACGGATCGTTGTTATCATTAGAAACGGCTATGTACATTTATGAGGCTTTCCGGGATTCCTTCATCCACCAGTACATCTGCACCTGCACCTTGATACCCTGAAATAACTGAAATGATGAGTACGCCAGCCCGACAATCTTATTAACACATGACACCTGCCGCAAATCAAGAAATGGATATAACCCGAATATTGTAAGCATGCCAGCATCAGCGTCCATGGACATGTCAAGAAAAGTCACGGATCTTTTGATCTTCGTTAGTGGACATTCTCCACGCCAGTATCCAATCGACTGTACTTGGTCAATATGTCTAGCTGCCGACATGCTCGGCCCGTCCTGCTCAACACGATGAAGTTGCAATATTTCACTAAAGCCTCAGCTCTCGTTCTCATATCCCTTGGGCTTATCCATGTCATTGGTTTGGAAGAACCGGGACGTGCCTGCATGCTGGTTATTACTATGCCCAACAGAAGACGGTGAACAAGAACGTGAACTTACAAGAGTAACCCTTCCAGTCAAAGTTGTCGTTGGGGTTGCAGTGGCATTTCAGATCCAGCCTCAGCTGCTCGCCAGTCGGGCAGTGAGTGAAGGGGACATGGTAGTACCCAATCTCGTTGAAGAAGTGGATCTCCTCCTTCTTCAGAAGCAGTCCCGCCGCAATGGAGTGCACCGGCGCATCGCCCCACCGCTCGTAGAAGAAGCCGCCGGCGTGGTCGAGCGTCTCAAAGTAGTCAATGTACTCCTTGGACCGCAGCCACTCCAGACTTCCGATCTCGAAGTTCGACCACTATACGTATCCTATTAGTCCAGCGACTGACGATCATCGAGGTATACTCACAAAGTGGCACTTGTTGTAGGTCTTTCCACCGTCATCACTCAGGAAACTCATCGAGTTGCCGCTGGCGATATGCTCGGGGTGTTCTTCCATGAACTTCTGCACGGTACCCCACAGACTCGGGATGGTGTCGTAGTATTCATACAAACTCAGGACAAAGCTGTACTTCTTGTCGTTCTCCTTCACGTAGCGGAACGGGTCGAAGCTGACATCACAGAAGAGCTCGATGCTGGGCTCCACGCGCCAGTAGTACTCATAGTTCATCATCAACGGATGACGGAAGAAAAAGCCGGACTCATAGCGGCACATGTGACGGTAGCTCTCTGAGTCGCCGTAGATAATCTTCTTCTCTCCCATTTCCTGTCGCACCTTCTTTGCCTTGTCCTGGTCGATCCACTCGGGGTAAGACCAATGCTCCTTGGGGATGACTCCATAGTAAGTATTGCCCGACACCAGGGCCGACGTGACCTTCTTGAATTCATCATCAAACGGCTTGTCGTTCAGGAACACCCAGTCGTAGTGGTAGTTGTGGTTGAAGCGGTCCTCCACCGTCCGGATGGACTTGGCCATTTCCCAGACATCACTGTTGCGAGCCAAGGTGACAAAGGTGGCATTCACGCGATCCGTCGAGATGTATTTGTTCGGCCCACTTGACGATAGCGCATCGTGCTGCGAGGAAGAAGAGGAGGTCGAGGAGTCTTTGTAGGTCGCGGGGTTGAGTTTCGTGCCGATGTTCTCGGGGATGGGGATCGAGCTCCTGGAGATCAGGAAGAAGAGGGCCAGCCCCTTTGGACGGTCAGTGATGCGAAGAATCACAAAGAGCGAGGCAACTCACCGTAACGGCAAAAAGAAGGTATCGCAGGGGCCCTATAGCCATGATGCTAGAGGTCACTGCGCGGTGTCGAAGCGTCGGTGAGAAGCGGGAGAAATAGGTGAGCGCGCAGGGCTGAAGATGGATGCCTGCTGCGTAGTCTCAAAGACCACCGGAGATGGACGGTGCTGATCAAAATGTAAACGAATGACGGACAGAAGTGTGATGGAGGATGAGATCCGGACTGGAAACTCTCACTCGGGGCAGTTGTGACAGGCCGGATGGAAATCCGCCTCCCGATTCTTGGGATCTATCTATGGGCGATCGGTAACGACGTTGCAGATGATGGATCCGCGGCGCATCAGACAAAGATTAAAGTTCGTTCCAGGCCACAACGCTCGTGCTTCCCCGGGCGTCTTGATTGGAAATGGACGAGTCCCGACTTGAAGTCTGGAGGTGCGAACAGGGTGGGAGAAATTCAGGAGATGTCAACAAGAGCCGGTCTACAGGACGAACGAGGTGAGATTGCGGCATTGGCCCGGCATGGGGGAGGGCGACGCAGCCTCGCCCATTATTGGCCGGGCCACGTACGTCGCACCGGATTTTAGCCACCGAGTGGATGAAAAGGATTGAAGCAATAAAGACATCGATCTCTACGGAAAAGCCTTATAGGGATGGCATGACGTTGAGGAGGCTGCGATCCCAGCTGCCACTGCCCGTGTCTGTTCTTCAGGCCTGGGGCACTGCGACTCTTGGGCGACGATCCATCCTGCCTTGGGTTCGGGCCAGGCAATCAGGGGATGTACGGAGTCGAGAAGCCACATCGCCTAAACCCTACGGAGTTTCCCGTAGAAAGGATCGAGATATTGGCGGGGCTAGATGAGATCTCCCAGCACGGAGCTTGAAGCTGAAACCCGATGTGTATGACAGGCCATGTCATGGAGTTACTCCTTATCACCTACGGAGTACTTGTTACCAACTACTACTCCTCCGTAGTACTAGTATTCATTCTTATTCTCGGGATTCGGATTGGAGGAGGCGAAGGCCCCTCCGATGAGGTAAGCACGGACGGCCAAGGACGCCCTGGGGCCTCAGGCAGCCACCCGTAGCACCACTAAGCCGAAAGCCACCTAGGCGGGTGATATCAGACCGGCTCTGAACTTCATCCCGCACTACCCAATTATGCCGCGGTGCTAATTCTCGCCCTCCTCCTACTTCCCTGCCTCCCCGACCCCGCCCCTCCCCCGAAGATGTCCTTCTTCGGCTTCAATACTACCCTGCCTAGGGATCGAGCTCCCCCGATTGAAAGTCGGGGCATCTTCGACACCCCTGACCCGTTCGCCGAAGTCGCCCGCGCCCGAGCAGAGGGCTTCCAAGGCGGCGATGATGACGACGTGTAAGACTTCTTCCCGCGGCTGCAACCTACCAACTGGCCACGCTGGTTAGCATGGAGCTAACTCACGGCTCTTTCTCGTGCTCTATAGAATCGATTTCGAGGATACTTACGACGGCCTGGGAGACCAGCTCGACGACGACCAAGATGCGTTCAATGACGACACGTTTGGTGGCGGTGTCGACCCGAGCCCTGTGGGCAAGGATTTCGATTTCTTTGGAAGGACTGCCCAGGTCGCCGACGTGATCGGAGAGGAACAGATCCGCTACAGTCTCCAGCAACCCGGTGCACCGGCTGCGTCTGCGACTGCGACGCAACCCGCTGCCGATGCCGCTCTGCCAGGCGCTGCGGCCCAGAAGCCCAAGCGCACCGGATATGAGAAGTATCAGGACCCGGGCTACATCCCCGACCTTCAGGCCAAGTCTAGTGTCTGGGGCATGTCCAAGAAACCGGAGCCGCAGCCGCAGCCGCAGCCGCATCTGCAGCTACAACAGCAGCTACAACAGCAGCTCACGCCCCAGATGGTATCGCAAGCGAAGAAGATGCTGAGTCTAGAGGAAGTGGAAGCCCAGCTGCGCAGACAAGGTCCGGGTTCAATCCCTACCCAGCTCCCACTGCCTCTTCCGCACTCGATGCCAGAGCTAGCTCAGCCGCTCCAGCGCGCTCAGATGCCCCCTCTTCCCGAAGGTTTTGCACAGTTACCGCCGGAGATTATACAGGCTCAGCTCGCCAAGGGTGTCCCACCTGCGCAGTTGCTGCATCAGCCGCCCATGGTCCCGGAGCCGTACCCGCTTCCGGCGCACGCTCCGAACCTGCCGATGCATCTCCTGCAGAATGCCAACCTGCCGCCTCAGCACATGATGTCTCCCCAGCGTCAGGCGATGCCACCGGCAGCGCAGAGACCCCAGCAACAGCAGCCGCCCCCACCCCAAGCTCCTCGCGGTAGCGCTACTCAACTGCCAGTGATCACCAACTCCCAGCAGTTGATGCATTTGACAGAAGAGCAGCGTGTAGCGTACTTGATGGAAGATGCCAAGCGGGCGAAGCGCAACCACAAGATCTTCCTCCTTTCCAAGGGGAATGGGCTGATGACTCCGCAAGACAAGAATTTCATCACGCGCATCCAGCTCCAGCAACTCGTCGCAGCCGCCGGAAATGTGGCAGACTCGGATTCGGAAGCGGTCTTGGCCGAGGACTTCTACTATCAGGTCTACAGCCAAATTCGGGGAGCCCCGCGCCAACATCCACACCAGCCACTCGGGCATTTTGCGCAGACGTACCTTCTTCAGACGGGCAACCGGCTCGGGGGCCATGGATCTCGCCGGCAGTTCCAGAGCGCCGACAATCACATGCAGAGGATGCAACAACAGGTCCAGCGTGCAGTGGAGGCCGCTAAGCAGAAGCCCAAGAACAAGCAGCTGATCATCGAAGGCAGCTTGGGTAAAATCTCCTTCAGCAACGCCAAGACGCCAAAGCCGATGCTCAACATCAAGCGTCCCGAGAGCTCGGAAGGCGCCAAGACGATGAAGAAGCCACACACCGATCTAAGCGTCAGTGACCGCAAGTCTGTCCTGACCAACCTTGAGAGCGTTTATAATACCCTGATGGAGATGGAGGACATGGAGCGCACGATGCCTCCCCCGCCTGATGAGAACGACCCGGAAGCGATTCAGAAGCACATGGAGTGGAGGCAGAAGATCCGGTCACTCAACCAGAAGCTGTGGCGAGAACTGAAGGTCATGGAGCCCATTGTTCCCAACACCAACACCCCCCATCCGTTCATTGCTTTCCTCTCCTATCCCAAGGGCAAGAAGGCCATCCCGCGTATCTTCCGCCACATCGACCAGGAGCAGCGGGTTACGATCCTCACTATGATCGTCGTGCACTTGGATTCCTTGGACGTCGTCCGGCGCGCGCAGCCTGTGCCTGGCGAGACCCAGCCGTCTCTGGCCGTTCGGGAAGCCATCGACCTGTTCTCCCAGGCCGTCATGCCCAGCCTACTGGGTTACGTCAACGAAGCACCATTCAACATCATCATCGGTCTGCTGGGACTTGTCATCGCGCAGACTCAGGTTCATATGATCTCAAAGACCCGCATTGGACTCGGAATTTTGACCATGCTGTTGAGTCGCGCCGAGATTGTGAAGGAGGCCGGCCAAGCTACTGAACGGGACTGGCAGCAGTGGGTGGAAAAGTTCAACGTGTTGTTTGACACCCTGGAGCCCACCTTCGCCGATATCTTCCCCAGCTCGATCAATGCTGGCGATGACATGTACGTATGGCAGTTCTTGGCTGCCGTTGGTATTGGAGCCAGCCCCGAACAGCAGCAGCGCTTGGTTATTGCGGTTAAGTAAGTTGGCCTTGTCTACTTGTTGAGCTTGGGAGCTAATCATTCTACAGGGACCGGGTGATGGAGACGGTGACCTACAGCAAGACGCTTCCTGCCGACATGGCCAGCCAGCGCCTTGGCAACGTCAACCTCTTCATGCGGGCTATTGGCCTGGACGTCGAGCTACTGGGCTAAGACACGAACCACGAGGTACTTCTTTCGCTGGCCAAGTTCCAAACCTCCTAGGGCATGCTCTAGACCGGGTCGGTTCGAAATTCATCTCGAACTCGATCTTGATCCACCGGGCTCCATCCTGACAGGACGAGTCTAGTGATCACCGTGCGGATATGCTTAGCAGCAGAGTTGGCCTATTTTAAGACCGGCACCCGGTAAACGAGTGCTCGGGGTAAGACAAATGGCCGAAAGGTCGGTTGGTCTTCGGAGACGACGCTGGGGGGGGTGGCGGCATGCGATTGCAACCGAATAATGGCACAGGCGAGTGCGCCTAGTGCAACCAGTGATGTACTATCTACTCATCACCATGATTTTTATGCTCGTCCCACGACATGTTTGGTGGGACTGTTGATAGTGATGCCTTTCTAGCTATGTGTTCATGTGTTCTTTAATCCTATTTCATTTTATGTGGTGTTTCTTTCCTCGCCATGGCTTTTTGATGGACCCATCGAATAGCCAGCCCTGCAACTGGTGTGGGGCCCAGCCAAGCTAGAACCGGCATCCCCGAACGGTCAGAGTCGCTGGCACCGAACCGGAGCCTGTCGGGGGCGGTGTTTTTCCTTCGTCTCTGCCAAAGTATCAAGAGGTCATTATACCCACCTATATTCATGCTGAATCATTGCAATCCATTCTCGTGGATATTTGAACCAATGCGAGAGAACCAACATTAGGCGCGAAAAGGCCAATAGGCCAATAGATCCCACCTCAGAGGATTGGCAGTAGCAGGCAGATCACATGACCCCTTTCGTTTGTTCCCTCTGCTCCACCTGCTCGGGAGGCATCCTTCTGCCATCTTTGATCTACCGGCCCCTCGGCCGCCGAGCGATCGTCGAGGAGGTGAGTTACAGCCCCCAAGGTTGACTCAACAGCATGTACTGTGATGATGACACCACCTAGTCGATCGGAAGAGCCAGTCCAACAAGACTATAAAACTTCGCATATTATACCTGCTCAGCTGATCCAAAGAGGGCCGGATAAATAAGAGTCGGATTATCGCCAGTCAAGCGCCATGCATCCACCGATGCGTCCAGTCCCGCCCGTGCGAGCCCACTATTTGGCGGCTCCGCCAGTAGTGCTCACCACGCTCCTCCGTGCCTTTAGGTACGCTCCAGCAGGTCCATCGACTCAAGAGTCACCCTAGCAAGCATACGAGTCAATGTGACTTTTTTTTTCCTAAAGCCCATCAGCACTAATGCAGTCGCTCTGCGATTGCGAAGCACATAACATGGCTCTGTTGGGAGTTGTCACATACTTCCTCCACTCAGGGACTCGGCGGGGCCAACAGAGGAGCCGCTGGGCGGCTACTGACCTTCGATAAGCCCCAGGCCAGCCTATCAGCCAGTGAGAATGCCGAGCCCGCCCAGACCAAGTGCATCGTCAACATATCCAATAATTGAGCTGTCAAATAGCCGATGTTAGGAAAAGAAGGCAGTCTAGAGTGGGGGAGTACAATCTCTCGAGCTTGATACATCCTATAAAGGTCCATGTGACCCTTCTACAGCGGCTGGGATGAATGGCAATTGAAAACTTCTAAGCCCAGCAATCCCCTCCTCACCAGTTTCTTTCCCTGTTGGAACGTATACTACAGATCCTTCTCGGCTGCTGCCAGAGTGTGATAGCCATGACCGCCCTGAGACTCCTCGTAGGCCTGCTCATCGTTCTCCTCGTCAGCTACCTCATCTATCAGGTTTGGCTGCATCCACTTGCCTCCTATCCGGGTCCATTCGTCGCCAAATTGACCGACCTCTACTCGGTTGTGCACGCCATACGCGGTGACCGCCACGAGGATCTCTATCGTCTGCATCAGTGCTATGGGGGCATTGTGCGAATCGGCCCGCAGCGCCTGTCCGTTCTCGATGCAAAGGCACTGGAGTCCATCTATGGCTTTCAGGCTAACGTTCAAAAGTCCCAGTGGTACCGTACCTTCTATGGTACAAGTATATTCAATACCATCGATCGCCGTGTGCATTCCCGCAAGCGTCGCGTCATGTCGCAAGCATTTTCCAATCAGGCACTGCGTGGCATGGAACCGCATATACTATCAGCCATACAGGTCTGGTGCGCTGTACTAGGTGACCAGCATCCTGACAAGCCGGTGAGAGTGGCATCCTCCGACCCTGGCGCCTGGTCACGGCCCAAGGATATGGTGCACTGGAGCTCCTGCGTTATCTTCGATGCATTGGGAGAGATCTGCTTCGGCAAGACCTTCAACACTTCCCTCAGCGACGCCAACCACTTCTTCTTCCCGCTGATGGCCTTGAACGTCCGCATCACGAACATCTGCGGGCAGATGCCCATCCTACGCCGCCTAGGGGTTGACAAATACCTCCGCAGCGGCACCGTCGCCGACCGCAAGCGACAGATTGACTTTTCCCAGCAGTTGCTGCGGACTCGGCTAGCAGCCGAGCCCACCGAGCGCCGGGATATCATCTACTACCTGCGGCAGGCACGCGATCCGGAGACCAAGCAAGGCTATTCAGAGACGGAACTGATGTCCGAGGTCGTCATGTTGTTAGGAGCCGGTGGGTTCTTTCTTCCTGCCTTTCCTCCTGCCCACACTCATCAAGGTCGGTAGCTGGAGAACTAACAAATCTACCATTCCTAGGTAACGACACGACCAATGCCGCTTTAACTGCCACATTCTACTTCCTCGCCCATCATCCAACTATTCTCGCCCGCCTGAGCGCGGAAATCCGTGCCGTTTTCGCTGCAGCAGATGCCATTGTTGCCGGTCCTCAGCTGGCGCAGCTGGCTTACCTCCGCGCCTGCATTGAGGAAAGTATGCGTCTATGTCCACCCGTCCCTGCGGATCTGCCTCGGGAAGTCCTCCCTGGTGGGCTCCAAGTGGGTACATGGCATTTCCCAGCCGGTACGGTTATCGGAGTGCCTACGTATGCCTTGCATCACAGCCAAGAGCACTTTGATCGCCCATTCATGTATGACCCGAGTCGGTGGCTGTTGTACGGCAGTGAAGGCACTCGGGACGGCGAGGGCGTGAGTGCCGAGGTGCTGAGTCGGCAGCGGCAGGCATTCGTGCCGTTCAGTCTAGGCCCGCGAGGGTGCATTGGTCGGAGTGTGGCTATGCTCGAATTGGAGGTGAGTATCGCCCGGGTTTTGTGGTTGTATGATTTGCGACTGGCGCCAGGGACGGAGCGACTGGGCGTGGGCCCCGAAGGAGAGTATAAAATCGAGGATAATTTTATCATCGGAAAGGAGGGACCCGTGCTGCAGTTTCGGACGCGTCAGACATGATTTTCACAAGGACTTCATCTATCCCGGATGCGGAGGCGCCTAGCCCTCATTCATCCATGCCCTACCGAGTTCTGGGCAGGCATGGCACTATATAAGCGCTGAAGAAAGCAACACTCTTTATCTATGTCCTGATTCTGGAGTGTGGGGGTAGTTGTATGCCATTCATGCTGTACCGTCCCGGTGTTTATCTATAATCTCGCCTTCTTCGACCGAGATGCCCGAGGAGGCTTCAGCACCTTAAACCATTCGTCCGGTAGGACCAGATGGTCCCGCTTGGACATCAACTGTCTTTGCTCCTGCCACCCCTTTTCGGCCATCCGATACCGTTCCATCTCGGTCTCCAACCACGCCGCACAAGTCTCGGCGGACCGCCCAACCTCCTGGAAAGGAAACAGATGCCCCGATCCAGGCAGGATCACTTCCTTTACACGCCCCTGAGCCATGCCACCGCTTCCCCCCACACCGGTCCCACAGGTCCTGATCCCCTCGCGCATCTCGTCAAGCCCGAGATAGGTTTTCGCACCTATTACCCAGAGGCACGAGGGCCGGAGGGTGGGAAGTCGATAGTAAATAATTGGCGGCTCTGGGCGATATACCGGGACGGACACAATTCGGGTGTCCAGGTCCGCATGCGTGGTGCGATCGACTTCAATCCGGTCTTTTACAGTTCGGGCCGAGAAATTCTGTCGCATCTGGGCCAGTACGTCGTGGTACTTGGTTGTGGTTAAGGTGACTGGGGATTCAGTAGGGTTGGTCGTGGAATCGGTTGCCGCATGGGCGTTGGGGTACAGCGGGGTGGGGAGATCGCGGAGGGCGTATTGGATCATGCGTTCTGCGCAGCGGGGATCCCAGGATCTCAGGAGGGTGTGGTGTGCCTGAACCGCTGCTGCGCGAGAAGGCCAGACATCTTGTCGCCAGAGACTGAAGTTGATGGTTCCGGTAGTGTCGGTGCCGAAGCCCATGGGGGGTAAGCTGGGTTGGATGACCGGGTCGAGAAGGAGGAGGGTGGTGAAGAGCCGGGGGTGGATATATGCCAGGTTCGTGCTATCGAACGGTCTGTTAGTCAAGGAGGATGAGGCTTGCGAGAGAAAACACCCACATGATGCTTCCGCCATAGCTGTGGCCGATGCCGACCAGCGGACGAGGCATCTGATCCCGAAAGTGGTTGATCAGCAGCAGAAGATCGCGCGAGTGGTCCATCCACGAGCCTGGAAGGGTTATGTTATGCCTTGTCCTTGCCTCCCGGTACAGCCGGAGACCTACAGTCGGTGCTGAGCTTGTCCTCGTTTAGGACACCACTGACGCCCATATTGGTGCTGTCGGCGATCCAGATGCTTCGAATGTGGAATCGGTGGCGGGTTGCCTGTGCCAGGAGCTCATCCCACAAGGGCTCATACAGTTCCTATTCCCATCTTAGTGGATCTGTAATTCAGCAATGTCAGAGCGGTGTACCCATGACTCACCTTATACAGGGACGCTCCATGGGCTGCTATGATGGTCATGGCATCGGCAGGGATGGGCTCCGTCTGGTGCTTGGGGGTGTATTGCTTGACGTGTAACTGCAGCACTTCTTCCTGGTCCACGGTGCTCCCCGGATACTCCCGGATATGGCAGCTGGGGACAACGTGCTCGGTAATGTGGAAGAACTCGGTCGACATGGCGAACGGGTATAGATGGTGAGATCTGGTGATTGTGAGAGTCGGGTGTTGATGGATGCGCCACCAGCAGGAGAACGAGAAACAGAGAGAATAAGATTGAAGCCTGGTCCCCGAAACCCCGCTTCCAGAAACCCGACAGGACACATGATAAAGCGCGTCTCTCTCTCTTGTGTTTTCCCTCTGGCCGATGTTTGCTTCTCTCAGCCTTGCATTAGTCCTGACTAGGGCATGGGGGCCTTCGCGGAACCCATTCCCGCTGGCGAGACGTCGAAAAGATCATGCTTGGATTCACCGGGCTGGCCGTCCAAATCGCATCGTCTGCTGTTGGTACTTCAGCAGATTGATGGATTTGACCTGGAAGTATTGTTGCCGATTTTTCACATCCAGAGATAGCCTCTTCCTTCCATGGTGATCAACTTTGCCAGAGGAGCATCGTGAGAGGCTCGCAGCAAGTCCGCTGCACGGTCTGAGGGCGAGACTATCTTCGAATGTCCCACTGCTAATATACACGATGATGAGCGCCACGCTTTTTTTAAGTCCACCCAGGATGAACAAGACGCAAGAAAAGCCCCACCAAGACGCGGGACGGGGGATGTCCCGGCTGCAGATACGACCTGCACGGCCGCGCACCCCACCGGCCATTCATCAGCAACTGATATGGAATGCATCAACTTTGGCGCGCGGGGATGTCCCTTGCCCCCTCCTTCTCGACTTAGCCCCAAGAATGATAGGCCTGTTTTCCTAGGGTGGGCCTCATACAATGACTTGGATCCCTCAACCGAGTCCTCTAGTCCGGCACCAACGGTCCAGACTGACAGTCGATTCCAGTCGACGTCGCGGTTCTGCATCTGCCGCTCTGCCAAAAGCCGGGCGAGGGCTCCTGTATCACCCTCTATTGGTGGGCGATCTGCATTCTTCATCGCTACCCCCTCTTTTAATGTCAGCACTAGAGCCCATGCCGTGGGTGGCCTTCATAGCTAGTGGCCTTTTTATATATACTCTGCAGCACCAGGATGAACAAGCCATCTTTTCAACTGCATTCACCTACGCCCACCCTTCATGACGACAACGATGGCTCTCGAACTGTCCCACGTCTGGCTAGCCCTTGCCGGCATAGCAACGTTTTACATCTCGCGAACCTTCTATCGTCTCTACTTCCATCCGCTGTCGAAGATACCCGGTCCCAAGCTCACCGCAATCACCCGTCTATATGAATTCTACTACGATGTCATCTGCGATGGGAAGTTTCTGTTTCAGATTGAGAAAATGCATCAGCAGTACGGTAGGTGAGAGCATACCGACCACCAGCATAGCTTGGCTAAGTACCGCCCAGGCCCTATCGTTCGCATCAACCCCCGTGAAGTCCATATCAGCGATCCATCCTTCTATGATGAAATCTATGCCTCCAGCAGCCGGAAACGGAACAGGGATCATGATGCCTACGATGCATTTACACTCTCGTACTCGGTGATTGGCACCATGGGCCACGAACACCACCGCTTCCGACGCAGCATCCTGAACGACTTCTTTTCCAAGCGCTCCGTGCTCGCATTATCCGACGTGGTCGAAGAGCGGGTGCTGAAGCTGATGCAGCGTTTTGAGGGATTCTATAAGGAGCAAAGCGTGGTCAACCTAAGCAATGCATTTGCCGCATTGGCGTCGGACGTGATTACCTATTACTGTTTTGGGAAACGCTGGGGCTTTGTTGAGGATGAGCACTTCCGCAGCGAGATCCATAAGAACAACGAGGAAAACACCGAACACTGCCATCTCGACCGCTTCTTTCCGTTTGTGCCGGAATTGATGCGCCGGATTCCGGGGCAGGTGTTGGCCTTGCTCCTCCCAAGCAAGGCTGCGGCGTTTGAGTTTCAGGCCGCCCTCTTTCAGACTATCACCATGAATATGCAAGCTGGATCCACGTCGACCAAGGAAAACCGGACCATTTTCCAAAAGTTGACGGACCCCAGCTTACCCGCCGAGGAGCGGAGTCTGCGTCGTGTCCAAGATGAGGTGTTCACGCTTCTGGGTGCGGGCACAGAAACAACAGCGAGCACCTTGATGGTCATGATCTACCACGTGTCGCGGAATGAGAGCATTCGAGACAAATTGCGGACCGAGCTGAAGCAGGTTATGCCCACGCCTACGAGCGCAGTGACATGGACGGAATTGGAGAAGCTACCGTACCTGGTATGAGACTGTGAGTTACGGTAAACGTCGGCTGACTTGCTTCTAGACTGCGGTTCTTAATGAATCCTTGCGCTTGTCCTATGGGGTCATTATGCGGCTTCCTCGGGTGGCACCGACTGAGACTCTGCGGTACAAGGACTATGCTATTCCACCAGGGGTATGCCATAGCATCTTTCCGTAAACTGGCATCAGCTAATCCTGGATAGACGCCAATGAGCACCTCCACCTATTTTATCCACCGCAACCCAGACATCTTTCCAGAGCCGGACAAGTTCGACCCGGAGCGATGGATTAGGGCTGCGGAAAGAGGCCAGAACTTGTCGCGGTATCTGGTGTCGTTTATGAGGGGAAGTCGCGCGTGCGTGGGAATGAAGTCAGTTTGCCCACTGTTTCCCGTGTCTCTGCTAATGGGTTCATTAGTCTGGCCTATATTGAGCTGTACCTGACGATTGCGCATTTGGTGCGTCGATTCGATTTCACCTTGCACAACACGAGCCCGGAAGACGTGCGCATTACGAGAGATCGGATCATCCCGTGCACTGACAAGGGGATGTTGTGGGTCTATGCGAGGGTGACGGGGATGGAGGAGTGATGATGGCAGGTGTCTTGAATGTATGAGCTCCCAATAGTCGTGTCGAGTGATGAGTGAAAAGGGACAGTTGGCACTATATATTCGGATCATATAGTCTGTGAATCGTTGTTCTTGCCTAGGGACGACCATCCTCAACTTAGGCCTTTCGATCATGAGCATGCTAGCAACCGGCCATGAGTGGTTCCTGAAATCAGACCATTACACTGTCTATCACCATGGATCAAACCCATGCATGCTTGGAGCCATGCCAGACCCAATTGATTTCGAACGACAAAAAAGGAAAAAGAAAAGAAGAAAGGTCGTGCCCGGGTTCGAACCGGGGTTGTCGGAACTTCCGTAGTACAGAGTACTCAAAATCCGAAGGGATAACCACTACCCCACACAACCGGATGCGGATATTTAATCCTTGGATATTACCAGCTATCAACCGTGCTTCATGCTGCATCTTAGCATATCCATGTGTTTTGCCTACGCACTGCCATTGCAATAGCCAGGTACATCTTAGGTATACTCCTCCAGCTTCTGAGAGCCCTCTTGATCGGAATTTACTAAGGAAATCTACCGCACCATGCCACCACCTCCGCTATAACCATGTCCATCAGAACAGGTACGCCACCCACCAGTGGGGAACCAACAGACCACCCGTTCGCATGCAAGCCTTCTCCTGTTGCTCAGACATATCTACATACACCCCAAGACCCCTGAGCTCACTGTGTGGCATCGATATTAACCGCGGAAATGACCCAAGCGGGCTGACAGGCACGACCAACGATTGGACCCTGGGATTGGATCGGGACCAGTCGGTCCACCGAGCCCGGCGAGGACCACTGTCGACCCGCCCGAGCAATGGGATGGAAATGAGCATTCAGCATTGGGGGCAGATACGGGGGGTGATTGGCGGGTGTCCTCTCGGGCCGTCCATGTCTCAGTTTCAGACATGGTCGGCCGCTTGTTATTAGCCGGGCGAGGCGTTGATGACGACGATGGATGTGCTGCTGCTGCTGCTGGGGGAGGAGCGGGTAATAAGGATTATCTACCATGTAGTAAGTACTGTGACACAGTACTGGTATGGAGAGCTGGTAGGATACTCCGTGGTTTACTCCGACCGGACTGGATGGCCGGGTTCGGATGCTTGCAGGTGCAGATGCTGCATGCACCTATCCTTCTGCGGCTGTGAGACGGATGAGGATTATGGACTGGGTATGGAGTAATGAAGTTGACGAGGATCGACCGGTGGGCAGGTCGTTTACGTAGACAGTTGGGTGATCAGCAGGTGGGCGTGAAAGGGGCAGATTAGGATGAGCACTCGGATGGTGAACTGATGATGCGATGTGGTGATTTCCTCTACTTCACCCGGTCCGCTGGGTTATCTTACGGTATCATGTACTTCCGTATGTGCCTGGCCATCCCACTTCGTTGCCCCTCCCCCACCTCCATCCAATGGCATCTCCCCCTTAAATATCCCGCCCACTCCCCCATCATTATTCGGTCCCATCTCACCTTTTGACTCCTACTCCTCCACTCCTCCCTCCTCTTCCCATTCTCCCGACACCTTCACCACCGTAATTGCCTCATCATGCCTTCCGGATCAGTTCTCGTCACCGGGTAAGTTCGAGCCCTCGTCCGCGAGCTCTCGCTGACCCCGCAATGCTCCAGTGGAACCGGCTACATTGGCTCCTTCACCACCCTCGCGCTCCTCGAGGCCGGCTACAAGGTCGTCGTCGCCGACAACCTCTACAACTCCTCCGACGAGGCCCTGAAGCGCATTGAGTTGATCTCCGGCAAGAAGGCCGAGTTTGCTCAGATCGATGTCACCGATGAGGCGGCCTTTGACCGCGTCTTCGAGGCCCACCCCGACATTGACAGCGTCATCCACTTTGCTGCGCTGAAGGTGTGCTCTCCGCGCAAGCAACCGAGTGTCTGCGACTGACATGCATACTAGGCGGTTGGAGAGTCCGGGGAGAAGCCTCTGGACTACTACCACGTCAACGTCTACGGCACCATCTGCCTCCTGCGCTCCATGGTCCGCCACAATGTCACCAACATCGTCTTCTCCAGCTCGGCCACCGTCTACGGCGATGCCACCCGCTTCCCGAACATGATCCCCATTCCCGAGGAGTGCCCGCTGGGTCCCACCAACCCCTACGGTAACACCAAGTTCGCCGTCGAGACCGCCATCACCGACGTCATCAACGCGCAGCGCAACAACGCCATCAAGGCCGGCAACGAGGCCGAGGCCCAGAAGTGGAACGGTGCCCTGCTCCGCTACTTCAACCCCGCCGGTGCCCACCCCAGTGGTATCATGGGCGAGGACCCCCAGGGTGTCCCCTACAACCTGCTTCCCCTTCTGGCCCAGGTGGCCACCGGCAAGCGCGAGAAGCTGCTCGTCTTCGGAGATGGTAAGCTGCCTGTCTGTTTGCCACATGCGGCGTGACTAACCCGACTAGACTATGCTTCCCACGACGGAACCGCCATCCGCGACTACATCCACATCCTCGACCTGGCCGACGGCCACTTGAAGGCGCTCAACTACCTGCGCGCCAACAACCCCGGCGTCCGTGCCTGGAACTTGGGTACCGGCAGGGGCAGCACTGTGTACGAGATGATCCGTGCCTTCTCGACGGCCGTGGGCCGGGACCTCCCCTACGAGGTGGCTCCCCGCCGTGCGGGTGACGTGCTCAACCTGACGGCCAACCCCACGCGGGCCAACACCGAGCTCGGCTGGAAGGCAGAGCGCACCCTCGAGCAGGCCTGCGAGGACCTCTGGCTGTGGACGCACAACAACCCCCAGGGCTACCGCCAGCAGCCCCCGGCGGAGCTGGTGGCGAAGCTGCAGAAATAAGTCATGACGCCGATAGATTCGGGCTGGAAAAGGGAACATCGATAGAGACGTTGGACCTGGCTAATTGGATGAGACGAATTTCCTTGTATGATCATGCTCCTGCGAGCGTCTGTATCTAGAGCGTACCTAGTCTTGCTTAGATATTGACCCGTGTAATTCAATGCACATGATGCGATCTAAATCTATTTACCCTTGCGGCTCCTGCGCGAGCCAGGCGTCGGCTCTTTCGCCGATGCCTTGGGCTGCTCCGCCTGTTCCTTTTCTTTGGCCTCCAGCGCCCGTCGCACGGCCGACTCCTTCTCCTTGACCTCAATCAGCTTCTCACTAAACTGCCACAACATCTTGCCCGCCTCTTCATCCTTGACCTCCCTCCTCGCCACATCCACCTCCTTGCACTCCTTAATCAACCACCCGCCCTCCCCCCGCCCAAACTGCGCATCCATCGCCGCATACAAGATACTCTGCGCCCCCTGCTGCGGCGACTTCAACACCAACCACCACACCGGCCACGTCACCAAATACACCAACAACCCCCACAACGAACCCCCCGTCATCCACCGCCGATTCCCAGGCGTGCGACTAAACCCGGGATCCACCATGATGACCCTCGCACTGGGCGGCTGTCCATCGGGTCTCTTAAACGCATTGAGATGTTTCTGAAACGACTGCGCAAAGACCATCAATGATAGCTTGCTCAAGCCATACAAACTCACGCCCTTCTTCACCTTCTTGGCTTTTTCCCGCTGTAGCTTGCCGTTCTTCATCACCATTCGTCTTGCCCCGTTCCCATCCGAGGACTCCGCCCTCGACGCCGTCGCAACCATCGCCTCCTCCACCATCCTCAAATCAAACCTCGCCCCAATATAACTCGCACACGTCACAAAAATAACCCTCACATCCCGATGCGCCGGCTGCACCCGCAACGCCGGCGAAAGGATACTCAACAAATGAAAATTCGCCAAATAATTCACCATAAACTCCTCATCCAGCCCATCCACCGTCAACTGTGTCTTGCGCGCCACCGGCGGATTCGTATTCCCACACAAGATCAGCATATCGAGTCGTCGCGGCGGGACATTATCGATCCATTTCGTCGCGAAGGTCCGGATACTGTGCAGGGAAGAGAGATCCACTTGTTCGGCGTAGATCAGCTGGTTATTGGTTTTTTGGCGCAGGTCGTCGATGTATTCCACGAGGAAGATGTCGGAGGGGGAGTGTTGGGTTAGGAGGATGATTTGGGCGCCGCGGGAGGCGAGGGCGTGGACCACGCTGGCGCCGATGCCAGATGTGCCGCCCTAGACTTTTTGTTAGGTTGTTGGTTTGGGGGGGGG